AAGGTGTTGCGGCCCCGTTTATCCGGCCCGGAAACCAATGGGGACCGGAGACCGATGATAAGTAAGGCCGTTCATGTTGTTTTACACCATAGTACCACTTATTTTTTTATAGTGAGCTACCCTAGTAGCTACCTGTAACCACGATGTACCTAGCGTAGCCCTTCGGATTTAAGCAACTAGTCGGGAAAGTATAAAATATACCACTGAAAGTCGATAGCTTTCTTGTTTTCTGATATAACTACCCCAAAATTACAATGTTAATTAGAATATTCTGACAAGTTGCATAATGCATTATACCTCAAATCGCGAGCGCACCCGAAAATCCATCAGATAAGCGATGTAATACTCAAATATTCTTAGTAAACTGACACGCGTTCGTTGCTTTCCGGAACTCGAGGCTCCCAGCACTGTTAAAGCTAACGCTTACAATTGTTCTCGACTGGTTTCTCGGATTATATTAGAAAGCGTGGATTACTGGTTGGACACTTACTTCCCTTTTTATAAAAGTATCCGGTCTCAGTAGTTGAAGAATCTAGCCAATCGGATTGCAAGGAATCTGAACATCCTCCCCCTTTCGGCACTTTTGGTGTAACCCCGGTTCGGCGAAGTACTTGGGTACAACGGCAAGAACTGAGTACCTGCAAAGTGCCCGGCTCGGAGCTCTGCCGAATAAAAGTGGATTCTTTTTTGTTAGATTTCTACCGATCTTGTGAGATTATATTTTAAGTTGAGCTCTTTTGTATTTGTCATCCGTAGTTCAGTACCTAATATATAGTCGAAGCCATAGGTTAGATTGCTTGCATGCCGGGTTATAAGATTGTCATCTTCCAAATCTTTCCTGTAGTCTGCATTGACACTAATATGCAGACCTTAATTATCTGTGTCTAAGCCTTGGTGGCACCTGAAGAAATAGTAGTTGCGATAGCTACCCTAAATTCCCAAACTTCGTCCGCAACACGGCTACTACTATCAGTATTGTTATTGGGCAGATCTTCTACGGTGCTCTTTTAGCGAAAAAGATGGATACACTGTTAACTGCCGATATGGTAGAGAAAGAGAAACGAAGGAAGTTTGAAGCTTAAAAAAAAGGCCCTGACGACGTAGCTGTTAGCCGTGAAAAAGCAGAAAAAGTCTAGGCCTTAGCTAATATCAAAATTCTTCTTTGTAACGAGAGATAGGTATTTATTGGGTATTTGGAAAAGCAGAAGGAAAATTATGAGTACTATTTTAAATTAATATCCGGGCTACTAATGCCTAGGCCTATTGACCAGTGGTTCAATAAATCACTAGATGGAATATTCTGTAATATCTGGTGCATCTATAGGGATGATGGGGTGCTGTCAATAGAAGATCATCAAGAGATGGACCGCCAGAGTAATCTTGAGCTCTTTCTTACGTCGATAGCACCAACTCTGGATGCGGATGGTAAACGGTCATCCTATGGCCTTTTACTCCTAAAGTTTGAAGATTCGCACTATCGCAGGGTTGGGATGTTTCAGCATCATGGCGATATCGAGTGGTTTAAATCCCTGCCGTATTGTGATATTAAGATTCGCTAAATAATAATTTAGTGAATATATCGCCAGGTAGTTTTGGAACGTATTGGTGAACGGGGTAGCAAAGGTTGTTATTAACACAATTTGTTGACGTAAGAGGGTAAATTGTATCCTAATAATTAATAGGAAATATACAGGTATTATCGTATAACTAGCAGAAGTTACGGTGTAGTTCTTAGACAGTATTAGCGCCCATCTTTCTACTATCTTTAGCTCCTGGTGTAATCTTGGGAACTTCCAAAGCGGTACACTCCAAAAGAAAAAGGCAAAACCCCATGTGAAGCCAGCAAGTCATCCAATCCAACTTCTTTCTATTAAAAAAAGTTCTCTTGTCATGCCTAACCTTTTCGTCAAACATCGCGGTATACAGAGTACGAGGGTCTCGACAAGACAGCCGACAAAGTTAAGCAGAAACCACTGCAAATCTAGCCATCCAGACATCCCAAGGCGCCAACCCACAACCGCATGTGAGAGGCCGGAAATTAGGAAGGCGATAAAGGCAATAACGGTTCCGGACACAAGAGGCTTCAATCTTGGGTGTAGAAATGTTAATCTTCGAGTAGAAGCCTAGCCATAGTTTTTGTAGGATCGCGCTGCCAGCCGATGCCAGAACTGCGACCAAAAGTTACGCAACTCACACGCGCTACTTGGGTAACCAAACAGTGGAGGCCAGTCATTTAGCTGGTGAAGATCGGCAAGGATGGAGAGCACCAATATGATGGCGTTAGTGCCGTCCAAAAACACGAGGCTCTCCCAGATCCAGGAAACAGCCACAAACGAACGCACGACGACCTCACAAGCCGTCACGTCAGAGAGCCGGGTTAGAAATGCGGGGTAGGCGACGTCCTCAGCTAATAACTCGGCAATCGCCTCGGCGAAGATGTGTGGCAGCACGTGTAAGTGTAGAGTAGGAGATTAGCTAGGCGGAGGATGAGGAATATGACTAGTGGTTCTCCTTTCTCATCCCTGGTAGGTGACGGCTCCTTTATCTTGGAAAGCAGTCGTGGATTGCTTTTATGGTGGACCGATTGATACCAGTTAGTCAGAGTGATTATTTAAAACGACGGAAGCTTTTATTAGTGAGCTCAGGAGCTATATCGACCACGTTAGTTCTCGTCCAAACGTTACTAGCATAATGAATGATTTGATCGCGCTAAAGGATTGGGATAATGCGGATAGCCTTATTAGCCTTATCTCACTCGATACCGCTATAGATCTTATGATAGTAAGCCACTATATGAGACTGCTACAAATTTTTGACATTTTTATATATATAGTTGAAACATACAAAGATGCGGATTGTCCAGGAGACTACGTCGAGATCAAATTTGGAAACATCCTTCCAGCTGCGAGCAAGTCGCTCTATGCGCGCTCAATAGGGGAATACGTGCTTCACATTCTGGATGGTTTATTAGATGTGATTGATAGGGTTATAGAATCCCGGTATCGTTATGTTAGGACCATATCTAACATTTGATCCTTAGAGGCAGAGTTAAAGCAGCGCATCTTAACCACGTTGCAGTGAATGAAGTCTTAAGAGTAAACATTACAGGTCATGTCTTAATCGGCTTAATAAAGGAGTCTCTTCCTCTCTTAGTTGTCAATATAATGCAGTTAACAATGCCCGGAGAAGGAAATGGGTCCCAAATCCGACCCATATAGTTCCAACATACAGCATTCAGGGATGGCAAACCAGCCGGGGCGGCCGGGTGCGCATACAGAATAAATACATGATTCAGAGATGGCTGAATCCAGCTACAGGGCCCCTTCAGCCGTCTCATTGAAAATTATCTAGCCGTGATGTCATTCGAGTGACTCATATTGAATTTCGCATAAAGTCATATAGTTGACTCTACCGTGAGTGGACTTTGTTGAAGGAATAAGGTGATTTGATGCTTTACAGCCTCTGGCTAAAGCATAATATCATGATGGAATACATATAGTTATTAAATATATATTGCGTGTAGCAATATATGGACAACTTGAAGTTGATCCGAACGATATATGAGAGGTAGGTTAGGTAGTATTAGTGATTTGGTTGACAAGATGAACCCATTCACGAGTTAAATGGGAACCCTAAGTGATATACACGTTTTAGCTAAGATGTCTCGTGTCGTACCCGATAGAAGTCCTCTCGATCACTCATTTTGGTAGTTGTCAGTTTATTACTGCAACAAAATACATATTTAAACATGCCCCCATTGGGTATTCCTCTGCTTCCTATCCGCATCCACTTTCTATCTACGCAAAATACTTTTTCTATTCGCAGCTTACGCACAAGCACGGTAAAATAAACATCGAACCAAGTTAGCTTAGGCAATTCTCATCATGGACAGAATTCAGAGACTACCTAATATCACCACTATGAACATCACTTGTCTCGATACGCTCGTTGAGGCGATTTCAAAACTTAAGTCCGACCTTGTCTACTACCCCGATAATCAAGATCTTTTAACTTTCGCGGAAGAAAGGGCTCTTCAAAGGCATCTTGATAATATCATAACAGCACATGATTATCTTGTAGACGCTGCGGTCGAGGAAGACAAGAAGCCCCCAGAAGAGAAACAGGTCAACCCTTACCTCACCAATACGAGAAAGATCCGCCTCGCGCTAGGCATGTTGGGCGATATAGAAAGATATTTGAAGAATCTCAGGGCATGGAACCTCCGCGAGAAGGCTAGGCGTAGTAATAATGACAGAATTTAATAACAAGAAGAAGCTAGCCATTATTCACGCGAACCTTTAGATTTAGTAGGCAATTATTATATATTCTACCTTTAATAGTATTCGAGGAGTCACGTAACGTAGTGGCGTGCAAAAAGAAATATCTATATACTTGATTCATTTAGCAAACTTCTGGTATTGAAAAAGATACATCGATGTCTAGGTTGAGAGTAACATTATAGGACGCTTGGTCTTTCCTGGGTACCTACCTAAGTTTTAAATATTTAAAAACTATTTTATCGGTACAGCTAGGTAGTTGATGTGTCACTTAAGGATTAATTAAACCCCCCAAATAATATTTTAGGCTTTACTTCCATTTCTACTATAGGTTTGTTTAGAATGCCTGATTTGTTTTACTTAGGTATTCAGATATTGTTGCAGACCTTCCTTTATTGAATGAGCACCGGCCACATGACAGAAAAATGTAACAGACGGTGCTTGTAGCGCAATAGTACAACACTAGTTTCGTGGTGAATAAATTATGATAAAGGCATTCATTCGGTCCTACAATAAACTCATTGTCTGTGTATATTGTAACATAGGTGTTGTTCTTCGCATTGTCTTTGTGTTATGGTACTGTGATGCTTACCTACCAAAGGTGCAATATATAATAGAATCCTAGCCGGATATATTCCTAACATTTCCCAAACAACAATACTAGCACATCGCAACTACTCTTGCCCATCCTTTAAAAAATATCAATCTCCACAATCATTCACAATGCGGACTCATATTTCAATCCCGTACTTCGAGATCGAGTACGCCCGGGACATCGACAAGGTTCTGAAGCATCTCTTGCGAGTCGAAGAAAGTCTTTCTCAGAGCATCCATGGTGCTCTCATGGATGTTGAAGAAGATGATTATATTGAGGGAGATATCCGCGATGCCCGTTGTGCACGGATTATACTTCTGGGTATAAAGGAGGACTTTAAGGACGATCCCATCGCATTTAGCAAGATCGAAACAGCGATTGAAAAGCTACGGTTTATCCAAAGAGAACTAATCAATATTCAAATCAGGAACTCCAGATTGAGAAGGGCTTCGAACCAAGGTGGATCGACGTGATAACTTAGAGTGCTTATTGGCAGAAAGACTATTTATACGAACTTTCAGGAGTTAGTGTCGGGGGCTTAGAAACTAAAGGACAGATACTATCTATATTCTTAGATTAGTGGTTTGATTCTTAATCGATTGTATTTTAACAAAGGCATTCTGATGTTCTTAGTAAGGGTATAGTTCAATACGTGAACGAACAATGTAAAAGAGCACTAACCTAGTCAAATATTGAGCTTAGTACTGGTGCTGGATGATAGAATTTTGTAATACTATATATGTACCTTCCACAGTCATTAGTAGAAGTCTTATATTACGCTTAATCAAATAGTTCCAGTTCCCTTGAATTGCTTCACTGTCTCTACTTCCATTATTAAGCTTGAATATATAACATGTCTATTTATTTATACGACTAGAATTGCGCTTAGGGAATATATATGCTAGTAGTCAAACAGTTTAGCCGGTCGAGGCACGCTATGTAACCAGGGAGAGTATTATTATCCAACAGCTTCAATCATATGCGTGATTCCAGCAGTGTTAAAAAGTCTATAATAAGCCATAAACGGCCAGAAAATATGAATAATTTAAGATATCTACCAACTATAGACACCGTGTCCCAGCAATTGGCTTCAAAGTGACATATGTTTAACATACAGCAAAGTAACGTTTACATTAGGTACTTTCCGATATCCCATAACTTCACCTAGATTGTAACTATGAGGAGTCATCCGCTGCAGAGCTTTGGTGAACTAAATCTCATAATCACTCTTAGTAGATCTTGGTTCGGATGAAAAGTTACTCACCTGAATCCCTATTCCTTGGCTGAAAGAGTGACAACCATTACAATTGGGAGGTGGATTACTTTGTGAATTGTAAGAAACGATTATCAAGTTACCATTATTCACAAACATCAAGTCGCTATGCTATTGGTTATACAAAATAGTAAATGAATAAGTGTCCAATCATGTTGTGACCCAAACCAACCTGTTCCTGCATCATTGGCGTCGAGGTTGAAAGAGTCTCGAGTCGATACCCAACGTCGACACCACCATGATCGTAAATTTTATAAATGGTGCGGTGCGGCAGATAATAACGCAGAGTCTATGCCACGTAAGTGACAACAAGCGAAGACCATGATCCATTCTCTCCTGCGTCCTGCCAATAGGGACGCTTTTAACGAGCATCGTCGCGCATATGACCCAGTGCGAATAGCGTTATTCTATTCGCCCCTCGGCATCGTAGGAACTATCGCCGTATCTGTTGCGTAAAATGCTTTATACATAGCCCAAGCCCTATATCCATACTGCAGGAAGAATAAAAGTCAGAAACGCTCGGCCCAACGCTATGGAAGACCGCCGCGGTAGTGCTACCGACTCCGGCAGCACACTATCCTTCTACGCTACTCCAGCACAGAGCCCACAAACTACCACTCATCCTCAAATATGGATGTTGCGCAGAGAGCCAGAGCTCGGAAGTGATCGCTTCTCTAAGCGGGAATCTGTCGTGATCCGGGACAGCGTCGCATACCCCTCTGAGTCGAGCTTCGAAGACACGATCATCAAGGGCACGGCGCAAACGGGTCAGCGGAACCCAAGCAAGCCACGGCTGATCGACCTCGATCGTATACGGCGTAAGATGCGGAGCGCAACAACACGGCGCGGGTCTCAGCGGAGCGCTACGACAGACACATCCACCTTGTCGCTAGGTTGTTGGCTTTCCGATATGCGCCCCCCGGAACAGATTATGCTTAGCCCCATAACCAGCCAGCGAGCCGTAACGGAGATGTATCACGCGAGCCAGAGCGATATAGTGCTACACTCTAGAGCTCGGGCCTCTTCCCTAGGTGAAAGGGCAACAACGTTACGATTTCAAAATGGAGCACGAGGCGGGCAATCTAGCGAGACAGTTGGGAACACTCCCCACGAGAGCGAGTTATCAGGTTACACTCTAACACAAAATAGTCCTCAACCTAAACATAGTTTCATACGCGCACTATGTTGTTTACCATGTTGATTCGAAATCCTAGAAGCCCTGGTTGGATTGGTGGCATTAGAGCCGGCGAGCTCTGGAGTATAAATACACATGAAAATCGAGGGGAGAGGATGGTGTAGGTATAGGTGTTACGAGGCGCTTGATTTTAAAAAAGGTTGTCGATGGGCTAGGATTATTTGTTATGAAAAGGGGGATGTCTACTCTCCAAGGGTGAATGATGCGACTGTATTTATTACTCTGAGGTGTATTCAGGGATAAACGGGGTCTACGGCGTTGCATTTGATGGTCCTAACAGGCTTTAAATTGAGAAAAAACTGGTAGGAACAATGGAGAAGATATTATTTCGAGCGTTTCTTTTTTTGAAGCATTTAGTTTCCCGACCCCGGAGCTGGTTTTTGTCGCCTTTTTTCCCAGTTAACGATAAATTTAATATCTATATCGTGTTGCTCCGCTGGCACATACATCCACCTATTATTTTCTGCACTCCATCCTCTGTTTGGGAGGTAAGCCTCCAGCATGTAATAGTTGTCTCTGTGAAATGGAAAGTCAAAGCTTGGCGGCCCGCTCTTCTCTAAGAATACGTCTGAACCCGACTCCATATCTTCTTTCGACATGCGAAAACGCCGCCTCTTATTGCCCTTGTTCGCAGCGTGACGACTTATCGACCTCGTCGTCGAGTCTAAGTGGGTTTCCAAAAGCCGTGCGTGCCACAATGGACTACGCAGAGCTTTGCGCACAGTAGCCGCATTGAACTCTATCAGATTTTGATTCCAAGTTGGATGCTTGCCCCGTGGAATCATGGGAATCGGCTCCCCGATATCCAGATTTCGCTGCCAATGAGCAAAATCTACAATCAAGCAGAGTGCTGACCATCGTAATAAGCATGTTAGACAGGTGCAAATTTCTGCAGGATTCGGAGATTGTATGTGTTGATAAGGCTTCTTATGGATGATGAGGAGCTCCTGTCGCTCGGGACTTTGAATAACTGCGTGAATACTAGGATCGATATTCTCCATAAGTACGGGCAATCGAAAGCATTTATCCAGGCAGACATAGCGCCAATTAGTGATAGCTCTTGAAATCCGGTGCTCCTCTTGGGCAATGAACTGGTGGAATGCTTTATTAACTCTTCGTAGATTAAAAACATCGCTTGGACGAAGTAGAGCCAGTATCTCTAATACGAGCTCATAAGGCAAGCTCAAAAGATCTTGCGAATCGCGACTGGGGGTTTTGACTCTCTTTGCCTGTTTTTTCCGAGCCCTTTCGGTACGTTTTGAGCGAAGGATGAGGGCTTCTGTCTTATCCTCTAGTTCACCCAATTCTTCATCTTCGGATACCTCAACTTTCCTCATGATGTACTTTAGTTTTCAAGATCGATGTAGCTTGTGATCCAAAATCTCTTTTTCTGTATGTGGGGATAACAATCACGGGATTGAATGTTTATGTGTGTATGAGTGGGAGCTTATGCCTTGATCTTCGGAGTTAATCAATCTTATTGCCACAGGTGCCTACACTATTCATAAGTTGCATATTTATTAATACAATAACCTCAATAATCTCCTAACACTGGATTACAAATAATCTAATTAAATCATTTAGTTAATGGATATGTATGATGTTATTTAAATCTTAGCATCGTTTAATACTGAGTTGTAGTAAGGATATTGAATTGATACCTTACTTCCTAGTAAAATTAAATGCAAATATCAATTATAAAGATAGCAGATTTATAATACGAAGCAGCGTAAGGATTACTATCGGAGCTTTGAAGAGCTTCGGATATAGAATAATATGCATGTTACAGCCGAAGGGTTGCTTTCAAATATCAATCTGAGTTTCTAGTCCAACGTGAGCAGATCATTCAAACTTTCTCAAGAACAACTCGATCCTACTTAATTACAAAGAGCTTTGCAGCTAGAGTATCTACACTATGACTATCTTCCATGTTGTCATGTTCAAATTCAAAGACCTTGTGCCCCCAGAGGAGGTCAAGGCAGTAAGAAATCCAGAATAGATAAAAGATAACATGGATGCTGAAGGACTAACATTATGTTTAGGCTTGCGCCCAGATGCTGGCTCTAGGAACGAATTGCATCCATCCCACATCCCAGAAACCCTACGTGAAAGTATATGGTGGTGGGAAAGATAATAGCCCCGAAGGAAAGCAGGTAATATCTCACTTTTATCTCATATCTCTTTTATCATATAAAAGGCTTTTTTCCGGCTGACAGTTTTGGTAATGTTAAATAGCTTGGAATGACGCACGCATTCATCTTCGAATTCGAGTCGGAGGAAGACAGGGCGTATTATCTTTATAAAGACCCAGCTCACTCTGAATTTGGCGCGAGTGTTATAAACTTACTCGACAAACTTCAAGGTGTTGATTTTACACCGGGTGAGTTCTAAGTCGTGGGACGTGAGATAGAAGTTTGTGAGATGGTAAGGGGTAGGATGGAAGCTTTGGTGCTTGTGAAAGTCGGGGGAAAGCGGGCAAGTGGAGGCAGTAAACGAAATGACGTCTATTTGATTGGTGTCTATCGAAAAGTGGAAAGGCGCGTATGCTAGAGCCAATTAAGATTAATTACAGCCCTACGTCATCCCCCACTTTACCAGCTTTCCTAAGCTATGGGGTCCTGGGGTATGTTTGTAGGCAACTAGCAGCAGTGCAAACGTTCACTACAGATACGCAGGAACGGAACAACCAATGTTCATCATCCAAGCTTGTAAATCTACCTATGGACATGACCTAATTGTTCTTTCCTACTACAGACAAAAGAATTGCTCGTCATCATTTCCGATTGATATATCCGTAATTCACCAATTCAAAAACGAGGAGGTTATATCTTCATTATCATCACGATTAATTAAAACAAAGAAAAGCTGTTTTCTTTTTGATACCCCCCACCCTACTTTTCCATCTTCGTAACAAACCACCATCAGCCCATATTTTCAAACCGTCATCGACCATATCTTAACATCTCAGCAAAGCGCGCGTATTACGCGAAATTTAACATCACATCCGTTGTCATTGACATTGACATCTTCTAACTTAACATAGTTATACGAAGATAAGCAAACATGTCGCAACAACAGACAGCTCCCATGCTCATTAATATCCCTCCCCCGCCATCTAATCCAGACACTCCAAGTGATATGCCGTACGTTTATCAGCACCGATCTCCCTCCGTACCAGTTACTAATTAGAATAATCTACAGCGGTACTCCTACTAGCACAACTACATCGCTCTCAGCCCTATCAACTACCGCTATCAAGGATGGCCACCGAGGCAACACCTATCACGGTCTCGCAGGTTTCCGAGGCCACCAACACCAATCGTCCACAAATAGCCTCGAAGCTGAGCGCGCAGATCGCATCAGTCGCCTTGCCGGCCTCGAGCGCGTATCCACCCTACGCGCCCCGAACCAGCAGCAACACGGCGGCAGCCTCAGCCCCGCCCAGAACACACCTACAACTGCCGCGCAACAGGCAAACGCTCTTACACCCGCGTACTTCGATTCGAACGGGCAGCCGACGGCGATGACTAAGATGAGCACCGTTGGCACTGCGTCTGCAACGGGTAGTGTCGGAGCGCGGACGACCACGGAGGCAGGCGACCGGTTCGGTGAGGAAGACGAGGACGAGATGGATGCGGAGCTGACGGAGGTCGATGATGACGGTGATGGCATTAGCATGGATGTGGATAGCACGTCTGGTGCCATGGATGAGGACATGGCAAGCCGTTCAGTTAGTGGCTTTGAGGACCGCATGAGCGATGATGGAACCGCGAGCCTCGTCGGTTTTGGCGAGGGCGCAAATAGCACCGTCAGTGGCCCTATTTACCACAGGAGGCCGCTGCCTGGCGCGGCGGGAATCTGGGGTCTAGAACGTAGTAGCTCGGGACTGAGCCAGGAGGCGACTACGGCTCGCAGTCGAGATATACGCGACGTGATTGCGAGTGATACCCCTGTCAGTGCGATGGCCGCGGCCGAGACACGGCAGGCTAAGTATGTCGATGGCGTTGCTGTTGATGGCGGCGGACACGTTGGTACCTCGGATGATGACGTGTTTGTCGATACTACGACGCGTGGACCTATACCCGTTCAGCCGGGTCAGCCGCGAACAAGCGCTCTTAGAGAAGGCGTAGGCGGTCCGGCGACGCGAGAAGCGGCAGAACGTATCGTGCGAGACCGTCTCGATGGCGGCGAAGGCGGGCGCGCCCCTATTCTAGGGAACTCGAAGGAAGGAGATAAGTTAGGAAAGTTCTACTTCGAGGAGAAGAAGTAGGATTAGACGTAGGGATATTTCGTTACCAATTACGTGGGCTGGATTCCCTGATTTTGTTATATTGCTCTATTTGTCTTGTTATCACCACCTATGCCATGGAGTTTTATCGGCGTATTAAAGGGGAAATCACCGAATCGACCTAGGTAAGACAGAATGGTGGAAGGTAGAGAGGATGGATCAACTTTGCCTAGTTGTCTCACAAAGGAGACATACACACCGTAGATGAGTGTGTACTAGACTGAGGAGGAAAAAGCCAACATGGATGGATGAACACTCTTGATTAGGGCCAAGTCCCATATCTTGTATGTTATTTAAGTGTTTACTACAGGCGCGTAGTTGCGTCTTCAACGCAGATTTACTTTTCGATACTATTCGAGGTCAACCATCTTTTTACTTGCACGCCTTCTCTATGCAGTGCTGTCTCTAAGGCCAGTGGCTTTATGAATCTATCACATCACATCCTCTGTCTACTTTGATTTTTTGATCATATTTAAGTCATTCCTGTAAATTAATAGAGATAAATAGGTACCTATATCCTGTCCTAATAACGTCACTTCCACCTCCTTATACAATTGTAATATTAACAATCTTCGATAAGTCTATAGAAATATGTCTCGTATCGAAGTTACCAGTTGCATTAAAATCCTCTCCATCCATGGCCCCGTGAAAATAGCAGTCGCCAATAAACTCATACGTCGACGGTTCTTCGTCGACCTGAGCAGCAGGTCCCGAGCCGCTTTCTTCCCCAGTCTCTTCTGCCTGCTGAGACTTAGGCCGTAAGACATACGGGAAGAACCCGCCAATAGCAGCTACGATAATGTCTCCTTCCCGCGTGCCGCTATCCGTGCGTTGGTCGGGGATCTGCCCTGGCACGTCGCCTCTTATAGCCCGGGCAAGTATGGGCGCGGTTTCTGGGGACCGCTGGTTCATGTACTCTTGGAATCCTTGCATCAAAAGATTCTGGAGGGGGTCGTTCATCAACTGACCGAGATCCCCTCTCACGCCCCTTTCCGCATCCTGCGGTTCTTTGCCTACTAAGTTGTTGTCGGCGGCTACCACGTCCTCGATAGCAGTCATACCGAACCTGCCGTTCGCAGTCCTAAAGAACCGGCGTCCACACGCATTGCTCAGTAATAAGTCTTCAAAGGGCTTGGCGTTGCCGCAGCGAGGTACCAGTGCCATTAGCTCGGGCGAGCTTTGTATGCGCACCGCATTTTCGGGCGTCTGCAAGTCGACCATGGTGCAGTCTAGAGCTTTTAATATGCTTTCCTCAGCTATTAAGCTGTCGAAGTGCACTCCTAGAGAAGATGGCGGCGGTATTATATCCCGCACGGTTGCGCCTATCTTATCACTCGCATTGAGGAGGATCGCGCGCCAGAAACGCTCAGTTCTTTGCGCAAGTGTTTCGTTGTTGGATGTTTCCGGCGGGAGGTTGTTGAATTCGGTGAAGCACAGACGCCGGAAGTTGCCCCCGTTGAATACTACGGGCGAGACGTGCACGATGCGATCTAGCGGTCGTACTTGAAGATGCAAGGCATCATCTTCGGCGGATACGATGATAGGTTTCCTGAAGCGGCGAGGGACAGCTTCCCACCAGACACGCATGCCCAGATTGTGCTTGAAAAAACCGTCGCTTCTGCATTGAGGCGGCGGAGCGCTGAAATCGGGAACCCAACTCGGCAGTCCCTTTAATCGTTTTGTACATGGTGGGCGTTCGCTATACCATAGCATAAGATCCTGGCGCTCTAATATGGAGTAACGAGCAACCTCGGTGAATACCTGCTGTGCGGTCTTGGAACGGTCGATCTTTGGTAAAGGTTGTGCACCAGCTCCATGATATCTAGTGCGTCCGGACGGCGTCGCAACATGTAGCATCGAGAAGACGTTTTCCCTCGGGTCTTTGAAATCGCAACCTCGAGCAGTCTGAACCATAGGTAACAACTCGATAGCCTCGCCCAGCCGCTTCTTACGTGCAGCGATCTCGGTCTCGTTGGAGATTTGGAAACCCTTTAAAACATGAGGCAGTAACGGGACCTGGAAGAACTTGACCTGGAAATAGGGCATAGCACGAGTAGCGGCGATGTAGGCATCCCAGGAGATGTTGCTTCGGCCACAGATGACGATAGGCGCCTTCGCAAGCACGATGTCGGCTATAGATTGTACAGAACACCAGTACTTGGAACCAAAAATATCGTAAATATTATCCCAGTGGCGAAAGTTGAAGGAATCCAGGTCGTTATAGGGACAGCTAAAAAGACGATCCCTAATTTCGGTCATTTGCCGCGGTGTCGCTTGAGATAGCCTCATATCACGTCCAATTCCAACCTGCTGACAGGCTTCCGAGAAGCGACGCGCCATCTCGTGAATGGTTTGAAAAGCCTTGGTTGTAGATTCCCCATTGTCTGGACCCAGCCAACATAACGTTCGCTCTGCGTTGCCCAATATGAATCGCTGCACATCGGCTTGGGCACTGCGCTCTTCGGCAGTGCGGCTTACAAGGACGTCGGCCCATACGGTACGTTGCCTCTCTTTGCGTCTAAATATACGCAACGCACTTTCGAGGTGATGAGGAATATCCTGATCCTGTCCATCGATTGAGATGGTCATCATTTTGTCAGCAGGAGGCGGCGGCGGGGCACACTTTCGCGTGGGCACGGCCGTAACGCCTGAACGATCATAAGAGATACATTCATACGAGGTGTCTTTCAAGGTTGCCTCCGTGAGAGTGAGTTTAATAGGAGCATCCCAATCAACAGCCGGCTGTATAATAGCAAGCTTTGCCTTTATATCACGAGGGTCTAACATCGTTGCGAATGGGTTGTTAATGTTATTAGTAGCCATGATGTGAGATGCTCGCGTGAATATTGATCTAGGGATGATGAAGGTTCTTGTAGCATTGCCAAAAACTCTGGATAATATATATCCAGAGTTATACATTCTTTGAGATAGACATGGTTGCCTACTAACTGCCTAATTTTTGAAGAAGTGGTTTGTTTAGAGGATTCACGTGAATATCCTGCCTAATAAATTTCTTGACCTCCTAACAAGATATTAGCTGGGCTGTTGGGTTATTGGTGTATTTGCATCTACGCCGCAATTGGCTAACTAAACTTGGCCTGTAGCCTAGACCAACCCATTCTAAATTCATATCTCGCTAATATTGTTGTTATTACTTTGAGTAGTAAGTTGCGAAGGCATAAACTTGATTGGCTTGACTGCTTGATTCATTCGCATAATAACTTTCGTTAATAAGATAGAGACAGCTCGCCTCTTTTTCAACCTTTTGAAATTGTTACCAGAAAACCCCGAGCTTCCCGACCCCTATTTTCTTATGAACGGAGGCCTTAAAACGCCCCACCAAATCGAACAACTATCCGTAGCGCGTAACTAAATACCGATCTCTACAGCTACTGTGGTACGCTAAGCCGAAAGACCGTTTGAAGCCATACAAACGCGAAAACCGACCCATTATTACGAATTAAAAAACTCGTCATGAAATCTCAATTTCCATGCTCTCTAAAAACTATATAATTACTATTAATATACGGGTATACCACTTAAGCATGAATGGCTACTTGGACCTGAGGGTAGACTTGAACCATCGACTGATATAATTCAGGATGATTCTGCATCAACACTTGCGGCTCCCACGCGGTCGCCACGAATATCGTATCGATACCGCTGCTTATCGGCGTAGTGAAGATGTTGCAGATCTGTAACCCGATGAGAAACGCAAAAGCCACCACAACTATTTATACCAAGTTAGTATATATTCAAGAGCGATGCTATATCAGCCGTATGACTTACCAGGTGTATATGAGCCGTCAGCATTGTATGATGGATGCGTGAATACCTGATACTGTGAGCAAATAATATTATATAACTAACCAGCTTCAAGAAGACATCTTACAAGATATAGATAGGCAAGCAAGCTGGTCGCATAGCCTACAAATGTCGCACCCATTGAAAGGACTGGGCCTATGAGACATTCGTTAATAAGAGCATCGATACCGCGCTGCTTAATCATGTTCCATGTGTCCTTCGCAGAGGCGAAGTAAGACTTCCCGTACAAGGCAATATAGGAAAAAGCATAGCGATTGAGGAACTGGACCGCCCAATCAAGGATCCCAATAATACATCCAAGAATCCAGAACATGATAGTTCCGAGAATGTTGCCTTGACCAGCCTCGCTCTGCCGAGCAACAGAGCAAAGTTGTCTTAGAAAATTGAGGATAGCGACGAGTAAGGAGCCTAGGGATATAGAACCGAAGCTATATGTAAGTGCACGTTTAAGGCTACCTCGGGTTGCGCCTTTAGGGAGGTTATATGGGTGAAAGTACCAAGACCCGTAAACTCCCGAGATAGTGGTATGGATGGTATTTTTTAACCACTCCGAAATCCAGTACATCGCAAACGTAATGAAAACAAGCAAGCCGGTGACCTTAGCAGTGCTGCAGCCGCCGGCTCCCTTTGCGCAAGCGGGGTTTTGACCGGGTGAGAATTTCGCATACACGGCGACGAAGGTCACAGAGTACCATGCAGCGAGAGCAGTCGCGCAAAGACCACCCAATGCGCTAACTAGATAAACATGCCCGTAACTCTTGGAGACATCAACAGCCGTCTTGAGCATCAGAGCGCTAAATGGGATACGCGGGATCCAAGTCTAAATGAACCGATAAGTAAAATATAGCTAAGGGTAGTGACGGCTAACTTACGATAAAGGCGAAGATGAGGAATGCCACGAAGATCAGGTATACTATGCCGCCGGAGTAATAGTGCCGGGAAAGCATGTATATAGCAGTCACGAGGCCGAAGACGATATTGAGAATACCACTATATTTACCTGTGTTAGTTTCATATCCCTTTTTGCAGCTTCAAGTGCTGATACTTACGTTATCCAGATGAACTGCTTAGGGAATTGGCGGGCTAATAGTACATATAGGTAACTGAAGACTGTGGCGACACAAAGACAAAAGACGAATAGAATAAGTGTATTCGTATTAAGGCCGACGCTCGACCCGGAGTCATAAATTCCATTGCCTTGGAAATTTTTTGCGGAAGCTATCGTTTAATTAGTCCAGAGGAATTGCAGCAGCGGTGGGTATCACAGGAGGATGATATTTACTAACCGTAGCCATTGATAGAAATCCCGGACACAGCAACATAACCCGCGACGACAATGAGGAACTAGGAAGTAATAATTAGAGATGCGTTAGGTAGGGTATTCGAGGTAGAATGTTACACACGAGAATGCCGGCCCAGATGTCATTGTATTTGGGACGCTCAACCTTGAAGGCTTGGTCGAACATGGGCTTCTCGCTACCATAACCATTCACTGGGTTCGAACCCGGAGCTGGGGGTCCCTGTTGAGCATATTGAGGCTGCTGGTACTGATTAGGCGGCTGTTGTGTATTGTAGTAGTAAGAAGCAGCCTCGCCGCGCTCTTGATTGTTCGCCATCATAAGATGCGACGTTCAGTCTATCGCCTAGGCAGCTATAATCCAATTACAACGTATCAGTTTAACAGTCTACCGGAAAGAAACAACTTCTCCAGAAGTAAAGCTGTTGTCGGCGTCGGAGCAAAAAAGGTCAAAGAAATGTAGGTAGTCGTAGGAATGAGAATGCCGGATATCCAGAAAAGGAGGTACCTAGGTACCTAGGTAATAGATAAACCTAAGATTGACATCACAAGCGCACTAGTATAAAGCTTGTGAAAGCTCATTTCAGTAGTGCCAAGATAGTAACAGCTAGTTTTCATTTTTAAACTCTAGAATGTAACTGGACTTTTTTCCGTTTCTTCACAAGTTCAATTTTACAATATTTCATTGGTGCCTTACTGAGTCAATGGCGTCACTAACATCCCACCAAAACTGAAGAGATGCAGAAACGCGAAACAATAGTACAACTTAGTTTTATTTTATTTTTTATTTATTTTTTTAATAATTTATGACAACCTATGAAGGGAATATTAATATATCTACATTAATTCCAAAGGTCCAACTTTTACCTCCCAGCTCAAACAATTTTCCCATATCATCCCCCCGTGCTTGAGCGTGCTAGACTCAGTATCGCATCCGTCTACAGCTCCCATTAGGTTCTTCTCACACACATCCGAGTTGAGTCAGAACCTAAACTCATGTTCTAGATTCGAATCTCTGGGACATGCCTTATCCTCCTCCTGGACGGAGATCGTAACAATGGCATCGTCCGTTTTATCGCCGTCGTTAGTATACCTCTTAATTTCACCATTGTAATAGCTCTGTCGTATACCTTCCCAATACTCTATCTCCTCGCAGATATACTTAATTTTAGACAGGACATCCTTCCGATCGAACTGAAATTCAGAGTCTGTGTAGCACGTCGTCTGTGGTGGGGCTACCGTAGGCATAGAGCGGGTATATAGCCAAATCGAAATAGTTTCTAGTTGTGTTGAGCTACTAATCGTAGCGGTAGAGGTCGGATATGGGCTACTAGCCAGCGATGAGGTTGTCAACACGCTCCCTCCTGTTTGGCTATGTTGTATAGAACTTGAGCTGGTGCTAACGATAGGTGTCCTAGATTCTGTCAAACCGGCTGGGGAAGATCCAGTGCTATACGTTGAGGAAGAATTTGAAATTCTTGAGGACTGAATAGGTAACCCACAGGCTTGGAATGATGTGTCCCGCCTGTGGTTGCAATCCCAATTCCATGAGAGTGTCATATCCCATGCCTCTGGGCCAAGTTCTTTGTAGCAACTCCATTTGGTTTTTATTTCATGCCACTCTTTTGCATCCAACTCATTAGCCTCAGTCTCGTGGTTAATGAGGGTTTGCATTTTAGACGTGATATCCTCAATAAGTCTATTCGCGTAGCCCTTAACTTCCCCTCTTGAAGTTTCTGGAGAGTCGGCTACCTTATTGTTCATGAAATCTTTGAATTGTTCCGCAAAGAAATCGCCCCGCTAGAAGTAAGAAACTTCGGGATATTTTGTTCTAAGAGCTTCGTCTAATTGTTGTCTAGAATAGGGAGTGTAAGCATTCTGTTATAATAGGATACTAAAGATGTAAATAAAAATAATCCTTAACTCAAAACATACGTTAGCTTATAAAGTCGATTGTTTGTTTTATCAGTCAATGACTTGTTTTCTTCTAGATTTTTCATGTAGACCCCAAGACGAATTCTCTCGAGTTGGTTAATTTTTTCCTTCATGCTCTGCAACGAGTTTTTAAGCAATGATTGTTTGGAATCTATAACACCCAAACTGATTATACGGGATATCTTGCGTAGATGGGTACTTGGATTTGACACAGCTCCCTGTAGTGTATTAAAGATAAGCATGCTGAAATTTCAATTTGAGCAATTAATAAAGAGATTTAGTAGAAATATACCTTAAAGAAATCGTTCAGATTAGATGTCATTCCAATAAACTCCATTTGGCCAGGTTTATCGGAGGGAAGCCCGCTGAAGATGTTGGAAAGCAGATTTACCTCGCCGGAATCGAAAATATATTCATTAAACTCGTCACATGTCAATTTACCATCACCTACGTTGTTGACTTTGGAAGTGTCGGACGGTGCATCTTTGCTTATGGTAGTCTCGAAGAATTCCGTAAGCCACCCCTTTTCCCATGAATGATTCATTGAGGCTCCGTCGCGAGGTTGATTCGTTCTTTGGTCGCCATTTTTATATTCTTCTACGGCAACCTTTGTGACAACAGGTGTACAGGCATATTCGTCTATTGTGGTTGAATACCATCGAGGGACAGATATACTTGCATCCTTCGCTGGCCCATCCTCCTGTTGCTTGAAACCATCTCTGTCATCTTTCCAGAATTTCACGCCAGCAGGATACGTTGGTATAGCCACTTGTGTTTCCTTTGGTGTAGTTGGCTTGCATTTACCAAACATTGCTATTGTTCTTTTACTTGCCCGCTTTGCAAGATTTCTCTTGTCTGGTATATTTTCGTCCTTCGGATCGACATCATAATTTGGACATGATAATTTACAATCATCTGCCCGGCGTCCAACCCCGGTGAGACCTGTAATGCATGGAGTAGTTGACGTTGTCGTAATGGTCGTACCGGTGACATCGCAACCAATTGTTGTTTGTGAGCAAACTGTCGTAAAACAAGTTATGGATGAATTGGATGGATCTCCCGTAGTCGGCGTGCAAGTAATGGCACAATCGCTTGCAGTCTTGGTTTTAGTACAAGTACTTTGACTTTCTGTGCTCGTATCTCTTTTAGTAGAGCTTGGATTATTATCCGAGTCTCCATCGTCTCCTGCGTTTGTTTCTGGTCCCTGACAATTCCCAGCCGAAACACCGAGGACCTGAATGCAAGGACGCTGAAATTTTGGAAGAGATGGAAGATCCGGGAAGTCGAATTCAACACCGGTAATTTCTGGTAAGTTCCATATAACTATGCCACTTCGGTCACCGCCACAGCCAGGGCATCCAACCAGTACAGGAACGACCGTTGAGTTGGTATCACTACCTATTGTCGTAATCCAGGTGTTGGCTGTTAACTGTGAGTTGGTAATGGTTTCAATGTTTAGCCCAGGGGGTGTGATTGTCATTGTTGAAATTGGCTGGGGGATCGTCGTAGACGATGATGGTGGTGTTAAAGGTGATGAAGACGAATCAGTTTGTGAATGTGTCTGTGAGGACTCCCAGCTGGTACTTGTTGGAGTGTTAATGCTCGGGATATCATTACCGGGGGTGGAACTGTAGGATTATGAACTGCCACTGGGGGGATTGATACTGCTCGGACTGCTAATAGTAGACCTGACAGTATTGAAATTAAAGCTACTGGAGCTTCTATCGCTAGATCTGGTGCTGAAACGACTGGTACTATTAGACCATAGTGCAGTAGGGTTGGACATTGTGCTCTGTGTAGATGTAGAACTGGGAAGAATACCCGAACTCGAGGCTGTTTGTTTAATTGGGTAGAAGTAGCTGGCCATGTTTGGTTGGCGAGTGCTTTTAAGTGCACCCTTAATTTTGGATGATCGTAAGATATGAAAGCTTCTGCTCTGGAGCAAAAGCCTACGATATGAAGAGCGTAGGTAATGATGATAATATTAAATTTCATTGTAATAGGTACGCTTCAATATAAATATGATAGCCATACGAATATTCACGGACGTTTCGGTGTCAGGTCTTGTATATCTGTGGTGCCATTTAAGACTCTGACTGCCCCGAACTATCTATCTTATATACTATAATGAAGCTACACTGGGTTTCATGCCATTGGGAATATAGGGGTAGCATACAGCGTTTTGTCGGTCTTTAAAGTACAGAGAATGAAATCTGGATGCTAAAAATAAACTTGGGGTCTTGAAATCAACCTGCAGCTCGAGTGTATGCTGGCACCTTTAGCAATAAGCCAATTTGTTTCGAGCAAATTTAATATGAATGCTGATTGTAGTACTGTGCAACATACTCCTTGAAGATCATAGCCCGGTAGCATTTTCATTATATTAATCAGGCATATACCGACTCCGCCTACCGCTTCAGCCTTCGGCCACTATCTGCTTGGGTTACGAAGATTGTAAGACAACTCATATATCGAGAACAGGTATTCGGCAACAGGGCCAGAGTAATATAAATAGTTGGATTTTAAAAGGGGTACATGAAATATAGCTGTACTAGATATACTTGAAATTTAACCACGTGTGAATAATAAATCTATGACATGCGGGATTTGGGGTCGATGTGTACGAAATTATCTATATACCACAGCTTAAACTATGATGATTTTTCTCTTCAGCTTGCTAAATCTAATCCTGGTTGCTATATTAAGTTAGATATGAGCGTTGAGGCGCTAAGCATATGTCTCCGTCCGGTAGCTTTTGGTAGATCTCTGTGGATTTCAATATCTGTTGCACTTGTTCATGCGTGTAGTTTACTATTTTTAACCTGACAACGGATGACACTCTACATTGTTGGGTATACATTGGTCTGAGTATCTACATTGAAGTATGATGAATAAACCCCTAGAAAGTTCTGGCGAATTTCGTAATTCAAACCACCTCGTACGACATCTATAGCTATCTAGATCATAATAGAACGTATGTTCTATACTCATACTTTGTAAGGGGTAAGAAGTCATCACCCCAACTCAGCGCTTGTACCACTGAGCGCGAGCATCTGACTTCACACAATCAAGCAATCGATCTTGAAACCCTGCAATTTCATTAGCCAGTGATTGTTGACCTTCTGGTCCAGCGTGCTGATTAATTTTCCGCCTGGAGCACTTTCATCTGTCTCAATCTCAGCTGCTAGTGAACTATCTCTCATCCGCCATATTTCCACCAGCGTTTCCATCGTTGATGTTAGCATCCCCCAAGGACAGACGTCCCTCATATCATGTAGCCGATCTATCACCCACGTCCTACGAGACTCATCCGCCGTTTCGACACCGGTAAGGAATATAGGCCAGGTAGCAAATTTAAATAGGGGCGTATGAGATGGGATGAAGGAAAGGTGATATAGAATTGTGGTAGCTAGGTCAGCAGTACTAGACAGGGCAGGAAAGCTTTTGCCCCCGCGGTGAAGGCTTTGGTGTGGTAGTTCTGGAGCAACTAGGAGGATATACAGGAAGACAGCGGCGCGGTAAGTGGCAGCGATGTGTCTTCGATAGTGTAGTTCGATCTCGTCTGCGTAACCGATAACTGCTGCAATCTGCGCACAGACTTTAACAGCCCAAGCGTCACCATCAAAAGCTTGAACCTCATCTAAAAGCGAAAGACAAGACTGCATCTGCTCGTCATTCAAAACACTAGTCTTATTCGATCTTATATTCCTCGCTAACTGCGATATTCGATAAATGGCGTAAAATAAACTGGAAGGGCAGCTATGATAACTGTTGGCCTCGGTGCGGAGAAGGATATGAAAGATTTCAATGTCATCCCCATCAAATGCCGAGGGTACCGTTATGAAGCTATTGCAAGGTGATACGAGGGAATCAAGTGCACTACTCCAGATATAATAAGCTATAGAGTCTGAAGCAATATAATCACGAATGCTTAGGGACTGGGAAGGCGTCGCAGGGCGATGCGCGAATGGTAGTGGAATAAGCGCATCATGAACTGTGAAATCTAGATTAGAGCTAGGATCTTCTTCTAGCTTTGGTCCTAATTCTATTAGGTTTGAAGAGCTAGATGTTTGCATGCGAAGGAGTGTACCGACGAAGTTCATGTGGGCTCGCCAGCCACCCTTCCCCGAATCAACCAGCGCAAAGTTGACGAAAAAGAGCACGGCAGCGAGAAGTGCGTCTCTACCTGCATCATCGTTCTGAATATCGCTTAAGGCCTTATGATTCCCAATGACATCTTGTAGAGATTTAATAGCCCTATGCCGTGAATGTAAGGCGTCTACTAGGGAGTCGGCTGCATGCCATGGGCTTTTGTGCCATCGCGCACCATTGCAGAAGTGCAAGGCCGATGCCGCAATGATGATTTCCCGAAGAAAGGGATACTTGTGAGATATAGGAACTAAATCTCTGAATGGATTGGCACCACGGCGGGGTGAATCATAAATAATGAGATCTTGACAGAAACGGGTAGTGTCTAGATATCATTAGGCCGGCGGTGAACAGCAAACAGCAGTGGGGATAAGTTGGAATGGGACTTACAATAATGAAGATAATGTCGAGATGATATGTTTAAGTCTTGGAACAGTGGATCTAGCAATGCGAAATTGGGAGAACAGAGTCTAGCATGTTGAGGAGATATCACACATTGTTCATCGTATACCGGATTGTCCGGTTGGGACTTGACATGCTCCCGAGTTTTAGGGGTGGAATAGACTGAAGAATTTGCCGATATTCGGTCTCCCGGTATCTTATTATCAACCCATTTATACAGCTTTCCGTATCCAAGACATCTTTGTCCAGTGCTCGTACATTTATGGCACACGGGAACAGATCGATCGCATCGTAAGCGTCGGCTCCGGCAGTTATGGCAAGCCTTTGGCGCAACCATGAGGTATGATTAGGCGCCGAAGCCGTAAAAGATATGTGAGTGACTGTACCTAGAGTAATAATAATTGTTTAAATGAATAACGGGAGCTACCAAATCATGGGTATTAGGCCTGACTGGGATCTGTAGCTTGCTTCAAGGTTTAAGTGTTGATAGTCTTGAATAACAGTCTCTCGTTGATCTTATCAACTCACATGTATGTGCTTAGTGCCTGACACTGTCTTGCTGAGAAATCAGAGATCTGAAAATGGACTCTTGATGACTTTCCGGAGTTATGTAATAAAGCGAATAAGAAACCGACGATGTTTGGTCAATGAAGAATATTTGGGTATTTTATTACAACATAATTTGTAAAAAGTTGGTTAGTAGGTGGAGTCAACGGGGGCGACGTTTAAGCTTTGGCATCATGTACAGTTTGTTTAACCTATTTGCCTATGCCGTAAAGGGTAGCCAAGACTCAAGTTGTGCATCGTTGGATCCAGTATAATATTCTCTTAGTTTCTTCTTTACTAATATTAACCAATCACAAGTTTCAATACCCCGGAAATGGTACCCAGAGTTCTTGTTAACATCCACACTCTCAATTGCATAATTTGATGGGATTCCCAATATGGTGGCCAAGATTCACCTCCCGCAGTTTCGACGTTGACACTAACAAGACGGTGACTAAGTCTTTATAAGTCTTTCCTTAGGTGACCGCTATATAAACACTTAAAAAATGTCTCTTCTGCTAGTATTTGGTAATGGCATTCGGTAGAATCAGTTCAAGAGATTCTCTCCCTAACTTAACTTAACTCTTTTCAACTCGCTCAATATCGGTCAAGCTAATCTAATAGAACCGTTGCCCTCAACATAGTATGGCTGGGTCATTAGAGGTTAATAATGGGATATTCGATTCGACCCTCGAGACCCCTGAAGATGGGAACTGTGAAGCCTTGACCAAAGTCGATATCGAGCGTCTCGGTCGTCAACGACCAGAAACTCTTGCCAACTGGGCCGCCGAGGCCGGCTTCGTTTTCGCCGTGGTCGCATCGCTATGTATGAGCGAGTACTTTATCAGTGGCTTCAATATCGTCTTGCCCGCATTAGCCAACGCCTTAGATATCCCAGAGTCACAACGAACATGGCCAGCTGGCGTGATAAACTTAACCACTGCCGCCCTACTCCTGCCATTTTCTCGACTTTGTGCTATGTATGGTGGCAGAAGTGTGTTTTTAGGTGGCCACGTTTGGCTCTTGATCTGGTCTATCGTCTGTGGCTTCAGCAAAAACGCTACTATGTTGATAGTAAGCCGTGCTATGCAGGGCATAGGCGCTTCTGCGTTTCTTCCAGCGGGTCTTGCTCTCCTTGGCCAGACGTATCGGCCAGGCCCTCGCAAAAATCTTATTTTCAGCTTTTATGGTGCATCCGCCTGTGTAGGGTTCTATTTCGGTATCATTATCGGCGCCCTTACTGGACAACTAGCTGACTGGACCGTCTACTTCTGGGTCGGCTCTGGGTTCGTATTCGCTGTCATCGTTACCGGCTTCTTTACCATCCCCCGAAACCTTGGCCATAACGATCCGGACGTATGTATGGATTGGTGGGGGGTGTGTACAATTGTGCCAGGATTGGCACTTGTCGTCTACGCACTTACGGATGGCGGAAATGCGCCGGATAGCTGGCGTACGCCTTATATTTACGTAACCTTCATAGTCGGCGCCCTCTTGCTCTGCGCTGCGGTGTACGTTCAAGGCTGGGTTTCGGCACAGCCGTTACTTCCAGCTGAGATATTCCGACCGAAATATATGAAGCGTATCTCTTCCTTCATATTCTGCGGGTTCGGGGTATTTTCGATTTTCTTGTTCTATGCTAGCTTTTAGTAAGTTATTACTGACTAACTATCTATTCTGTTGGTACATACTAATTATCGGAATTAGTATCGAGGAAGTTCTTCACGCAACCCCTATACAGACTGCCGTGTGGTTTATACCACTAGCTCTAGGTGGTTTCATACTCGCAATTACAGGAGGGTTTGTTTTACACATACTTTCGGGGCATATATTACTGATCGTTTCCGGTATGGGCTATGTGCTCTGTGTATTGCTATTCCCTCTCATACCTGCGCAAGACGGTTCAAGTGGGATGTCAACCAGCCATCTTTATTGGTCTTACATATTTCCTTCGATGATATGTGGTACTATTGGCATCGACATTACATATAATGTGACTAACGTCTTTGTTACAACATCAATGGCCCGACGCCATCAAGCTACTGCTGCTGGACTCATCACGAGTCTCGGATACCTCGGTATGGCATTTTGGCTCGGTGTCTCGGAACTAGCCATCTCGACTTGGGCCCGGTATCATGCAGCAGAGAACCCCGATCTACGTGAAAAATATCAAGTTGGGTTCTGGACAGGTGTCGGGGTGGCAGGTTTCACTCTATGCTGCGCCGCGACTTCGAGGATCGGCCGAGCGTCGGCCGATTTAACAGCAGACGAGAAATATGAATTAGAGCACAACGTAGCCTAGAAAAGGGTTAAATAACGACTATATGACTAAAAATAGAGGCCAAATTAGAAGGAAATAAATATGTTAGATTGGATAGACTGGCGTTTGCGCATGGATATTTTATTTTTTTTTATTTTTTTTTAAAAAAAAGACTTAATAATCATAATGAATATTTCGATATGCAATATGCTGCTTAACTCAATAGATTCAATTTCGTCTAACCATAATTTTTACGAACTCGAATTCTCTTATCGGCTAACCTAAGCCTCTCCCCCTCCATGTGGTCTTCGGTGCTCTTCGTGATAACATCTAATGATTCTCTTGTCAACTACGTACTTATCTCTTTACATTTACCCATATCTCCTACATTCTGATTGATGAGATTGGTAATATGGATAATGTAAATGACGATCTAGGCGCCCCAATATCAGAGACGCGTCGTCGTGTGTATCCGAAATCGTCTATCGCGCCGCTTCTGGTTTTGTTGCTATTAGTTAATCTTGGGACTACACTTTATCAACTACCGCTAAATCGGGTCATTGAAAAGCGTCTCTGTCGGGAATATTATATCATCCATGACCCCTCTATGATCGATCCTGATGGAAACATCAGCGAAAAGCGTTGCAAGGAGAATGCTATCCAACAGAGCCTAGCTTGGACAATTGGGACTATGGAAACTTTATGGATTGTCGGAGGCGAGTTAAATACAGTAGATTATTCCGGTATAAACGACTAATACATAAGATAGATTTCGTTATGACTATTCCTTTGGGGTTTGTAGCTGAGAAGTACGGCCGAAGGACTGTGCTCTGGCTCAACCTTATACCGAGGCTCTTCATGCTTGCATGGGCTGTGGTAGTCGGCTATTTTGAAGAGAGCCTGCCTCTAAAAGCCATTGTTGCTGGCCCAAGTCTTTCCGTCTTTGGCGGTGACTGCGTTTTTAATTCCATCATATACGCTCTAGCAGCCGGTTTAACAGAAGACAATGTCGTTAGGTATGAGTTCTACGAATATATAGATCCCCACCGAAGTACTGATATTGGGAATGTAGAGCAACTTATTTCAGCTGGATTAACGCTGTATCATATGTAGTCACATTTGTTGGGCCCGGACTTGCTGGAGCAACGATGACCTTGAACCTGTTCCTACCATTTTTAATCGGTATCTGCCTATTACTATTGGCCATTCCCACAGTATCATTTCTAGTAGACCCGGCGCATATCCCAACAGCATCAGAAGATGAGCAACGGCAGCCTCTCATATCGTCACCTATATTGAAGGCTCAAGAAACAGATACATCCATCCTAAAACCCGTTATTGAGCGCATTCGTACTCTCTATTACATTGTCAAAAGTCACCCAATGAACCTCATTCTCTTACTAGTTGGCTTTTTCCTCACTTCCCTTGCAAGCTCCGACACCAAGCTTTTACCCCAATATATATCGAAGAGATACGATTGGGATTTTGCTAAAGCCGGCTACCTCTTATCCGCGAAGGCTATCGTAAATTTTACTCTCCTCACCTTTGTAATCCCGGGCATTCTGAAGTCTAAAGCCTCTGTTAATCAGCCCCAATCTCAGTCTCTTTCCGACAAAGACAATGTTCGCTATGCTCGAGTCTGCTTAGTCGTCTCTGTCCTAGGTGCATTGGCTATTTCTTCTGCAGTTACAATTTGGCTCTTATTTCCATCTCTTCTATTATACGCTCTCGGATCTGCATTGCCCGTCTTTACCATGGGTTTGTTGAAATCTCGATCGGTATCGCCTAAGGATGACGACCAGCCAACAAACCCAACCGAACCAGAAACGCACATATTCTCTATCGTCATGATGGTAAAAACTCTTGGTTCTCTGGTAGGGGCACCTTTAATGGCAACATTATGGGTTCGAGGTATTGCGACGGGCGTTCTAGGTATCCCTTATTTAGTGAGCGCAGCTTTGTACATTGCCGCAATTGTCGTATTTGCTAGTATCAAAGTCATATGAATATGGCAATACAGTGAATAAAAGGAGCGCAATGCCTATATATTAAGCAACCTAGGAACAGGAATAACAGCTCAAGAAAGCGTACTATATCAAGGATTGTCTGACTTCCACTTCAGGGTGTGTGACAAGCTCAAAAATTCCAGCATCATAATAGGCCATTCACTCTACAACTCGGATTCCACCGACCCCTATACCCACAAAGGACGATCTATTAATTATTAATCGTTAGTCCATATGCTAAGCACAGTTATAATATATTTAACACATCATGTGAAGTATTTTATCTTATCTTACCTATATAGGATATCCGAGCTTTCGAATCACTTCCAAGATTTCAATAATAGATGCTGGTTCGACCGGATCTTCCCATGGTCCGCCGTTTTGCGCCATATACTCCTTTGTTTGCCAGTACTGCAATGGACTTTGTTCGGATATCATATACACCTCACCGCCAATCCTACGGACGTAAGAGCCATCCTGATTTATTGATGGAAGCCATATTGCAGAATCTCTAAGGTTTCCCTCTTTAGTCCATGGCAGCTCGACACACATCTCCCTAGCCGGTATGTATTTTGGCTGTCGCTGTTGCGTCCCGGCTATTGGAAGTTGATCACCAACGAATACCTCCTCCAGAAGCTGCCATATGCGCCGACGATTGTGTAAACCTTTAGGGACATGTTTCAGGACATTGTGGTAACCAGTACAGGCCCATATGTCTTCATCGTATTGGAACTCTCCGCGAGTGGGGCCGGGTGCAAAGACATCAATATGGGTTGGAACATCGAGACGAATACCCCCATCCACGCCGCAAGTTAACTGCCGGACGAGGAGCTCCCAATTCCATTCGAAGCCCTGGCCTCCCGGGCAAGGCTCGTTTGCTTTGCAATCTATTTTTTGAGTGTCTATATCCCATAGCCAAGGCAGAAGCCCCTTACTGGCTAGCATGAGCTCATTCTTCCAAAAATGCTGCGGCAACACATTACTTATTTTAAGAGACAAGTCCCTAAAGGACCGCACGTACGAGAGGATGATCTGAAAAATATCCTCAGGTAGAGCCATAAGCCGGGTTTTGAGGTTATGAGCCTCATCTTCAGCTACGTCACGTCGGACCGGTTCCAAATTAGAGAGAAGCGTATCAGTGATATTATCAATATTAATTGGATCACTTAAGAATGTCTGATAACGGTATTCTTATGAGCAAGTGGACTTTGGTCACCTATAGGCGGGAAGTGTAACTTACATATAAAAGATTGAATGGTGCATCTTGTGTCGGTCCGGGCCACTGGGCTTTATTGTGTTTTTTATCATAATAATCGAAAAAATAACCACCTTCCCAGAAATAGTCATTCGGTCGGTACCAGTAAGTTGGCCCAAGCGTATAATTCGCAGTTTCGCTCGCCGCGCCAAATATATTCGAAACAGCATGTCTCCAGCGCAGGGCAAGGAACAAGCTGCGCATGCTACAAATATACCTATTCGAGGAGTTTTCTATAACATTTCTAGCCATATTAAGACAGGTAGAATGTATGGGTATGTACGAGCGCTCGTCGAAAGTTTCAAAGTCCCAATTGTGGGTGTTTACTTCACGCTGAGTTCCATCTGGTTCGAAGAGGATAAAGCATGGTCCGCCAAGATGTTTTGCCTTGTACTCGCTAATTTCTGATTGTTTGGCGAAGGGCTGAAGTAGAGATAAGGATGATGGGTGAGTTTGAGGATGCGAAACGCCCTGATCACTGAGATTTTGATAAGTAAAGGATGGTATAAGTTGGCCCATTTCATCATCCGGGTCGCAGAGCAATGTAACGTCGCCTAGCCATAGCTCATCTCTTTCCAACATTGCGATAGCATCTTCGTCATCAAATTCTGGTGGAAGAGGGGCACCTAGTCCTTCTACGGTCCAACCGTTATCACGGAGGGGAAGCCCACAGACAGGACATTCATATTCTTGGTCGCTCCAAGCGTTTCTCTCCATTACCCCAAAGGTGGAAGCAAAAGACTTCTGGCTTTATATGAACTGTGTTTAATTTCTAATAGTGTTAATAGTTGATGTTGAAATTTGGAAGAGTTTCCATTGATCGCACTTTTCTAAGAAATTGAGGGGTAATCATCAGGTATATAAGTACCTGAGGTCCTAAGGTGTAAGATATCATAAAACAAGGGTTATGCTAATAGGTACAGATTACCGTAAAATAACATAGTTCCTATTCTACTTCATAACTTTTTCAGAACACTCGTAATTTGAAGGTACCAACATTCCAGGCTATTATTGAAGTCCCTTAGGTAGGTATTCGAGGCCTATCGCCTTAGGTAATATAAGACTCCAAAGAATGCACTTATTCTATATGGTAATCTGTCTGAAAGGGCTGACACGGTAATATGTACGTAGGTAAGTAGCATCACTTATCGTTCATTAATGCTTTGCTTTTTTTCAAGAACAACTTTATCTCTAAAACCCCAACCTCACGTTCAACCACCATCCAGACGTTTCTTCCAAATATGTCGTTTCCACTAACTACCATCAACGTTCAAATATATTTTACGTGTTTCTTCACATCACCTAAACATGATTATTATCTTCATCCTGACAACTATTCTTTACCATGTGGTGACCGCCACCCAACTTCCTATGATAGGTTCTACATTTGTATTATCGACGACCCTAACAACTTGCAGGAATAAGATTCGCCATGTACTCAACGATATACTGCCTCAAGTCGACGCAATTCGGAAGACTGGAGGAGCGGCGGGTATGTCCATCGGAGTCATGTATCAAGGCGAGGTTATTTTAGAGCATAACTTTGGGTTTGCGAACCTAGAAGCAAAAGAAGTTGCAAACTCGAGCACGCGATATCCGCTGGGGTCTTTGACGAAAGCTTTTGTTGCTACTAATATCGCTCAACTGGTTGATGAAGATCTCCTCGCCTGGGATGAACCTCTTACTTCTTATATACCTGAACTTTCCTTCGATGCCGATGCCTCCTTAGCTAGTCGCTTGACTTTGATCGATCTCCTCTCGCATCAAACAGGACTTAGTCGCCGTGATATCATGTGGCTTGGTGCGAACGGAGAAGTCAATATCCCCAAGAATTTCACTGTTACCATATGCAATTCTCTTCCACCTACATATCCATTCCGCTCTACGTGGTTTTATAACAATTGGATGTACGCTTTGGCTGGCGAGATTATTGAACGCGTTACTGGGCTACGGTTTGGTGAAGTTCTGACTACCCGAGTTCTCAATAAAGTTGGGCTTACTCAAACAACTATAATAGAGAGGGAAATGCCACCTAATTCGACAGCTCTGCCGTACCTTGTTCTAGAAGACAAATCTCTATTAAGGGCAGCCAACTTACCTAGGGATAATAAACGGGACACTTATGTCCACCGCTGGTGGTATCCGTAGTACTGTACATGATATGCTTAAATGGGGCCACGCAGTCCTCAATCCTTTTCGCGACAAGGAAATCGTCCTAGGTGGTCTTGACACTATTCTATCTGGTCAGAGCTTCGTAAAACGGTCCTATGTTCTCGACGAGCTTTACACATTGGGCTTTATCAAAGTAACCACACCAGCGGAGTTTGGTAGGCTTGGTCTCAACCCCTTACTGGTTGACAGAATGCCGATCTTAGGGGCGAGTTCCAAGCCGCGGCAAGTCTTTTATCACAACGGAGCTATCACCGGTTATAACAACTACTTCATGTTAATCCCAGAGCTTCAAGCAGTGATATTAGTATTAACAAATTCTCTATCTCAGGGGGATACCGCAGACTGGGCTGCTCAGACGATCCTCCAGGCCGTTCTAGAAACCCCATCTCCGAGAGATCTGCTGCCTCTTGCTGAATAGGCCGCTAGTAAATGGAGATCAGCACATGAAGTTATGTCCGAAGCTCTGGAACGAAATCGTATCCCGGGAACTGAGGAGCCACCCCATAATGAGTTAATAGGCATTTACTGGCGTGAAACTAAGGCACTGTCTCTAGAGGTATTTAAAGATGATGGATCTCTCAAGTTTAATATCAATGGAAAGCCAAGTTAAGAACATATACTCTCTCACTACCATTACGACAGCTTTATATTCCTACCAACATCAGACGATCGCATTCGTCGCGGGTTGTTCCACTACTACAGCACCGAGGCTTGGGTACTACAATTTGAGAAGGTTAGCGGAGAAAAGTTGGGTAGAATCATTTGGCACATAGATGGATGGGACAATAAAGGTGAAGTTTTCATAAAATCCCGAAATTACATCGAAGAGATTAGAAATTCTAGAAATATTCACCTAAACCTTAATAAACTCCCAAGCGGTACCGTCGCCCTTCGTAGTCACTAGTTTCTGACCGTCTTCCGCGATTACCATCTTCCATAGCCAATCTCTATAATTTGTCAAAAGGAGATAACCACCATCCGGATGCCTTTGAGTGCAGAAGTACTCGTGGGATTTATGATGTCTGACTTGGGCGATGAAGGTACCGAGGCTATCATGGCCCATGAACATACTGTGTATGGGATCACAGAATCCTAACCATCCGTTCTTCTCGACGCAGATCCAGTGATAGCCACCCTGATCACCCTTGTGCGCCTCGAGCCGGAGCTCTCCGCGGACGATGGTAAGCTGCTTCCCTGAAATGGGTTCGCGTATGATAAAAGTGTGGCCTGGCCACGGTACTGTTTCTTTACGTCGTGGGAGCGGGGGTGTCGTGTGGTAGTCACTGAGAAGGTCATCTGTCGTCGTTGAATGTGTAGGGGTTGCGTCGCCCCCGACTGTCGAACTAGATGTACTCATATCTTCAGGAATTGATTCGTAGAGATCGAATTTGGTGTACATTTCCGTATGGATTGTCGAGGAGTTAGTTATGAGTTTCAATACCTAACGCAAGATTCGGAATTGAGTTCTCCCAAGCCGCTTTGAAAGAGGGGTAATTAGAGTTATCAAACGGTTGGCTTAACTATTGGAAAAAAAAAAGAAATACAAAGCTTGTGCCACTTTGGAGGCCTCGGTCGTTGCGGCCGCATGCCGTTACCACAGCCTCAGGTTGTCATATATCACCTTAGGTACTTAGCAATAGCATTCGCTTTCTAAGCCCTACGGGTTCTTGCAGAAACGGAAGGTTCCGCATAGCTGATTGATTGGTAGAGTATGGAAGTTAGGTAGGTATATCATGTATTTCGCATTCGCTTATAGGAAAGGTATCTACACACCACCCCTTTACTTATAAAATAATCCTAGTAGAGCTTTAGCTACGTAAAAGAAAGACGTCCTGACAAGTTTAGAAATACTCGAGGTGTGAAAATGTAACTAGGTACCCATACCAGCTGATAAAAGTAAAAAATACATATATTATTTGAATTGCTCCAATAATATAAGCAGAATTGATAAAGAAGTTGTTTCTGTCAAGATATACATTTGCGCGTTTCATAGAAACGCATTGCAACGGCATAACTACATATAATAGGAAGTCTAATGAAGTTCCAATGAGACGGAGCGGGAGATCCAGACGTCCCACCTGCAGTAATCCGAACTAGTTGACTTTGACCTTATTAAAGGTCCACCTTTACGGATCTTTACGAAGAAGAAAAAAATCGACACCTGTGTGATTCGAACACACGCCCCCGAAGGGAATGCCTAGTCTATTGATGTATAGCAGGGCATCGCGTTAACCACTCCGCCAAAGTGCCTCTCAATGCCTCCACAAGGTGGGGTACTCTGAATTCTGAATTAAAGTTTGGTAAATCTTATTTTATTAATACCTTTTTTGGTCCGAGCACAAACACGACCTTACAGTGGGTTTGATGCTTTATTGAATTATGCCAACATTAATTGTTGAGCTACTTTAAGTAGCAAAAAATGAATCAATAAAGCAAAATGGAACTACCATTCAACATTAGAATGATATATTTGGTAGGTATTTACTATTTCCCTAATATATTCAAATTTAAAGATAGTAACAAGAGCAAAGTAGACGATGTGTAAATGCAACCACACCCAGTACTAATTAAAAGACTCTTCTAAAACCCAGCCCTAAAGAATTCTTGATTTGAATGACAAGAATAAACTGACAATTCGTCGACCATGCAGCCACTTGAATCAACACTTCGATAAGGTAAATCATATCTATTTATTAATCACAGAGCTATTTAATACTATCCTCATATATTCGAATATTTCTAAAACCTAGCAGAACCTGATATGAGGTCCCCTTCCAAAATGTACCACAACCCACCCCGCGCCCAAAAGAAATGCAGTTTTAACAGCTATGCCGATGTCTTTGACCTTCTGAACTAACTTTTGTCCATTTGTAACAATAGGTACCGTGAGTTCGTTTGTTCTAGTTGCGACCCAGTCTCGTTTCGCCGCCTAGTATTTCTCTTCTGCCGCTCTTCTCTCTGTTCTCGTTGCCTAGTGTTTCTCTTGTGCCTCTCTTTTCTCTTTTCTCACTTCTTTCAGCCTTTCGTTGAACATCTCGGTTTCTTTATCGAGCCACGCTTGGTTGCAGTCGGCAAACCGGCGTATACCCGACCCAAGATTAAAGTCGTACATGCAGCGTTCCTTGCTTGTGAGGGTTTCGTAGGCTTCTCTTGCTTGTTGTATATTCATGTTCGCTTCTTCTTCGTCGCCCCCAAACTTATCAGGATGGTATATCATTACTTTCTCGTGATATGCCTTTTTCACGGTTTCAACCGGCGAGAACCATGGAATGTCGAGGACTTCGTAGTGGTTAAAATTAAAAGAGGTTGAACCGGTTTTGGTTAGGTACTCTCTCGCGCTCGTAGGTCCTTCCGTCTTGAGGCGATGACCAGATTCCTTCACCACAGGAGAGCCAATGCATGCGACAACATTGAAAAGAGTACAAAAAACGCAGCCGATTAGCGTAGTGATACTAATGATTCTTGGAAGCATCTCAAAAAATGACATTATTACAGAGTCGCGACGCATCTTGTCGAAGTGCGGGATGTCTAGGCACTTTTCATACAGGTTAGCTAATTATTAAGGCTGAGTCATCTAATAGCTAGGTAGTTGTAGATATATCTTAAATACCTGATGATAGCAGTATGAAAATGTAGTATTCGTCGTATCTTGTGATGAGAAGACACGGTATCAAGTGATTATAGACATCTTTATATATTGGGCATGAAGGGTCTTATACTTGGTATCCTTTTCTTTGTTGATAGACAAACACATGGTTAAACTTCAATAATCAAGTTTATCTGAGTCTTTGATATGTAACTGTAAGAGTCAAAGAACTAAAAAGAATCCTTCGGGGATTCGTCGAATAAAAAACATACCGTTCTGGCTTTGACTCAATAGGGGATATTTTCATTTCACCTTGTGATTGTATTTCTCTCTTTATTTTGTAATTCCCATGAGCCACAGCTATTGAGTTTCAAGACTGCAAAACACCAAGCCTATATCAGCCATCATCAAACGAAAATATATCATTCAGGTCACCTCGGGGGCATCAATCATATAACTTAGGCGCCTTATAAATAATTGGAATTAGCTATATTCTGTCTTATCAGCAGCTCTTATATGTATACCTAGGTAGTCTCATACATATGATCAGGAACATGTTGCTACTATATCCCGACTAGAACGGAATTTTGAAACCACCAGGAACCTGACGCGAGAAAACCCCTTTCGGATCTACATCCTTCCTCACTCTTTGTAATTTCCGCAAGCTTTCATCCCCGTAACTAGCAATAGGATCCTGCCACGGCGCTGCGTAATTTGGGTAAATGAAGGGATCATATGCGCCTAACCTTTTCGCATCGTCTTCAATCTCTTTAAATAATTTGCGTGCTGCCATCTCAACCTTCGAATCGTCCGCCTCGTTTCTCCAAAACACAGTTAACAGGGTTATGACCAGTGCATCTGACCGGTCTGAAAGTCCGAAAATATTAGACGTAGCGGATCGGGCGTAGATGGCCGGCGGTAACGGTTCTAGCGAAATGGCCCAAACAATGCCACGAACGCCTTTGATGGTCTCTATACTTTTGTCCCACTTTGAGTAAACTGCGTTGAGCATTGGGACGGTGGACTTATGGGTTATCGTGACGAATAATTGACTATTTAGCGTTAGCATGTTGTTTAAGTCTACTACATATGCTCTGGTTGTTCCAACCCTTGATACATACCGCCGTCCATTTTTCGAATACGAGCCCTGTTCTACCGCCATTTCTGCCATACTAGAAATGCGCACTTTCTCATCTATCGCAGATATTTTCATAAATGGTTCGAAAACTGGAGGATGCTCTTCGGCTTTCGTGTATTCGATGTTGGTTAAAATGAAAGTTTTGGGCCCGCCGGCGTAACCAAGATTCGTAATTAATGACGCATATTCATCATAGTATTCCGCCGAATTTAAATCAGAAAACGCTTTAAGCTGCTCATCTATGGTGTCACTAGAAGAAAGAACTCCTCCTGCCCATATAGGGCCTTGTTCGAAAGTTTGAAAGTCGATCCGAGTGACAATGCCAAAGTTATTTGAACCACCCCTGAGAGCAAACAGAAGACCGGGGTTCTCGTCAGCATTAGCGTTTACGATAGACCCATTAGCCAGCACAACTTCAAAATTCGATACCGTATCGCATGTCCAACCGTATCGCGGCGAAAAGTATGAGATTCCGCCACCTAAAGTTAATCCACCAACGCCGACTTGTGCTACACGGCTGCCAGCTACCGATATACCAAGAGGATCTAACGCTGAATAGACGTCACCCCAAAGAGTACCTACCCCCACAGAAACTGTAGACTTGTCCTCACTCACCTCAATAGTGTTAAGAGAATGTAAGTCTATTGTTACTCCACCAGCAATATTTGCCGCTCCAGCATTACCTGTGTGTCCACCAGATCGGATGGCGAATTGACAACTACTCTGCTCATAATCACCAAGTGACTCCGCTATAGAGGATAGTGAGCGAACTGCGACAGAGACATCTTCGCTTGTGGTTGGTATAACGATACATAAAGGTTCGAGATGAGATTCTTGTTGGCTATGATACGAAGAAATGGAAGAACTGTATTTTTGGTTTCCTGGAAAAGCGACTTTCTCACCGAGTGAAGCCGCTAATGATAGACACTAAGTTTTAAACCGTATTAGAATTTATTCGTTGATGTTTATGTAAGTGTCAAAACAAAGCAAGACTTACACATGGCCCGATGAAGCACTGCGGCTCTATGAAGTTGGAACTGAGAGCCCATTGGTCCATAATTGATCGGGTGCAGGCGTGAAAACGATCAGAATATCTTAGAAAATCAAAAGGGAAATCGAATCCAAGGAGGGTGTGATTGAAAGGGGGAGTAAATGGGTAAGAGTAAAAGGGGGATAGAGAGTCATCAAAAATACGAAACGCCACCAACTAAAAAATAGCAAACCTGATGCTATGTTAGATCTAATCAACTTAAGGGAATACACATCTCGATATCATCATATCTTTATATTAGCTAATAGTTGGGAAACGTCTTACTCGACAGTACTTCCTTCGAATCGAGCCATTCTGCTTTGGGACTTCTGATGTACCACTGCATGCTGTATTACTGCATGATGCATTACAAGGGATGTTCTAATTTTTGACGATGATTCGTGCGTTTGATACTATTGACGCTGTTTTGCGTCAGCGGCTCAATAATGACAGGGGCTTTAGCCGTCAGGAGACAAGCACTCAAATCACTGTCTGAACTCCGGTCAAGTGATGTGCTCAACAGGTTTAGCCCAGATAGTCTTAGTATAAAAATGATTTTCAATTGTATATAATAGTAGGTTCAACTTCTAGGCATGCAATAACCTCTTGTTGGAACTTATATCCGATGATTTACTTGCTTTGTCCTCTGATAAACCAGTACTTAGGTACTCGACCCTAACCGTAAAGATACAGAGATCTCGACCAATTATCCAAATTTCATACGAAATTTTAGGAAATGTACGGTTGAGCCCTTCCAATGACAATCTATCTAGGCCTTCGCCGTCATAGCTAAAATTGCGTCCTCAACCTCCTTAGGATGCGTCGCAACCAGGAAGTGAGCGCCACCCTCGAGGACGTTAAACTGAACGTCGCTTGAGCCCGTGAATCGCTGGAAATGCTCCTGAGCAACTACATTAGTGTAGATAGCGTCGGTCGATCCCTAGAAATGTCTCAGCAACAATTATCCCTTAAACTTGGAGCCAATAAGCGGTGAGAAAGCAAAACATACGTGTAGCCAGTGAACGGGACATTTAATATCTCCTATTCTGAGTTGCAGCCCGTCTCTGTCTGCCAAGCAGATGGCAGCCATCCGGAGCTTTTGGCGTCCCTCATCCCCTGAGTAGACGCTACGGAGGATTTCAGTCCAGAACTCGAGGGCTTGAGGGGTTCCCGCAGATCCGAAACCTAACCCAATTACAGCTTGGATCCAGTCGTCACCGACGACGAAGTTTGGGGCAGGGGTACCCCATTTCTCGAGGAACGGCTGTAGAAATGGGACTGGATCCCTAAAGCGGTTGACAATAAATATGGTTAGCGGTATGATTTTTCAACCACATCATTCAAAAGTCGAGTAAATTTCAGGACTAGAAGAGCATTGACGATAGAAATTTGGCTTACCAGCAACCCTTTTCGCGGGATTCGCTAGTTTCAGCATCCATCGACGTGCCAAGAGGAATGAGGCCCAGAATCTATCTTTTGTGAGCCGAGACAATCCACTTGTCAAGTAGCGTCCAAAATTTAGTAATTACCTACCTTCTCCGGCGCCAGTAGTGCCATTCTTATGATAATCCAACCTCCCTGGCTGGTTCCCAACGCGTAGGCCTTTTTTACACCCAAAGCCTCAAGGGCTTGCAATGCAATGAGTGCAGTATCCCAGTAGGTGAAGTGCTCTGCAGTGCAAGTTGTGGCGCCGTGGCCGAGCGGCTCGATGGCCACGAAGTTCACAGCGGCTGTCAACGCCTTATTATCTAGCTGGGCGCGATAGAACTCAACCGTAGTGCACATAGAGTTTATGAGTACCCATGTCGGCTTTGAAGGATCCAGCTTGTTATTCGATATAGCATACCCAACCTGGGCTTCCAAGTGTGGAACTTGTACTGTTTGTGTCGCGGCCATGATGTCTCTCCTTTTAAAATAATATAACTGATTCAGGGTTATTACATGTATCTTAACTTCCGTACCGAGATGTTAGGTTGAAAATGGCCTGAATTAGGTTCCCTTCGATCTTTAATACTCCCTATAGTTCAAAGAACTTAAGTCTGCTTAGTTTCCTTGTCTCCCTGGAAGGATGTTCCTTTGATCGTCCCTACCGATGGTGCGGTACACTCGGTCACTAGACCACATCGGGATAGCTACGTAACTAATGAGGGCAAGAGCCCGGGTGAAGCTCTTGGTAGTTGGAGCTATTGCTCTTTAGAGAGTTGGTATTTGGGTTACCCGTTCTTTTACTAGTCCTTCCGCCCGAGTTACGTCACGGGAGCTACTATGATACGACTATAGTATTAGTGGGCGTATCATTAATGGGGGTCCTCTTATATGCCAAGCCGAATACATAGGTATATTTCATCTACAATCCGAAAAGAGCTGCTAGGTTAGACATAAGGTAATGCACTAGAACTGCACAACTTATGTGGAAAAAACTACTCGAATAAAAGGGGCTGCTCGGACACTAGAGGCTACTTCGGTGGTAATATCACTACCATGTTGATTAAATTGAACTTGTAATCGGATGTCAGTGTCTATCTTCCAATGTATCTCGTATTTCTCTCCGGGATGAACTCGGTAGAAATAATTGGTACTGTAATTATCATTAGTGAGGCTATTCAGTGTCAGGCACGGATAGAAATGAACATTCTTTTCTTCCTATCGCACACCCTTTTCCGCCTTCAGTTCATTCTGGGCTTGTGCATTTATCTGGATAGCTTCCTGCAACTTGGCTACAACTTCAGGCTGACCACCAAACGCAGTCAAGAGCTTTTCATCAAGCTCCTTCTCTGTGGCCTCCAGGCTCTTAGCGCCGCGTTTACCGCCCCCAGCCGCGCTTATCAATGTTCCCCACCGCTGTGTAAAAGCGTAGATGCTCTGTCGCAGTAGTTCGTCCAACTTCTCGTTCGCATCTTGCTCGGGCTGAACCTGATTTCTGGCTGGTGCGGCCTTGCCATTCGCAGTAGGGGAGGCGCTAACCGCAGATGACCAGAGGCCGAGTGATAGGGAACCGCCAAGAATACCTCTGAATAGGCCCATCCAGTTTTGAGGGCTGAGAGCATCCCATATTTGGCCAAAGTGCTGCATCGCTGCTGGGTAAGATCTAACGTCGCCTATCTCGAGTGACACCAGTCCGTTCTTAAGGATGAGTAGATTCTTGATCATGAATAGATCAGGATCTGGCTCTGGATTAGCTGCCTTGTTAGACTTTAACCGAGATTCGGCACGCTGCATGGCAAGAATAGTCTCGTGAATTATTCGGAAGACAACTAAGCTGGACTAAAGGCAATAGGTTAATTTTCAACGATAACGGAAAAAAAAAAAAACAAGGGTACTACTTACGCTTCGCTCCTTCGGCATGGCTTGGTCATACATAGCCAGGAGCTCAAGGGCCCGTTTCGTAATGGGATGTACATTAGAAGACGCAACGCCATTTACGACGGGCGTTATCCTAAGAGAATCTTGGGGAATGGGGGCTTTTGAGATGGATTTCGTAACCTCGGCTTCGAAAGCAGTGTCGGTCAAGGGCCAGAGATGTTCGATGAGCAGTCGAGCAGTGAGGTCGTGGCAGTGAACGGAGTATCGAGTCTCTTCTTCGTCGTATTCCGATAGAAGGTACTCGTTTGTGATCCATCCCACAAGGTTACAAACCGATTGGAGCTCGCTTGTTTGTAAAACAGACTGCAACGTCGTTGCGATTGGGGCAATGTTTGCGGCACTGACTAATGATTTTTGTTGGGACTTTAAAGCTACGTAGGCGGACTGAGGGTCCACGTTGTACTGTGGCTCTATGGAGAAGATCTTGGAGAAAAGATTTGCTTCATCATATGATCGCTCATAGCATTGCTTAACAAAGTTGCGACATGCGGTTTCTGCGTTGACTTCCTTGACCTCTTTTCTAAATGCCTCAAGGTCATGTTGAGTCATGGGACGGAGATCACGATCTCTCACGTCTGCGTAAGACGAAAAGATGTTGACGGCAGTATTGGAATAATAATCAAAGCTCTGCCCAAGGGTTGGGTTTCCCAGTTGATCATAGCAACTACGAACAACGCGTTGGGCATTCGCCACTAACCCATCTACTTCCAGTACCATCTCCTCAAATCGACCATATGCGAGCGCATGTCTAGCAGATTCGGATTGTGTAGCAGAAATTTGCTTTGATATGTCCGATGAGATTCGATCAAGATGGCCTGTAAACCCAACTTCGAGTAAATGAAGAGCTTTAGTGAGTAGAGACTGATATCTGGCCAGATAGGACTCGGCATCCCGGTAGTCAGGCTAATACAGGTCAGTAAAGGGTGCATAGGGGAAATACGTAGGTCATGCATAAACTAACATGCTCTACCATGAATGTTATGCAAGCATCCAGATTCGTTAGGATTTCGCCAAAGCTTTCGTGGTTCACTAGACGACTAGCACCAGGAGCATTCAGCCTCCTTGTAACGCCATCTAGATATGCATAATAATGTAAGTCAGTTCCAACCCCGTCGGCAAGTTTTTGCAATCTTCTCTCTTCTGATATGAGATCGTCGCACTGGGCCTGGAAAGAGGACGTCTGCGACTCGACAGCACGAAATGAAACGGCCAAAGATGTTAGCAGATCCAGAGCACTGTTGGTATCGCCAATAAGCGTGTCTAGGTGACGTCCAGTCATCTCTAGCTGATCTTGATAAAGCCTGTTTCCCTATTAGCGACCACATCGACACCTGTTAAACACAAAGTACCGTACAAGTATTCCTGCTGGCTAGCCTCGATCAATTCGTCATCGGAAGATCTCAATTGGGTTGGTTCTTGTTTTCGGACAACCTTTTCAACCCTCTCAACCATCAACGCTTCTAAACCCATCTCTTTGGCCTTCTTGCGCCTCTTCTTTGCAGCAGCATCCTTAGAGAGTTGCGCACGAACGACATGGTAGAAATCAGAGTAAGACTTTGCCCTTCGACTTAAGGTTGCTTCGGGGGGTTCAATTATTGCCTCGGCTTCTTCAAATAATTCTTCTAGCGGCTCTACAGCATCGGACAGCTTATTTCCCTAGGCTAGCTGTTAGCATTACGTTAAGAAGACGAGTATTTAGTGTTTCAAAGATGGGACTGACATTGGGCTGTTGAAGAAGCGACTCCCTTCTTCTATGTCCTGAGGTCTGTGGGATAGAAGGGGTCCTCTTGTGAGTATGATCTGGTACGAAGTTGTACCATGAATCTTCGTACATGGTTTGTCCTTGGATGGCGCGTAGGAGTGTGGGAATATGGGAATGTGGGAATGTGAACTTGTTCTAATCGCGGCGGCTTTCCATTAACTTTGGGGGCTTGACCACCTGTAGTCTTGGTAACCGTAGCTGTCACACCCGATAAGATTAGATGTGGGAATCTACTAAATTAGGTAAGCAGCTTTTTACAAGGTATCTAACCCCTTTTAGCGCATAATAACACTTCAGACCATGAATAACCTAATAACTGACATCCAATGCTCCAGGTCCAAGATATTTCGGCCTGGTTCCTACCTGGTTCCTACCTTTATCATAGGATTCCTCGGTCTTGAATAACTATACGTGTTTCTGTGACTAGAACCATCTTAGGTACTTAATCTACATAACTAAGATCATTAGTGGTTAACTACTATAATTTTTTATTTCTATAACTAACTAGAGTTTCTAAGGGAGGTAGTTTTGTCTATTCCTACAACTTTATCACGTCTTACCGAGTTGCCTACTTTCAGTGCTGTAAACAAACTAGACTTATAATATAACCCAAAAGTGATCACTTATTTCTCTGTCTCAAATCCATATTATACAAGACGATATATTCCAAACATATATCGCTAAGCAATGGAAGCAACTGTAGATTATCAATTTATAAGCACTCCTAAAGAGTAAAAGTTTGCTTGTATTGGATACTAGCTAGCCACTATATAGATATAAAACTTTCGCGACGAACGTAGCCAAATATTTATTCCAAGCTATAGCAATATCAAAATTCTAATAGATGTCCAAGCCCTCGTTGTTCTGGTAACACTTCTCGTACAAATAGTTTGTTGATATTCAGACCACCGAGCAAGGTTATTCTGAACTTAAACAAGAACTGACTAAGGTATGTTTGCACGCCGAACTTTCTAATATATTAACCCAACCACCCACGGGGCTTAAACACATATCTGGGTCCTTGCATCTAATTATAAATACAGTGCTACTCTCTCTTCTTTTCAGCCATAACTCCCCCATCCCGATTAGCAGCATCCCCAGTGTATTATCAGTCGTACTACAATGTTCAGCAATGTCACTCATCTAAATATTTGACAATGGCCTCTGATACTACACAGCCAATTCAAATGCCAATGCAAAACTTGGATACCGATTCAAACAACCCGCCAAACACCCCATTCCTCAATTGCTTAATATGTCAGACGTATGATGGAGGTGGAGATGCAGTTATGTCAGTCATCCCAACATGTGGACCCAGGTTCCATGAATATATTACAACATTGAATGAGCATCACAAGAATGAACAAACATGCCCGCATTGTGCTAAACAATATTGCTACAGTACATGTGGACATATTCCCGAGCGTCACCACCTCCAGCTAGGAGCAGACTTACGATTATTACTGCCGTTATGTCAGTACTGCAATCTTTTGAGACAAATAAACCAACTTTAACTTACTATCTAGCGCTTATTGGTGATAATGGGAGAATCCTACCCAAATGAGGCAAAAAATCCAATCGCAGGGACGTCAGAAGATCCCAGTGCGACATATATGCGCGACATCATGAAGGAAGAGTTCCGTAGGACCTCCTCCTGTCTATAAAGGTGAATTTCTATATGGGAACCTCCGATTGCTGAAGTGATGTTGGTGAAGGAAGTCAAGATATAATTGAGTTTTCTCGAAGAAGTGAAGTCAAAATTACACCAGCTAAAAAGCCTCATGCTACGATGTTTCCACCGGTATAAAATGCAAACCCATTGTTCGGGCATTTACAAGTAGAGCTAACACTAAGCGCATTCAACATTGACTGTTATTATAGCTGCCTGTAACGACTTAAAAAAATAATGAATAAAGATAGGGAGGATGTTCAATGGGGTTCATACTGTTATTATAGTTCGGCCGAAACCAAAGAGTTCTTCTGATTTCCAGTTTGGGAATATCTACTGCATAACTTGGTAACTGCTGGAAAGGGGATTCATACAATTACGATAGATTCTTCGTAACTATGCCGATTGTCACCTCCTTTTTGATTAGTTTAGACTTAATAGATAACTGCAAATTATAACGCATGACTTTTACCATCTCGCTGACCACCACTAAGCATCAATAGAACTTTCTATATATATTACATCATCACCTTGGTTGAAACTTCTTCGTCAAGTAAACCCTCAGGAGGACCCCGCAGTCCCTGTTTCTCATCTCTTAGAGAAGGCTTGAGGATTTTATCTTTGATCAACTACTATGATTAGCGATGATAATCTTAACGACAAAGATTAGAATAACCACGCCGTCAGTAAACTGGCCGCTAACTACGTGCCGGTGCTGTTACGTCACAAGCTCTGAGATAGGAAAAATAGGAAAATTATATCCCTTGAGGTGATGGAACTGAATTGCTTATCCTCACGCTTACGCTTACTTTTCAGATGCTAGATGATAAAACATCCTCGATAAATACCCAAATTATTTTGCTCTTCCCCTATCTAGTTAAACCATGTGTCCTATTTAGGGATGTATTCCAACAACTTTTTCTAAGGACGAGTTGGTTTCCTCACTTATATTTGGTGGGTATTGAAAGAAAATAATAAGACGCTAAACCCTCAACGTTGAAAGTGGAACAACACTCGCACCTTGCATTCGCAATGTTACATCGCAGTAGACCGGGACCTCACGCGATTGCCTAAACATCATACTAACTTCGTAAGCGTTCATTACTATAGAAATGGCATTAGAATAGTAGCATGACAGAAAAAATTCTTATATATAGAATAATTTTAAATATCCCAATTTGATTCTTGACAGTTTGTAAGACTACCATAGCGGAGGAAGGGGGTTTGAGGGAATCATTCCGTAAACCTAAAACTATTGCACTTAGTAAAATCATTCCACCTGACGATAACAGGGGAATCAGATTAATGATTCCAACGTTGTGGAATGATTCTATTACTAGAATGATTCCGTAAAATAGAACGATTTGCCTTTTCACGTGACTTTCACGTGATATTCACGTGAAAAAGTGGGGTCAAAAAGGAAAAAAGTCAAAAAATTAGAAGGACTGGTCCTCGAACCCACCACTCTTGCGTTCGTGTAACCATAAACCCCACCTTTTATTTATTAAGGTTAAAGTTTAAGGTGTAAACGTTTGAGCTAATGGGACGAGGTGGCCAATCTCATCGAATTATTTCATCGTGGAATGTTTCTTCTTTTTAGGCCTTATAACCTTTACATCAAAAAAAGTAAAATTTTGACAGAAAAAAAAAACTTTCGAAATTTTTTATTATTTTTTATTTTTATTTTATTTTTTATTTTTATTTTATTTTTTTATTTTATTTTTTATTTTTTATTATTTTTTTATTTTATTTTTTATTTTTTATTATTTTTTTTATTATTAAAATTTTATATTATTAGTAAAATTGTTCCAAAAGTTGGAACGATTTTACGGGATGGAATGGTTTTACGGTTATAGAACGCTTTCTTTAAAATAAGATATTAAAAGTGGGTATTGAGACCCACTATACCCGGATTCTGACCAATTAGAGCCCTTAAAATCCAAAAACGTTCCGCCGCACGGAATCATTCCAGTTTTAGAATGATTCCGCCAAACCCCCCTCCTCCGCTATGGTAGGTTAATGTAGTTGACTTTAACTGTTGTCCTGCAAGTTGGTGTTACAGCCTGCCAACTCGCTAATCTAGAATAAGTCTACCTAACAAAAATTCGGATCTGATTAAACACGTGGACTATGCGATCATTTGTCTCTTTGACCTCCTCATGCAATCGGTCTGTCATGCAATAAATCCTTTGGCGTCCTGCAACTTGGGATCGGCGGATCTATCTTACGCTATAATAGCTTAGTGCTCGACTAGGCTCTATGTATGGATTCTTTAAAGCTTCTTCGGAGCCTTCCGTAATAAGTCAAATCCTACCAATCATATTAAATTCCGGACATTATTAGCTACGTAAAGTCATCAACGTCGATCAATACTATACTACCGTGTTACCCCTGAGGGTCCCACGCTTCAAGTCTACGAATGATGGGTCAACCCTCGTGGGACCCATGAAGAATTCTAAAGCGGTGAAGACTCAGCCCCTCTCTTGTAGTAATATCATAGTCCGAACATCTTCCCTGGAAGATAGCATTGTGTATTATATACAATAACTTCTTGCGAGTAAAATGATATATATGATTGTAAATACCCTTAATTTATTTTTGTTAATTTAATCGTTAATTAGGTATGTAAGATAGTCAATAATGTCAGAATACCGAGACCGTGCCATCAATTTTCTCCAGAGACTAAGACTATCTGAATAATTACATTACGGCCAACATCGCCAGATATAGTTATTTCACGCAATTTGATAGTGCTTATTAAACGTAATTAAGTCCTCATTGGCCGTCGGCTAACCCGTCGGCCCGGGGTTTATGTTTTGCCAACAGTGATACACCCGGTAGCATATCCCAACACGCGTGAAGGCTATATTTCCCCGGCATGTACTAAGAACAACTCATTCTGCATTAGCCAATTATGATTAGCAGGCCATGTCTCTACATAAGATATTCCCGAGCCGGGGGTGTGCGGCACAGATAGGATAGTCGACTATAAGAGGTCCAGGGGCGAACCGACTACGAGCAGGACTTAGAATAAGTTTAATTAGATTAAATAGAATTTACTAGTTAATACTAATAGTATCACTACCTACCAAAGCACATACCATGGCCCCAACTATCGTCTTAATTAGCGGCGCGAACCGAGGATTAGGCAAAGGACTTCTTAAGCTCTACCTCGCTAGACCAAACCACATCGTCATCGCTGCGAATCGCAACCCGGATCACCCTACGTCGAAAGCTCTTACCGAACTACCAAAAGGGGCAGATACTCGCCTCGTCGTTGTTAAGATTGATGCCTCTGTTGAATCCGATGCTGCCGAGGGTATCAAACAGTTGATTTCACAGGGCATCGATCACATAGATATCGTCATTGCGAACGCTGGTGTCTGCTACGTTTTCCCCAAGGTCTCTGATATTAAGACTGTAGACCTACAAGGACATCTTACTCCTAACCTCTTTGGCGTGGTATGGCTATACCAGGCCGCAATCTCACTACTAAAGAAGTCTACAAATCCTAAGTGGATAACTATGGGCTCTGTCGGAGGAAAAATAGTGGTAAGTTAACAATACCTCTAAATGACCCATACTTTACTATTCTGTTTGCGAGCGTCGACTAACGTAATGTGCACTTTAGTAAGTAGATGTCCTCCCCCGCGTCGACCTAGCTAATTGTAGTATAGGGATCAACCCGACGTCCCGCACGCGGCTTATGGACCGTCAAAGGTTGCGGTTCACTGGGTAACCAAGCGCATCGACAAGGAAGAAAACTGGCTTACAGCATTTGTGATTCACCCTGGTTTAGCAGACACTGATATGGGCCAAGTCGCTCTTGCAGGCCTCGTAGCAGTCCACGACAACATCCCGGTAAAACTTATAACAGTTGAAGAATCGTGCCAAGGAATGATAAGCGTAATCGACGCCGCTACAAAAGCTACCCACGGAGGGCGGCTCGTAGCCTATACTGGAGATGTGGATACATGGTAGACAAGGCCGGAATTGAGGATAGTTACATGTTTGCTATTACAAACTCATGTGTCTCTTGGGTCATACGGAGATCTACTATAGCCGCGAAACTCTTTGAAGGAGGAACGGGATAGTTGGGAAACTGTACGGGCAGACGGGTTAACTATGGCAAGTTGATAGTACATAGATGTATGGTCTGCTAAGTTAGGTTTAGGTACTTTAGGTATATAGCTATATGACTGCATATACCGCATATCATGTCTTCTATTCTTATATACACACAAGTATGCACCCGGCATCTACATGTAATAATGTACCTAATCCGGACCGAATGGCATGTCATGTTGGTAGGTAAGGTACCCGTGTACCCGTGTACTTCGTATGTACCTTTCCAAAAATTGCCCCTTTTGGAAGGAGGGGTGAGTTCCACACCATCAATTGGTTGTTATCGATAGCGATCAAAAGATCTAGGTAACCTAGAAAATTTATTAATTTATTAAATTTTGAAGAAAGAAGGTTAATTAATTTCGTAAATTTCATCTCTCAAGATGCGCTCCTTTTTCTCAGCACCAATATGCCCGTCATGCCTATTCGCAGCAAGCAACCCAACAGTCTTTCAAAGCGTCTATCGGCCATGGGTGACGGCGCAACAACGATTCTTCTCTGGCCGAGCGAGAGCTAGTCCTTCGAGGATGGTCCTGTCCGATCGTGTCGCACGCGCTCCCCGAAGAGATACAGATAGTGATGGTCGTGGAAGTAGAAGACCCACTCAAAGATCGGCAGGACCGTTTGGCGGCATGAATCAAACGTACGCCGGCATACGGGAACGAATACCAGAAAGGACATCTCGAACAAGTGAGATTAGGGGCGGTAGAGAAAAGAAGGGTGATAGAAAGGACGACCGGCGAACGAAAGCTATGAAGATGCAAAGCTCCTTAGCCACAATTTCATATGGCCACAGAACACGGACGAAAGCGAGCGTAGCCGAGATAGAATCATTCGAACAATTCGAACTGTTACCCTCGATAAAAGAAGCCATGTCTCAAGATGTGCTCAAAGGCATGGTAGACTTAAAACCCACTCCTATTCAACGACTCGCGATTCCTACACTTTTAGGTCAGGACACTAGTCGACGATCCTCTCGGGGGAAAGATAGCAACAAGAGGCAAGAATTTCTATTGGCAGCTGAGACGGGTTCGGGCAAAACGCTAGCCTATCTGCTACCCGTGATAGATGCTCTTAAGAAGGCCGAAGCATCTGACCCTGCCATCGCGGCCTATCGGGAATATTTCGATAAGCAGATGGCGGCAATGAAGGAACCAGGATACACTGGCCCCCGAGAATTCGATCCTCATCCGACTGCTGCACGACCAAAAGTCGTCGTGTTAGTGCCAACAGCTGAGTTAGTTGACCAAGTAGGTCATGTTGCAAAGGCACTGTCACATATTGTGAAGTTTAGGACTAGTATATTCTCTGCCAACGTCTCCGCAAAGGTTATCAATGCGACCATGTACTTGCCTACTGGCATCGATCTTATTGTGGCAACACCTCATTTACTGTCATCGATGGCAGACTCGGATCCTAACATCCTATCTAGAGTTACTCATTTAGTAGTTGATGAAGCCGACTCACTTTTCGATCGCAGCTTTTCACCTGTGACGACGGCCATTTTAGACCGTGCGTTACCATCTATGAAGCAACTCATCCTTTGCTCTGCTACTATTCCAAAGAGGCTCGATAACTACTTAGGTTCTGAATTCCCAGATATGGTCCGGATTACTACGCCAAATCTCCACGCTATTCCTCGACGCGTTCAACTAGGAGTCATTGACGTATCTAAGGACCCTTATCGAAATAGTAAAGACCTTGCTTGTGCCGATGCAATCTGGTCTATCGGAAAGGATGCCGTCCGACACGAGAGCTCCGTACCTGGAGAGGTCGATGTCAAGCGCATCATGGTATTTGTAAATGAGCGCGAGAAGACCCAAGAGGTTGCTGACTACCTCGTCTCCAAGGGTATTGACGCTGTTGCGCTACACCGGGACACCTCAGATCAACGTCAATCTGAGATGCTGGGTTCGTTTACAACTACCGCGCCAATGAAAACCACATTCGCAACATCCACTGTACCACCCCCAGGAAAGGGACGAAGAAGTTTGCCTAATACCAAAGTCATCGTGGCTACAGATTTGGCCTCGAGGGGTATTGATACCCTGGCGGTTCGACATGTGATATTGTACGATGTGCCACATAACACCATCGATTTTATACACCGCTTAGGACGTGCTGGTCGCATGGGTAGGAGAGGAAGAGGTGTTGTGTTAGTCGGCAAGGACGACAGGCGAGATATCGTTGCTGAGGTCAGAGAAAGCATGTTCATGGGCCAGGCACTTATATAAAATGAACGCCTTGTAAAAATGAAGTGTACGACTTGTATAGCAGAAAATGTGTATATAGCTCTGGAAATTTGAAATACCCCGATGACATTCTTCTCTATATGGCTTCGCAGCTGGTGCATTTTGGATTCGTGATGTTAATAGTGAGTATTGGGACGGTCTAGATGTAGGGTTAGATATGGTAAGTTACTCTGTATAGGATATTGTAGAAGTGTATGAAATAATACCTATTGTTACATACTCGTTACATAGCTACGCGGTCTAAGTATCTATTCATAGCATTTGGAAACTAGATACGTTTCAGGGAGAACGAAATGAAAACACTACCATCAAGTTTTACTAAATTATCTAAGGTACCTAGCCAAATTATGCCTGGATATCGTTACACGCAATGCTGTATACCTAAGTAAGGAGTACATTCCTCTCCTATTTTCAGAGGGTCTATGGCTTAAGGAATTATTATTGCACTTGTAGGCTATAATCTAGGCCTGTGCTCTTTCAGTCCGTGATTCTTTAGGAGGTATGTAACATAACCCCTTAGTCCTAGCACTGGTTGAGTAAAAGGAATGCGAACAGAGAATCTTCAGTTACTACCTACTGTCTAGGACCCTTACACTCTCAGTTCAACATTTAAGATCAGACAGTTGTCTTGAACAATATTTCAATAGAGCTTAGTACCTGACCGCCTCCTTGTTTCTAGTTCCCTCCTATTTCTGAACCTTCTACTCTACTTACCCCAAATGTCTCAACTGGATATTGGGCGCTAGAGGCTTAACCAGTTCCCCAGATTTTTAGATATTAGTTTATTGATTAGATGAGGGCTTCAGCCGCGGTATCTTACCAATTCCAACAGGCTAGGATACTGATACGGTGAGACCGCTTGCTAACTTTGAGAACTCTATAATAGCTTTGCTGTTCGAAGCAACTAAAGTTAAGGCCACTAGTTTATCCTTGGGGGTGTGCATTTGATATTAAATGAATTGCTACTTCCAGATGAGAAGTAATGCTGTTAGCAGGCCTACCTGGTATTCATGAAGTGCTATTTCAACCAAGGAGAAGTGTCGCCTCCTTTCACAGCTGACCGCGATTTATCTTACTAGTATTGTCTTACTAAATTTCCCCTTGTAAACACGCAGGATGTTACTTCCTGAATCAATGATTACGATCAGAGTTACTGTTTGATTCTCGATGGAAATGGCAAGGAAATAGGAGCAGCAGTCGTCATCTCCAGCCACAAGGTTGCGTATCACAAGACATGTCTCTTACTGATCGCCAAGAGCTCAGACCTAAGAACCTGGGGCTTATGACGGTTACGTTTAATGAAGCATGTTTGAATATTGTAATACAGGTTTTCATTTATGCGTGCCAGTATACTATCAGATCGGGATCTAATTAATAACGGCCATCTAACGGTACTTTTTGGATATTCATATTCTCGAGTCTAGTCCCGGCATTTGGATAAAAGCTGAAACTTGACTAATTAGCGACCATTTTACGCTAGCGACTTAGAATTCGGTGAGCCTTTCTAACCCTTACTTTTTTGGCGAATAGTAGCGAATAACCTTCATGACCTATCAGTTGTGCAGTTGATTTTTAGCATATAATAAAATTATCAGGAAATAATACAAATTGATTCCATAAAAACGCCACATCTTATGGGTTGTATATGTAAATATGTTCTTCTACAAGGTACCCATATAGCTATCTCAACACTAACTAGGATATCGTGATTTACGCAGGGTGAATTCACTCCCAGCAGCATAAGCATATAAGCGCGTACATGATCACCGCAAATCTTTGCACGTCCTGGCGCAAATCCCGGCAATTCTTGACCTTCTCAAGAAATTCCTTGTGTGGATAGAGTCTGTAAAGTCTCGTATCAGGCCCTGCCTTGTACTGAATACTGAAACCGATCTACGTCCAGTAGCCAAGGACTTCATTCCCGCCGTTTATTCCTAATGCTTAATTTTATACGAACCTTGAAAGGCTAACGATATTTGATATCAGAGGTCATTCCGCTACTTATGCGCACGGAGTCGGTATTGTGGCTTAATTTCCGAAATAGTAAATCGGTCCCTTGGTCGTGGCCAAGTTCAGCCACCCTGCGCGATTATTGTTTTAATATTGTAGCATATTCGCGGTGATCGTATCCCAAGTAGTAGAAGTCTAGAATTTGATACCATGGTGGTTCTAATACGCACTTGTCAAGGGCCAATCAGGGCTAATATGAAATAGACCAAGGCGAACACAATGCCAAGTCTGGAGGTTGCACTGGAATGGGAATCGATGGGAATCAAAAGAGATGAGACTGTCACTTTACACGGAGTATTGCCGTATTCAGCTAATATGGAAACATCCCAGCGCCGATGCAAGTTTATGCCCCAATGAGAGACTGGTAAAGTATCATTGCAAAAGTCGATCAATGACAGATTCCCCAAGATGGTCGGGGTCTGGGGATCTTAACGACTGGGGGCTTACTATTTTAGGAGGCTCTGGTAGAAGCTTGTATCAAAGGCGCGAGCTGACCCCTGGTCAATTAGGGACGTTTGGGAAATTTGCACCAATAGGAAGACGATGCGATTGCTTCAAGCTTTTTATTCCCCATATTCTAGATGTCCCACATTGCCTCAGATCCTGCTGAAACGTCGCGAAATCCTGCCGCACTTCTCTCTTTTGAGACTTGGGGCCAACTACCGCTGAGAGAACTCTAAGCTATTATCACGAATAGGAAAATTTTAGTACCTAAAGTGTGACAGCGCTTCTGTTTTACACCCGGTCACTGACGAAATGCAGGGCGCCTCGAGCTGCGCAGGGTCGGGGCTAAGCCTATTGTCGTCGTGAGCCTGTCAAGATCACATCGTCGGTTAGTATGTAGTACCTAGTTATAACTACTCGTTGGTTCTAAGAATATGTATAAGTAGCCAAGACGCCCGTGATAATTCAACGATTTCTCTTCTTCATTCCGTTATCAATCATTAAAACAACTCGTCTCATTTTCTTCATTCTATTTCGTTCATATTCGTATTCTCGGTGGCCGGTCCTCCTTTTTAACTATCATTCACTTCTCTTGAATACGATCCAGTGGACGTGTACAGCTTCTATTTTTCTCAGTCAACCGCTTTCTATCCAACCAGTCAAAATGAAGTTCTTCTCCATCCTAGTTCTCGCCACTGCCGCCAGCGCCATGGTGATGCCTCGTCACCACGCTGGGCGTAAAGCCAACGGCGGTAATAGTACGTCTATACTGTTGTATATTTGTGTAATTCTTCTAACATTTTTTGCATAGACAATAACGCCGCCGCTGTAGCAGCAGGCACCGGAAACAACGGCAATGCCAATGCTAACGCTAACAACAACAATGCCGCCGCTGCCGCCGCCGCCACTGGTAACAACAACAATAACAACGCCGCTAACAATGCCAACGCATGCAACACGTAAGTGATTTCCTCCTTCCAGAGCTTTGAATACAAATCAGTCATTTTTATATCATTGCTTTTTCATTAATACCGACACTAATGGGCTAACTTTGAACTTAGCAACAACAAGCGTCACCACGCCGGAAAGAAGGCTAACGGCAATAACAACGCCGCAGCTACCGCAGCCGACGCCAACTGCAACTAATAACGCTTTTGTATATGACATAGGGTGACGATATTTGGGGTTTACCGAGGCTTGTTGTAATCCTTTAGTTGAGAAGTACGATGCCTCCCAGAAAGTTTGATAGAAAGTATTAGCGTGCATGAGCAAAGTGTACATATAGAATGAAGATTATTTGAACGAGAAAGCTTCCCCGGATCTGTGACTGTCTGACACTTCGATGCTTCATATAAGTGATCTTCAAATGACTTTTCCTTATACAGAATCACTTGCAGAAATGAGATGTGATAAATTTATGCTACGGCCAGGATGAATAGGTAGTTTTGTAAACCCTTATTGTAAATAGACTTGCTTTTCGGGTCCATAATTCCCGGCACAGTTTTTACATACCGCTATTCTACCTATCCAATGTACTATGTCAAGCTGGCACTTGAGGTCATAGGTATAGTTTCTTATTGACAACCGAATCTAAGAATGTATAGAATTAAGGATCGGATCAACATGTTCGCTGCTGCATATAGATTGGCGGCTTAGATATTGTTGGAAAGAACTTCGCGATATTAAATATAACGATTTACAGTGGCACTTGATCTATCGTCAAGTAGTCGAGCGTTTGGTTGCCATCACGATCCTACCTTGGTAAGTATCTCATAACTATATATATCTCACTTGAAAGTTTTAGGAATTATAATTTGTTTAATTTATGAGACATTTAGAATTTACCCTGATTAAAAAACAACATCTGGTTCTCAAGGAGAATATAATTACCTAGGTACCTGTATAATTACCTCCTAAGTGTTTTTTTATGTCTTATTGTGATTGGATGCAAAACTACCTATGTACCTAGGTACCTAGGTACTATGAAATCGTGAATATGTAAACGCGACACACGTGATTTGCTCTGACCTCGGCATGATATTTTAGGTTAGGTACCTTGGTACTTTCTTAAGGAGCCAATGTTTAACTTCAATCTTCTCTCTTCAAAGTTTATTGTCCAGTTTCTCTCATTTTCGGACACTACAATTCACGAATAATGTACCTAAAACTGACGCTCTAGTTATACATCTGCTCCCGCACGGAATATCGTATAATCGGATAAGTCTTTCCCGGTGGCTTCAGACTTTGATACCATTGCTTCTCTACTAGCCAATCAGGCTCTAAGCAACTTACCGTCGCATATAGAAATAGACATCAGTCAATGTCTCTAGAAGTCATTTATGTGACCCGACATGGGGTAAGGTGTGCTAGTTCTAGTCTATTCATAACCTAAGCACTCTGTTTTAACTTTGAAATTATCTTATCTCACCCCTATTTTACGACGAAAGCCACTTCGAAGCTATTTAGGCGAATGCAAGCTTATTCTCGCTAGTTCCGTTCCCCATGGGCTGTTGACCCGTCCACTGGAAACTATACGGCTTCCATCCGTTCTCCTACGGGTTTACCAACCGACCCGGCTCTTGCATCTCACGGTATTGAACAGGCAAATGAGCTAGCAGAATACCTATTAGGGCTTGACCCGCCGATAGAGCAAGTCTATTCCAGTCCCTATTATAGGTGCATGCAGACGATTCAGCCCTTTATATGCAAACTTAGACATCTACAGACCCAATCGTCTGGGGATGTCTCAAAAGACCCACACTCTGAGATTCGTGTAGATCTTGGCCTTAGTGAATGGTATGGCTTAGCACACTTCGAGCATCCCTCATCTGCACCCCTGAACAAGTTGCAAAACCTCTTCCCCGAGCTTGATGCGAGCTATGAATCTAGTCCAGCGCCTTCGCGCCGTGGAGAGACTTTGCCACAATTACACGATCGGGTCGCAGAGGCGATCGATTTCATTATTAGACGTAGCGACCAGGAGGGCCATAAAACCGTGCTAGTATGCACTCATGCAGCGGTAGTTATCGCGCTAGGGCGAGTTCTTACTGGGCAGACCGAGAAAGACTTCGGGGCATTTACTTGCGGATTAAGTAAATACAGGCGGCAGTTGCGTGGCGCCGCCATCCAAGCAACTATAAAATCTGAAAATGAAGCAGAAACTAACGCCATAATTCCGACGGCGCAGATCGACGGAGAGGTCGGAGTACCAAGATCTAAAACCCACTCGAAATCCGATCCTGCAGGCAATGCCGATCTCCAGCCACATGACTCAATGTCGCTTAATCTAGGGTCGCCAGGGAGAATTGGCTCCGGACTTTACGGAGGCTGGAGTTGCGAATTGGACTCTGAATGTAGCTTTCTTCGAGGCGGCGAGGAAAGAGGATGGTGAGTGTTTCTAGTGGTTTACCCCTTCCAGGGTTTCTGGCAATGAACTAACTAATGATAGGAAATTTTCTGGCGACGAATCATTCATCGAGACCGACGACAATAGCGTGTGGCCATCGACGGCGACCTCCAAAATTGATACAGTCATTGAGGAGAGCAGAACGACAAGTAGTAGCTGCCATATTAATCCAGTAGTCGATCGGTCTAAGCTATAATGCCGAGGCGCTCACAAATCAGCTTGTCGTATTCAAGAGTATCGTTTGCTGCTTTCTCGCAATGATCAAATCTTCAATCAGTCTTGTTTATATTACTATTCTCTTGATTTAGCAAAAGGTCTAGCGACGCTTTCAAAATTTCCAAATTTCTCTATTATAGACCTACCTAGGAACAATTCCCCAATAAGACTAAGTCGCTTCCTGTCGCGAGTTCACATCAAGTGCTGTCTGTCACACAGAGGTTGTTGATATACTTCAACTTTTGGTGTAACAATAACACGAAAACGACTATTGTAACGTATGGTTAGTGTTTTAAGACCTGTTTTAAGACCTGTGCTACTACCTTACGGGGTAGCTTGTTCTCTTGTCTATCTTACTTCGGGGAGCCTCGAAGGCTTTCGAATATACCCAACTCGTCTGAGCACTAAACTAAGTATGTTTGCACTCTCTGGTAGCGAAAATGGATGCCGACGATGATAAAGCTGAAAGCTAAGACAGTCTTAGATGCTTACTTATGAGCGAAAATCAATGACCTCGACAATGTGACGTGTCAGAAGTGCAGTTCCTTAGCAGGTTAGTTTCTTGTCGCTAGTGGAATTAATTTAAACAGGACGGAATTGGATCTACTATCTATATATACACTAGTAGCATGGTCTCGGCTTCTACAATAAGTTAAAGATCGCTATGATACTCAGGTATACACCAGAGCCGGCTCTAGTGGGCTAGGGGTCCGAGTTCTCCACGACACGAGATTCGGTTTAGGTATCTGACCATCAGGCCGCTTAGACATCTTGGCTTACAGAACCCTGGAGATCATTAGTCTGGAGAACCCTTGTTATCGGATGTACTGACGGGTGGTGTCTTGGTCGTCATCACGGCAGGTAGATCCCGTCCTGCCCAATGAATTTACGAATTTGTAAAACTTGCTGAAAGCCTCAATATCATTGTTCCGATACTTATTCGTACTACACGCCCCTACGTACGTGTACTGCATCTCGACAGGCCTATTGGTCGAGAAAATTAACAAAAGACGGGAAGAGAAAAGAAATTAAGCAAGACTCGACCCAATTTGGACACAGAATCGAGGAGTTTGTTTCCTAGATCTGGGGACAAAATTGGACTGCCTCGCCTGAGCTCAGCCGCTAGGTGTTATAATGAGACTAAACACCGAATATACTAGTTACGGCGTTTACTAGGTAGTTTCGGAGGTACCAAATTTGGGAAGTTGAAAAACAGGGGCAGTGGAGAGCTTTTGAAATAATTTCTAAAGATATCGGCTTCGGATGTTTAATTTACCTCGAAAGGTCAAACTACCAGCTTGCTAGACGCCGTGTAGTTCTTCCAACCAACATAGGAATAGATTTAGGTATTATTTGAGTACTCGGGACAAGGGAGACGCGATCGATCCTTCTCTCAATACCCTCTCTTGGCACCCTGAGGCTCGTAAGTGGTTCACTTTCGCAATTGGCGCTCTCTGCATTTCTCCATGTTGGTAACATGCGATTCACATGCCTGATTTATACTGTCGGGGTCATATGAGCAGGGTTAGACGACAGAATTCTGCAGAGCCGAGTTGGGCAAGGATTTGCCTTGGCCCGATTATTCACTTCTCTCTGGCCGGCCCGAGTGTCGAAAAGTCTCGACCATGAACAACCCCCACGATAAAATGACCCAATGAAAGTTAACCACAACCTGTATCGCCGCGCTTATGAAGCCCAAAAAAAGCACATCACCGTGCGGCTTTTAGTATTTACCCTTATATATACTAGACGAATCCAAGTTTACGGACAGAGGTACCTTAGATAGTCTAAGCCTCTTCCACAAATGACACCCTAAGACAACCTTCTTTCAAGTGGTTGGCACGATGATGGATGATAGCCAGGTTGCTTATGCGCGCTTCCTGACAATCCTCATCGCCGGCTGACAGCACATCTGGCATAATTCAGTTCTGTCCTTCACACTTGTTCCATCGTATAACCGGCCCGCGTATTTTCACCCCCTCTTCGGTTGACCTGCCCCTGAACCTACTCGATGGTTTTATTGGTGGGCTGGTACCGACAGCTTGGGAGCCTCTCAGGGTTATAAGCGAATGGCGTGCCATTGACACATAAGAGTTTACTCACAGTGCCAAACGGCGGTAATTAGACTTATCGGCTGGAAAAGGCGGGAACAGGGAATCTTCAATTGCCTTGTTTCTATCCCGGACGGGTGGGAATCAATGCCTTTTCTCGCTGGACTACCACCTTAGACGATCTCTATACCACTAATGCAGAGGGCGTTTTTTGGTACCTATAGCTCTACCTACTTATAATGTCTTGCTTGCCTTTATTCTAGCTTTGGTTTCATGCACGATCGGCCACCATCGATGTGGTTGCATTGATTGAAACAGTGTGTCTGGGTTGTCCAGGTTTGTATCGAGAATGGCCTTGGACCTCGAGCCCCCCCTTGCGCCATGGTCCGTCCATTCAAGCATCACAGATTGGGGATGGATGGACTCCTCCGCTTAGGTATACCGCCACTCGACCAAGCGTTGTCATTCTCCGTGTCGTCCATTCCTACCCTACCACATCGGCCACCGCTCCCGCTCGCCTCTTGTCAAGTTTAGATTCTCAGTGCAGAATGGCTTATTCTCCGCAGTAGTTCGCGTCTCTCATATACCCACCAATCGCCTGACTAGTAGAATCTTGTAAAAGAAAAATCACGTTCTCGTCATTTTACTAGAGACATAGGCGTACTTATCAACCCCAAGCCGTGTTATATATCAGAAGCCAAGAGACGGATCACCAATAGCTGCCGCTCGAGCGACACCCCGGGGGTGTTTCTCTGCCACAGGGCTGCTGGTCGTCTGTGAGGTTGCACCAAGTACTCTTCAGTAGACTCGACCCTGTATGTCGGGACGCTGTTGGTCTATATTAAACAGTCGGGTACCTTTCCTGTACTGAATCGTCCTCCTACATCGATTCTAGAGTCATAAATAGTCCTCATCCCTTCATGCTTTGATCAGCAAGCATTTTTATTCATCTAAGCCTTTATCTAATTATTTACCCTTACTTCCTCTCATTCCATCAACGACTCGATTTTTACTAATAGTATGAGAATTCAATACGACAACAATATAACAAGAATGAATCATTCAGCTATCCAGCGAAAAGCGATTTTTAATTCACCACTCCCACTACGTACGTTAAAGTCCGAGTCGGCTCAAGTGAACACTGGCCGACTTCCACCGGTTATTCCTTATAGAAGAGTTGACAGAACGATTCACCCCACAGATACTTCAGTATCGCCTTATTCGCCAATCAGTGAGAGGTCTGGATCTTCATTCTCCCAGGAATCTACTGCGGAGCTGTGGGAAAACGCTTCGGCTACCACAGAGCCATGGGAGAGCGTTTCGGCTAGGTCTTCGCCCCCTCAGACGCCGAAGTCAAAGCACGAGCCCGATGGCATTCCTCGGGTTGAGTTAGCACCCCCTCGTGGAGAATTTCTCAAGCGTAAATGTGATAACCTGGATGAGAGCTCGAAGAAGGTCAAGCTCCAACCAGTCACACTCCCTAGTGTTTACCATATCCTACCAGCCGAGGAGCGCGAATGCCATCAACCCTCTTCCCATTGCAGACATCAGAGGGTGCTACAGACACCTAGTTCTAGCCCGGAACCCGAAAATGAGTACTCTCTCTCATCACGGCCAGGGTTTCCGGCGCCAGAAGACCCCATCGTCCAGTGGCTTAATCTCAGAAGGAAAGAATCCAATCGCCGTCGAGAACTCCTTTCGCAACCCCGAGATTCAAGGGGGAATTCTTTGAACATATCTTTGAATATTTCCTTGAAATTTTGCGATCCGCAACCAGTATTCTACCGGGAGAAACAGCAGTACACTTCTCAGTCCCGCGGCTATTGTCATCGACCCCGACCACAACCCTCGCTATCTGAAGAAGATCCTAAAGAAGAATGCAACAAAAAGAATCCACACAATAACATCAAGTATACAACAGAGGAGGCTGATTTTATTCGATTTAACAAATACGAGTTGAAGCTCTCGTGGGAGGAGAATAAACGCCTCTTTAGGAAGAAATTTCCTATGCCGCCTGGAAAAGAACGTGCGACCCAAGGCATCCAAGGCGTTCACTACAGAGACAACCAACATCTCCCTCACCTTACAGATAAGGGAAGAAGACTTGTGTTTCTACCCGAGGGACACGTAGAGGCAGTGGTTGCCAAGGTTCGAAAACAACTGGAAGACAAACCATACTTCAGCCTGACCTACCTATATCCCGAGCGAGCTATGCTCTACGACTGGGTGCCATACAAGATGAAAATCGTGGCTGCTGAACTAGGTAAGTTCCCCATCAGATAGGGGGGTTTCCCCTCTATAGCGACAACAGCTAATGAATTCAACCAGCCGAAGAGCGCGCTGCACAGAAGGAACAGGCACGACGTGAAGCGATTGAAAAGGGCAAGTGGAAGGAAAAGCTGGCAAACGGCCAGTGCGTCTGCTGTTACAAGCCAGACGGCGACAAGGAGACCCAGAAGCGCCCATCTCCATACGAGCCCTCTCCAGAACGTAACAAATTCGCTATGTCCCCAAAGCTCGCGGACAACCCTCTCAAAATTTCGCATATAGTCAAGACGGAAGACGGACTCTACGGGAATACTGGTTACGGCGCCAACTACAGGTGACTTGAGACAATACAACACTCAAGCAGACACTAAGGGCCTATACCGCCTGCTGTCTCAGACCGTCTCGGACAGCCGACATACATGCATGCCTCCTCATACATGCATAGACGCCCAACATGGAAGCCGTTTAGGTTTCTCTCGTTTACCTTCGTTTGTATCTATTCGTCCACGGATAACTTCTTCGAATCCCAGACCCCCACCACCATAAGGAGTCTATTTATCTATCTACTTATCTATTTATTCCATCTTTATTTTAGAAATACATCGCGACGGGGAACCTCTGTCTACCTACCTACTTAACGTACCTAGGTATGCTAGGTGAGGAACAGCCACCCAACGAGCAAATGGTTTGGAGGCGGTGAGGTTGGGGGCGTCAGAGGGAACGAGAAAGGGAGGCCTTGCTGACATGGCGCCGGGAACCACAGCCTTTTGTTCTTCTTTCTTTTGGGTTCCCGAAGTTGGAACCGGACTAACTGACTGACTGAATCACTGATTACTTGATCTAATCTGGTTTTTATTTTATTTTATTTTATTTATTTATATGGGCTACGGATCAATGAATGAGGACGTGGACACGGAAATGGGTATCGGCATGGGTTGATATATATACCTCCTTTCTCTCTTTCTTTTTTGCGTGTTAAAGCGGTTTTTGTTTTTTTTCCCCTTCAATTCTGTGTCTATCTTGCTTGCCTGCTCGCAAGGCTCTAGTTATTTTCTAGAGAGTCCTGTGTCTTACATAGGTGATTTATCTGGTTAGTAGGTACTTGTTTGTAGCCTATATGCAAAGGTAGGGCGGTCAAACGGCATCAAGGGAGGCTTTTATTCGTTAAGGCAGAAATAAAAAGCAACCACACATTCTTCCAGACATTTTCGGTCGTAATCAGCTTCATCATTCGCTAACTATGTATTCGTTTACCTCATGAATCATCATCCTCTTCGGCGTGAACATGTTGGTAGTCATGGGGTGTTATTCACCTACCCCGGGGCTTAAACAAGCACTTGCTAGAATCTACGCTATAGATGACTACTACGCTGCAGAAAGCGAGAAATAGTTAAAGATGGTGGGATGCAATGCTATGTGATTCCTCTTCAGACTGGTTGGATTCATCGGCTGTGCTACCTGTCTATCTACAAGAGAGGTTGAAGACGAAGTTTGCCTAACGGTGCTACCGCACCAATAAACGTCATAAGGATGGCCATCCACGACGATATCCATTCCATATTCGGGCCATTCGGGATTCACATGCGGATCGGGACTAGGGCGTGTTTGCTTAAACCCTGCGGACAAGGCTGGGCAAAGTAAACCCCCTTTTCCCTCGCCAAATTATGTTTCGGAAAATCACAACCAGGGGTTAAACGCCGATGCTATGCCAGAATACCGGGCCGGGCTGCAGACCAACCCGTTCAATGAGAGTCAGCCATTCATAGATGTTGGCACAAATTCATAATGTGCTATGCAGACTAGCCGCGCGGTACCGATGATATCGGGATTTCGTAATGCCATTTTTACAGTTAGTTTGCCATAAACCTATCCCGAGGCCGACTGATATACGCAGCGAATCTGCTTGCCTCGTCTTTATCGGTAAAAGCCGCATCGCCGTCATCTTCATCCACATCATACTCCTCGAGATCTGAGGCGTTACCAGTTCGGAAAGAATATGGATTCTTATCGAATTCATCATCCGAAGCAACTTCCTCATCGGGGTAGTCCGCGGCGTAATAATTCTCGGCTATATACCTGTGAGTGCGCTGAACAGTAGGGAACTTTAATTGGATGGTAGCACGTACCGTTCTCATCCTCCTCGTCCTCGGCCCATTCGTCTTCACTATTATCATCTTCTCCATAAAAGTGTTCCATGTCAGGCTCTTCATCAAACACGAGGAGTCCGACGCTGTGCGGGGGCACATGCTCTCCCATCTTGCTTGCAGGTACACGTTCGTAGGTTTCGATAATGTAGTCACTGTCATCACTATCACTAATATAAACGTCTGTATCCATCATGTCTTTATCCGCCGAAGCTTGTATCCCCCCGGGGTGTCTTTCTGCATATCGCTTGATCGGTTTGGGCTTGAATTTTTGTTGGTTAACAGTAGAACGTTGCTGTCGCTTCTCCTCTTCGGCCTTCTGGAGGTTGAGACCAATTTGCTCCATTGTATATGCATCCAGCTCAGCCGTTAACCTGTCTATGTCTACATTCCATCGTTGGGTTATGGATTGTGGAAGGTCGGCTTTGTACTTTTCTCCCTCCTGCTTCTTCGCAAGCTTTGCTACACCAGGTTTCTTGAGTTTGCGAGGTTCCGGCTTGTCAATTTCCATGTCCTCCGTTGCAGCAGGTGCTGGACTGGGTACTTGACTAGCAGCATTGGTAATAGCCTGAAACTTTTCAAGGGGTCTGGATGAGATTCGTTTAATCTTTCGTTCTATGAATAACGCAGGTGCAGAACGTTTCTTCGAGATGCCTCCATGAGGTCGGCCGGGCTGAGAAGCCGCCGCAAGCATTATATCTTTTCTTGACATGTGAAATCGGCGAGGTTCAGAAGGGGCACCGACGGGGGTCGTGGACTTGGAAGATTCGCTGGTAGTCTCATTATCGCTAGATTCATCATTGGCGATAGTGTCTGATGTCTTTGGGCTCTGGAATGTAGGGGTCTTCGAGCGTGGGTGAGAAGTATGAATGATTGGTTTGTGTGATTCGGATGGAATGCTTTCGGCAGAATTAGCTCGCTCTTGCCGTCTTTGATACACAAAGGCTTCGCTCCGGTGCCTCTTGTTCTCCTGAACACCTAGAATAAAGGTCAACTACTAATTTCTCCACGGCGCGTAATGAGATGGGTTATGCGACAACTTACGAAGAAAAGAGACTGGGGCCTCCTCTGTGGCCTTTCGCTTCACGCGAATTAGCTGCGGCGGTACAGACATGGTAATATAAAATATTCGAGCAGATTTTTAGATGTAAACTATTCTGCACCGAAGATGGCAATACAACTGCTGTTGAAAGTTGTAATGAAGAACTCTCTAATAAGTTGTTCTGAACTATTTGACTATTTGACGTGGGGCAGATATGTCACCTAGGGATAGGTACTTAGGTACCTAGAAATATATGTATTATGTAAGATACCTACCTAATTAACCTTAAATAAGTACCAAGGTACCTAGATAGCTTTATCTTATCTATAACGTTTACGTTTTAATTAATATTTTCTTAATTTATTTTTGTATGCAAATAACTGCAATCATTTATGAGTAATGAAAGGCATTCTAGCACCAAGATTCCTTATATCTATGTTAATGTGCATCATTACACACACAATAGAGTGTTGACTTAAGATAGTAGCTGAGTTGTGCCATGTCCATCCGTAGATAATTGAATAGGTTAAAATGACTATAATCTATATGAAGATAGGATATGACTTCTAGAGTTGTAATATTTCTAACCTACGGCATTAATTCCTGTATCGAGTTTTAGAGAGTTAGGGTTGTGGGTAGGAGCGGGCCTAATGACCTACCTCTTCGTATAAGAAGCCCTAAAGTAGACGAGTATGGTAATTTCACCAATTCCTCATACAAAAAGAATGAGTATGCAAGATTGACACCCTTATGGTTAAAGCAACGGTGTGCTCATAGTTGCAGGTCTATGCCAAGAGAAAAGAAAACTACCGAGCAATAAAAGGAATGTTGACAAGGGTTAGATGTCAGGAAACACGTTCGATATACCATCAGATGTAAGAAAGACAAGTAGCCAATCAGAATTGTTAACGATTTCTACCTGCATTAGCTCATTATAAATTTAGAGCGCTAAGCCTTACAGAGGTAACCACATAAGCTCTCCGCACCAGAGGCGTGGGAAAAATTAAAGCTTCTCATTCGTCCTAGAAGCGACTAGCCAATCAAAGTTGTTAATACCCTAGTTTGGTATTTGAAGCTATAAACAATATACAATCCTTCTAATTCTACATATGTAGGACTTTGGACGGACAGAGATGCTATCTAGCTAGTTGGATTAATAAGCTATTATTGGACCGAAATGATGTACATAGTCGTCTTATTTCCCCTTCAATATACTTACTTATGGGTTGTGTCGTACAGTTTTGTCTTGCATTCTTTATCTCACGCCCTTTGTTTCATTGCAGCTCAGCATCCACTATGTCTGGCACCGTTATACTTACTGGCGCCAATAGTTCAGCCGGTATCCACGCCGTTGATCACCTTCTCAAAACATACCCGCAGCATACTGCTGTTTTTACTGTCAGAAGTGCTGCTAATACCGATGTCAATACCCACAACCTACGTGATATTATAGCTCGATATCCTAAGGCGAAAGCATCTATTTATGAGCTTGATTTAGCCGACCTTACTGCCGTTCATGCATTTGCTACCACTATCTCGGGGCAGATCACTAGTGGATCTTTACCTGCCATCAAGTCGATCATCTGCAATGCGTTTTACTGGAATCTTGTTGCCGATCCTGAACTCACCGTCGACGGATATGATAAGACTTTACAAGTCGGACACATCGCTCATGTAGCACTAATCTTACGCCTTCTCGAACATTTTAGTCCCGATGGCGGCCGTATCGAGCTCCTGTCGAGTATCTCACATTATCGTAAAAAGAGCATGATGACGCCATATCTTCCCGAAATTCCTGATAACGTCGACCTCTTGATCCATCCACCGGCGGACCCCGATAAGCAAGGTAGAGGGGCACAGAGATATGCCATTTTGAAACTGGTCGTTACCACCTGGATGTATCCACTCAACGAATATTTACAAAAGGTGAATGTCCCAGATACTTTTCTCTGAGATTTGACTAATATTTCGACGCTATAAGGATCCCAAGTTCTCCAAGATCACCGTCGTGGCCATAAATCCCGGAAACCTTGGCGACTCCCGCGCTTTTCAAACCAATGTCCCACTTTCCATTAGGATCATGCAGAAAGTCTTATTCAAACCACTGATGCCCTTGATTCAACGCTTTGCTGACCCGATATTCCGCACGTCGCACGAGGCCGGCATTGATATCATAGAATTGGGTGTTGCTAAGGCCGAAGATGGCGAACGTGGTTATTATACGCTCCTCAAGAAAGACGACCCTGACCCTGCCGTGCTGGATAAGGAGAAGCAACGTATTATATGGGAGAAGAGCGTCGAGTGGGCTAAAATCAACAAGGACAATACCGCGCTTAAAGTCGCATTTGAATAGTCTTAACTTTAAAAAGATCCAAATGTTTTGCTTCGTTAGGGGTAAGATGATACTAGTCAACTAATGTTAAACTAATACTTAAGTGGGGTGAATTTGTATTGGTGGCATGATGCTGAGGGTTTACTTTTAAGGTAACTAGCATTCTTTTGGAGTAAGTATTAAGATGACGTCGTTACTCAATTCATAGTCTCGTTTTGTATACGTAATGAAAAAGGTTGAGCGAGGAAAATAGTCTGTTTATAATCAGTTTTATATCTAAATTTATGAAGCGGCAATGGCCCAACTCAATTGAGATGAAAAGAAAATAAACCATTTCCATATAAAGTCGGTGTAACTTTTATGAACGTGACGGTTAATCCTATACAAGTCGCTAACATCTGCTAAGCTTTTAAACCCTTTAACAAAATCTATATCGATAAGCTTATCTGATGGGCGAAATTGCAATTACCGATATCAGCGAGGGAACTTTTGCTCCGTGGGTTTTCATGAAACTTAGAAACTGATTTTTATGTCTCAACAAAACGGTGGCGCACTTTTTATTCATCTTATCATTTCATAATTAATATAACTCATAGGTTGACATATGTATGCCATATGTATAACATAACTAGTCGACCTACATAATCATACTTATCCGCTTTCCCGGGTGGGCCGAGTCAAAGACAGTGGAGAAGGGAGAAGGCCCTGTTTCTTTATATGTACACTACTATTACAGATGTACATTGTCTCCATACCTATCTCCATTGTCTCCATGGTCTCCTCCATATCCCCGCTTCTCCATCGCGGTCATCCAGCTACAAAGCTTTACGTTTTCGACCATGAGCTTAGCGTTACGCTATTCGCATCGTTGGCTGATAGGCGAACCTTATTAAAGCTAGATTTACATCATACAACTTCTCCTCCTGGAGAGCGACACGTTTCCGAAATGTCCACTCGGCCTACAGATACGACAACGTGTCTACCGTTCTTCTTCAAGCCTAGAAACATACATGCCTACAAGCATACATGTCCCACAAGCTTCTTAACTCATAGGGGATACTGGTGAGCCTCAACGGTTAGGTAGGTATGGATAGGTATGGGTAGGTAGGGATAGATTCAAGAACAATGATTCGTCTTGACATTTCACTATCTCGCGAGTTGGGGTGTGGCCCGGATCCATAACAGCCTTGGCTTTGTAAAGGTTGGGTTGCTCCAGTGGCAACGGCTGATGAATGGAACGACCCAGACCAGCGTAAAGACTGCGTCAGGACGACGCAGCTTGATTTTAATAACCATCATGCCACGACCGTCTAAGGGAGTTAGCCAAGTACCTAACGTACTTACTACCTACACACACTAGGTGGTCTTGCATGATGCCATTACTACCCTGAAGAAATCCTTATACCAGAATTATCACTTTCAGATTATCATTGATTCTTTTTTTTCGATAGACTTGGTTGGGTCTACCATTTCATCATTCATTCTCTACCAACACACGCGAGTCTATTATTTTTTCACCAAGCATTGTCGATTTATATCCTTCAAACGCCGGATCAACGATTATTGCCTAACTGTAAGTTGTCAATTGAGCAAACACCTTATCAAGTTCGATCCCTAGTCTTTTATCTGCATGAAAGCTGCATGTAGTTGCACATGTAAAGTTACATGGATCAATGCAAGCCCATTCATATAAACTATTCTGGCCTGTCAGAATTTTAACCCATGCTTTTCGATAAAAGAAACTAATTAATTTTGAATAAGAGATATTATATATATATTTTCAAGGGAAGGACTAAGCCTGCAGTCTCAGATTGTATTATCCCGTTAATCCCGTAGCTGGACTTCCGTGGATTCCCGTTGGATTCGCCTCGAGTCTCCAAGCTCTCTCACCAGGCTCTTAACAGGCTCTTACCCGAGCACCCGCGAATCTAGGTTCGCACAACAGCGGCCGAAGTAACTCCAATCCGGTTTGATTGATGGCCCAAAAGCCTCATTCAGCCCCCTAATATCCATTTTATTTCATGGACACCATCCTCGATCCTAAACTTGTCGAACCGACTATCCTACACTCGGTCGACCCTCGAAAGGCATCAATTAGTCATGAACTCGTAATAACTCAAAAATTAACTTCTATATCATCCGATATGTCTCACCAAAAGGTCCCTATTACCTTTACCTACAAGAAGAAGGATACCGATCCTCCTATCTATATAGCAGGTTCGTTTTCGGATCCGCCATGGCAGCCCCAAGAGATGGATGTCGCCATCGACCAGCTTGGTGGTTATCTATTCACTAAACAAGTCATGGTTGACGATGGCACCGAGATCCAATACAAATTCCGCATAGGATCTGGTGATTGGTGGGCCTTGGACGAGAGTGCCGATATAGGTAAATATTTCATATCCTATATTAATTTTCACTTCCGTCACTACTTCATATACTAATTGTAATTCCCCAAGCCACGGATGAATCAGGAAATACGAACAATGTTCTTAGAGTCTCAATTGATGCGTCTCAAGAAAATGCCACCGAGGTGCCAAACCCTAAGACCAGCGAATTAGAAGAGTTGGATCCCAACACTGGCACGCAGACTCCGGACTTCGCACAGGCAGCTGCTGAGGTGGCTGATTCGGCACGCACTTTAGACCCCGAGACCCCTGAGCCGGAGATATCAGACAGCGAAGCAGGAAGAATAGGTACCCGACGTATGTCAACCACTCCAATTGGTGAGGTCTCAGAGACAGCTATAGAGGTCGCCAATGTTGCTGCGACGCTAGATATTGAAGAATCTGTTTTGGATGATGGGGATGACGGCGAAACAGACCTATGCCCTATGTTTTCCCATGAATCTATAGGACCATCTTCTCACAAAGAAGACGTACCTAATGATGATGATGATGATGACATTAACAAGGATAACAAGTCTCATTCCGAGTTCGGCAACCCGGCTATTGAGATTGAGGGCGTAGACTTTGACGATCCCCAGTTAGAAGAGTTTCCGTCAGACAATCGGGAGTCTATCATGGCTGCTATGCGACGCATTTCGACGAGCATAGATGTTGACCGCACAATTACCGACGAACTTCCACCGACACCCATAATTACTATTCTCCAGAATTCCAAGAATTTCTACTCACTCGATAATCAGAGCGAGTCGCCAAGTGTGTCAGATTCGCTTTCAGATGATAAGCAGAATCTCCGCCCTGGCAATAGCGTCAGACAGTCGCACTCCGGGCGTAGAGAATCATCGACGAACTCTCTAGGGTCAATTTTGGAAGATGATGAAGCGCTCAACGAGCATGCTATTGACGAGACGGAGGATGCTACAGCTCCGTTCATACAACACCCTGGGCCATCTTGGGGTTCTCCTACCCCCGACCGTGTCGTCAGCGATGATGATAACGACGAAGGCATTGCTATGAGGGTTGATTCTAGAAAAATAGCCGAGCAATCTCAACATTGCTCTCCGTCCTTACCTTCACCACCTGCATCTTCCGACGGCAATATTCCGGAGGCCGCAGAGTTGGACCCAGAAACCCCGCCATCGGTACTGAAGGACCCAGTCCTGGAGGATAATGTAGATGTTTCGGGAAGTACTGACGACGTACCGGCCATAATTGAGAGCGATTTACCTAAGCTCAGTACAACTATCACTACACGTCGCACGCCAGATAGGTACTTGAGTAACAGTTCCGACATTGAGAGTACAAGCGAAGCGAATGGAAAATCAACATCTTTCGGTACCACTAGCCCGCCAGGCTTACGGAAACGTATAATCGACAGGCCGGCTACTCCACCTTCTACGCATCACTACCAGGGCCGCAATAGATATCCAGACTGGTTAGAAGCTTGCATACGGATCGTGTTTGTGAAATGGATTGGAGGCCTTGCGTCATGGCTACATGACCGCAGAAACAAAGCGTAAGTTACTCCCAACCGTATGATCGTGCTATATAGGATCCTTCTTCTAACTTTGATTTAGGCTCATGGCTGCTGGCACGGCAGCTATTGTCGTTGGGGTAGGCTTATTATGGCAGAATCCGGTTCGGCTGTAGCAGATAATGAGGATGCTGGGCAAGGCGAGAGTGGCGCAGAATGTACGGGACAGAGCTCGTGGATTCAAACCTTCCTAGACCCTGTATTCATACGAATCAGTTTATCATCGGTGTATGCTTAACTTGAATACGACTAACTAATTGGAGTGGAAAGAGTGGAAAGTACCTAGTCGTTGCCTATATGGCTACTTAAGATGATGGCTATGATAGGTGGTCTATGTAGGTAGCCAAACGAGAGCCGATGAGACCATGAAAAATTTTAGATTGCAGTATTAGTGTTGGTTTTAACAGCGTCTATCTGTGAAGGTTATAACCATTGGACATCGCTTCATTACCGAGAGCGAAGCAGTCCACGAAGTTTCTCTTGTAGAACGAATCAAATCAACTGCAGCACTAGCAGTAATAGTTTAACCTACCAGAATTATCTGAACTTTACTAACGGATAGCGATCTATCAGGTTCTAATAAAGAAGTCCCTCTGAGATTACACCATTGATCATAAGTACGCACGTCTTAAATTTTAGCTCAAGCGAGCCAAGGCATGGGAATGCGGCAATTATGTTCCATCTTGCTCTTGATAATATCGCGGAGCTGGCGTCGTAAGCTTTCGATATATTTGTTGCCGTGTCCCTTAAAATAAACGTAGTTGTAACGTAGGTAAGTAGTCAGGTAATCAAAGGGTTAGCCCCTGAAAAGGGGTAAGAGGTTGATCCTAGTTAATATTTTTCAAATATCTTATATCCCCAGCAGTGATCATCTTATATAGGATTGTCGATGTTTTAAGTACATTAAACGTTTGATATTGTCTAAATACGTAAACTCACTATGAAAATATCTTCAGACCCTATCAACCATAAAACATCCAAACATCCAATTTATTCAATGCGGCTTTTCGAACTGTAAGCTGCTGATGAACATACTCCAAAAGAGAGACAGCATTCCCAGCATAATTGCTAATGGCACAGATGGATTCTGTAGATCAGTACCATACCCCTGAGGTAGAATCCCAGCCATGAAAAATGCAAGCATTGGCAGAACGCAAATGAGGTTATAACCTAGTACCCACACGAAACTGATACGTTCACGTGCATAAATCCCCCAGAATATTTGCCTATCATCTCCCGCTTCTTCTAGTCTCGTTTTCTTCTTCGGGAAGAGCTGTAAAATATCGTAAGAGTGGCACCCTAACCTTTTACATTTGTGATACCAGTGAAATGCCGGGCGTGGGCTATGACACGCGTAGAAGCGCTTGCGAAACTCATGTTCGGCGACTGGAGGGATATTATCCATCGGCTTCGGTTGGTATTCGTAGTCGTGATTTGTAGCTTCGGGGAACATATTTTTCTGTTTAGGGGTGAACTCATAATCATCGAACTTCTCACACTTTAGGTTAGGCAGTGTTATAGGTTATCATATGAGCTTTCCTGAGAGTCTTGGATACTTGTTTGCTTACCATGTAAAAGTCGCAATGAGAGTATCGCCATATGCTAGACCAGTTACGGAGAGAGCCTCGAAGGTGGAAATATTGTTCCCTCATGTTACTGAAGAATGTATGGCAGGAGAGCCCACTGACCCCGATTTGCGCGAGTTTATAATCGGTCCCCCTTTTCACCACAAAGAGGACCAGATGTCTGAAGGGATTGTCCATGCCATTTCTACTTCGATGTCCCTGCCCAGCTTGGATTTTATTGGCTGATGATGAGCTACTAGCCCCATAGAGTTGGTCGTTCCGGGAGGGCTGGCTGGAGCCTGCAACATCTTGATCAGACGCAGACATGTTTGGATTCTTGTAATCTACAGCGGAAAGAGGTTTTGTGTCACGCATGGGAATGTTTGACTGTGGTAGGTTGCTGATAATCTTCCGAAGACGTCTCTCGAAAGGAGAAGGAATCTCTGCCCATCTATCCTCACCACAGGCCTATATAGTTTGTGTTAGCCTTAGTTTTCTATATAGTAAGAATGAGCTATCTAGAATGTCGAATAGGGGTAACATACACATTTCCATACCAGCCGTACCTCCTCTTCCGCAAGGGGCCTTGGAAATGGTCGCAATGGCCACCAATCCCAATGTTCTCTGGTCCAGCGTTCGACTAGATTCTGGCATTGCCTGACTGCGTCATATGTGCGATTCATCCTCTCGTCCTTGTGGAATTGAATAGTATGTGGGTTTATATGTTGCAGTTCTGCCGTCAAATCAAAAAGATTGTAATCGGAGATGTGTCTATGGTATTTATTTTGAGGCTTCGACCATCGCCTCAGTAAGTCGCCAAGTTTAGAACGTAGACTAGGGTAGACAAAATCAAGAAGTCGATGTCGTAGGCATTGATATGCGACGCTACCTAAAATAAAACCCTCAATTTGGTCAATGTGTTTCAAAGAGCCGCATGGTTGCTCGTCATCACTACTTTCCTCGTCCATTGAGTCCTGGTCGCTATCCTCTGGAGGATCAGAGGGCCTTATAGAATACCTCTTAGTAAGAACGGGCATTCTGCGAAGGTATTCTTCAACTTTCTCCCTGCTGTCTTGGGTAATTTTTATAGCTTTCAAATCCTGGAACAAAGTCTCCTGGCTGTCTATAGGAAGTCTGGAGAAGATTTCTCTCATTATATTAGTTGGAAACGACCGTATAAATCTTGCAGCTGCCTTCTGCTGTTCGTTTTGTGTCTCTATTTTGAGACCCTCAGCACAACGCTTGAGCAACCTACGGAATTCACGTCGTGTCCCTTCTATTCCAATATTCTCTTTTGATACAGCTACCAATAGTAGAGATATAATCTCTTCGTCTTGGTAAAATAGAGCTGTGAAACTATGGACAAGCAGTGCATTTATTCCTTCTACTTCAGATACCGAGGTCATGGTATCGGGGAGCGAACCCGAGGAAAAAGTTGAGTCATTATCATCTGATAAATCAGAATCTTCCAACTCTATACGACAAGGAGTTGCATCGGGATCTTTTGGTACGAAATCTGCTTAAGTATTACCAAATAATATATAGGAAATTCAAGGGATTTTATTACTTACGTATTTCTTCCACCTTCCCGAACTCTTTGATTTTGTCGAGCGTTGCTGGACTCTTCTGCCGAGTATGGCCATGTTCCGCTTGTGGTAACGACACGGATTCCCTTCCCTGCACCAAGGCTCCTCTAGTTGATTCACGATGAATCAGGACATGCCCACAGTCACTACACTGCCTATGAGCACAGTGCCTGCACAGAGCATCATCTGGATTGCCATCATGTTCGAAACAGTCATATTCACTACACTCGCAACACTCTATTTTCTCGTCGGTGTGATAGATTGTATAACTAGGGTAATAAGGCTCGGGAGAATCGGATCTAGCATCGGAATCAGCCCTGTATGATTGTTAAATTAAGGATTTAGGTGTATACACCGGATATCTTCTTACATGATGAGATAGATTATTGGCGCTGGAGCGAAACCAACAGCTGGTACTCTTTAAACAGGTAGATTCAAGAGTGCCACAAATTATTCGAACTCTTAGTCTCTTTACAATAAGGTACTTGCTGATGAAACATAGCATAATTTGTTTCGCAGTGAATAAGCTGTAACTGTAGTTGCTTTTACCGATGCGCAGACATAATATTAAGGAAACAATAGTATAATGGTCGGATAGGCTAAGGACTCGAGTCCTTGATAAAGATAAGAAGGGACCAAGTCTGAGAAAATCTCTTGCATAGGTGAATATCGAAATAAATCATCCGACTTATAGGTTTAGCCGCGTGCGTAGAGGTGGCTAGAATTGGCGGGTTGAGTTCCTTTTTATTCGTCGAGGGCTATGCTATTTATGTAGCTATGTTGGCTTTACTTGCTATTGGGCTTGGACTGTGGCCATGGCCACCTGGTACATATGCGTGATAGGCCGTAGTCTGCCTTATTTTAAGGCTTAGCGAGCTATCACCTTGGGGTTATCTAAGGCGTAGGTGCCTAAATAATAACACGATTGTTTCCACGTAAGACAATCCTGATAACGATGTAACCTAACTGACAATTTAACTCTCTGTAAATCACCTATAATAGAATAATAGTATATACGAATCTATAAGATGTACTTCTATCTTGGATTCTTGAAACTAGTTCTGGGATTTCAACTCCACGTCAGCAAGGGGCATCTAGATTACATCAAATACTTACTCCTGTCGGCGCTAGCAAATATACACTCCTAGCCTTACCATACCTCCGGCCCAAAAGTTTCGCCCGGCGGCAATACGACCTGGATAGCCTTACCCTGGTAATCCATTGTACCCGTCACCACATCATTTCCCCACCAACGGGGAGCCTCGATCTCGTTGAGCGTAAAAACGAAGAATATGACTAGCGTGCCTAGAGCAAGACCGAGATCGAGGCCGGCAGACGTGAGGTAGTTGAGGCGGCTCCACCAGCGGAAATGGGTCTTCTTGATTACGTACTGGAATACGAAGCCAACGACGCCCCAAGATAGATAGTTAAGGGGTGTTGCCGGCGGGATCGAACCCGCGCCACCGAAGATCAGGGGCGCCATCAAATATTTGGCGCCTGACCTTGGCCATCGGCGTGCTGCGAACCAGAATATAATAGGTGCAACAGCGCCAACGACGAAGAACGTAAGGAGCCCTGAGTATATCTGGCCCGGAGAGAATACGCGGGATGGTCCGATTAGACCCCAGATGACGGAGGCTACGAGATTGTCTAGGTTAGCGACAGGACAAGAGGAGGGTTCCTTTAGAATTAAGGGGGTAGGTACCTGAGAAGAACACTCGGCCTCCGGGACAAGTAAACCGCTGCGGCTGAGTCAATTCACATACCCCTTCGATATTACCGAGCGCGAAATTGAGGACTGCGATCTGGATGAAGCACGAAAATGTTGTCGCGACGACCTGAGCCATAAACATAGTTCGCGGAGGAATTTTCATGTAATGACCAAATTTCAGATCGGAGACGAAGCTCAAAGCTTGTGCCCTATGGGAGTTGGTTAAATGTGATGTTAACTAGAAGACTATCCCTAGGCACTTACATTGTGATATAACCGTATGTTTTAAATCTAAAGGTGGCTCATTAGTGATTTATATAGGTACCTATAAAAGCAAGATACGCTTACAGCATAAGAGCCAAAGGTCGTCCAGGCTGAATGTAACCGTATACGAACTCGGTTAAGACATTGAGCCCAATCTGGTGGTTCGTGACAGCTTGTATAATGCCAATTGGGAGTGAAAAAGTGAAAGAGATTCCCACGGCGAGTAAGAAAGCCCACCAAGTTAGATTGGTCGGATATGCTAAGACTGAAACAAAGGCTAATGCCAGCACCTATATGACAGTTTAGCGACGAAAGTCATAAGCTGTCCGGGGTTGAGAGAACGGACAATCGCGAACAGGGAAAAATACCACCACGAAGGTGCTTCCTTGTACTTCTGCATGAGCTTCATATGTACTATAATGTTCTGTGTTAGCAATGGTTATGCAAATTGTTGGGGGCGGATTCGAATTTGCTGGATGTATCCAAAGTAGTAATCTAAAAGATATTCAATATAATTATACGTACTGTCAGGTTTCTCACTAGTGCTGTTCCTGTATTGATCCCAGATAGCTCTGCTATGATGTAGATAGGTATATACTATCAAGGCAGTGATGGCCGCAAAAGACAGCCCGTAAGACAATGCAAAAGTGGTGCTATATCATGTAAGCTTAATATACGAGTGAGTGATATGGGGATCCTAAACCTGATGAAGATTGGTGAATAAGCCTTGTAGGCTTCTTCATCTAAGGTGAACTGGGAAGTCAATATCCTTGACACGTTATATGTGGCGCCGGTATTGTCATAGGTAGAAGAGTCGCTCATTGGTAAGAACGGAGCATACCATACGCCAGTGTAATGGAAAAGTGTAGAGAGTATAATATAAAATAGGACGACGCCTATCGTAGTATTTGCAATGGCATGCCTGGAAGCCAGTTAGCCGCTGAACGTGGACCACGAAACTAGGGCAACAAACCATGGGAAGGTCAGGGGCGAACCTATGTATCCTGATATCTGCGTCCAGTCAAAAGTAATCGGTAGCAGAGACAGGCCAGTCGTGCCACCGAACAATTGATTTACAATTGGATTCTGAGGGGCCATCCACGTTGCGAAAGCGAAGACACTCAAGAATTGGGCAAAGTATCCAGGAATAAAGTAGTATAGGGCAGAGACGAAAGTTATAATACCAAACCATCTATATCTTGGCATACGCCCGCCAATGATAGATGGGTCAGGTGCTTGGTGTTTCTCATACATCGCATTCATTAGAGCAACGGCGACTAAATTACCAGGCCAGATCATGGAGGCAGGATACACTGAGAAGCATTAGTATTAACGATAACTTACAGCCCTCTTCTAAACCCACCTAGAAATTTTCGCATCATGCCCGCAATCCCATACCCGAGAGATTGTGTCGAGATGGTCAAGACAAGTTGAAATATTATGCCGAAATTTTGCTTGTAGAATACTAGCTGCGCAAGTATGATATCAGTAGCATAGGCTACAGAGAATGATACGGAAGCCATAACAACGATAATAGAGTGCTCTTTTATGTTGAAAGGTCCCGGGTTTAAGTCACATCCCAGACCAAATATCCTAATCTGGCGGTCAGGCACGACTTTCTCCCAAGCACGACCAAGTGGCCAGGCGATGATTTGGGCGATGAGAGCACCTAGGCCGATTGAGGGCTGTCTCAATGAAAAGAGGGTATTCATTGATGCACCAACAAGAACCAAGGCTAACCCAATTGACCAGGCTCGAAGAGTGTTACATGGAAGATCTTCATCATAGTTGCGTACTGCAGCCCGGACCTCTTCATACGGTGAGTTTTCTTCGCCTGCTTTGGAAGCAGTTTCATCATCGAACGATGCTAGACTCCCGGAATCCATTCGATGTAACTCAATAGTCTCTTCGTCTGGGAGGTTGGGATCTAGCAAGTGCTCATATTCCTCGCCTTCCTCATAGTTATTGTCGTTTCGGTCACTAGATTCTGACCATTCGGGGATTTGGCGTTTTAGGCCATTAGCAGCACCGTTTCTTGGTGCCGTACGGGAGCGTTCCTCAGACTTTCTCGCTCGATGTCTAATTTCACCGGAAGTCTCATCCAGATCGGATCCATATTCCGAGATATGATCGTCTTCTTCTATCCTCTCCCTATTAGCCGTTCCAGACGGCCGTGAAGAACGAGTGTTCCCCATTCTGTAACTTAAAAGTTAAAGGTGACTTGGTAGGAAAAATCAACCCCTAAAGCCAAAATACCACGTCTTAATTCTCTAAGTTAAAATGGTGTTGATGCCATATAAAATATCATTAAAGATACTACCCCTGAAATATGATTGTCACGGGTTGTCCGTATTTGCTAAAACAAAGTAGCGAGCCATAAGTTGACTGACTCTAAGAAGACATTGTCCGACAATCTAATAGTGTTAAGATAGCGAGTGTTAAGATAGTGAGTGTTAAGATAGCAGAAAAGTAATACGGAGAGGCTTGAGAATAATAAAACCGAAAGTTCGCACGGTATAATTCCGTTTAGCTCCGAGGTAACAAATTGGCGTTTGTTTAAGATAGGTATCTTTGAAGCTGGATGCTGGAAGCGTGTTCAAACCTTCATTCGTCTACGTGGTTAGAAATTGCCTTGTAAAAGGTAAAACGCATCAATTTAAATATATGATACTACAATTCGAATATTCGTTATGCTTCTCCGAAATAGCTGCCGTCTCTTGTAATTCCGCGAAAGTATGAAAGGTGATGATTTCAAGTTGTTATTCTGAAACTAAATTTAGAGAACTGCCGCGTGGCATAACCTGGGAGCTGGGATTATTGATTGCCTGCATAAAATAATACTACTTCCTGTATCCCCATTGCAGAATTGCATTACGTTAGACAGGTACCTGAGTACATACATATTTGCAGCACCGGGGGGGGGGGGGGGGGGGGTCGGGTAGAGAGAGAAAGCTAAGGCATCTTTTTCCGCCAATGCAAGAAAATCGGTTAACTTCATAGCTGCATGATTTGGCTCAGGTCTTCTAATTTCTCAATATTCATAAGCTACAACTATGAGTGAGCAAATTTAAGCCCAGCATCCAGGTACCTCATCACAAATTACGTCAATACTTTCTACATAAATCCAGCTCAGGCATTCCTGGCTATGGCAAAGAATGCGCCGAGTTGTTGTCACAGGCCTCGGCGCCATCACTCCCCTTGGCGTAGGTATTCGGCATACATGGAATAAACTAATCGCTGGGCATTCGGGTATCATTAGTGTTGCGGACTTCGAACCGCAGAAACGATGGCGCGATCTTACGAGCACCGTAGCTGGGATCGTTCCAAAGTCAGGTCCCGGTGAAAACCGGTGGTGTCCCAATGACTGGTTGACGGTTTCGGATCAACGGCGCATGTCCACCTTCACTCAATATGCCATGGCCGCAGCAGAGATGGCTCTCGAGGATGCCGCATGGAAACCAAACAAGCGGGAAGATTTAGAATCGACTGGTATTTGTTTAGGAAGCGGCATCGGAAATTTAGATGAACTATACAACACTAGTGTTGCGTATGAACGAGATGTGAGATCATATGCACTACTTCAATAATTCAATATATACTAAATCTTTAAGGTAGGGCTACAAGAAGGTATCCCCTCTCTTCGTACCCAAGATCCTCATCAACCTAGCAGCAGGGCATATTGCAATGAGATACGGGTTTCAAGGCCCTAATCATGCTGTAACTACAGCTTGCACTACAGGGGCACATTCTATCGGAGATGCCTCGCGCTTCATTGCATTTGGAGATGCCGACGTTATGGTTGCAGGGGGGTCAGAGTCCTGCATTCACCCTCTAACCTTCGCGGGATTCGGGAGGTCGCGTTCTTTATCCACTTCCTTCAACCACGATCCACCCTCAAGCTGCCGGCCGTTCGATAGTCAGCGGGACGGGTTTGTGATTGCTGAAGGTGCAGCAGTTCTTGTTTTAGAGGAACTAGAGCATGCCAAATCAAGGGGTGCTCGTATATATGCTGAATTAAAGGGGTATGGATCTAGCGGTGACGCACATCACATGACAGCTCCTCGCGAAGATGGATCAGGGGCATACCTCTCTATGAAGAAGGCATTAAAGCATGCCGGAATCAAACCTCATCAAGTTGACTATATTAATGCGCACGCCACTAGTACCTCTGTCGGCGACATAGCGGAGGCCCTTGCCATCCGCTCATTAATGGCAGGCGAGGAAGGACATCTTAACGAGGGCCAAGTCTCCGTTAGTAGTACCAAGGGATCTATTGGGCATCTTCTTGGGGCGGCGGGCGCAATAGAAGCCATTTTCACCATCTTGGCCATTGTCGAGGTAAGTTTTCAAATCATGGTGTTAATTTTCGTAGGAGATACCCCTAACTAATTCGCTAACAGAATATTCTCCCCCCGACACTAAATCTAACAAAACCTAATGTTGAGCCCAAATTCAACTTTGTACCTCTTGAAGCTCAGGAGAAGAAGATCAATGTTGCTTTGTCGAATAGTTTCGGCTTCGGAGGTACCAACGCGACGCTAGTCTTCTCTCAACTCGACTAAGTCGATTATCCAGAAAACTCAGCTATTGTATTATTGCTATGTTAATATAATGACGTATAAATGCTATAAAGACATGACGAGTATATAATATTTCTACGCTTATATTAAAATATTACTAATCTTTAGATGTTGAATGCTTATGGAGAAGTACACTTGTACCTGTAGTAGATCCAGATCCCTGTTGTAGATCTCAAAATCGAGCAGGGGTCCAAGCTTCACGCAGTTTTTTATTTTTTATTTTTTCTCTACATTTATCTCTGACGTGCCCATGTCAATGACGTGAATCGACATTTGATAACTCAGACTACCGAATCCAGGGAATCAATGCCCTTCCTAACGACAATTACCTACCAACTTCCAGCACGGTAGCAAATGGCGTGTAGAACATGCAGACGGCAGCTTATGCTGCTAACCCGTCAAACTGGCTCAATCGCAGAGATCCAAAATGTTGCTACACCACAACGACTTATCGCCCCAGTTGTCGGCTCCCAATCCAGCCAGAGACGAAGCTTCAAAAGCACTCCCAACCAACCGGCCATAAACATCCGCGAGACAATTGCTAGGATATTCCAAAACACAGCCGAACCATATCGTATCATCAATGCTACCGAGAACATATATAAAACCTGCGCTCGCGAGGCAGACTATACCATTCCCGATAAGGACAGGAAGGCGGGCACGATAACTAAGACGGCGGAGGGAGAGGATATAGGAGAAGGGAAGACGATGTGGCATGAAGGTAATTGATGTTTTTATTGTTCCTGCTACCTGGTCATCAATCTGGTCATATAGCTAAGATTTCATCTTTTATCTGTTAGATTTCAAGCTCGCCCCGACTTTTAGCACATGGTCGCAGATCACAATGCTACACTTATACCTAGTATTCGCTCGACTACGCGATCTCGAACCAGACGCAGCGCGGTCGTGGCAGCGACAGCTTACAGACCACTTCTTCTTCAACGCTGAGGAGCGCATGGACTTAACCCACGGAATCACCTCGCGCGGGCTGCGACACCGATATCTTAAAGACCTCTTCGTGCAGTGGCGCGGGGTGATCGCCGCATACGACGAGGGCGTCATAAAGGGAGACTCCGTGCTCGCCGCCGCCGTCTGGCGCAACGTATTCAAAGCCCGCGAGGACATCGATGTGCGCTCGCTGGCCGCCGTCGTCAGTTGGATGCGGCTGTGTCTCAAGATGCTCGATCAGATCCCCGACGAGGCCCTGCACTACCAGACCGAGGCCGTCTTCAAGTGGCGCGCCAAGAACGAGCTCATGCTCGTCGATAAGCCCACGAGGGAACTCGACGGGCAACTGGTGCAGGAATCGCCGCCGGTGCAGAAGGTAGCTATGTAAGGCTCGGGGGGTTGTATGATAGGTAACGAGGTAGGTGGGTAGGTTTAGGATTATAATGACGGCACGTTATATCAAGGTGAAAAGTTAGTCTGGCATAGGGCTTTGCGTAATATTATCTTGCGCGCAGTAAAAAATAGAAGTTAAAAGTGATCTCGCAGCGAGATTTCTTCATGTACATATATATACCAGACCGTAAAGGCAGACATAAGTCAACTCAATCAACCCGCTCCCACATCTCAAACTCATACTTCGTCCCATTCTCCTCTTGCGCACCTTCGGGCACCGTCTCCCCGGTCCAAGCATCCAGCTCCTCCTTAGATCTCTTCACCCAGCCATTGCTTCCCTGACCGACCTTGTCTTCCTGTAGGCCAAGAGGGAAGAATGTGTCGCACTCGAAATCCGGCGACAGCACTCTCGTTAGCAACACGCGTCGCGCCTCCTTAAGTTCCAGCGCCGCTTCGTAGATCTGCGCGCCGCCAATGACGAACGCCCGGCTAATACTAGCAGCCTTGAGGTGCACGAGCGCTTGGTCCAGCGAGTTTACTCTTATCGGACCTTCGCCTGTCGTTACCGCCGTCTCCTGCTCGGAGCCAGCATGCGATCGGCTGATGACGATATTGAGACGTCCCTTCAGCGGCTGGAATTTAGGTGGTATGCTGTCCCAGGTCTTGCGGCCCATGATGACAGCGTTTAGCGCAAGAGAACCTGAAGATGAAGTTGAAGGTGGTTGTGGTAGACGCTTTGTCACGCGCGCAAAGTACGCCATTTCTTTTTTGAGGCCGGTCCATGGGAGTGTGCCGCTGCGGCCGATGCCCATGGTGCGTGTGGCGGCCACGATGAGGGTTAGCTCCGGGGGGAGCATAGTTGTGGAGGGTGAGGGTTTGGACATTTGCAGTTTTCTTTCCTTGCGTCGTATTAGGAATTTTGGTGATCAAAATGAGTAGTATTGTTTTTTTTTTGTTAAAATAGGGAGCAGATTGTTCAAACAAGCTTGAAGGTGAATATTTTGAGGCAAGTTGGGGTTGCTAGCAATTATTTTTTCAAATTTTTAGTATTGCTTGTAAATCTGTCTAGGCCCCCTTATTTTCCCTTTGCAAACAACTAGGTAACTACTCAATACCGTACACTATGTCTCATTGTCCATACCCTAATACTCTGAGGCCTTGTCATATAATATCTATTTATTCATACATTACAATTTACAATCGTAGCCATGTTGCTCAATCGAGACAAGGATGTGAGTTCCAATGGCAACAGTATAAGAGTCGTATGAGACATACCTCCTATCGAAACAATTTCAGCAGCAAGCTCTAGTAAAGTCATGCAATACGAAGTAATAATCAAGGATACCTACGTCGAATCCTAACTAGCATCATGCGAATCATAAAACGGGCTATACTCTAGTCTTAACATTAGAAGCTAATACACAATTTTAGTTATTCATTAATCCTCGTTATACATAACACCCCTTATACACCCTCAACTCACCATCCTCTCAAGCTGCAGCAGTAGCAACTTTACCCTGTCTTAGTCTCTGCTCCTCCTCCAACCTACGCAACTCCTCCCGCTTCATCGCCTCCTGAATTCGCACTCTTTCCGGGACCACCCGTTCCCTCGGCGTCGTGATCCGCCACCCCTTCAACTTCTCCGGGCCGCCCACCGCTGCTATAGTCTTCTGCTCTACGAGGCTGTATTCCTCTCCGCTCGGTCTGTCGAAGCGGAACGGCTCCCGGATGCTGACCGGAGGGTTTGTGATGATGCGCACGGCGCGCCGCGCATTGCTTGTTGCGCTGTGCATCATTAGGGGATGGAGTAGGTACACATCGCCTACAACGCCCATAGCCTCGACGAAGTCCGTGTCCGCACAGTTTTGCGCGATTTCAATATACCACTCTAGGTTCTTCTCGCGTGGGAAATCCGGATGCGCTCGGGGTACCATGCGCGGCGATACGCCTTCCTGTGACGATATATAAATCAACATTGCGCTCAAATACTCATCCGAGTACCCAAGGTAGATTAGTGAGAGAGCTAGGAGTTCCGACTCCCTAAAACTGGGTTAAAAGAAAATGGGGAGAGGAAGCAAGCACCAAGGTTACATACCGGGTGTTCGTACAGATGCTTCGCAACCCGATTGATAGCCGGCGGGCAAATCATCGTACCACCTCCCTCCGAAACAATATCTGTAAACAACGGGATCACAAGCAGTGCCTGCTCGGGACTATCTAGATAATGCACGAAGAAATCGCCATCGACATGCCAATTCGTCAGCTCCTTAGGCGGGACCGGCCTACCCTCCCTCTCTGCCGTGCCCAAGTTAACGATCAGCGAGTCCCGCCAATGCCGGGACTCGGGGTTAACCCGGCCCTCGCCGCCGCATAGCTCGCAGATCGCGTGCCACGCCTTCGGCGCAAACTCAGCGCAGTCGAAAGTCCGGTGCGACGGCATGTTAGTTTTCTCCTTGGTCCATGTTGACTTATCTGTCGGCGACATGCCCAGGCGCGTCCATACCCCCTCGATTACGGAGGCGGCTTGCTCATGCGTGAAGCAATTGTTTAACTTTAGGTAACCGTTCGCAAGGAAGAAGTCCTTCTGCTCTTGTGTTAAGGGAGTTGGTGGTGATGCCATAGCTGAATTTATAGCTCTTGTTATAGGGGTGAGAGGTCGTTAGCTTATTAGACCGTAGCTGTGGTTTTATCTCAAGATATCTACATATAGTTAATACGTCCTGTACTAGTACATACCCAAAAGGTAACTAGATAACCTAGGTAGAAATATATGGAAGCAAATAAGATAAGTTCAAAATAAAGGGTATACTCCCATCACAATATCCTACTATATTCTTAATATGTGTGTCCCAACGAATAGTAGCCTGTTAAGCTCCATCACGAGTGACGATAGCTGTCGAATCAATACACATATATTAGCCCCCTCTCCACTGGGGTAGCGGAATAGTTACGCGGGGAAATCGGCATATCGAGCCGTAATTCCCTTGTCCAATGGGGCATGCGATTTCGGAGAGCTGTTGGAGAACTCGGTTTAGTCTGGTCGACAACATCGTGCCGAAGCTTAGAGTAGATGGACTACAAGATGTTAACAGTAGTTACGGAGTATACCTCTAAATAGGGATGTGAAGCGACTATTGTTGTGCGATACAATTCGAGTAGTACCTCCGAAATTCGTAGTTTCTATCTGTCTGTCTATACCTTAGGTAGAATCTGTAGACTGTAGTATCATGCTAAGCATCAAATCTAAGTCTAAATAAAAACGAGATAGCATGGGATATGAGAAGAACAAAGTGCATCTCGTCATGACGTCGTACCCCGGAGATCGCTCAGCTTATCAGCATAGTAGGCGGGGACGGCCACGGCATTCTCAGCCTCCCAATCTTCCCGCTTGTGAACACCAGTGAGCACATGTAGAGTCCCGCCTAGTTTACCCTCAACACCGAATTGGATATCGGTATTCAACCTATCCCCGACCATGCAAGTCCGCGCCCGGTCCAACTGGAACTTCCCTTCAATCGCATCCATCATAGCCTGACTAGGCTTCCCCAAGGTCAATGGTGTCTGCCCGGTCATGTTAACCAGTGGGATGGAGATAGACCCGGCGCCGGGGAAGAAGGTGTCGCCCATAGGTAGTAAGTTGTCGAGGTTTGTCGCGATGAATTTAGCACCTCGTCGTATATACTGGTAGGCCATTGATAGCTTGAGATAGTTAATGTGGAAATCCAGCCCGGCAAGTACAATACCGACATCCGGATCCAATAGAGAGCCGTCGGCTAGCCCCTTAAAGTCCTCAGGCGTAATGTCTCGTCTTAAGGCTGGGTCTGTGCCACCGATGAAGGGTACACCCTCGGTACGTAGCTCGGACTCCATGCCGCTCTCACCGATGATGAAGACCTTGTTCTTAGGTGCCGGTAGCTTCAATATACGTGAGATATATACTGCGGCTGAGTAAGACGAGCCGAATATCTCCTCGACATTACTAGGGATACCTAAGCCCGTCAACTTCTGTTGGTAGCCCGGTCGGTCCTTTGTAGAATTATTGGTGACGAATACAATCCGTTTTCCTACTCTGGTTTAGTTCGTGGTACACATACGTGTAGGTTTTGTAGTTTTGTTAGGTCAGATTTAGCTTACCCCTAGATCTCAACATCTCCAGTGTCTCGACGATGCCTTCGAAGACATTGTCCCCAGACCATAAGACTCCTATAAATTTTCAGCCATCTGGTCTTTTCGAAGCTTGGCCATTTATTCTAACCATCGCAATCGAGTAGGAAAACCTGCATAGAAAGTAAGACTTTGTGTGAGACTTTGTGCTTTATGTTATGAAGGGTGGTGGCTCAGGTTAAAATGACGCACGTCAAACTTATCGAGAAACTCATTGATAGCGGCTGAATCACCCGTCAGGTACTTGGGTGTTTGTGACATATTTATAATATCAGAGGGCTTCAATAAATGAAGCAGGTCTATATTATCAGTTGCTATTAAATAGTAGTTGTTGTCGTCGTTGCGATCTATTAGTCGTATAAAATAGTTGTAAGAGTGAAGTTTTTAAGACGGTTTACTTCATATCATAGCAGCCGCGGCTTTTGGTTCAACAACCGTCCGTTCCCGGCACTACTATCATCGCGCCCGGCCTTTGGAACGGATAAAATATCAACTTAGTACCTATATGTGTTCCCCTCGTAAAGACCATTGTCAATATTTTTATTTCTTACATTTACATATCAGATTATCGACATTATATCCCTTAAAATCTACCTCTTATTCAGATTTCTTTTTCTACTAAAGTCTAACGGAATAAGGACTACACAGGTACCTAATGTAACGAGATATACATTGACCGCAAGGTACACCCGATAATCCGGATCTGCACGCAACATTACCATGCCGATGGCTTCTATTATGCATGATTCGGAATGAGAGCCTAATACTAATTCTTCGATTATGCCAAGCCAAATTCTCGGGAAGTATAAGATTTATACTCATCACCGTTGCCGCACCTTTCCGTCATGCTATATTAGGTACTTATACACGCTAGGACAGCTAACGTCACAAGTCTCAGATACAAGATCGAGTGCTATGTTCGTGCTGCATTGGAACCCTACCCGTGTAGAACGTGTGCAGAACTGTGCCTGGAACTGCCGGTAAGGTCGTATGTGTAATCATACCTAAGACCTATTGTTCTATGGTTGCGACGAAAATGTAGTGAATCGTGAGGGTTGCGATTCGACAGAGCTTCCGATCATACCTACCCTACACCGGCAGTGAAGATGACTTGTCAACTTGTTTCTTCGGCGATAACAGAAGAGTTGGTTGAGTGGTTCTAATCCCCAACCAATTGGTACCTAATGTAGTATGTATATCCAAACTAAAGAGCTTTATCTCGTACTACATTGATTAGGTAGGCTAGGATTAGATGTTAGGATAGTCTGACAAGGTAGAAAGCTTTGTGAGATGAATAATTATGCACCAAACTCGAGGATATAGTGTATGCTATAAAGAATATTTGACGATCATCAAAGGAAGTGCTGTATTGCGAGATGGCAGACTAACCGAAAACGGTGTTAAATTCCAAACCTTCGAAAGTCATCGAAGAATCCATCATCGTGATCAACATCGTGAGCAATATCGACCTGATAACATTTAGGATAAGCAAGAGACACCGATTGGTTTTGGTAGGCGGGGTCCTTGCAGCAATGCAGAATTCATAAGACGCAATTTTGGAAGTTGGTCCCGCATTAGATCCATTCTAATGTTGCGCAGAAACCCCCACTTACCCACTAGCCCACCCATCTACGGAATAGAACCCGCTTATCTACAAGGCAGCTCCCTGTCCCGCCCCTCTGGTCACCCAAGATCAGTAAGCCCTACGTCAATCAATGAATAACCCCTCCATGTTTTTCTTTTCCTTTTCTTTTTTATCCTTTGGCAAAAAAAAAAAAAAAAAAAAAAAAAAACCCCTGAACGTTGACACAACAACCTAATCTACAACCTTCCATACATATGCCCATACCCATACCCATCCCTACCTCCCATCCCTACATATGAATAGGAATAGATAAGACAGGCAGAATCATCGTTGCCACGCTATTTCTCTCTTAATACCAATAAACAATATACACTACCTTCTGATACTAAGCTAGGAATTTGATATCTGGTCTTGCAACTTTTTATAACCAGCCAACCCAGACCTATCAACCCAATTACAAAACGGCCGGTGGCTCAACGCCAAGGTTCCTAGCGCATTGATTCTTAATAGCGAGTGGACACTGCCAACACAAGATACATACCTACCTAGGTACCTAATGTAACTAGGTATATCGTTTTCGATCTCGTCTACCCCCCCAGTTTACCAGTCAACCAATCTAGCATCGTAGGGACCAAAGAACAAACAATTACTTAAGAATTAACATACACCCAAGACCTTTGATTGTCACGGTGTTATGTTTATCTATCTATTTAAGTACCTTATCGATATTTAACCGTTACCTTACCTGAGGCTCTTAATATAAGCTTGGGTGGTAATTGTTTCCCTAAAAAGAAATCACTCGTGAAAGCTACCTCACCTTACATGACCTAACCCCACTATCATCATCATCTTCCGCAAATAACTCAGAATTTCTTAAATTAAAGAATTTCGCCTCACCGACTCACACCGACTTACCACATTCATATCTCATATTCCATATCCCGCATTTATACCTACTCTCATAGGCACTACGTATTCAGAAGTCCCATACCAATAGTACACCACCATGCCGGGAAAGCAACCCAATTTGTTCGCTTTTAGCGACGTTGAAGCTCTTGCGCCCGCCCTGCGATCCTACATCATCACATGTCAAAATGCTGGCATCACACGTCATGGCGTCTTTAAAGTCGCCATTTCGGGCGGCTCGCTACCTCAGACCCTCGCTAAGGCCCTCCTTGCGCAACCGAAATCTAACGAAGACACGGTCAAATTCGACAAGTGGGAAATATTCTTCGCTGACGAGAGAGCTGTACCTCTAGATCATGAAGACAGCAATTATGGTTTGGTTAAGAAGGAGCTTCTGGAAAAGATACCAACCGAGCTAGGCCAGCCTACCATACACCCAATCGACACACAATACCTAGATGACACGCAGGAGCTAGCTGACCAGTATGAAAAAATACTTGTCAATTCCTTTGCTAAGGGAGACTCAGTCAAGCTACCCATCTTCGACTTACTACTCCTTGGCTCAGGCCCAGATGGTCACACTTGCAGTCTATTTCCAGGCCATCCGCTTCTTCGCGAGACAGACGCATGGGTAGCACCCATCGACGACTCACCTAAGCCGCCGCCTCGACGGATCACATTAACACTACCCGTTGTCACACACGCTGTCAAGGTCGCCTTCGTCGCTACGGGCGCTGGAAAGAAGGAGATCATGAAGGAAATATTCGAGCAAGGAAATGGACTTCCTTGCGCACTTGTCAACGAAGCAACCGGCGAGCGCTGTAGCTGGTTTACGGACGTCGCTGCCGTAGAAGGTGTCAGCTTCCCGCGACGTGGATTCCTATAGAGTTCCGTAGAGTGGGTGTAAGGGAGATATACCACCGGTCATGGCCAAATGAGCCGGGACTAGATTACGGCAGGCGAAAGAAAAGTTAGGAGGCGTCTCTTGGGGTCCGCAAGCGAGTAATTAGTGCTGTCTTCTTCGATTCACAATTTAATCTATGTAGACTGGCGATGAGTGGACGGTTCTTACGAGCATCAGACGTGCGGATTTTATTGCATTATCATACGAATGAGGCGTGATGGGACATACATCTCTCGGGAAGGGATCTGATACCAAGCACGCACAAATTAGTTAGAGAAGTGACATACACCCCTCCTCTATCTTGGACCTCCTTCTTGGTCGAGGGGGTTTGGAATACTGATTATATTTTACCACGATTGCTTACTTGCTATGATTGCTGTGCTATGACTTTACTTTATACGAAGTTGTGTTGATATGCTTCATACCAGCGTCACCTAGGTTGTTGCACATATGTTTTGTTTGGCTTTTATTTCCCACAATTGCCAAATATGAGCAGACAAATACGCGTAGTCCATCACCCATTTAGAGACTAATATACTACTTAAATACTGATGCTTGAAACTTATACTGCTCGTTACCTATGTGAGTATGGGATCTGTCGCCCTTAATAGGTCCTAAGCAGTTACCTTCACCACTGGAACGTTAATATCGATATCCAAAGAGACGGTTTAAGTATCAAATATGAACTATAACTAGTACATAAACCAGAATATAGGCCTTGAATCCGATCTAGGGTCCTTATTAATACTTGTCACTGCTCTGGTGGGACTTAGAGGGACTATAAATGACTTATATACGGAATAATGCCCCTTAGGAACCTCGTAGTTGGGATCCTGATAGTAGTTCGTATCCAAAATTGACCTCTTATCTAACTCCATGAATATATAAATAGGTACATATGGCTTTCGAAATGTATTAGATAAAGGTAAAAGAACAAGACGATAGAAATAATGTACCTACCTACCATATAGAAAGATAGAATTAAAAATTAAAAAAAAAAGAAATGTAAGCCCGGATGGGATTTGAACCCATGGCTTTTCCAACATCAACATCTCAACCAAGTTCATTTCTCAGAATGAGCGTAATGATGGAATGTGCGACCACTACACCACCGGACTTTTAGTTGTATTGTTTGGTACTTGTGATGCTGCTGTTAGGAATTATATTGCTGCCTTAGGTGGTTTTTGATTCTAGGTACCTATGTAGCAACTGTCTACAGCAACGAGCCGGCCCGTACAATTGCACATGCACCCAAAGACGGCATATATACCATAGCAACAGCCAGTTCTTTCGACCTGTGTACTGTACCATTACACACAAACTGGTTCTAATGGTAGAGTTGCCAGCACAGGTCAGTAAAATCCTAGCATACAAAATAAAAGGCTAGGGTTTTCGTAGGTCCTAGATTTCGAATCATTTCCAGCATAATGCGGTTCGAATCTGGGACTGAGCTTTTTGTATTTCCTTTTCATATCGTTGTTCTTTTAACAACTTAGCACAAGTAGCTGCCACATGTAATATACCCTTGTAGGGGATATACTATCCAGCCAACCCCCTTTTATTTTTTTCTTACCCACGTCCTCACCTCCGTCTTTCAAGTGAACTCAAAGGAGCCCGAACAAATACGTACCTACCGCCCCTCGAGCTTCTTTTCCTTGATGAATATAGACGAGATCAATGCACCCGAAGCTAAAACAGCAACTGGTATGAAAGCCCACTGCACAGCGACGGCGTAGCAGGCCCGCACAATCTCAGCGATTGCTGGATCCAAGGTCCGGATGTAGTCGAGGCTCTGGCGCACGCCCTCCTCAATCTCACGCGCCTTATCGCCATCACCACCGAGCTCCGCGGCTAACTCAGTGCGTAGGACTTGCTGTAGGACTGCCGTGGAAATGCTAACTCCGAGCGTCGTGCCGAGGGACCGGAATAGATACGAGCATGCAATAGCTACGGCCGAGTCGGCAGGGGTTGCATTGGCGATTATGGCAATGAGCGAGCTGGTAATTGCTAGGCGGGTATGTCAGCATTCTATCATACGTCTTCTGTTACTTGAGGTGCATCTAGGGTTTCATAAGACAGAAGGGAGAATAGATGGGAGGCAGAGAAAGACGAAACATACAAGAACCAGACCCAAGCGCCATGATACAGAGACCTGCGATAACACCTACAGTCGACTTCGCCACTGCGCCTGAAAACGACACAGAGGGTACTATACCGAGTACGACTAAGGCATAACCGATAACCGTGATCCAGTAATACTTGCCCGTCCGGCGCATGAGAATCCCACCGCCCAGTGAACCCGTGAGCCCGAAGAAAGTGCTGGGTACGAACATGAGACCGGAGTACGTTGCCGAGAGGCCCACGGCAGCCTGGAAGAACAGCGCGATGAAGAACGAGACACCCATCTGTGAGGCCACACCAAACATATTGGCCCCGTATACCGCCAACAGCGGCGGGTCGAGGATAATATGACCTGGCGCGAACGGCACCGACGCAACTTTGACCTCGATGAAGAGGAATAGGGCGATGAGGAGTGGTGTCAGCGCTAGGGGGATAATGGTGATTCGCTGGTTCCAGCCTTCATTACTGCCGTTATCAAGGCCGAATAGTAACGTGAACACAGCCGAGGCTAGCGTAAAGGCCCCTAGAAAGTCGATACGTAGAACCTTGTGTGTCCAGTGCGCGTGGTCCGCCTTGGGCACGTCGAGGACGAAGAATACAGCCAGCCACGCGACTAGCGACAGCGGGAACTGGGCCGCGAACGCCCACCGCCAGCCGATAGTGTCGGCGATGAGGCCACCGATTGGTGCACCGGACACCACTGTAACAAGTAAAGTCAACAACTACTTCTTTTAGAAAGTCGTGCGGTAATTTCAGCCATGTCTCAGGTGCAATACAATCTATTCAGCTCGATGAGGGAATGCTAGCACCCGAGACAAATCTAAAAAGGGGAGGGAAAATAAGAAAAGGGAATTATCAGTGTTACATACTGCCTGCAGTGTACACGACGTTAATATATCCCTGGAAGAGGCCCCGGTCCCTGAGGGACACAAGGTCCGTGACGAGGATAGTCACAACGGCGTTCATACCGCCACCCCCGATGCCGGCTATAGCGCGGGCCACGCACAGCTCGACGATGTCCCGGGATAGCCCACAGCCAAGGCAAGCAAGTCCAAAGACGGCGTAGCCAAACAGCAGACATTCCTTACGGCCGAATATGTCAGATAACCGCCCATATAAGGGTTGGAACACCGTCAGCGTTAGGAAATACGAGGTGGAGATCCAGCTCGTCGAGTTCAGGGCATTGAGGTCGCTGCCCATCTTGCCGTAGGTAGCGATAGTCAAGGTCTGGTCCAACGCTACCATGAAGATCTATTACCATTAGCATCTATGAACCCTTTCGATATGTATGAATATCTATATTTGCATAGAAGAAAGGACCTATAACAATAGGTTAGGCCTAAAGGCTCTCACTTACACCAATAGCAAGCGCCGGTAGTAGCGCCTTCATGTTTACTTTCAACTTCGGCGCATCCCCGATCGGCGCAGCACCGTTAGGCCGGCCATTTTCCACGTCATTCTCCGGGAAGTCGTCTACGACGGAGTTGCTCTCACTCGAAAACGTGCCGTTAGACTGACTCTGAGCTGAGACGCTAACGACAGAAATATCTTTCTTTAGCAGAGGTGTCGTCTCGGCAGCCCCTTCGGCATAGCTAGGGGTAGTGTTTTCGGAAGACATTGATCTAAAACCTAGATGATTTTACGTAGATATCTAAGAAGAAAAGAAAAGAAAAAAAGTAAATTGGTCTAATTAACACATCTTCGAGCCCAAATGCACTATTTCCCCAGACGGGGGGGGTAAAGATTACGAACAAAGACGAGCTTCAAACGGTTGGTAGCGGTCTGCATATCTGCTATCACGCAATTGGAGGATTCTGCAGTGATTGATAATCTATCGGCATGGGGACATGGGGACGCGCTGTCTGGCCCTCACGAGATAACGTTCGCCCGCAATCGCTAACGACCCGCCGAAACCCCATTTTATAGATGGTAAATTATTTGCGTAGTGGATGATTTCTTTAGACGACTCGAGGATTAAATCATACCTAGGTATATCGAATGATATATGAAATGATATATCAATGGTTGATGTCTTACATCTGATCTGCGTTGTGGTAGTTGTGGTAGTTGTGGTAGTCGACCATGTTTGTTCATTTCTCCCTTTATCTCCGAAACAGAAGCGAATTGCTGTTTGATTAAACATTACGATAATAGTATACTGGTTTTAGATGCAGTGCTCTCTCGAACTGCATGCTAACTGGTTACCAACGAGGAAACCGAGAGCTAACCAATGCACGTTGCCGCGTCGCGTTCGTATGGGCTTAATTTCTGCGGATTAAAATCCAGGTCTATGGAATTTGTGCTGCATGAGCATCTCGGATGAATACAGTGTCATACCTGGTTTTAAGACACAGGGTTTGTCTCTTTTTAGGGAATCTCATATATTTCACTGCTTAAATTAATGAATTATGAGTTGGTTGGAAATAAATAAAACCTAGGTAAATAGTATTGTTAGTTGATCATCAACTTAACTTACAACTGAGATCTGACTTATCTGCTTATGTACCTACCTATGTAGGTAGTTAAGCTAGGTAAACTTGCCCTATGCATATGGGATATGTCCATCACACCGGCTTGATGGTTCAGTGGACCCGGAAACTCGATCCCAACTCCCGAAACAGGACCAACACCCATTTTTATCTGTTCGATAAGTCCCGATATTTGTGTACCTATCAACTTGGATCTACAAGGGAGAACGGGAATGCAAAACACAACTACCAATCTCCGGCTTTCCCGAAGTTCCAGAGACGCTTACACGTGAAGTTCTGATAGGACCCCCTAAGCAGGGAAAGAATGCTACCTATTGATTTTGTCGAAGCCCTTACTGGCTAATCTCTCCGTACGTGGGACGGGATTAACCATGCTCGAGTTGTCATAGCCCGGTTTAGCCCACTTCGGACGAATTCCGACGCGTTTGTATGCAGTTAACTGCCTATCACGTAGTTGCTTGAAGACACAGCCTCAGGTTACTTCCAATCTATCGTACAGACGATAAACTATCGTGGCTGGAGCGATTTTCGCACACTACATCTTCGAAATGCGCATTTTGCTAGTCTCGTTTTAGTCTAGTGGTGAGATTTGCAAATTAGACATGTTCTCGAAATCTCTAGGCATCAGCGTCGGTACCTGTATGAGGTAGTAAGGATCCTCGAGCTTTTGCTTTCCTCTTCAAGCTTTTTTGCAAGCTTCTATCATAAATTCGTTGTTTAAGTGACTGATTTGAACCCTAAACGGTATCAATTGTGAACACTAGTCGAAGTGTCAATTAGTCGAGAAAAGCAACAGAAATACATCCACTTAGTCCCGTTAATTAAAATTGACTATCCTCCTCTTTGGGATCTTCCTGTGGCTGAAACGTCCGTTCAAGGGTCCATCTCCACGAGGGGCAAAAGTAACCATGCGGATTTGCTGTTCGGCCCTGTTCTAAAGGGAGGCGAGAGGATTCGCATATTGCAGTGTGAGCAATACGTAACAGATCGAGCGGGCCTCCCACAAAGAACACCCCCCAAGTCTGTAGGGCTAGCTCCGACTCGCCCCTGTCCCATCTCTAAACCTGCTTCCTCCCTTAGCCAGTTTCCGCAACAGTCTTGCAGGAAAATCTAAAAAGAACGTTGGGGTTTCCATCCAAGCAGGGATCTTCTGTCTTTTGACTCGTCGAGATTCTCTCGCGTGGATCCTTCGAGCGTGGTACCTGCATCAAAAGTGTTGTCATTCCGCAAAACCGTAGAGCAGGATCAAGCCAAGGGTACTGACAGAAGGTTAGCGAACCCACCCCGATTCAACAGCATATCACTTCTTTCTTCTGCAACCCTGATTGCTCAACCCCCGTCTCTTCTTTCTCGACCTTATCAGACGAAACGAGTGGGCAACGAGAACCGTCATATCTCATCAAGTTGGTATGACAGCATATGTAGTTTCGTCCTCCTTACGTCTTCCTATCAAACCCCTAATTCGGCCGATAATACGTAGTAATGGAACGCCCTACTCTTCAAGCCCCCAAGTCGGGTCGTTCACGTTTTTCAAAAGCGTTACCTGCCCCTCCGCCTGAGTTGGAGGACGAGAGGCCACAGATAGTTCCCCAAGAACCGTTACCTTCAGTTTTTTCGCCATTTCCACCCAGGAAGGATAGTGTTAGTGCCAGGAGCATTAGTAGTCCAAAGTCAAGCTTCAACTCAGCTCTTCCTTCGTTACCCCTAGAAAATAATATCATGGGGGCCACGAAGTTACAAACGCAGACGAGGTCGATTCCAAGGAAGCCAGTAGGACTACCAAAAAATCCAGCTCCAGCTCCAACTCCAGCCCCAGTCCCAGCTGCAGACGTCCAGACAAAGAAGATGAGACGGGTTTCTTCTATATCTAGTCTCTTGTCGGCATATTCAAACACATCGTCGGATTCTGTTCAGAGGTCGTCGCAAGGCAGTATATTCACAAAGGACAGCGAGCCATCCAATTCACCAGAGCGAGAAGGAATAAACGATGCTCAGCAATCATTAACAAAGACCCTAACAGATCTTCCAAGTAACCCTTATGGAGATGAGATGATACCTGATGTACTGCCGCCGCCGCCGCCATTGAAGGACCCGTTCCGTCCGAGTACGCCGTCTCAGACCCGGCCCGTAGACCCATTCCCGGCATTCCCCGTGTCCCGGTCCGGTGTATATGATGGAGGTCCGTCGGTGTCAGTGTCGCCATCTGACATTGTAGGTGACTCCCCACAGCGGCGGGAGATATGGCGGCGACGTGCATCATCGAAATCTGATCATGGCCTTCTCGTTCCAGAGCTCAAATTAGCTGGCTCTCACGGATCTACCGCATCCACTGCACAACCAGTCAGCCTAGACCCTCTCCCGCCCCCACCGCCCACACAAAATATCAACACCACTTCTTCATTACCTCCTAGGGGTGCGTCACTCCCCGGAAGAAACATTCGACCAGGAAAACCGATAGAACCGCAACAAGACGACAAGATGCGCAAACTTTCGGCAAAGCTCAAAGAGCTTACTAGCCGAGGCGAGGCTGCTAAAGGCCCCGTAAAAGCCAAAGATGAGCTGGTCGAGAAGGCTGAAAACCTTAAGAAACTGGAGCCTAAGGTGCAGTATGGGGATAAGACTAGCCTGAATCCCATACCCCCTGTAAAAGACCAGATTCTCGCCGAGGAATCTGTGATACCGAAAATTTCAGTCGAAACTGTAGTCTACGCGCCGATTCGTCCCGGACCATCGTCGGAGACCCCCTCAAAGGAGTCCGCAGAAAAGTCAATTTCGCGCCGCGCTGTCGGAGCTCCTACACCTTCCAGCCAACCGGAAGTCCATAAAAAGGGGAGCTCGTCCGATTTGAGACAACCGAGTCTTGGACTTCCGCGATATCCTCGACCATCTCAAAGCAACCCTTCCCTGCGCTCTCCGTCGGCTCTTCAAAATGTCCAGGAGCCAATAAGATACAGAGCTTCACCGCAATCCAGTCCGTCTGCTGCGATGCCTTTAATGTTGCCATCGGATTCAGTCGAACCCATGAAGAAGCCTGAGCTCTTTAATGTCGTAACGGCATTAAACGAACCTACGTTGTCGCCAGACTCGAGTGGTCGCAAACCGATGCGCAAGATCTCAAGAGATGTCGATGCGAGCGCACTTAGTGATATTGGCGAGTCGGTGGAACATATGACTGCAGAGCAGATAGCCCAAGTCAACGAGGCCCTCTCTCGTTTCCCTAGGAACTACAGCCTGGCCACCCCTTCAACCGATACTATCTGGCGAGCCGCTCCTATATCTTCGCGACATTACAACTGTTATGTTCGTCACGATAAATGGGTACCAGTTAAGAACTTGAACTACCCATTAGCTTGTCAGACATGTAGTGTTGAGGACTCAGGCTCGCGTAAGACCTGCTCGTGGTGCAATCTGCGCATTTGCTTCGGGTGTCATGAACGACTCATGGGGATTTATAAGTCGGACCTTAAGTTACTGATGGATAATATGGAAGTTGATCAGCGCCGCGAGAAAGGGAAGCAAGCAGCAAGCAACTAAACTTATGTCGATGACTATTCACCAACCAACCACATACTTCTCTTCAAATACTCTTCTTCAGACCTGGGGTCATTATTATTATTTCATCAATTTTCGGGATATGTATAGTACGGAAACCGGCCCTGATGCTTAAGGAGAATCGATAGCGAGGAAATGATTTTATTTGGTGTATGTAATGGCACATAGATGACGAAAATGGAGGAATTGCATTAGGAGATAGGCGTTTATGGTACGATGATACCTCTCTTGTACTGGTATATAACATGTACGACAAGAGCTTGGATATGGAAAGGCAAAAGGGAGAGGGTATAATGGAATCCAGGCTAGAAGCCGCACGATGATACCAATTGCAATTAAGCTTATGTAGATGCAGATGAATACAAGTGAACCGGTTATATTTTTCTTACTTCTTGACTTTCTTAACTTTCTCAATTTTAGTCCCCCTTGATATTGGGTAGTTTCCTTACTTGACCTATAAGTCCTTCCTTTGATGATATTTAAACTATTGAAACGCTTGAGTAACATAATACATAGTAGGTGCGTATGAAGTAGTTGTCATATAAGGAAGGGAGGATAGATTACCAATGTACCTAGGTAGGTATGTAATATACCTAATGTAATATACCTTGTAATGACAGGCGCAATTAACTGTGGAGGAACTAACGTTGCGATAGCCTTTCAGCCATTCCAACTTAGTGGGGTTGACAGCAGGGAAATCAACCGTGGGGTCCGCTAAATCATCCACTGTAATTCTCGGTAACTTTACCTTGTTAGTCGCGTGCACGGGTCAATAGCACAAAGACCCCTGATTCTTACCAACACTCTAAACAATTCCCATAAAAGAGACATTGTCTTAAAGACCAACACTATGTCGTCGTCAACCAGCTTAAGCCGCACACGCTCGCTTCAAAAACCTACTTCCGGGAGCAATGGATCATCACGGGGAAATATACCCTCAGCGCGTAACGAGGCTAGGAACACGTCGCCTAGTAGACTACCGGTGAAACCTACTACCATGACGACTCGATCGATGGTGTCGAATACTACAACCTCCTCTACTACCACTGCGCGAAGGATAGCAAGCTCTACTATTACGGGGAGAACTGCTTCGGGTACTTATAGCAAGGTTCCGTCCGCACGCCCAGATAATGCTGGGAATACCGCAGCGAAAGCTTCCAGGCCTCTAGCCAGAGCATCGTCTACGCGTCAAGTTTCATCCTCGTCAACGACAGCAGGATCAATCCCCTCAACCCGCTCCGCAAGTACAACCGTCAACCGACCAAGATCATCCGGCGGCCCGCCCCCCACAGCTTCCAACCGGTCTATCGGGCACTCGCGATCGAAATCCACAGTCACGAGCCTCACGGCCGCAACAACCCTCCGTCCTGCCACTCAATCACGGATATCCCAAACATCATCTACATCATCAGGCGGCCGCACGAGTCCCGCCCCAAGCGCAATTACAACAGCAAGCTCGAAAGCCCCGACACGGCAGACACGCTCTCAGACACATACGCGTACGAAATCGCAATCCCAACCCTCCACCTCCACCTCCACCTCTACCTCGCAGCAACCCGCCAGCCGCCCAGCGTTCAACACACACCAGCAACACTACAGCCCAGCCAAGTCCCTCGCGCCCAAACCCCTAACATCCACCTTCCTCGCGCCCCCCTCGCCCTCCAAGCTCCCCGCCAACGTCGCCATCTCCGCTGAGACCAGTCGTCTGCAGACGGAACTACTACAACTCTCGCTCCTACACCGCGACGCCACGGCCGTAGACTCCGAATGGCGCGATAGCGCGCGCCAGAAGCTCGGGGCACGGTTCGCGCGGTTAAACGCCGACCACGACGCCCTCATCAAGCTCGAAAGACACGGGGTCGAGGCTCGGAATATCGCAGCGCTTGTGCGGTGGGGCAAAAGCAATCGATCAGGGCTCGGGCTGGAAGAAAAAGTACAGATCCTAGACGAAGTCCTCAACGGCGTCTGGCAGCTCGGCGAGCCGGGCGGGCGCTACCAGCGCGTCGTAGCCGACTTCGAGGTCTGGGCCGAGCGCATGGCTTCTATCATCGCAGCCCAGCGCTCGGGAGACGTCGAGGGTCTAATCGCCGGCGACGAGGTACAGTTCCTAGGCGACTTAGACCGGACCTGGGCGCGCGACTGCGAGAGCCTGCTGCGGAAGCTCGAGGGGTGGCGGGCTGCTCTACGGGATCTCGGCGACGTCAATGACGACTCTATAGCCGACTCCGGGCTAGCACGGATGGTGTGCGGTGGCCGCACGCTCGTTGAGGATATGCTAGCTGAACTGGCAGTTATGGCGCAGATCGAGAGGGACGCAGCGAGGACAGAGAACGAATGGATCACGCGGATGAACCAGGCGATCGAGGACGAAGACGATGATACCCCCGCCGCGCGGGCGTACGTTCCTCTCTGGAAGCTGGCGGCGTGAGGTCGTTTTCTTTGCTAAGGACTGTTACCATTAGATTCAGACTGTACAATATTAAGTTATACGATGGTTACGAATAATGATAATTATAAGGTTAAATGATAGCATGTAGTGGGTGGTAGAGGTTGCTTCGCTTATGCGCTTCGTATTCTTAGAAAACCTACCTACCTGCGGAACTTCTAAATAGAGGCCCGTTAGCGGCCGGTCTATGTGGACATGCAAGGTGATGAGATACGCTATTACATGGAGAACATGCATTCAAAAACTTTGCTAGGTCAATTCGTGTGATTAAAAGACGAGTAGTAGCATATAAGTCTATCGAAGAGAAACTAAGTGCGGTACTATTGGTCTAATGTTAGAAATTGTAACCCTACTACGACCCCGACTTATCTCAAACGGTATAGTATTTCTGCCCAAAGGAAGCCGTAAGGTAGACAGACATGCAACGGCATACAGATAAAATACTAACCAATAATTCAACAATCCCAACTTAAACCCCTTACAGCTACCCACACAAAAGACCGCTCAATGATAATTCAACTCCGGATTCGCCCTGAAGTTGCAGCGGCACCTACACTCCGGAACCGGACACTCGACATGTCTTGCAAACCATTGGCGTGCGTGGTCGAGGTGCAGGACATGTTCGCACTTGAGGCAGAAAGTCGGGAAGCGGGCAGCGACACGGACTTGGGGGTCAGGCGAGGCCTCTGGCTTGTCTGAACGCGGGACGCCCACGACCTCGAGGCATACGACGCAGCGCGGGAGATGGCGTCCACAGTTTGGGCAACTGACTCCCGCGTTGATGTTGGCCGCCGTCAGCGGATTTGTTGATCCCTTACCAGCAACTATTGACTGGGTATTTGCCCCCGTCTTAGAAAGTTCGTATTCAGCGTCACAATATACACAACGTAGCGCGATCTGTCGGGAGGGCGGCATGATAGTAGGAACGCCGCTTCGCTTGCTCTTCTTGGTGCTTTCCACCTCGAACTTAGTCCGCTGCATAAAAGCTTTGTGTCGCTGAAGATAGGCTCTGTATGCATTTCGCCATACGCGACACCGATAATCGTTGATGTAACGCGGTGAGCAGATTGACAAAACCAGAGTGGCAGTCTGGACGTCATTGAATTTCTCAATGTACTTTGCAAATATATCGACCAGCTTGTCGGTTATTCCAGTAAGTACAATGCCTTCGATGTCACCTGTATCGATCGCCTTCTTAAGCTCCTTGTCAAGCCATTGTGTAAGTTTTTCGTCATCGAAATACCGAAGCGCCACGAATGTACGCTCACGGAGAGGCAAGGATTCTTGATTTGCGATGATCTCCCAATTATTTGTTGCGATAAGGGATGATATTGCGCGAAGGTAGGGATCAGTTTTAGAAGCAACTGCATCGTCGAAATCTAGCTGTTCTTTGCCGGGGTTTCTATCACCTTGACTTTTGAGTTGTAGAGCTAAGGAGACGAACAAAAGCTCGGGGTGCTCTGTACTAGCACCCTTGAGTATCCCAACCGCTTTGTCGTAATCACCTTCGAAGAGAGCATGAGCAGTTGCCATCGTATACCACGATGAATTTCGCTCAGAGGGCAGCATCTTCGCATAATCACTAAAGTATGCATCGGGTGACCTGCCCCATCCACAAATCCACGTAGCAACTTGGCGACGTAGTGGCTTCTTTGATTCAACACCAGTGTATGGTGGCTGTTTTAACTTTCTATTTATTTCTTGTAGACAACGCTCCCATGCTGTTGCATCTGGGATCCTAGTGCCGTCTAGAAGTCTGACTGAAAAATTAGACCCTACGTAGCCATTAATTAGTGTTTTCAAAAGAAAGCTAACTTTACGACCAACCTAAGTCCCGCGTCCATATGTTAGCAGCACCCATATAACTCAGGTCGATGCCCTGCGATATCATTCCCATATCAGAGGCAGCATCGTCGGCCCCTATTAGATCATCAGTTTTTGAAACGAATAAGACAACAAAGCGCAAACCACATACCGGCAACCCAGTCCCATAGCTCCCTCAACCAAGGATCATCGGCAGCTATGTCCCTATTTGCGACATAGTCAAATAAATATTTTTCTTTGGAACGAAGGAGCATCACGTGGTCGAGAACGAGTTGTGCTTTTTTAGGGAACCCCCTTGAATCTAGTGTTGATGCGAGTAGCCTCTCATGAAGCTGTCTATTTGATGGCAAAACATTTCCCTGTAAAGATAAATCCGATAAAGATTGGTCCAAATCTTTTGTTATTGATTGCTGTCGCTCCTTATCACTAAGTTGTTTTGCAGTTTCGAGGATTTCCCTAGAGTATTGCCTCAAACCACGTAACTTGTCTGCTGTTGTCGAAGCACTGGTGAATAGCTCTGGTAGTGGCTCAGTACTTGCCTCCAGGTCACATATGGGGTCAGCCATGGGTGAAGGAGATAATAATGTTTTCTGTATTATAACATTAGTGGATTCCTTACGGTTTCCAAATAGAGGTTGATCCTTGAAAGCCTGGTCTATATTGAGTGGTCCCATCATCTCGGGATACTGTGTTGCTTCAAATTGCATCAGAGAGTGATAGCTGCCGCTCCCTTATATTGAATTAGCAATGATCATCTATCGGCCAATATAGTGTTACCTTCTAGCCCACGGTGAGGTGATTTCCAGGGTATCATCTTATATAAATGTTCTGATGAATATGATGGTTTTTCCAGGATATCAAATGTTCCGTTGGCGCGTAGAACTATTGCTCGTGGTGTTAAAGCAGGAGAGTCGAGCGTCACCCAGTCAAACGATACGATCCTGTCATCTTTTCGTTCCTTTGAATAGCTCATGTCAAGATCGTACGATTTCCTGACTTCTAGAATCTCGGGGCTGTCCTTAGGATGCATCTCGAAAGGAATAAATTCCTTCTTAGTGTCAAGGACCTTGAGCTGACCAGTTCTAGAGAGTACTGCTATCAGACCGGAACGATCCCTACAGAAACGCAACGATCTAATCAATGAACCTCTATCTTGGAAATTGGCCTCTTTGACATCAATTGCCTTATCGATGTTGAGTGACGCTCCCCATGGCAATTCATCTGTATCAACGGCATCGAGGTAAAAGCGCGAGGAAGACGGTCTTGAGGTGGCCCGACGATCCCAAATCACCAGCCCTGGTTTATCTAGAGAAGACGAAGCAAAATAATTCTGGTCAGCATAATCGATTGCTAAGTTGTTATTGCATTTTGTCTGATAATTGATCACTGCGCCTTGTGGATCTTGGGACCAATTAGTAAGTTTTATAAAAGGATATCATCGGGGACAAGGTCTACCTCGGAGATCGTAAATGCGTATACCCTGATTTTTAATCCCGGCAACGAGAACCTGGGGGCTGTCTTCGAAGAATTTGGTGCTTGATATAGAGATACTAGCTTCAAGCCCGATCACTGGGTTCATCGAACCTTCGAGTGACGCCCATGTAGCGCTAGGTTCCAGCGTCGTAAGTCGACTTACGTCGAATATCTTAAGGCATTGGTCATTTCGAACGCGTTCTAACCCAACAGCAAGCAAGGACCCTGTATTAAAAGCCACTGCCTGACAGGTACGAGTGATTCTTATAGGGAGCTCTATATGAGAGCTAGCATCACCGTAGACATTTATGATATCCACGGTACCACTTGCAGTTCCGATGGCGACGAGCCCAGGATGAGCAGGTGACCAATCATAGGTAGTCAGCGGAGGGATCTCATCATACTTTGATGACTTTTCAAAGTCAAAGCTCCCAGGCTGCGCAAGACCTGTAGGTTCATATAGCTGCACAACTCGATGTTGCAAGTTAACATGGAGAAACGTGTCGCGGGCCGGGTTAGGAGACCATTTGATCAGGCCTGGCTCTGGTCTATCCATCTTTGAAGTTGCGTATTGTGACATTTATCCGGAGATGCGTGGGAGATGTTCTCAGATATATATTTGTCATGGCCTAGACTGGCTTCTTACAAACGATCAAGAAGAGTGTTGATTATGTGAATTGAATGAAACCAACAAGAGCCATCTTTGCGTACTCTACATGTCTCGTACTAAGGAATTAGGTAGACTAAAGCTCTCTGTGCCTGCTTTATGTTGAAGGATGCTTAAAAGAAAGTTTACTTCAATTGACTCTAGGCTGTCACTAATAGCACAACACCTTAACTTTGTTGTAGATTAAATCAACTTGGAGCTTCCGCGTCAAGCTACTCACCTCCTACTAAGTTAGCCTCCTATCGATAAAAATTAAGCTCAAACCCCTCCAGTGTTGCAGGTGATCCATTGACCAATCAAGAACCTCCATACATGTGGCTGACAAAGCTTAGTTGCAACAGTTGTAACATGAAAGATACCTAAATAAAGCTATCTAGGTAGACATCAAGCAAAATCAAAATAGGAGGTAATGATATTATGTCTACTTAGGTATTATGATTAGTTTAATCATAGAATGCTCATATATTACAATTTACAGATAGCTTTACCTTAAGGGAAAATGATCACTCGGTCCCACAGAACCCTTGTAGTCTTTAGTATGTTCCGAGTCTCGCTCGGTTTCCGACGAGCTTACCCGTCAGCCAACTAGTATAAGAGTTTCTAGTTATACGGCCATATATTATATCAGGATAGTAAACTAGCAGGCTTACCATTATCTTCCAAGTAATATCACCAACAATTTGCAAAGAAATAGATCATACACACAACTTAACTTATAAAACAAGAAGTGTAACTATTCGATAGACTACACATATATTGTATATTGTTAAACTACTTCTACTATAGCCAAAAGTACAATTGCCTGCTTAGTATAGCTAGCTATTTCCTAAAACCGAGCGCGATGCAGTGGAGTTTGGAGTTAAGAAACTTCATCTCTAACTCCGCCGTCTCTACTTGAGATGGTCTAGTATTCTGAGCAACATGATAGGACCTTACTAGGGCCATACCATTTTGATGACAAATTAAGTAACTTGAAACATATCAATCACAAGAGAAAGGCTGATGATAGAGTGTATATATATAGAGCTTACCGTATCTTTCAACCTTAACGGAATGGATGGGAGTATCCAACTAGGACTCGGTCATCTTCTAACTTCCTAAGCCGCTCATTCACAACGAGGATGGCAAGCCCAACTGAGCACTCTCTCCCGGAGACCTACACCGGTCTACAATTCCATTCACCCTCTTCGTCACCGATTCTTGCGGCACTGTCCACACCGATTCCCACGGCTGGAACCGCGATTGTTAAGCCACTGTACTCTATCATCGTACAGTACGCTAACGAGATATTCACCAACGGAAATCCGAGAGGTTATAAATACCCCTTACCGCTTGTACCTGGTGGTTCTTGTATTGCCCGCGTTGCTGCTGTTCCATCCGACGCCACGAGCCTAAAACCCGGTCAGCTGGTATTTGTAGAGTTGACAGTCCGGGGCCGAGACGACCCTAATATCAAGATCCTTAGATCATTTCATGAGGGTTCCAGCGAGGGGACTAGGAAGCTGATGGCCTCGGAAGAGTGGCGCAATGGATGTTGGGCCACGCTATCGACTGCACCTTTAGAGAGTGTACACACTCTAGATGAAGGTATACTAGTTGGGCGACTGGGGTATAAACTTGAAGAACTTGGTTCTCTTAGTCAACTAGTTGTCCCGTACGGTGGCCTCGCAGATGTTGGATTAAAAACAGGCGAGACGGTTTTGATTGCCCCAGCCACGGGCTCCTTTAGTAGTGCTGCGGTACATGTGGCCCTTTCTATGGGCGCTAGAGTCATCGCCATGGGAAGAAACGAGGCAGCTCTAGCGGACCTGAAGAAGCTCGCCGATCCTGGAAGAATAGAAACCGTCAAGATTAGCGGCGATGTTCAACAAGACGTCAACGCGCTGGCCAAGTTCGGGCCACTGGATGTTTATTTCGACATATCCCCACGACCGGCCAGCAAGAGCTCTCACATTAGAGCAGGTATATTGTCTTTGAGGCCAGGAGGCCGGATGAGTCTCATGGGAGGAATACCAGGTGACATCGACATCCCTTATTGGCACATATCATACAACGGTATCACAATTAAAGGAACCTTTATGAACACACCCCAACAGGCGAAGGACTTAATCAAAACTGTCGAAAGGGGTGTGCTGAAGATTGGCTCCAGAGTGGGCATGGAGGTGGCCGGAAAATTTGGGCTTAAAGATTGGGATGAGGCACTTCGGATTGCTGCGGCAAAGGGGGGGCCAGGAAAGAGCGTATATTTCATTCCTAACGGGGAATGATACATACCTCACTAGAAAAGAAGTGAAAAGATGATAATATGAAAATAAGTTCATATATTTAGTTCAAGTTCTAGATGCAGCTAAAGATAGCGGGGACAGGGACCCTGTATCTTATGCATGTACCTAAGTACTTTTTAGATATATGTATACTTTAGGTACATATCTTATCTTAAATTTAGTTAAACAATAATCTTCGAAAGTTTATTTTCCGTCAATTCAATTCCTCAGTAACCAAGCTCTCTTGACCCGATTTATAATACATTTAACGATCACCGTTAGAAATAATACGCTGCGCACACGATGAGCTCCAAGAGGAAATTTTCCGAGTTCAGGGCCGATTCGCAAGATGGCCCTCACGAGCGCATTCCAGGAAGCCATGCGCCGAAGTTCAATAATAAGAAGCCGAAAAAGAACAAGACAAAGCCAGATAATATAAATTGGCTCAAGAAACGAGTGCGAACAATTGAGAGACGCTTCAAGATGGGCCAGAATATGCCTGCAAACGTGGAGAATGATTTGGAGAGGGAACTTGCCCATCACCAGCAGAAAATTGCCGAGGCCGTAGATGAAAAAAAGAGGAAGACGATGATTACAAAATATCATATGGTTCGCTTCTTTGGTAGGGCTACTTTCTATACTAAAGGAATTAGTTACCAGGATTCTAACAATACAATAGAGAGAAAGAAGGCAGACCGGCTCGCGAAACGAATCAAAACTCAACTAACGACGACCGAAGATCCTAAAGAGATTGAAAAGCTCAAAACAGACCTTCATAAGGCAGAAATTGACAGTATCTACACCCGATTCTTTCCTTACAGAGAGCGTTACATTAGCCTGTACCCGGTCGGAGAGAAGGCGGAAGATGCAAGTACGGCAGCACAGGCTCTACGTAGCGAACGGCCACCGCTATGGGAGGTTATAGAAAAGGCAGCAGAGATAGGGACCCCAGCATTAATCGAAATCAGGGAACGCAAACTGGATACAGATTCGAAAGGGAAAGCACCTAATAAATCTTTAGAGGAGTCTACCCCAACGAAAGCCAATCGTTCTAGGACAAAGACCTCAGATGCATCTGGTCCTATGAGTACCCAAATGCCCAAGAACAGGTCTGAGAGACGTAAAATGTCTAAAGCTCTAAATTTGAGCGACAATGAAAGCGAAGGTGGATTCTTTGAATAAGGATAGGAGTAGTAGTAAGACGGATTATGATACCCAAGTACGAGGTAGCGGATCAATATACTGCTATTAAAGACGTGCTACTATAGACTCGTACTATGAGTCTACCTAGTAGGAAATTTATTACCATGTTTTTGTTAATATAATTAAATATTGGCATTAAAATCTTGCTTATAGGACTTTAATGGAAATCATTCCAGTTCAATACTTTAACCAAGTTGAGGCTATGTGGGGCAATTCGTCGCTTTCAAGCTTGAAAATACCTGATAAGATAAGGTTAAGCTTAAATCTGATGGACCGTTTACATGTGCCTACGTTCTCTAAACCTACCCACTTTCATCATACCTACACCCTCCTCATCATACCGAGCTCAATATTTCGGAGCTTTCCTATATATTGAAGGGAATAACTACGCGCTATGTCTATAAGATGACCTCAGAGGCAACGTCGCCGAAGAGGCGACACATATTATCCTCAATAAACCCAGATCGTCGTTCAGCTTCACCCAAGATAGAAAATGACAATACACCTCCCGCTGAGACCCCACCTCCAGAGCCGCAGCCAAATTTAGAGCAGGAAGACCCAGAAGCTACGGAGCTAAAGGATAAGAAGACAAGCAGATTCCGCTTTAAATCTAAGCGCTCGCGACACCATCGGCATTCCTCCCGAGACCGCGACCGCGATGATGACTACGAACATGAAGATGAAGCCGAACCACACCGTCATCACCACAGACACAGGCATCGTCACCACCACCACCATAAGCATAAGCGGCGACGCACACGCTCACCCACACCTCCCAACCCCTTCGAACCACCCCCTCTCGGCTCCGAAGCCGCGTTCCGAGAATCTCTCTTCGACGCAATGGCAGACGACGAAGGCGCAGCGTATTGGGAAGGCGTATACGGACAGCCGATTCATATCTATCCCCAGGCGCGGTCCGGGCCAGACGGGGAACTAGAGCGCATGGACGACGACGAGTACGCGACGTACGTGCGGCAGAAGATGTGGGAGAAGACGCACCAGGGTCTGCTAGAGGAACGGGCGCGCCGCGAGGAGCGCCGGAAACAACAAGATCGAGAGGAGGATGAGGCCAGGAGGCTCACGCGCGAGATGGAGCGGAGCTTGCGCAGGGGCGAGGAGAGGCGCAGGAGAAAGGGTTGGAAAGAGCGCTGGGAGGAGTATGCACAGGCTTGGAAGGAGTGGGATGGGACGCCGGAGCATATGGCATGGCCGGTGCGGAGTGGACGGCGTGAGGATGTGGGTGCGGATGCTGTAAGAGACTTTTTCGTCATGGGTATTGACCCTAAGGACGTTGGAGAAACGGAGTTCCTAGCGAAGCTGAAAGAAGAACGTGTTCGGTGGCATCCGGACAAGATACAGCAGCGACTTGGCGGGCAGGTCGATAGCGCCGTCATGCGCGATGTTACGGCGGTCTTCCAGATCGTGGATAAGCTGTGGTCAGATACTCGGTCTAAGGTGCAATGAGTGAAAAATTCATAGCGGCATATGAACCTAGACACGAATGAGACAGGGTCATCAGTCTGTCTATAAAGGTTCAAGACCTAGATATAGACCATATTCAAGCTAGAAGTAACATATAAGACGGTTAGATACCCAAATTTTGCAAGGCCGCTTTATAAACCGATCGATTATTATCTCGAGGCTCTACTTAGCAGATGTAGTCTATGATTAATTCTTTCAAGATACGTGATTATAAATTATTTCTTATGTGAGATTAACAAGTTATTTGATGATATCTTAAGATCAAGTGTATTACTGATAACCCCTATCCTTCATATGAAGACCATAGAGTCAGAGTAAACCGCTTAATACTATAAAGTGAGAAGATTTTTTCAAGTTCTCATATTCTCCTATAAGGACAGGAAGATATGTTAATTTCAACACAGCAGTCATTTCTTATACTTACTTTCAACCCTCAATCAACAACCTCAAACTCCGCCACAACACCCAAATGATCCGTAACCCACGGCTTCTCAAACCCCAACTTTTTAATCTCCCTGCGCTCCCTCGCACCACTCACCTGCACATCCGCCCCAAACCTCTCAAACCCATGCACCTTCAACCCCCCCGTAAAATACACCTTATCCATGCGCGAGCACCCGAACCGCTCCCGTATCGTCGTCGCCGCCTGCTGTCCCCACGTATACCCCACGTCGCTATCCTCGCTTCCTCCAAGCTCGAGATACGCGTCTTTCAACCCGTTGTCCGCGTGCAGCGTCCGGTCAAACGGCTGTATCGCATTGAAATCTCCCGCCGCGAGCGCCCCGTGCACGTCCGGCGCGCGCATGTGCGTCGCTAGGGCGTGTACTTGCGCCGGGCGCAGCGGCGGCTCCAGGGCTAGCGACTCTAGGTGCGAGTTGCACAGCCGGAGGGTCTTGGGCGTGCCGCTGGGCGAAGAAGCCAGCGATGTTTCTACGATTAGGGCGTCGCGCTCCATGTGCGTCTTCGCGTAGTGCACCCGGAAGCAGGACGTGATATCTAGTCGGCGGTCGACTAGCGTGGTGGTGCCGTAGTGGGCTTGCCAGTTGCTGCCGTCGATATCCGTCACATTGAATTTATCCCTTACCCATTCCTTTTCACCAATCGTCTCGAGGTCTTCGGAGATGCACTCTTGCAAGAAGATTACTGCGGCGGTTGTGGATGGTAATTTGCTCGTTAGACCGTCGAGATGGTCTAGCGCGGCGTCCATCCTCGCTTTCGCGAATGGTAGCATGAAATCGATGTTCCAGCTATACAGCCTCAACCGATTAATTCCATTTCCACCTCCACTATCCCCTTTCTGCAGCGGCCTGGGCTCCGCCGGTGCCCACGCTTGTTTAGAGCGGTCGTGTGTGAAAAAGGGCTGTGCATACGGCTGATCGGGTTTCCACGGAACAGCGCTGAGGGGCTTCCTCGAAGCTTCATTTTCTTTGATTGCTTTCTTGAATAGTTCATCCATGATCCGAGCCTGCGAACGATATATATCCTTTGCACTCCTAGGGATCTTCATTAGGCACTGGATGAAGAACTGTCTGACATGCAAGTATGGCTACTAAGCAGTGGGATCGAGCTTACAATGCAGGTATATACAAGGGTTATGCCGCATTATATTACAATAAGCGAACTATTCTAGTATCGATCATGACATAGTCTTTGAACCTGCAAGCTCAGCAATAACCCGAGAGGTAGGTTGAATATGGTATACTAGAAATATAAACATCTAGGTTTTTCAGCCTCAAGTTTTATTATCACGAATTTGATAGTTTAACTTCCTAGCCTTTTTAGACGTGATGTTCAAAATTATAAGTCCGGGGTATCAATATATATAAGAGAAACAGGCGTCGACAGGAGATATATCAACCATCTTTTTCAAAAGCATCGTTAAGATATCTCACAAAAGTCTCTCGTATCCTCTCCGGTCCCAGATTTCCAACTCCCTCGAGGCCAATACCACCTCTATGCAACCCCATGTACGCCCTCCGTAACCGCTGCAACTGAGGTAGGCCTACTTTCTTTCCAGCTGGCAGTTCCACAACTAACTCCTCGCCATTGTTACCGCTACTCCGGGGGACCTTTATTTCATCCCCGCCATCATCGCTTTGCTGGTCTAGGATCCTCTTGACAATCTCCTGCGTCTCTCGGTCGAGAACGTATAAGTAATCTCCGCCCGTCTCTCTGGTCCGCTGCACAGTTGCCTGATTAGGCCGTACCAGTTTCCGCGCTTCTCCTGCAATAGCATCCCACAAGCTGTCAAAAACCTGTTTCGTCTGCTCCTCGCCGTCTTCCCAGATAAGCGTGAATAGTGGACTGTCCCACCTCGTCATAGGATTCGGTTCCTCATAACGGAACACGAGATTCTCCCAGTTTTCCTGTTCGTAAGGGCCCTCTTCATCTTCTTGCTCTTCGTTACTCTTTTCCCCTGTATCCTTGGCAACGTCGACGTCTTCGTTCCGCCGCCGCAATCTTTCATCGTTGACCTCCTTAGCCTTCTCCCTCGTACAGCCGATTTGTAGGACGCAGCTAGGCGTGCGCACAGCTTTGGACTCGCAGAATAGTTGATATCGCCAGCCCTTTATGTAGTTGAGTCCGTCGAGAATGACGATATCGCGATCGCTTAGCGCGCGCTTCGTGGCACCATAGATGGTAGCACGGGCATCCTTCTCAGATGCATTAGCGGATCTTGTATGCGCCGGCGTCGCTGATAGATCGTACACGGAACGCGAAATAGATAGTTTCTGATCTGAGATTAGGTGTAGTCGATATTTAGCCGTAGCGGGTGCAGATGAGTCCCCAATGCGGTCGGAGAGGTAGTTATATAGTTGTTTCGCGCGTGTAGTTTTACCAGACGTAGGGAGACCGGTGACTATGATTAACTGGTTACATCTTATTAATATTATTCTGTCTGCAATAGTGTCGTTTCCCAAATCCTTACCGGCATCTTTTCCAGTCGGCGGAAAACAAACCTATTTAAATAATTTAAGGATGAAGCTTGACTTAGCGATTAGTAAAATTTCTGACGTTGTAAAGTACCCCGCAGCTGTTTTTTTAGTTGCCCCTCTTCGACATACTACGGTAGCGGTAGCGGGACGGCTCAGGGCCTTGGCAAGCCCCGAGACGGTGGAAACCCTTGTAATTAGGGGACCAGGATCTCACTATGTAAAGCTTATTTATAGTTTAAATAGTACGAGGTACAGCACATTTATATATCGATATTCTTCCTTGTCATCATTATCATCATTATATTGATATATCTAAATAAAATACTATGGAATCATATATATGTCTATATCTATATCTATATTGTGTTTTTATACAAACTTCAAAAATAATGTCGGTGCCGGAATTTATTTGTCTGATACCATTTCGTAATCGGCTTCTGTCTGCTGAGCTGCAATTTTTGTGATCTTATTCAAAGTCATTCCAATACTCTCAACAATGGTAACGACGATCATCTCCATGATGACAGACATTCCAAGCTGAATGTTGATGTTGCCCGTCACTTGGTTAAAGGCCGGATTGTGTCCATACAAAGATTCTGCCGAGTAGGCTAATCGAACGAGGATAAAAGGGAGAGAGACGCCTACGGCCAAAACTAACCGCTTCTCTCCCGGTTCCATATGAGACATCTGCATTGCGACGAGAACAGTGGAAAAGGCCAGCAAGACGTACGCGGCAATCATCAGGCCCGTACCGGCCTGAGAGAGACTCGAGACGGTGTATTTTCCTGTGTCGGCAAGGCTCTGTCCGGATTGACTGCCACCGACTGCGCCTAGGATCAAACCCACAAGGACAAGAAGCTGGATGAGGCGGACTCGTTTCTCGGTCACGAAACATGTTGTCGACTTTCGGATACTTCCAGCAGCTCGTCCAATTAGGGCCAGTTGGACCATGATTAAAGGCGATAGGCCAATATTTTGCAAAGTTGCCGCTCCGACGCGAAGACTAAGGTTGGTAGGATCCGGTATAGTGGCCAGTTGCATTGCTGCTCCGATGATGCGAGCTAACGAGAAGATAATCAAATAGAGCCATCCTGAGTTACGACCAAACCCGTGGCGTATAGAAAGCCATATTGCAATGAATAGTGCTGGTATATAAATAACAATTTCTGCGATGGAGATATTATCTTGCTCAGTTAAAGCCATCTTGAGTAGCGAGGAAGAGTATACGAATACGTATAGGAATAAGTTGTAGATGAAGCGGGAGGATTATTGTGAGTTGAGATGCTAATTTTTAAGCAGAACTTACCTATCTATTGTTTGTTTATATAGCTTCATCGAACCCATTCAGCTGAAGCCCCAGTTCATGAAGACTCGCATTGAATATACCCCATCTCGGCTCGATTTTGACGAAAGCGAGAACGAAATAGATCCTTGGTCTCAGGTTCAGTTTCCATTGGGTCGTACAATAAAACCAAGTGACTAAGCCTCATTAAGCTTTGCCAAGCTTGCATTAGCGTATGCTCAGCCCTTGGCAGCCTGAAATTAAATGGATCTTCTTATGGAAATCGCTGACGACAACGAATACCTAAATCGTTAGTCATTATCTACGAGGTAGCAGTAGGAATAATATCTCAACGCCCCATAGTAATTATGAGGCATTAGAAGGGAAATAAAAGTCATTTGCGTTCAGTGACCCCAAATGTGCGTATGTAGGACTCTCGCATCTTGATTTCTCTCGGAAACCCTTGTTTTAAGAAAGACTTTATCCATTTGCTTTATCACGTATTATAGCAGCAGCCAATCATACGGCTCTAAATATGCATAAAGTGGATCTATACAACCTTATTCTCAGGTAAGAGCCTTACTATTTAATATTATAGACTTCTTAACCTACCTAGGTATGAATACCTGGTAATAAGTCGAATGAGATGTTTTTATAATATAATTTCAATTATTGATTGCGTCAAGTTAAACCCTATACGATTATATGGTAGATCATATGATAGGTACCTAATAGAGAGCTTAATTCAGAAGTTATTTGGGCTTACCTAAGGCAGCAATGATATTCGTGGCAGTGACCTCTAAACAAATCATCGAGAGGCCTCCTCACTCAAGATGAACTTCCATTCGTTCTATCTCCGCACCTGCCTCAATATGATTTCTTCTGTACCTCCTTTCTTTGGATCGTGTAATTAAATCAAGACTCTTCCTATCATATCTTTACCTAGGTCACATATAGTAGTAGAGGTAGTCTTTCATCATGGAGCACTACTGCCATGATCCCCTTCCAGGACAGGGTTATATTAGGCTCGCTACCATTCATCCCGGAAAGTTTGAAGACGACATCGTCGTTTCATTCCATACCTCAACATTTCCTAATAACACATTGCCGTACGAGGCTCTCTCATACGTATGGGGTTCAGACAAAAGCCATACACCAATTTACATCAGCGAGGATAATACCGCTATAGCTAATGGATCACGGGATGTCTCTCAAATGGGATTCAAACAACTTTGGGTTACACAAAACTTAGACGTTGCCCTAAGGCACCTACGTTATGATGAGGCGCCCCGAGTTATGTGGACTGACGCACTCTGTATTAACCAAACGAACGAAGTCGAAAAAGGTCCTCAAGTCGCAATGATGGGGGAGATTTTCCGGCTTGCTTGTCGGGTGATTGCTTGGCTTGGGCCAGATGAAAATGATAGCAATCGTGCTCTGCATCTCATGAACTATTTTGGGTCTCAGGTTGAAGTCGATTTTGTGAAGCAGGAAATGAGACCTGTGGCGGGTTGCACCAATCGTAGCATCGGCGATTGCAATATCGGCCTTCCTTTACAAGACAGAGATGTTTCCTCGATTTACCACTTGCTGTGTCGACAGTGGTTTGAAAGACTTTGGATCAGGCAAGAAATTTATTTAGCTGGCCCGGAAGCAGTTATCATGTGCGGCCTGAATCAAGTCAAGTGGTCAAGTTTCAGACGAGGTTTGGCGTGTACTTATTTAAAACACACGCCGAACCTTACTGAACAATTTAATACCCGGATGAATGTCCTTCATGGATTTATATTTCAGGAAAACTTTAACAAGTTAATGGATTTAGACCATAAATATAACAATACGCAGTGTCTGGACCCACGGGACCGGCTCTATGCGGTTTTGGCTATGTTAAAGGACGATGAAAAGGCATTGATCCCATCACCGGACTATACTCAACCTTACGATAAACTTTACGCCACTGTCGTAAGAAACTGGATTGGAAGCAACAATTCTTTAAATATACTATGTCAGTGTCGGCCTAATGACGGCACATGCCCGAGTTGGGTTCCTGACTGGTCGAAACCGGACACCAGATCTATTGTATTCGCCCCATACATATATATGTCACCGTTTACATCCTGGCATGAATTTCCGCATCCCGACGTACTGAGAGTTATGGGCGTATCTAAGTGTGTTGTCTCGGAATATCATCAGCTGCCGCAATTATCAAACCACCGCAATATCCTTCTCGAGCAAATACGAACCTTGCTGTTAAAGGTAGACCTAGAGGAGAAACACGCAACTAAAGACTATACTAGGCTACTTGCTCACGATAACTTCCCTTATAGCTTCGATCCACCCATATTCAATTTCCCGGATTTCGAAGTGGCGGAACAATGCGTGGAGTTCATCATGTCTGATCGTGATATCAACGGTGCCAGCAACAAGAAGTTCGTGTGGTCCTCGGGCGTTCGCAAATTCCTTTCGATGATTCACTACGTAGATAGGTGCCGATTGATTCAGTGCACAGGTGGTTATATAGGGGTTGCTCCGGCATTAGCACAGCCTGGTGATGAGGTCTATACTCTACTTGGTTGCTCGTACCCGTTATTGCTACGCCCACAAGGCAATAACACATTCCGAGTAATTGGTAGGTGTTTCGTGCTTGGCTTAGCGTACGACGAAGCACTTCTTGGGCCTCTCCCCGATAATATTCGGGTAATCCGATCCTATGAAAAAAGATCCGGGTCCGACGCCCCGGCTTTCAGAGATATTTCTTCGGGCGAGGTATTCTACGAGGACCCGCGTTTAAAATCACTGCCTGTAGACCTTGAAGACTTTCGCAGACAAGTACAAGACAATCCCTGGGCGAATTTGCGTGTAGAACCAGATGTGTTCAGGAAACATGGAGTGGACTTGAAATATATTGATCTAGTGTAGATTTATCTTATTTTACAATTAATTTACACCATCACTCCAAACAATACCATCACTTTCAGAGCTACATATGTAATCACATAGGATTCCAGCCTATATTCGTCCAATCGATATCGTCAAAATTCATGATGTCCGTCGTAGCTTGGGCTGATATGTTAGAGCTGTTCCAGAGTCCCGTGTTCGCGGAGAAGTCATGTTCTCTCGTGTTGTATGACGGGTCGTAACCACTATTGAAGTTCATGGGTGCGGGTATTTGAAATAAGTCGGCGTTGTTAGTACCTGTAACCCCACCCAATTGTTCCAACTCGCTGTCTTGGGGGTGATTTAACTTCATCTGCAATATTCTGTCTCGAATATCTGATACGATCAATGGCGGAACTAGAGGTTTGCCCTCTTGTATCGATAGCGCTTCCAACGCCTCCCAGGCCCGGAGAACAATTCGGAAGAAAACCTGAGAAAAGGCCTCGTTGACTTCCGAACTCATGAATCGAGCTTTATAATTGTCGCTCATTGCTTCCCAGGCCTTTTCGGCCCTGTCGTCATTGGGCCGCTTCTTCAGGCATTGAAGAAGGTGGATATATGCTGGCAGCGGGAAGTGGTAGCTAATTAGCCAACGGTACCCCTTAATTAGAGGCGAAGTAGTGAGATTTGTGTCACACTCGAGCATTCTCAGGGCCGAGGAGATGGTGGTGTTGCGTTGCGGCTCCGTCGGTTGCGCTGTCGACGTTAGGTGCTTCGAGTAATAGTCTAGGATACGGATTTTTGCAAGGTAACCTCGCGCAGTCCAAACTGTCATAAAGTGAAGCGGGTTATCTAGATCGCAGAAGGCGAGGTACTTGTCTTCTATCGTTTTTTCTAAGGCATCCAGCTCATCCCCTTCCGAAATAGAGCCTTGCCGCATACCTTTGGCGATAGTACTTAGAGACGGATTGGTAAACATAAGATGAAAGGAACTATGCCGGACAAAATCGGCTAGCTCGCTACGCACGACGGTGAAAATTGCCTCGGTGGGTGTCTCGTGGATCGCCAATGGCGTCTTCATCTCCAGCCGAATCTCAGAGTCATACACGTTCAGGGGAGTCTTGCAGTCCCAAGTAGGAGCTAGTGACGCAGTCTTGTAGTCGCAAAGCTCGCTGATTCGATTGTCGAAGATTATTAACGACCACCATAATCTCCGGCGCATCTCAGCTTCCAAAGCCGTAAACTTAGCACAGGTGGTTTCGTCGTGAATACCCATACCACGTGCGATGCGGACAGCGATGCTGAGCATCGAGGATAGAGATCGAGGATCTATTTTAGGTCTTACGGAGATCTAGAAAGCATTAGGATCGACCCTAAGTAATAAGTAAATGGAAGAGTTTACTAAATAGAGATACAATGCTGTCAAGCAGTCTCTGTCAGTTGTCTGTAAAAATCTACAGTTCTGCAGAGCTTGCCGGCATCCCAACTGATACCGCACTAGAAGATCGTCCCTCGGCGCCATAAAGAAGGTAAGGCACTCATCGTTGGTAAGACTAAATATAGACACGCAATAAATACTGAAGATGAGAGCTTCCATTGTAGGATCAATAGTACCAATATGACTTGTAGCATCGATAATGCGTGCTTGCAGAGTAGGTGTGTGCGTAACTTTCAGTAAAGGGTCGACATTTTCTAGGTATATCTGCCAGAGCCTGAAGATTTGTATATGTTCCGGGTGTATAGTAGAAAGATCATCATTTGTTTGAGGTGCTGCAAATAGAAGGTGGCTGTTATCTTGGCTTTCGTATATACGATCCCATACCTTAGTGATCATGGGTTGACGTAGAGCATCCTTTTTGAAGGGTGAATCGCTGTCACTGTCATCGCTCTCATCGATATCATCATCTTCGGAATCTGAGGTCTTTCTTTCGATTATTAGCAGAAATATACCTATTGATGATTTCGAATCATACCTTCTGACTCATAGCCCGCCAAATATCCCTACGATAAAGTTAATAACCTCTCAAATTCAACTTCTGAGATATAACATACTTGGGTCTATATGCCAATTTCGGCTTGACTACCGCGTCATCTCTCGACGCAGATCCTTTCGAAGACGCATCTTGCGGAGTTTGAGGACTGGAGGCTTTACTCTCCTCGCCATATATGGACTCAAACGGTACGTTATTCTCTCGGAGTAGATTCTCGTAATGGTGAAGGCGATCTACAAGTTCTCGCTTAGGAAATCGTCGACGGCGACGAGGCGGCGCAAGCGTAGCTGGCACGCATTGAGCGCGAAGCCGTACACAGTTCGCACAGGGAAATATCTTGTCGCACTTGACTTTGCGCTGCTGGCACAACACACACGCGAGTACCCGCGGTGGCCTAGATAGGGCAGTCTGCTTTTCTGTTGACATACCGTGGATTATTGTAAAAAAAAAGGGGACCGCGATGAAACTAAAACTGCTGCCTAGGACTCTGTCATTATCTTCTTTTTGGAGGTTGTAAGCTCGGACATTTCTTCTCTCCGAATAGTCCACCACTTTTGTATTTATGGACCATGTCAAATTTGCCCAATATCCAGGAACTAAAATGTACTATATTGGAAGAAGTTTCTTGTTGAATTTTGAAGTCACTATAGTTTTATAGACGAACTAACATTGCTGTCTTTAATACTTCTTTTATCTTTACCATGAAAATCTTATGCCTTCGTTATCTAAGAGCCGAAATTTCAAGATTTCAAGACTCAATAAATTAATAATTACAAATATATTTACTCACATCTTAGAGTACATAATAGATGCGACATAAAAGTTTTATGTCTTCATATGGTTAGTCTTTTCAAATCATGTAGTTAACCACAAATATTAGAAAGAGACAACAATATTATGATGTACTACAAATTACTCTTCATAATGGTCATACAACAACCACATAAACTCATGAAAAGCTCTTATTAGAGTCCAGCTTGAATATTATTCTATAGACTCCGGGTATCACCTAACGCCATACAATGCAATCCATTTACCAATTATCAAAATTTCCAAACCCACCAACCTTAGCCTTTTTCTTCACTGGCTCCTCCCACGTATCGACATCCTCCTCAATAATTTCGTCTTCGTTGCCCTGCTGCTTTATCGCGGCCTGAAGGTACTTACCCACGTTTCCGCCGCCTCCGCCCTGCTCGACAGTTCCATCCCGTCTGACCCGCTTTCCCGTCCACGTCAGCTGGTCGTCTTCGGTGCCTCCTGTCCGCTCAATCTCCGCTTGAGTCTCTGCGAGCTTGTCGCGCTCGGATTTCTGCCGTAGGAACTCGTCGAATGGATCGAGGTAGACGACGACGTCTTTGATAAAAATTTTATTCAGGGGGCGATCCGAACCATCTGTAGGTACCGCCTCCATCTTGCTCAGTATATCCAAGCCGCCCACAACCTTTCCGAAGATGGTATGTTTTCTATCTAGATGCTTGACTGGGCGGTATATGATGAAGAACTGGCTCGAGTTTGTATTTTTCCCTTTATTAGCCATGCTAAGAATACCTCGAGAATCGTGCGTTAACGGACCCTCGAACTCGTCCTGGAAATTCTTGCCCCATATGCTAGTACCTCCTCGCCCGGTACCTGACGGATCACCCCCTTGAATCATGAAATTTTTTATGTTTCGGTGGAAGGAGACGCCTCTGTAGTATCCTTTTTGCGACAATCGAATAAAGTTCCACACTGCCTTCGGGGCATATTCAGTTTGTAGCTCGATGTTTAAATCGCCTAGGTTCGTCTCAATCCGTGCGTAGCCCTTTATCTTTACCCTCTTTGGTTTTAACATGTACTCCTCATCTGTTAGCGTAGCTCGTTCGCCACTGGTTTCGGGTGTCAATCCTGTACTTGTGAAACTAGCTGCGGCTTTGCCCGTCGTATATGCTGCAGAATTATAGTTTTGTTTCTTATCCTGTATCATAGACGGCCGAATATTATTGCTTCCTGAAGCTTTTGTCACTGCTTTGGAGCGGTTAATGTCGCCCCCAGCTTCACGTTCCTTCCTTGCCTTCTCAACGGCCTCTTTCGCTCTCAAGACCTTTTCACCTACTCTACCCAAGGCGTTAATATTGACGTTGCCTTCTTTCCTCTCCTCTTCCTGCTCCTTAGTCAAGAGCGCATCTCCGCCGTCTTTCAAGTGCTGAAATTGGCTTAAATCTCTACTAGCGGCATTCTGAGGATCTTGAAGCGTGATAATGTCCGAGCGACTAAACTCTACGTCGTCTACTAAATCTCGCCACATCTTCGCTTTGATATTCATCCTCTCAACTGTCTCCCAAGCGAAAGCGTTCGCGTAGGTTCCGTGTCGAATCGCGACAACGTGGGTATTGTCGGTGAGTACCTTGAAGGTGACCGGGTCGATAAAATCCCCCTTCCCGTCTGCATCCTTGGAGTCAACGTCTCCATTGCGCGCGAAGTTAAGCTTGATAAGGTCGCGTGCCGCTAATGGTTCGCCATTCACAGGATTCGTATTGTGACTCTCGAGCCATTTTGAGATAACTTCGACATCGAATATGGTTCCATTCGGGGTACAGACGGGATTCTTGAAAGGTTGGAGACTGGCGGCGCAAAAGTTGAAGGGTAATCGTTTAAAAGATGAGCCATTAAAACCGGTTCGCGAACCTGTATTTGCCGAGTAGGCGTCTGAAGATGACCACTCGGAGTGTGTGATATATAACTTATCCGTACCTTTCCCCATGGTTCATACTCGTAATGCGACAGAAAAGATAAGTAAATAAAATAAACCAAAAGTCTCCCCAGTGATGCATACAACTAGAATTGACTTGGCGACTTCGAAGCTAACTGGTCAAAATATTTCTTATCTTATCTATATCCTGGTTAGTTACATATATTTATGTAATAACCTAAGGCATCTATTTTAACTTGCCGGTATTCCGTTTCAAAAATTGGCTTACACGTATGCGCCTAACAATTTAGCTGGCTTTTAGCTAGAGAGGCTGCGCAATAGTTCCATTTCAATGTTTCTAATAAACGTAGTAGCTAGCGTATCTAAAGGAAACATACATTAAGGAGCTAACTTAGAGATACATATCTTTAATTACGTCTACTCTTTCTTTTTTAGCTCTTCTCCGATGCTTCAAGGAGCCTTCGACTTGTTCTAGTCCGACCCGCGATTCCGATTCCGATTCGAGTTTGTGTTTGATGTGTGTCGTGTAATTGTAGTTACACTTAGCCCTCGGAATAGCGACAACAGACTCTCTCGCCGAGGCTGCCTCGCGCGGCGACTACTGCAGTCAACGAAACGAAGATGAAGAGCTGGTTATCCCCGTTAATTCTTCTGGGCTTGTCCTTATGGACAGCTCAGGCATTGGAAGTGCAGATAGTAAGATACGACTGGTCTCAGTCATTTATAATCTATCGCTAATACTTTTTTTTTTTTTTTGCTAGGATCATACCGATGAGAATCGCCAAAAATGCGCCGGTATGCTCCATTGATACTAGCTGTCCGGCCGAGCCTTATTAATCATAATGAATTAGGCATGTATAGCAGAAGCGACTGGGGAGGTCCGATAGAACCGTTTATCCTTACTACGTTCCCGAATCAGACCGTCGAAGGCGATGACGACCCTATCGTTAGTTTGGTTATATTTGAATGGAAAGACGAAGATTTGATCGGCATCTCCACGAACCCTGATGATGATACGTCCCCGGTATGATCCTCCATGCGTGTGCTAAAAACAAGGCTGATAAGAGAATTAGAAAGTGTTAATCTGCGATGAAGAGAGTGTTAAGGCAGGCCTTTGCAATGACATAGGTACATGGATTTTATCGCCTAATGCGACTGAGAAATCCGAGAACTTGATTTTAACTAAAGCTATACACTTGAACTCTTCGGCTCCGATCCACTATGAAATTAAGAAGACGGGTTACTATTGTATTGCCGCCTATGGATTTGGAAATACGAAGGAGTTCATGGGCGTCGCAGAGTTCCGAGAGGCCTATGGCGAACTTCCTGCGACCCAGATCCCCAAACTTCCCTTCTACGGTGGAATCACTATCCTCTATGCGGTAGTCGTAGTGTATGTTTCGGAATCAGTACAAACGAAGCTCCTCGCTAATGGTGTTCAGATTTTGGGGTTTCCTATACTATCAGCACAGATACGATATCTGTGAGTTATAACAAGCCTCCCCTTCTGTTCTGAAGCTAACATATTCGTAGTGCCCGTTCAAAATTATATCACTGCTATTCTCGTCTTCCTAGTCGTTGAAATGTTGATGACTTGGGGTTTCTATGGTGAGCTCTTTAGTAAACATTTAAGAGGGTTAAGCTGGCTAGGTGTGACTAACTTGGCATAGATTACCTGAATAGAAACGGCTCTAATGTTGGAGCTAAGGTTCTCCTAATTGTGGTGGCCGTCTTGAATGCTTTCCGCAACTCATTCTCTTTCTTTTTACTACTCATCGTATGTATGGGTTACGGAGTCGTGAAGCCTTCCCTGGGCAAGACGATGGTACATGTCCGGTGGTTGGCCATTGCCCATTTCATTTTTGGCTTAGTCTACGCCGTTACCAGTCTTCTGGTGTCGCCGGATACGGCTGGTAAGATTTCCCCAACAGTCTAGAACCTATAGGTGCTAACTGAAACTCCTAGGGCCTCTCGTTCTCCTCATCGTACTCCCGTTGGCGGGTACTTTGACTGGCTTCTATGTGTGGACGCTCAGTTCGCTCAACGCTACCCTTAAGGATCTACGCGAACGCAAACAGACCGTGAAAGAAGCCATGTACAAGAAGCTCTGGTGGTGTATCCTAATCAGTATTCTTGTTATCTTCGGCTTCTTCTTTTTCAACTCCTTCTCATTTGCCTCGGCCTCCGACCCGGATTACGTCCCTTTCCACTGGAAATCGCGGTGGTTCATTCTTGACGGTTGGCTCAACTTGGTCTACTTCGCCGATGTAGCCTGGGTTGCGTATGTGTGGAGGCCTACGGCGAATAACAGAAGATTCGCTATGAGTGACGAGATTGCTCAGGATGAGGATGGAGGGTTTGAATTCGCCGATGTAGGCGCTCCGGATGATTCAGATGAAGACGAGGAAGCCCACATTGGCACCAAGATTACAAACGCACGTCCGACGCCGGCAGCAAACGTCACTTCTATGACGTCGCAGCCCACGCAAAATAAAGCCCCTGCCAAAGCGGAGACGCCGCGGGATTCTTTCGACGGTGAGACGATATTTGCCGTTGGGGAGGACGGTGACAAGTTTAGTGATGACGATGAAGATGATGACGATGACGACGATGAAGATGAAACGGATCGTGGTGAAGGTTCAAATCTAGTCAAAGGAAGGAAATAGTAGGACCTTTAGGACTGCTAAATCGGCAGGGGGAAGGCGGCATTGACTGTACTTGGATTAACACACCTTCGTTACTGTACTATTATAGACTCTACGCATGGCGTTGGATTCTGGATTGTTCGTTCCATGGGCTTATCAAGGCGAGAAGAACAAATCCACACGCGAATAGGTCTTTGGGAGAGTTTTAGGGCCTGTTTTTATTGGTGATGTATTGCAATGGGCCGTACGGGTATGAAAAGAACGTTTTTCAAGGCTGTGTCTCTGTATTTATGACTAGTACTTAGTCCATCACTACGTACAACGGTAGAAATAGAGACCATGTGAATTCAATTTTGTACAAGTTTTAGGGGTCCGTAAGTGTACATCAGATCAAGTCTAGTCCTATGTTACTACATGTGTACAAGCCGTCCGGCGTTCATAAGCTGCGACTATACATACCCCTTAAGGGCTCACATCCCCTCCAAACCCAACAGGCCTCCGCCTACCCTCGTTCTCCGGTAGGATAGCCAAGACTTTATAAATCTTCCCCATACCGCTTGGCCCACGATCAACTAACCGCTTCCACGAGCGCTCGATCTCCTTCTTTTTCTCATCGGCGTTAGGCCCCGCCCCCAACTTCCGCGATAGCATCTCAGCGCGCTGCTGAACGCCCATGGCCTCGAGAAAATACGCCTGTTCCACAGGCCCATGACACTCGACACCCGGGCTAGCAATCGTTGCGGCCTCGACTATCGCGCCGAAGTCTACGTCCGCGCTAAGATCTACCAGTCCCGGGGCGGCGAACGGGCTCACACGTCGGTGCTGCCGGATCCCGCGCAACGAGTTCGCAGGGATGGTGTCGGTGGGCCCGTAGTCTAGGATTAGGGCGGCGCCGGAAGGCCGTGGTTTGGGAGAGGTGCTGGAGCCGCCGATGCGGGTGGCGAAGTCGGAGGCGTATATGGAGGAGTCGGGACATACTTCTATGAGGGCGCTTGGAATGGATTTGAGAGCCCGGTAACGCGGGGATGACTCGGGGAGGTATTGCGCGTGGCGGGTTACGGAGGGGCTGAGAGTAAGCTGGAATTCGGGGACGGGGTCGTGTCGTTCGGCCTGGGGGGTTCCGAGGTCTGCGTGTGTTGTACCTTTTGGTGTTGGGGAGACAACCATCTCCCGCCATTGGCGATTAGGAGCGGCGGCGGAGTCTGAACTTGAGGTCTTGTTGTTACTTTCTGGCGTAGTAGGTTTCTGAGTTGGTGGTAAGTCAACCAACTGAAAGGCATGGATTGGCAGTGCATCGAAGAATTCGTGGGCCACTATGAAAGGAGTCTTGCTAGAGTCCTGCGGGATGGCCTTGATAGAATCCGTCCATACGATTGGTAGGCCATTATATTTTGATGTACTATGCCAACCTATCTCAGACTCCGTCATTACGGCATCCTTGCCGCAAAGGAGATTCTTTTGCGCCGTGCGTAATTCAACACTAGCTTCAACCATATATATGGTGTCTATGCTAGAGGCCATATCTTTGAAATTCCTTATAGTCTATTTACAAGTCAGCTTTATAAAAATGCAAGTTTCACTCGCCGATTATAATACTCACTCTTAACATATCATCCATCAGAGTTCCCCTACCCGGACCAACTTCGATGAGCTCTACACCCTGCTTCGGGCGACCTTGAGACATCCATTCAGCTACAAACCATACGCCAATAAGTTCGCCGAATATCTGTGATATTTCCGGGGATGTTATGAAATCACCCTTCCGACCAAATTGATCGCGGCCGGCTTCTATGGCTCCTGTGTAGTATCCACCAATGTCCCCTGTAAGACACATGCGCATATAGCTAGCCAGAGGAATAGGACCAGTTATCTGTATAGTATAAGTATAAGATTTTATTACGACGTATTTGTATACTTACATTTATGGCCTCGGCCAATTGTTTGGCTAGAGGTGTTGACCATTGTCTTTCTTCTCTAGTTACGGGTGTTGCCGCAAAGCCTCTATAAATCTGATGTGCGACTTTGGGACCATGAGATAATGGCCGTCGTGATAAGTATCTAAGCCCGCATTGGGCCGTCCTTAACACGTTTGATCTCATTCTAAATAAGGAATTAATACATCACGAAGATGCATGAGACTTCATAAAATTAAATAAGTTATGTTTATGATTTAACATTGAAAAACTTAGAGTTGTCTTGTATAATTTGAGACTGAGCTCTAAAGCTCCAAAAGCTTTGAAATTTAGTTCCGAGCATTCTCCGGATCTCAAAATTACGTAGATCCAACCTTCCTTTCATCGCGAATAATTAATTATATTTTACCTAGCAACTAACAGTTCATTTAAGAATTACATACCGAAGATTTTCTCTAGTCTACTAACACCAAACTTACCGCTAACGTGCTTCGACTCCATGCGCAACAATTGCACGAAATCACAATCTTACCAATTCATCGCACCGCCCTTCAAGTATCACACTAGCTACCATCGAGACAACCACAATTATGGCGAGTAAATCTCGCTGGGCGGATACGGCAGAAGATGCAGCACTAGAAGCAAAACAGAAGCGCGAAAAGGAAGAAAAGAAGCGGTTAAAAGCCGAAAAAGCACAAAAAGCAGAAGCAGAGCGCCGCGCCCAAGCAGAGGCAGAGGCAGCCGCAGCCAGACAACGAGCCGCGCAAGAGCAGCAACAACAACACCTACAACCACCAGACGATGCTGTACCACCCACTAAACGACGAAAAATCACACCCGAACAAGACGAACAAGAAAAGGACGAAACTACAGAAAATGAGAGCAGCGCAAAACTACTGCGCTTCGAGACCGGAGGTTGGGGCAAATCACGAAGCGTCGAGAACTACGATAAGCTAAACGACATCGAAGAGGGAGCATACGGCTGGGTGGCGCGAGCAAAAGAAATCAAAACAGGCCAAGTCGTTGCCTTAAAGCGGCTCAAATTCGACCCAACCGACACATCAGGCCTACCCGAGACGGGCCTGCGCGAGATCCAAATCCTAAAAGACTGCTCGCACCGGAACATCGTAGCGCTGCGCGAAGTCGTAGTCGGCGACGATACCTCGCGCATCGAGCACATATTCCTCGTTCTCGAGTTCCTCGAGCACGACCTCATGTCCGTGCTAGGCGACATGCCCGAGCCGTTCCTGGCCTCCGAAGTCAAGACCCTGCTGCTCCAGCTTGCTAGCGGCGTCGCGTACCTGCACGACCACTGGATCCTGCACCGCGACCTTAAGACCTCGAATCTGCTACTTAATAACCGCGGACAGCTCAAGATCGCCGATTTTGGAATGGCGCGCTACGTCGGCGATCCCCCGCCCCCTAAGCTCACGCAGCTCGTCGTTACTCTCTGGTATCGCGCCCCTGAGCTGCTGCTTGGTACGAAGACGTATGGCGCTGCGGTTGATATGTGGAGCGTTGGGTGCATATTCGGCGAGCTGTTAACGCGTGAGCCATTGTTACAGGGCAAGAACGAGGTGGACGAGTTAGGCAAGATCTTCGAGTTATGCGGCATTCCTACGGACGAGTCCTGGCCCGGCTTCCGCCGCCTACCAAACGCCCGGCATTTACGATTACCCAAGAGCTCCGGAGCCAATACCGGGCCTATAATCCGCGCCCGGTTTCCATTACTAACAGCCGCGGGTAGTGCGCTGCTGAGCAGTCTACTATCACTAAACCCGGACCGACGACCTACGGCGAGGGAGATGCTGGACCACGAGTTCTTCAGACAGGACCCGAAACCCAAGCACGAGGCTATGTTTCCGACGTTCCCTAGCAAGGCAGGCCAGGAGCGCAGGCGCAGGAGATCAACGCCTAATGCGCCAGGCAGGGGACAGAAGGCCGCGGATCTGGGGTCGCTGGATTTCAGCGGGTTATTCGCGGCGCGGGAGAAGGAAGAGCGAGGAGGTGGGTTCTCGCTTCGGATGGTATGAATTACGAAGGTGCCAAGTAATATAACCTGCCCCTTATATATGAGAATGAAACATATACTATAATAGACATTACGAAGTCATTGAGAGACGAAAAGGTATTAAGCAACCTGACTAGGTGTGTAATCATTAAGAGCTATATAGCGATATAAATAACCCTTCCGATGCCGTAGATTTCTATGTAAATGATAGATCTTCGCCATTTTGGAATCCACGCCGGAAGTTCCCCCCCTCCTTTCGGCCCTTGCAATTCATTTCAACAAAAACGCCACTACATGATAATGATGTATCCTTAAACCCAGATAGATAGATAGATAGATTACCGTATCGAGAACTTCTCCATTAAGATGCTGTCCCTTATTTCCGAAATATATGCAGTCAGAAATATACTATCTCCCCATGTGCTACTACGCCTACTAATAGGTAGGTTGTAGTAGGACCAACTATAGCATCGCAGCAAATCCTGTCACGTACCACGTGAAACTGAATATGGTGATGATGCTCATAGTTATCGCGAAACCTAGGGCCTGGCGGTCAAGATCTCCTAATGCGCCGCTGCAGGTTGCGCACTTCCACTCTCCGAGGTCCTGGTACGGTCGGGCCGTGTACAACCCAAATTGGAGGCCGTCAAATGGTGCCAGGTACCCGGCTTCAGCGGTCGCATCGGCAGATGAGTCTGAGTCGTGGATTAGCAGGGTGTATTGCGCGACTAGTAGGGGACTAGCGACTGCGCTCTCTGCGTATTTCTCGGTGTCCCAGGTAAATGTGGCAGTCGGCTTGAAGGTCATGTTCTGAGTCAGTGTCCATGTGGCGGAGGCCGTGGAGCATGACACTAGAACATCAATAGCGGTTGGTGTGCCTTGCAGGGAGGTGTAGTTCCAAACCCAAGTGATTGGTGTCGGGTCTCCGATTCTGTAAAGCGTTGTTCCCGCAGTAATGGCCGGCGTAATCATAGCGACACCACCAGCTCCATCCTGCGGGTCGAACGTTTGATGTGTGGGCTTAGCCGTACTGTTGCCATGACCTCCATTTTTTGTGGTTACTACGGCCGTATTAAGGTTTGTAGTCTGAGGCTTGTCGGAGTCGGCAGCAGCAGTCGTCTTAACATCAGTCGTTGTAGTTTTTGGGTCGTCTGATGAATCATCTTTATCGTCAGCCTTAGTGGCAGTTGGTGTAGCTTCGGCTGCTTCAATGTTATTAGTAAAATTCAATTCCAACCTCATCCACTAGTTACCACGGAATATAACATACGCGATGAATCGTCTTGCCGAACTACGAGCGTATCTACATCCGGAAGCCATCCTGGCCACGCCGATGTTAGAGGGGTTAAAGCGAGGGCAATGGTCAAAAATTGACCCAGGCTTTGTGCTCCTTTCATCTTGTTTCAAATGATGGAATGCCGATAGACGTTTAATGGACGATTGATTCCGACTAAGTTGCAGGGAACAGAACGCCACAAATAAATAAACACTCGAAATCCAACAATATCAATTATTTCGTTTCTTTAGGATTTATCGTGGGCGTAAAAAAAAATTGTTGCTCGTTGGCTCGCTTCCGCTTCGTTAACTAGATCCCCCTATTTTCCTCTCCTGTTGTCGATACGAGGTGTGGATGCCGAGGAAAACAGTACAAAAAACTAAAACGCAGCAAATTCGGATTCCCTCGGTAAACGTATTTAGGCGGAGGGTAGTTATTATCAGAACTAAGCGAATGTTATTAATAGCTAGGTAGCAGTATTAAAGCGAACGACGGGTTGAACGATGAGAAAAAAGTTGTCAGTTCATCGAGAGCGAGAGGGTGGGAAAGAATGGGATGAAAGAAGGATAAGAGGATACGAAAAGACAAGATGATGGGCTCACTAACGGGTACTTTGCATTTTCCCGCTAAGCCTATGGTGTACTTCGTACATACCTAGGTATGTAGAAGATTCGATTCGATTAGCCCAGGGTTGAGCGATGAACACGAAGTGTTGGCAGCAGCATAACATGGGGCTCTCTGCCAGAAGAGGTATAGCGGTATTGGTAGGTGCGGTAATCGGGTTACACTACATGGGCCTACAGTGGGCGATGACAGGTTTGTCCAATGAGATCCATAGTGTATTAGAAGTACCCGGGGACCTGAACTGCATCCAGAACCTGCTTCTAAAGGATTTCCATTATAATAGCCAAATCAAGTACTGTATACCCTGGCTATCAATGCCATCATTTTTTCTTCTCTTCTACATACCTAGGTACATATTACACACTGACAACTTGTTATAACATGATGTCGACTCTACATACTTACAATTACCAATTATACCAATTACCAATTCAAGATTTGATAGTCACCTTTAAACATTTCTTACATGTCATCATCCCGAGGTGTGCCCTATGTCTTTTACTCTAAGATCGGGTGACAATGTGACATGCCTCTGTTTTGGTGGATCCACACCAACACCGCGTACTGTGTAGATGCTTGCTAAATGCTTGTTAAACCTAAAAATAGGACGGTTTTCAGTCTTAGTCAAATACCCGAGAGGGAGGCTCTGTCATTGACTACATACACCTCAGCTTAGTTTACATTTCGTGATTTTATTACCTATCAACTTGGTTTTTTTTTTTCAATCTACCACATGACTTTCAAGGTCTATCAAATATTTAAATGCAGCCCCGAAATATATCAGCTTGACCTGGCCTTAATGGATATTTTAACGAGTACGTAGACATCAAACTTTGATCCAGCGGCTTCGCCGAAACATACATATATGAGAGACGCACTGCTGTGCAAGCCATATATACTCTAAACCCCGTCAGTGGGTGGTTCTTATTTTTTTTTTTTTTTTTTTTTTTTTTCAAAAGTAATACCGGGCTTATTTCTTCGATCCTAATTCCCATAATCAGTCAGCTTAGACTTTGATTGGCTGTGGATGTGGCAAACCAATACGCTGTCAACTAGAAACCTTGAGAGTACCTACACAGGCAAGCTATTATACCTAGTTAGTGACCCTACGGATGATTTATAAATATTTATAGTTGGAATATTATTGTAACGACCACTTAGTATAGATGTAGATGCCCCTATTTTAGATCCAAGAATTACTTATACTAGTCAAAATGCCAACTTCTAGGGGAGTCTCAGTATCACAAATGTTGGTATATACCTCATCTTCAAAGTAGAATTCACAGACACGCTAGATGTTATTTAATATATATACTTAGTACCATGAAACATGGCTGATGAAGTAGTCATCCTATCTAAACAATTCTAGCCAACAGTTCTACATATTTATCGTTTATGAAGTGTCAACAACAAAAAATTCCCAAAACACGGCTTCATGAAATACCACTTTGCCAGATAGGTATACAGAGACGCCCTCCACGTGTAAAATTAAACGTCCATATTAACATGTTTAAAGCAGGTTATCAAGGCAGATGACAGGTTGATACACTATAAAGTTGACTCCGTCAAGGTCCATAAGATCTAATCACTAAGCTTTTCTCTTTATGCTTTGTTTAGGTATGATGTATCTCTGTACTTCATAAACAGGTATTCATTAATAATCTGTTTAGCTATTTACCTTTGGCCCCTTAACGTCTTTGTGAGTCTTCTCATAGTTGATTAACTTGAACAAGTAACTACCTAGCTAAGATGTGTTGAATAATTGCTATATTAAATGGAAGAAGTATTGTGTTATATCAAACGTTGGTTAAATCCCCGTGCTTAGTTTGCGTTTGTAAATGCTTAAATTGGTGAATTTGTAATCGCTATCATGTTAGCTGCCGTCGGGTAGAAATATGCGACCAACATACATACACCGCGTCGCGTTGATTCCTAAAAGTTGCCTAATTCCTCACCACCTATTTATTTACCAACCCGCCACAATCACCGATTTATTCGACAACTCTTTCCCCCACACCGTTGTCGAAGTCTTTGGTTTTTAGCTTATTTCCTCCTTTTCTTTTCTTTTCTTTTCTTTACTTTTCTTTACTTTCCTTTTCGTTTCTTTTCCGCCTCATTTGGAGTGTTAATATGATGGCAACGCCGCGAAATACTGTCGTGCTCGATAGAGCTAACTTTGAGGTTCTTGTGCAACGGTATGTCAAAACAAAACCTTGGATTATTTATTATATGATCAGGGGATTCTCGATTTAGAAGCTAATATGTTATTATTTAATAGAGCCAACGCTGTAAGCAATACCTGTCTAAACCCTCATTATATCGCTAGCTTTCTGACATAATCCCTAGAGCAATGACTATCAACTCAGGGGTGAGATAGGTCCGATTATGTGCCTTCCTATGGACGAGTATGAGGGCCTTATGCTTTCTCAACATCAATACGGTATACCCCCCACCCCTTCTGCCTTCTGATTTATCTATGGTACTTTAGACTTGTTCTGACCTCTTACTAGCCAACTTGACGCGTCACCTTTTACAAGAGGGTATGACTAAGGAACGCATTACGGTAAGTATTACTACCTACTTTCATCCTCTCTAGCCGTACAATAGTACCGTAACTCGAAGAATATTCAACGGCCGCTTTACACAGCAATGCTTCAGCATGGACTAACCGTTGATAGGCTTTGAGTCAGGATGAACCTCCAAGTGTACAGGCTAGCAAGGCCAAGAGCAAGGTCCCTCGCCTAGGGCAGAAGGATGCATCTACCACATCTGTGAAGCTTAGGAATGTCTGCGTGCCTTCTTCGAACAAGCAAGTACCGGACAAGCAAGTACCGGGCAAGCAAGCACCAGACAAGCAAGTGCCGGACAATAAAGTATCGGATATTCCAGCAAAGTCGAGGTTCTTGCCGTCAGGTATACAGCCACGATTCAAAGAGCCGTGGCGCCATGAGGCAGATGAACCGCAACTGCCCCCCAGAAGCAAGACTACCTTTTGCTTGAAGGGTTTGTTGAAAAGTATGACCTATTGGGATATTACCAGTGTCATTCGCGGCGGCTCTTTGTCAGGTTTGCGATGGATACCTGGTACTGAGGTCGCTTTTCTGTCTTTCGTGGAGGAAGAAAGAGCTATGTCATTCTATGACCATGTACAGAAAAATGGCCTCTACATTCAGGAGAAAAAGGTTAGTTATGTTGGCTACTCTCTTTCTTGGGTTGTCTAACGATAATATAGATCCACGTCTCCTGGGCTAGTCGCCCATACCGTATCAACAACGAACTTACAGTTCAGATTCGTAAGGGTGCAAGCAGAAACCTAATCATCCGAGGCTGCGAGGGAAAGCTTACCGAACGCGAGATTCGAAACGATATGGAGCATATCGATAAACTCGTCATCATCAAGGTCATATTTTCGGATGGCCATTGCCATATCAAGACCAACTCGATCTTCGACGCTATGACCACCAGGACGTGCATGCTCAGTAGACGGTAAGCTCTCCTGGGACTTTCAATAATATGGCCTTGTCTAATAAATTTTATCTAGAAAGTATAACCAGTGGGTGATCCAATGGGACCACGACGAGTGTTCTGAGCCACTTGAAGGTCCACAAGAGTCACGTTCTCCGAAGCAGAAGGCTACTTCCAGCAAGGAGCCCGCTGCCCGCGGTCATAACCGTTTTGCCTCTCTTGGTAGAGAGGATAATGACAACTCTATTGACAACGACAACCTTGACAATTAGTGAAGATAAGATCGATATCCTCTATGTTCTCCAAGGTCCACAATTATGTGTACAGTTAGGTTACGCAAGAGTTTTAGGGTTAGGGAGGCTCACTGTTTTGATTGTATTGTATTCAGTTCACAAATTTGCATGAGTCACGGACGACCTGTTCGTCGTGAAAACTATTTGATTTCAGGGTTGGACAATTGCAGTCTAGTTATTCCAATGACAGAGCTTTGAGGGGTTGGTTTGAATACACCCATTACTTGTGGCATCCCAAACGTGTTTAGTGCTTGATGTGTCTTCTTTATACCTACCTCTAGTTAGGTAGCTAATTCATTAGGTACATTTTAGTCAAACTTGCACCTGCTAGTAAGGTTATAACAGTCCCTAAAAGTGTTAATTGTAATCTGTTTGACAGTTCGTTATCTGTTATTCCACCGCAGCTTTAGAGTAATTATTGGCGGTAATAATCCTTGTCGAAATTTAAAGCCCCTGTCTTCTTACCCACTTGGTCCCGAGGCTACGGCACCTCTGTGGAGCCTGTGTAACAATCTCAGGCGCTAAGTTTCGGTAGTTATTTTTAGATCATGGGAAGATACATCACATCTGAGCTATAGGTAGTCTATATCCTACCTATGTACATAGAATTATTGTGTAGGTAGACTTACAAAATGTACACAAGGTTGATTTTGCTGTATGGAAGTATACCTTTGATACATAGGTAATTATACCTGCCCATCTAAGTCATTGGTATAGCAAGTACAGCCAAGCATATCTCTAACCTAGTTATGTACTTCCAAATAATGAGATTTTTGCCACGCAATAATGACTCGTGAGGTCCTACGGAATAGATAAGTTGCTCTATGCTTATTGGTATTTTTCTGATACCAAAATATACAAATCCTAAGTTTTGGCATCCGGTTAAACATAACATTATCGGTCTTGCTTGGTACCGATTTCGTTTCAGAAAAATATACTCTAGTACATACGTGGAGTTAATGGTACGCTGGCTGGAATAACCGGAATAAGCGTTGTATAGGTATCTTGCTAATAGTACTAATTCTCTATTAGTATATCATAAAGGGTATCGGATTACTTTTCTATTGTCAATTTAAACCAAGTCGCTACGTTTTAGGTATTTAAACCGGATAGCTATTTTTATAATGTCAATATTTATGCAACTTAGTAGATTAATAACATTAGTACCAAACAATTCAATTACCTCCTTGTTTTTTAAAGAGCAAATATGTATGTTTTAAAACACGTATAGGTGGCAAATTTGCCCATGAGTAGCCGCAACTTATACAAATGAGGCTCTGATCTGTTAAAAGTTTTACTGTCCAACTGAAAATTCTCCTGCACAGCTGCCCAGGTGGGTACCTCTTGGGTATCTCGGTACGTACATATTTATATACATTAGGTACATTAGGTAAGTAATTTGCTTGTACAGTACATACTGGTGGCTTGGCAAGTTCCATATGCAATCAGCACTGGCCACGTTCTGTAACTTCGAGCTTATCAGCCACAACAACCTTATTATCGTCCTTCGATCCCCACATCGGCAGACAGATCCTACCTAACTGTCAACTTAACAACTCCCAAACAGCTTTCATTCACTTCTCACTATTTCTTTCGCCTAATGCCATAATCTTACTCACCTACAATCAATCAGATCCCGTATTAAATTATAAATCATCAGAATCATTTAATTGACAGTAGTATTTCCCAGCGCAGTCGTGCCTCTCAAGCTTCGAGAGCTATCACTCACGCCACCCCTCACTTGTCGCCTGCTTGTCGCGCCGTCCTACAATTGGCCGGCTTTCCAGTTCAACACAACATTCTGCCCAACCTGTGGTCATGCAAGGAAGTAGAGTTCAGTATGGCGCAATACAAAATGACATTAGAAGATTGTACGTATTGTCACTTCCTAGAGGTGATATCTGTCTGATCTAGATCTGGCGGTTGATTCCGGCGCGGCGTTAAGCGCGTCATATATTGATGAGATATTAGCTAACATTATTCCTAAGGGTTGGACGACCTCTGCGTTCGATTCATCATAAACCTCCCCCGAGAAGACCTATCCTCAGTAGCGCGCATATGTTTCCAAATTGAAGAAGCACAATGGTTCTACGAAGATTTCATCCGACCTTTAGATCCTGCCTTACCATCCATGTCGTTACGGAGTTTTAGTCTTAAGATGTTCCAGCATTGTCCTCTACTAGCATCATTCTCTGCGGAGAGTCATATCAAAGCTTTCGAAGAATTCATGCAATATAAGACAAGAGTGCCTGTCCGAGGAGCAGTTATGCTCAACGACGATATGGATGCGGCCGTCCTTGTTCGGGGTTACAAGAAAGGAGCGAGCTGGAGTTTTCCACGAGGGAAGATAAATAAAAACGAAGACGACCTTGATTGCGCTATCCGTGAGGTTTACGAAGAGACAGGGTACGATCTCCGGGAAGCTGGTCTTGTTGACAAGAATGAACCAGTCCACCCCCTTGAGGTTACTATGCATGACCAACAGGTCCGGCTCTATGTGTTTCGCGGCGTACCGGAAGATACTGTCTTCGAAACAAGAACCAGGAAGGAAATTGGGGGCATTAAGTGGTACAAGGTTGAAGAATTGCCAGCATTTCGTAAGAGGAAAGGTATCGGTAAAAACGGGGTCGGAGGCCCTTCTAACGATAAATTCTACATGGTCGCTCCATTCATGGTTCAGTTACGACAATGGGTGATGAAACAAAAGAAGCTGGACGCCCAGAAACTCGGACACCCTAGCGTTCACCACCACCCCCAGTTCTATGATGAAAATTTGACGGATGATAATATTGTCCACGAACCAGTCCAGGCACCACCCGCAGGTACAACTTCGGAATTTATTGATAGCGCAACGAAAGAGCTGCATAGGTTATTGAAGGTGAAACCACCTACGCAGGGCCTTCAGATATTATCACCATCCTCGGATCAGCAGGCGGGGCAAGCCCTCCTATCTCTTTTGCGGCCGAAGGTATCAAATGACGAGGAGGCATCTAAACAAGCACAAGGGGGGAAGACTCGCGTCCCCTTTGATCCCGCGTCAATCAATGCCCCCAAGCACGTGGCTCCGCATCACCATCATCCCGAGCAGCACGGACCGATCTCCAATTACGGAGCAGCACGGCTCGTTGATGCAAATCCAAACTCAAGTTATGGAGCAGCACGGTTGACAGGTGAAGCAAATCCAAATCTAAGCTACACACAACAACACCGGGCTCGCCCATTCGTTAACGTCACTACCGAGCTTCCTGGTCCTCCAACATCTTCAGAACAACCACGTCAATCCCGGAATCAACCGGTACAACTTGTACATCCCCAACCACTACCGCCGCAGGTACAAAAAGCTATGCTCCTGCGTGGGATGGCTTCCTCCCCACAGGTCACGGACAATACGACTGCCCAGCCAGGGCTTTCCCGATTGACACAAGGACATCAATACGGTGCATACGGTCCTCAGGTTCACAATCATGGTGCGCAAGGCGGGTATCCTGAAAGGACGCTGCCTACCGAACTACCTGCGCATCCGGCCAACTTATTAAATGTCCTTAAGGGTGGTGTAGCACAGCCAGATATGAACCAAGGCTTCGTACCAGAATTATCAGGACTGGTCGCGAACTTGCCAACGATGCAGAATCCCCAGCACCAGTTTTCTGCACCGGGTAATGCATTTGCCAGCCAATACGAAGCTACAGCCATGCTTTCCGATTTGAACAAAACGTCGATAAATAATGGTCATGCAGCGCCACCTGGGCCTGAGGTGCGGCCTAGACTCCCGACTGATAAACATCGCTCAGATTTGCTTAATATGTTCAAAAAGACTGAATCATCGGCATCACAACATGAGGCCGATAGGGAAATAGTAACGCGACGTTCTTCCCGATTAAGCGAAAGCGAAAAACAACAATGGCACAGTCAGCCTCATTCTAACGCCGGTTCCCTGCGATCTACAGCCCACGAAAATGGTCGTCCTGTACAAATGAATCCTGAAGCAAATCTCCCATTCCGGGCACTTGCCATACTATCTCGCCCTCAGCCTGGACAACAGTCACCAAGTCAGAACAGAGTAGCTTCAGCTGCCGGGTCAGAAACGGGTCAGTACCCAGCCACGACATCACAGCTTAGTCATAGGTCGTTCAGTAAAGGCTCACCTTCTTTTACGAATCCGTCTCCGAAGCCATATCAGCTGGTGCCACAGAAGGCACAACAATTTGGCCGGTCGTCACCGAGGACCTACGCAGACTCGACGCACTCTTATCCATACGGTACCTCACACGGGAGTCAACACAACCCGCTGTCGCTGCTTCAAGGTCCGCCATCTGCGTCAGCGCTACCAGTTCCTGGTAGTGTACAGTTCCGGCAAGACTCAACTGCCGAGCAAAAGAGTGCACTTTTATCTCTTTTCGGAAAGTCGCCGTCAAATTTCGAACAGAGCAAAGGGAAGGAGCCGGCAATGCTCGACCAGTTTAGTACCAGCGCGGCACCACGATCCCGGTTGGGCTCAGTTGCTTCTAGTGGAGGCGAAGGGAGGCCAGGGTTAAGGGGCAACGCGTCGAGGCATGAGAATCAAGCTCCTTTATCTCCTGCAGATAGGAATTTCTTGTTGAACTTCTTAGAAAATGCATCTAATAGCGCGAGACGTTAGCGGTGCATATTTGCTTAGAAGATTCATAGAATAGAAGTTTTTATGATCTAGGGGTAGGCTAATTTTGCGTGGAGGTAGAGAGAATCATGGGAAGGTTAGTTTTAAGGGGCTAGCGATAATTATCATTATACCCCTATCTGTGCAAGTTAGAAATTGCATTGCTAATATAGGCGTTAAATTTTTGGGAACTCGATGATTCTGTATGTCTCTATGTGATTGCATTTGTGAATCTAATCTGATTTATAACTGTCTAAAATAAAACTACATATTAGTGTATTCTTACTATGAGCATCTATCTATCCTAAGTCATATGTGATGTTTTCCTCTAAAAATTGATGATAATTTAGAATAGGTATTAGGTAATTATTACCTAGCCCAATATTAGACTGGTACCTGTATAATAGGTATATGTACCTTATGTACATACGTACATGTATGTCGTGTTACCTCAAAATAGTTTGATTTGTTTACGATGGGAAAGGAAGAGGGAAGGGGACCCCTTGCTTACCTAGGTTATGGGGTAAGGTAAGGTAAGTTCTATTACACTAGTTACGGACCGGATGCCCCACCAACGGAACCAGTCATACATCATATGTACAAAGACGCGTGCGTTGTGTCACCAACTCGGGCAACATCTAAACTCTAACAAAACAAGTTTCTAAGATTACGATTACCCTACCTCTGATACTCTTCAGTTTTCTCCTCTTTGAATTCGATACACTTACAACCCCTAAATATCAAACTCCAAAGATCACTACCAACTTTCCAATATGGCGCGACTAGCCCAGGCGCCCATCACGCAGAATCGAACTATATCCAACACAGATTCCCTGCCAGACCTTAACCGTCTCCTCGACCGCTTACAAGAGAACATTCTCCATGCCGATGCTGAGAGGGAGCGACGACTGAGGATAAGCGAATATGAGCGCGCTAAAGCTAGGGTCGTATGTACTTGACCTAGATTACTCACCTCTGGTTTAATAGAGGTTAGAAAAGCTAACTTGACATACCACTGCATCTAGAACATCGACTACGCCCGATCACTCCTAACAAAGCTAGAGCATGATGCGCTTACGATCAAAGTACACACGCGACGACAGGAGGTGCAGAACGATCTAAATGGCAAGCGGGAGGTCCTCGAGCAAATCACCGAGAGGTTCCGCGAGCTCGAGGAGATCAGCGTGGATAGTGACGATGATAGTTCCGAAGGCGAGGATTTGCTAGGCGATATCATTAATACTCCAAGCGAGAGTATTGAGTCAGCTTCGGCAGCGGGCCAGCAGGGAGATGATGATGACGATATTGAAGATGTAGAGGAGCAGCAAAACGAGGAGGCGGTGATAGAGACAGAAGAATCGCTATCTCTTATTCCAGAGTCGCAAATTCCAGACTCTGGTCAGCAATCATCCAGTGCGACGCAATCATATCAAGCGATGACGACAACAACAACAACAGCCTCATCAGCACCAGAACCAACACCCTCAGGATCAGGAACCAGCACATCGCAGACCCTACGGCCCCGCGGCGGTGCTTCGCAACAACCCCCTCTATCAGACACCGCCGAAACTAGCGCGCTGCGCACCCAACTCTTCGGCACCCACCCCGATCCAACCACCAGCGCAACTTCCACCACAGAAGCAATCATGGACCTCCACCGCGCCGAGCAGGACAAGCTCGCCGAGTCGATGGTCGGAATGGCGCGCGCGCTAAAGGAGTCGACGCACCGGTTCGCGTCGTCGCTGCGCGAGGACGAAGACGTCGTGCGCGCGGCCGGGACCAATCTCGAGCGTAACGAGCGTGGGTTAGGTGCGGTCGCGGGACGCATGGGCGCGCTGAGGCGGTTGACCGAGGGCAAGGGCTGGTGGGGACGCATGCTGCTGTATCTCTGGATAGCGGGCTTGGCGGTTTTTGCTGTATTGCTTGTTTTTGTGTTTCCTAAGTTGCGGTTTTAAGAGGGGGGAAAGTGACTGTCTGAGAAAGGAAAAAAAAAAGGGGGGGGGAGGGGGTTGAAGGAAGATGGTAATGAAAAAGGGGGGGTTGAAGGGAAAGGGAAAGGGAGTAAGGAATGAAGAAAAGGGTACCCCGGTAGCGTTGACTTGACGGGACAGGACAAGTTTATGATATTACGATGTTTTGGTGATGATGGATGCATTTACACAGGTAGCTGGGCGAGCTGGGGGTCTACTTGGCAAGGCGTTTGAGTTTACGCTGTGTTACGATATGATATGTTGTGGTTATGTTAGATAGCTTAGACAAGTTACTCGACTTTCTAACTGTAAGAGTTCATTCGCATTGTTATTGCAATTGCCCCCGAGGGCGAAACAGCTATCTAAAATCAAGGCTCGCAATATGCAGCAGTATTTTGCTCGAGCAGGGGTATCTATGGCTATGGTATGGTAGAATCACCGCTAATGGGGGGTGAGTGAGTATCCGAAATCCATTGCTTCCTCTTACATTCGTACATCTTTCCAGCTGTCCACGTTGCTCGTTCACTCACTTACTCGGTACTCCTCCTCCTCCTTTTCCTCCTCTGACATGTCGGAAATATCGTCGACAAGGTCTTCTATCATAATAGCACCGTGCGTCTCCAACTCCTTCTTCTCGCTATCGTCGGGCCCCTGCGGCACCTACGCCTTTCGGCTACGAGTCTTTTTCATAGCGCGGACTACCGCCGAGAGGTTGCTGATCTCAGGCTGTTCTCCCTGACTCGCCTCGTTGGGACCAGCTCCCTTGACCTTTTGGCGCTTGGCCGTCTCGTGACGCTCGACGGCAAGGTCGTCGTCGTCCTCGCAGGCACGAGCTCTCTTCTTGTTGTTAGCCGCGGTCTTGCCGCGCGTTCGAGAGGAAACCGAGTTTTCATAGTTCGGCTTCTCTTCCTCCTTCTTCTCTTTCACCTTCTCCTTCTCGACCTTTTTCTTGTCGTCCTCCTTCACCTTCGCCTTCTCCTTCTCCCGGCGCTGTCGCTTCTCGCCGCCGGTGCGCTGGACAGGCTCCTCGGAGCTCTTGCGCTTGCGGCTGACAGCTTTATCAGGCAGTGCCTGCTTCTGGTCCTTCTTAGTGCTCGAAGTTGAATCCGCTGCCGACGCGGAGTTAGTGCCGTTGCCGACAACGGACAAGCTCTCAGGAGCCAGGTTATAGAGGGTGCCCACTGGCTTTCCGCCGGTCTATTTTTTTACATCTTGTCAGTTACTAATAATCAAAGAGTCTTGGAATAAATGTATGACTTACGGGAGGCTTGTACTGGAACTTGCTCTTGTCCGTAGTTCCCGCTTTGACGATGCGGTTGTTCCAGTGGATTCCGGTCTTTTGGTAGAAGAACACCACGAAGTCTCTCAATGCCATCTCTAGGCACACGCCGGTCTCCCGCGGACGGTAGATCGAAGGGCGGCTGTCGCGAGGCTTCTTGTAGAATTTGGCCGCGAACATATAAAGGTGCGGCTTAGCGTTAGATTCCCAGAGCTGAGATGGGAGTTAGAAATGAGTAGTTAAGGGTGAGGGGGGTGAGAGGGGTGAGAGAGGGGTAGGAGGATAATGTCTAGAAGGTGAGTACTTACATAGAGCTGGTACTTCTGACCGATATTTCCACTCTCCTTGTCGTTACGAGTCAAGGTGATCTCGTAGGCGAAATAGGTATCATCTCTATAGATGTGATGGAGGTCTTGAGTGGGTGTTAGCTATTACATTCCAGATACTGTGGGTATAGGGGGAGTGTTCCGGAGTGGGGACTTACTTGTGTTAACGAAGGACTCGGCCTCTTTAATCCCTTTCTGCGCCTTCGCCTCACGTTCCTTCTTAGCTTTATCTTCCTTGTCGATATTCTCGAGGGAGTAATCTTCCTCATTCACTATTGAAAAGATTATAGTGTCAGTATACACCATCATTGCTCATAGACGAGTCGTTCAAGTCGTGAGTTCGAGACTTCATAGCAACAAGTAGCTCCCATGGGCAAACATAATAATCTGATGAGATAGCAAACAATTTAAAAACTTACAGTGTCGCCTCTTACGGAGCGAGTCCTCGAACCAGTCCTTGGTCACAATGTGTGCCTTGAACTTGATAGCCTGCTGGATGGTAGAGATCTTCGCTTCGTACTGCTCAGGCGTAGCGAGTACATGCGTCACGTCCTTGTCGACGACGTTGCAGAAGATTCCGCCGTTCCACGTTGTCCAGCGTGCAACATTCACGTAGTCCCAATCGTCGCCGAGAGGTGCAGCTATGGAAATGTCACACCCGTCCAGGGTAGAGGAGATACCTTTTTCGTGACGGCGTGACATGATAGCAGATGATGGTTATAAAAGATAGAATAAGGGTTATAAAAGATAGAATAAGGGTTAATTTTTGTGATGTGATGTGCGATGTTCAATATTGAGTAGAGTTATCGTAAGTTTTAAGTGAGTTGTTGAGTTGTTGTATGCTTTGGTTGTAGAAAAAGTAGTGGTTGGGAGAAGAAGAAGAAGAATAAGAAGAATAGGAAGAAGAAGAAGAGGGGATGAGTACCTAAGGTAAAAACTTTTTGCATAGACCACCTCGTCGCTTTTTTTGCAGGAAGGAAGGAGTTGATTTACCGCAAGACTTTTAAATCGTTAAGAGGTGGTTGGTTGTAGTAGGTAGGTAGTTTGCTGCAGTGAGGGGCTCACGACATAAGGCAACGACGTTGAAGATAGGTACCTTACAGAACCACTGCGAGTACTTTTCGATAAGAAACACTCAGATCATAAAATAAGACCATGTCCAAGTTAGAATGATCTTGGGTTAAATTCACCAGACAATTTATTGCTAAGAAAACTGCGGTAATAGGTGGTGTAAAACTATCGATGCAGATAGGTCATGTAAAAATCCTCAAAACCGTCTCTTAAAAGTTACAAACTACCTAATTGCCTGTTGCAACTAAGGCAGGAAGTGAAATCTAACGTGCAGATACGTACAAGACTCAAGTATTCTTGTTCCTAATAGACGGCAAATAACAATCAGTAATACGTACCTCTTGGTCCTAAAATATATTCGATGTAGTCAACGATTTAAATGCTAGCCAATACAAATAAGCTGCAGAAAATATTTACAATAAACTAGGAATGTAATGGTAGAATCAATGATGGTAAAATCACTCGTCAAGACTGAGATTTAAAATTACTAAGGGGCTCAGAAGGAAGGATATTAGAACCTCAGGGTGTTTCTCGAACCCAATCACAGCAATGTCACAAAAAAAACCAGAAGACATAAAATAAACTGAACTTATCATGGGTATCATTCAAATCACGTATTCCTTATACCTACGCACTCGCCTTCCTTCCCGGTCCTAACCTCCCCAGACCCAGATCCAGCCTGTTCAAATTCAAATTTAAATTTACATAGTACCCCCTAATCCTCACTAGACGTCCTAAATCTTAAATCTAGTTTTCCTTACACCCTCCTCAGAACAACGTACTCTTCTTCTTCAACATTTTCCCAGTCCCGCTCCCAGTCCCGCTATCTGCGCTCCCGCCCCTTCTCCGCCCCGAATTCGGCTGCAACTGCTGCCCGTACCCGTACCCATATCCCGAAGCCTGCGGCATAGGAGCACCAGGTGTAGGCCCTACAGCATGGAACCAGCTGCCAAACCCTCCTCCATGCGAATGCGGTTTGGGTCCCGCGCTCACGGGCCGCGGTGGTGGAACCGGTGGTTGTAGCTGCGTGCGGCTAGGCCCAGCGACGGATTGTCGGGGAGGCAGATTTGGTTTCGGGCCGAAGTCCTGGCCTTCTATGCCAAACTCCTTCCGCAGCCTCTCTGTCTCCTTGGCGACCTCTGCGTCGCGGCGCTGACGGGCCTTTTCCTCTTCCTCGAGCATCTTCTTGATGCGCTTCTGCTCCGCGCGGTCCCGCTTCTCGCGCTCACGCTCTTCTTGCTGAACCAAGGCCTGTAGACGCTTGGTCTCAACGTCGATGCTGGATTCTGCGGGAGGTGTGGGCTGTTGGGTGACAGGGGAGGTAGTCTTTGCTGGAGGAAGGTTGCCGAATGCGCCGGTCATGAGACGTGGTGATGTGGATGAGGTTGGACTGGGCCGCGAGTTCTTGCGCCTATTTGCTGAGCCTGCAATATTGAAGGAGTCCCGGTTGGGGAATAAGTATATCTCGCGAATGACCTCAGCACCGAGCAGCAATACGACTTCGAGGCCTTTGCGATCCTCTATATCTACCCTCTGAAGATTCGGCTCGTAAATGGTGACACTGGGTTCCCTCCCGTTCTTGTATAACGCTATTGTGATATCTGGATCCTTGCTCTTCTTACCACCGACTGATGTGCCTGTCATGTAACATGTCATGTCCTTAGAGAACTTGCTATCTCTCTTCCACTTGAACATAATTTTAGGTGTGAGACTACTTGCGACAAGGTCATTCTGCTGGCGATCAACCTTGGATACCGAAGGCATGCGAAAGCTCTGCTGAGGCATTTCAAACTCCCACGACTCCTTCCCGGTCCAGGTGCTCTTCTCACCCTTCACCATAACCTGCTGCTCTGGGTTGTAGAGTTGTATGGCGAATCCGTCAGGGATCAAAGGTACAGGTGGAGGTGGAACACCATTCTGTTGTCTGATTTCGGCAGCAGACAGAGTAGGCTGCTGAAATTCAGGCTCGATTAGGACCTCAGCTAAGATTACATCCTGAAAGCTTGCGTCTCCTAAGGCTACAGCGTACTTATTCCTAGACTGGGGAAGGTCCGGGTTTATTTTCTGGAGTGAGTATTCAGGTGCCGGCTCGGAGCCATTTTGGGAGAAGTATAAGATTCTACATAGCGGATTATTAGAGGGTCTGAAGAAGAAAGTTGGTAAGTTTTCGTCGAGCATTTTGCAAAAGTTATGCCAAGTATTCCAAGGTACTGGCTCATCTATCGGTTGTAGGTGAGATAATTGTAGGTGATATGATGTAATGTAGTGTACAAAGCTTAGCCAAGATTGAAAAGATACAAAATATTCCAGGTATTCCAAGTAAGAGAAGGAGGTAGGAAACTTAGAATAAATGAATGACTTCCAAGACAAGTCGCAGTTGACTTAAGTGGGCAATGTATAAAAAAGAAGGAAGTAGCAGTCGGTAGTGGGTGACGAAGCCAAAAAGCTAAGCGCGGGTCGGCACAATAGACTCAGCCTCGATATCGTCGTTATGCCTTCCGAGAAACAATGGCGCGCCAAGGGTTAAAAAGGGTCAATATGACAATCATGTATGTACTTCCAAGTATCGTATGCGTATGCGTATGCGAGGTAGTTAAATATAGGCTAAAGCATAAAGACTGCGATATGTGATAGAGAGAAAATAAAGATATAGATACCTAATGAATAGAAACAAAACATCCGATATTGAATAGTTACCAGGTATTTATGTACCAATACATATAATATACAATATGCGCGCGTGAGATGCAGTCGCCGGCACCTTATTGTCACGAAGAGCGAAAAGAGGCGTTTGCGACCCGATGTCTTATTGTCATTGTCGTCATGTGCTCAAGGTTGTTTGCAGCTTTGGTCACTCAAGAATTCCTTAAAAGCGGGCTCGACCCTGCTATAATTATGGCATCTACAGGGAATTTTGCTGCGAATATTACAGGGGATCACCCCGCTATTCGTACCGATTTGAAGGAATGCCGAGCCACAGGGCAAGAGGGCTGTGCGACTCAGCTCGGGACATCGGTATCGACAGCCAATCCATTCGCTTTTTTCTCATTACTAAACAGAGATAAAATATATTAGCCAACTCAGCTTCAACATAATACAACGCGCGTCAGGTAAATCTTTTTACGCAAATATTTATTACGCATGATTTGACCTGCGTAGGTAACTGCATGTATATAAAAAATTTGTATTCCGTATGAAAATCAATATCAACATCACATCTTAGTATGTACCCGCCGTTGATCTATCGGTAACGAGTCTTCACGGCTCGTCCACTATTAGTAACGATGGGACGCCACTCCACATAAGATCGACTGTTGTACTTGCAGGAATAAAAACCGATCACTTGAAATTTCTGAGGTTTGTTAAGATCGTCAAGACCTTGAACTTTAGTTATATGTAGGTATGTTGCAAGTTTGCCATCTAGGACGAGAATCAAAACTGGGGTTGATCTAGGCAACTCTGATCCTCTATTGATGTAAGAGGAATTTTTCCACGTCCCGGTATCTTCCAACCATGTACGTATCTAAATGTATAGAGAGCCTAGTTCTACCTTCTGGTTCATTTTCAACTTCCAAAAAAAGAAAGAACTCGGTATGTAGGTAGGTACCTAGGTAGTTAGGTTGGACTAGAATAAGTTAATTCTATGTAAGAAGTGTTCATTATCATCCGCTCCTCTATAGTGATACCCCGTTATGTGACTCCCCGACTCCTGCTAACATGGGAAATGCATGGTATGAGTGCCAAAACAGCATTGTCGTCAAACCCAAGAAGGATATGGGTCCTAATTGTATATAAGACGCTAGGTGATATGGTAATTCACCATCCACTCGGTAACGATATTGTAGGCGTGGATTGTTGTGTATATTATTGACCAATACAAATGAACGCAAGGTCAGGTATCCCTTTAAAGTTAAATTATAATTCCTTTCTGTTGTGGTCTCGCTATAGATCCTGTTCCTTGGGGGATTCCTGGATTGGGACAACGAAGAAAAGGGTAAAAGTATTGTGTTGGATTCTTTTGGTATTAAGTAGTATCATCCATCACCGGTAAGCGGTCTGTCGCGTTGCACTTATCTCGCCTGGGATTGCTGGCATAACAGGTATTTCTCCACGTTCCCGCGCCCTCGAACCCGCTCTCTTTGCTCGTCCTGCCTGCTGGTTGACCCAACTAGTTATAGAGCGAAACCGAGCTGGACGGTCCTCGCTCGCTTCCGTATATACCGTTTCCCTCCTTTCGCCTGGTCGACTTATCCATGAGTCTCGAGCGGCAGGGTTCTCCTCGGCCGGAACAGGTAGAGGCTTGTCTGATCCTGAGGATGGAGGTATAACAATGTCACCGTCCCCAAATCCGGAAGAGATGGATGATATTTCGCTAGCTCGGGTTCCAGCCCGTTTCGGCGCATTAAATGTTTCCGGTTGGCGAGGAAGATCTGATTCGTTGTAATATGGTTGGGTTACCTGAGACCTTATGGTTAAGTTGATATCGCCATTATTTGAGACACCCCCGTTTCCTGGGATATATTGGTTTATGATACTCGCAAGAGGTGGGTTATTATCCGGTGACTGTCGAAGGGTTCCTGCCTCTGAATTTGAGGCGACTGAACGTATCATACTCCCAGGTCCTAGTGGATACGCTTTATTAGGGCCATAGAAGTTACCTGCTTGCATGGTACCATGCTCCCCCTGCTCGTAAATAGGGGGCGCCTCGTTAGACATGTATAACGTACGGTTATCTATCGACCCTCTCTGTTTATCATTGAACTTGTCGATAGATCCCATGCCGCCGCTAATGCCAATGCCCTGGCCTTTGGTCCTTTTTAAGACCCTATAGATGATCCATCCGATAAAGCAGAATAAAATGAAAGCACCTTGGACGTATTAGTGACCTAATTTCACTAAAATGGGGAAAATATACTGACCTATTGCACCTGCGGCAATGAGGAGGTGCTCTGCTGTAGGATTTAATACACCCTGAGGTGGCTGTTGAGGGTCTTTATCACCATGCCATTTATGCTTGCCCCCATCATCGTTATCGCCCACAGTATCTGAGGCTACGGGTACTAATGTTGGCTCCGTAGACAACTGTCCAGTGGTGACTGTGGGGACAAACTGGGAAGTGATGGGTGATTCCGGATCGTCATTATCATCACCCTCTTCTTTACCCTGTTGTATAGGGAAAGCTTTCCCCAGAGTAGGAGGAGCTGAAAAAACCTATCGGCAAGTTATTAGTTCGTTTCTAACGAGATTAAATTGATAGATAAACATACCGGAATGAATAGTGGCATAGAAGTAGACGTCAATTTTGATGTAGGAGTAGTTGTCATGATCGATAACGTAGTAGCTTGACTCGGTCGCGCAGTTAGAGTAACGATAGAACCTGAAGAGCTTGGTGTAGGTAATTGAGTTGTTTTCTGTGGAGAATCGCCGATCTTATTGTCTTCGTCGTCATCGCTATCACCGTCGCTCAAGTCTCCTAGACCATCCTTAAGATCATCGTCTGATTCACTGTCGCTCTCGTTGTCGCCTCGAATAACAATCCGTCGTGCTCTCAAATTTCTAGTACTAGTAGCATCGTCTTCGATATTCCTACGTCCCAAACTCCTACGCGAAAATAACGTCGACCGTTGATCCATTTTTGGTGACCCCCTCCATGATTGAGCGTCCTGGGATTCTCGTCTCCTGTTAGATGGCGGCATGTTATCGTTCAGAAGCTATTATTATACGCCGAAATGCTCTGCATCCAAGCACTTTTCCTGAATTCATAACATAACCAGTATGCGAACAAGATAAAATAAAGACGAATATTATTAAAAGTCACCCAAAAACGTATCTGGTTGGGTATACCGAAAACGACAGGATGGAATGAACAGAATACCAAGAACCCAAGTTTGAGGATTGACTAATAGAATACAAGAAGGCCCGCCTTGGAAGAAAAAGAGAAGGAAAGAAGGGGAAAAGAGATCGAAAAAGCCAAGAGTAACGGAGGTACGAAGTAATAGAAGAGAAAGTGCAATTCAGAGTCGTATTAGATCTCAGGTCTCCAAGTTGAGATTCAGAGACTAAGGCTCAATTAGTGCAACGCGTCTCAGGGATGTAATGAGGGCCCCTGGACCCCTTCAACGACAACGAGCCCCGGGCGGCCATATCCCTGACCAGCATGGCTGCCCCATGTGATATTATTCTTGCTTAGGCTCGCGATGCCAATAGGGTCATCGCGAAAGGGGATTAACGGTCTGCTGCTAGGGTTTTACTATCATAGTGTAATAACGCTCATACTTTATACGACGACTTACACAAGCTATAACTATTAATTGAAACATTCAGATATGATGGCTAAGATGTTAGGCGCATTTGCTTCTGGATAACTTCGTAGCATATTGAATTTACTGCGTTGATATATTAATTACTGAACCCATAGCCAAATACATAGAAGCGCGTTGATTGATATTGACGTAGCAGTATGAAAATTGGTTTGGATTTGAGGCTTAGAGCAACTAAAGGGGGGGGGGTAAATATCCCTAGCGATTAGTGTAGTATGTAAAGGGACTAAGGGACTAATGCTACTCGTATAAAGTAGCGCAGCGAAACTGCTGGTGTTTTCGCCGGCGTGTCTTAGGGTCGATGTTGATGGTACCGCCTTGACCTGAAGTTGATGTTGTGACAAGATGACCAGGGTATTCCGTCTCGAACAAGGAATAATTGCGGAGTCTGCCGGGTTTCAGACAGGGATAATGAGCGACGGCGCCAAACTTGATACAGATCAACGTCTGGCATATCGATTTTCTTGACTGTGCTCGAGTCCGTGATAATGGAGTCTTTCGAGAATCTTGCGATAGCTGGCGGTATCTGGTAATGGTTGCGACATAATTGAATGAAAGAGACAAACTTACGACGACGTCATTTGTCATATAAGAAATAATAACAACTTCGTAGGACTGTTAAGTACAGGCCTACTACTTACTCATTCGTCCTTGGTAACTCTGAGTTACGTAGTTTTCTATGTCGAAAATGAGATAGACAATAAATATTCCAATGAATTATGACCATTAATAGTTCTCATTGGGAGTTCTCATTAAGAGCTAGAATTCTCGTGAGGGAGTAATATACGTAATTTTACGCGTAATGGAATATATAAGTGGGAGCTGTATGTAGATGGGAGCTGAATGGAAGTCTCGGCGCCAACCCAAGCCAAGCCATCGCAAGCTTTTCTTGAAAAGGAAGATCTGGTTGTTACTCTATCAAGCTTTTTGAAATTGCTCATCCTAGATTAATCCGAATCGACCTTGTCAATAACAAGGTTTGTTTAAACTTCATTGTGAAGACTCGGGTAGAGAAACTAGAGACTGTTACCATTTCGCTTTCTTCGTGTTTGTAAGTTGAGAAAGTTGGAAAGTTGGAAGACAGCACTATCCAAGTTTAACATGAATAAAAGTTAAGGCTTATCAACAAACCACGACTTCCCTAATCTTGACTGCTATCCCGAGGTACTCCCGAATAGGTTTAACCTTATCTAATACTTATGTTGGTTTATCACTGCCATTTTATCACGCCCTAGTTAAACTGAACAAATATATGTACGCATCAAAATCAAGACTATAAATCTGACTTTCCTGCTAGTTATTTTTATTTTATTTGTTTGGAATTATAAAATATACCGGACTAGCTGTGTATACATAGTAGACGTTACCTACGTAATTGTTGATTAATCCTTACCGAGCATCCAGCGTTACGCTTTGTGTAAGTCGGCTGATTCCGCCGAATCGGATACCCCATCATCATGCCAATCCGAGTTTCTCCTCTCACCGAGGCAGACATCCCAGGCGCTGTGTCCGCCATCCAGTAAGTATCTTCCCTTTCATCCTAGGAATTTGTTGGTGGGTAACAGTATGGAGTAACGGAACAATGGGTCGGTATACCGCATGCGACTTAAGCGGAAGGGAGGGCGCTGCGGCTGATGAACCCTCCTCAGCTCCGTGTAACAGTTATTATCCATGCTAACTACCCTATCACCGAAGAAAAGCTTTTGCGGACGATCCGTACAACAATTGGGTCTTTGATAAATCTACGGTATGCATGGTCCTTTCGTTACCGAACATTGTGTACGCCAAGATTCGTTTCAAGGGCGCGGGGATGGTTGAGTAGCATTGGTATTGGTATTGGTATTTTATCTTTCAAGATACTTCCCGTTTGAGTATCACCCAACCAATTAAGCAAATACGTTGGACTACCGAGGACAAACTCCTATGGCGATTAGCCTCCACACTTCATACTAACACAGGCCGTTAGTTCAACCCGCAACGCAATGCGACCTCTCTTAGCATTCGGTGCCGATGGGGTATGCGTAACGGCATCTTCCACGTCGCGAAGGAAGACGGCAGCGATGAAGTACTTGGTGTCGCTTGCTGGTTAAGGCCACAAAGGGCAGGCCAGCTACCAACCTGGTCCGACTGGATCGAAGACTGGCGGTTGTGGTTCAACCAGGTCGGGATGAACCTTTACTACGGTCGAGGCGGCCTCAATGTTAAGGTAAGAGTCTGATTTCAAGAGATTATGGGCGCGGGTGAAATCTCCGCTTCAAGACAAGCATTTGATCTGCCGACTTGGCTGCATCTGGCGACTTCTCTAAATTACACGTGAAAGTAGGGTGACAATGATTCCCGGGCCGGGGCAGGAAATGTTGTCGTGGGGGCTCCGCCCCATGGCCCGTTTCAGCGTCTGTATCAGTCGAGCGATCAGGGTCTCTGCTCTCCCTACCGACTATTCGGCCTTCACAACCTCGAGTTCCAAACGACTGCTAACCTAAAAGCAACTATCTAGCGTTATTACATATGGAAAGAGGCTCAAGCCAAGGCCCAGTCCTCCGTCTGGACGGACTCACGAGGCTACTATTTCCTCAATATCATGGTTGTGCTACCTAAAGCCCAGAATAGAGGAATAGGCCGACTTATGATGAAAGCTGTAACCGACCAGGCCGACGCCGCGGGTATGAATTGCTACCTCGAGTCCAGCCGGGACATTCCCAACATGCAAATCTACGGGCGCTTCGGGTTCAAGTTTGCGAAGGAGCTAGAATGCGACGACGACGGCACAGCTATAAAACTCTACGCTATGGTTAGAGAGCCCAGTGCCAAGCCGCAGACAAATTGACCATACTATTTTGCGCGTACTTGGTTTGTAGAATCCGAGCGCAACTAAGCCACAGCGGGTGTGGGTTCCGCACGAGTCCGCACGAGTGAGGTCCTCAGAGCTGGAAATTGATGCCGTTAATATCTATGTGGAGGTTAACCACCTACCTAACCTTATGTAGGTTAATCATCCACATAAGGTAAGTTGACGCGGTAAAAATAGAACCAAAAAGCTTCTACCCACCAGTAACGAAATCGTCTATCATCCTTGGCTTCCCGCACCCTCATGAGCTGCTTAGTCGGGATCGGCAATGCTCTCAGATCAAAACTTTATCTAATTCTCTTTTTACATATGCAAGTCACTGGGGATCATATACAAATGTACTATAGCCGAGGTCAACCGGAGACGGCAAAGTCAAGCATGTGGTAAAGAATCCAGGAGGACCTATCAAGACAATAGGATGTTGGGTTAGGTAGTTTTTGAACATAGCTATTAGAAAATATATAGCCGATTGAGCTTATAGGCAGGTCTAACTCTGATACACTATTGCCGATAGAACTCTAAGGTAAAGATTAAGACACTATTATACTATTGTAAGCTCAAGATGAGCAAGTATGAGTCTAATAACACACTCACACCTTACCAGTCAAATATTACTTATACTCTAGATCACCAATGAGTATTAATAAAATAAATGGCCATGAAATATTATCTTAATGATGACTCGTCCGTTTACTTATACAAACGGAAGCGTCCCAGGCGCCAGCCCATCGCCTACCGCAAGTCTATCCTAGTCTACGAGCTTAGTTTTCACGGGTAGAAAAAAAAACGCTCTCTATACGCGAGCGTCTTATATCGTATACCGTGTACCATATGTCCCCTCGAGAAAAAAAAAACACCCCTCCAAAAATAACAAATAAAAAACCCGTTCTGTCCTGTCCGTCCTCGTAATATCGTGACTGGGCACTTCTCACTTCTCTTTCTAAAACTCTCTAGGGGACGAATAATACACGGTGAGCGGGGTGGGGCGGTGCTATATGGATATAGGGGTGAAAATGGATCTTGCCATTTCCGATCCAAAAAGGGGGGACCCCGGAAACGAGGTGGGAGAGTAGTTTTAATGAGATTAGGTATTATCGACTAAAATCCGTCTACTCTCGGGAGACATCTCGTCCGTAGATCTTGGCCTTGACCCAATCAAGAGCGACGAGAGCACGGTTGCGCGCTGGAAATTGTTAGCATTGATTTCTCATAAGGTGAAATTAGAAGCAGCAGAAGACTTACTGCTAAAGCACATGCTCAAGTAAGCACTCCTCCAGAAGAGATATGTGAGCTTGCCACCGCTAGCAACGTTGCCGTTCAGCCACGCGACGTCTGCGACAGCCTTTTCGCTACCGATGTAGGCTAAACTGCCCTGGTGCGAGTAGTGGAAGGGCTTGACATCCTTGATACGGCGTAGCTGTTTCTCGATGGACTCGATTTCTTGCGCTACGGCCGGCGTATCACCAGGCTTGAGGTTTAAGTCGGCGCTAAGATCGCGGACTTTCTGTTCCATAGACTCGGTCTTAGCCATGTTGTTGAATAGCCTAGCGAGGAAAGCACCTTCTTGGGAAGCGACTTGGGCAGTTGGTGCATATCCGGCAACGGCGCAGTCACCAACGGCCCAGATATCTCTTGCTCCCTGAACCACGAGGTACTCATTAACAGCAAGACCACGCCTCGAGTCCTTCTGAGCAGGAATTTGAGATAAGAGATCTTTGACCAATGGGCGCAAAGTGTTGCCTGTGGCCCAAACCAGTAAACCGTAGGGGATTGTAACAATAGACTTCTTGCCATCGGGAGTAGAAATTTCAGCTTCGACAGTTTTATCGGTCACCTTCTTAACCATAGTCTTAGTCATAATTTTGATGTCCTCCTCCTTAAAAGTGCTCTCGGTATAGTCGATGAGCTGTTTGCTGAACATAGGTAGGACGTTAGGCAGAGCCTCGATGAGAGTTACCTTGAATCGCGGAGCAATATCGGGAATAAGCTTCTTGATATCCTCATCAAAGAAGTCCCTCAGCTCTCCGGCGAACTCAACACCGGTAGGGCCACCACCAACGACTACCATATGGAGAAGACGGTCGATCTCCTCTGTCTCTTGATCCTTGAAAGCAGCAGTTTCAACACAATCCATGATCTTGGTACGGATAGCCTGTGCATCTTTAATCTCCTTTAGGAAGCAGCTGTGCTCGCGGACTCCGGGAATACCGAAAGTAGCGTTCTCGGCACCAACGCCGATAACAAGCATGTCGTACGGAACTTCGGTCTGGTGGACTTTTCCTTTAACCTCGCTGTTGTCGGTAATTTTGACAATCTTCTTCTCAACATCGATATGAGTAGCCTCGGCTTCGTAGAATTTGACAGCAGCCTTCTTGCGACGTAGGATCTGGCGTACGGGTTCCATGATGGAGCGGTGCTCGATGTTTCCGGTGGTACATGAGGGCAGTAGAGGTGTGAAGAGGAAGTAATTTCGCGGTGAGATAACAACAACATTGTAGTTGGCAGTGTCGAGCTTCTTGAGTAACGCAACGGAGCCCCAGCCAGTACCTTAAAGCCCAATTATTAGAGACAGAGCGGTAAGTGGTGCTTAGTAACAATTACTTACCAAGAATTACCAACGTCTTCTTCTGAGGGTCAGGGACAAATTGTTCTTCGGGGTGACGGTCTAAGTAGCCGTCGTAAATGACAGCACCAACAACACCGAGCATGGACAGATAAACAAAGCGCCATGTCCATTTAATAGTATTCCGGATTCTGCATGGTTTCTTTGTAGGGCGAGGAGCTGCGTCAGCATAGGACCTGACAAGCCGGGGAGCAACAACAGTTCTCGTTCGTGTTCTTGCGACAACGGAGGTTAGCTGTCGCGGGTATGACGTCGTAGTGAATCTGGCAACGGGCACAGATAATTGCCTACTAGCTGGGCTAGTGAGCCTGCTCAAGGCCCGTGAGGACGACGCCATCGGGTCTTAACTGACGGCGGAGTTACCGTCTAAGAAAAGGGTAAAGAGGCGTGAGGATGGTTAAGGAATCGGTAGACAAAAATTAATCTTTTGTCCAGCCCAAAGTCGATTTGGGGGGGTTAGTAAAAAAAAAGCAGCGCACAAAAAATAGGCCGGAACTTATCGCCAATTGGGATTAGGACAATGACATGAATGTGATGAATTTTTAGGTGGATCGGGTCAGGTATCTTTCTTTTTTTTTTTTTTTTTCTAGTTACTTTTTCAGGAAAGAAGCTTAGGGCGCTAGGGCCAAAGGCTAAGACACCGGCCGTGAAGTCCGCATCAAGGGTCTTAACCTGTTGCAGGAGTCCGGCCGTCCGCGATTGACCCGGGAACTCGGGATTTCCTGACTTACTATGAAGCGCTAGACTATAATGGGAAGAGCTTGACCTTAAATTGATTAGTCACTTCAGCCCTGTCGTAATGATAGGAGATTAGATTGAGGTATTTTAGACTCCCAAAGTTCTAGGCCAACTGTTCCGCCTATTAGACGTTTTATAATTAGTACCTAGTTTAGTAAATTTGCAGAAACTCTTAGCCCTTATCTTAATTTGAAGTTGAAGTTGTAAATATAAATAGGTATATTTAATATCACGTACTTGGGTCTTCGGTCTTGTATAAGTCTTAGCCATATAAACCCCTCTTTTCTCTATATCAATTATAGCCAATACAAACATAAATAGCACCTCACTCATCAGGTTTTGCTCAGTAAGCACATGCTCTTTTATTCTGCCATAATACTCACCTTATGAATACTACTCAAGTATATATCAACTTGTATCATTACCGGCGGGTTAGACGCGGTAAACTATGGGTTATCCTGACATGTGATAAATAAGAAAATGTTTGCTCCAAAGCTTAAGAAATGTTGTACTAGTTGTTAGATATCCAATCATATTCAACGCGGGGCTAGATTCTCTCCCCACCTCATCATTCTAAATCTCGCCCTTATTATTATCATCATCATCAGCTTTTAATACCCTTCGATAAAACCTTATAAGTAAATCTATAAGACAACCCCACCCCATGGCAGCCCTCTCACGCTTCACTCTAATATTCTATACACCCCCCTCCGCCCTCGCAGTCTGCAAATCTGCCATCTTCGCCGCAGGCGCAGGCCGCTACCCCGGGCCCGGGAACTACACCGAGTGCTGCTGGACGACCCTCGGCACGGGCCAATTCCGGCCGGGCGACGCCGCGAACCCGCACATCGGCGCCGTCGGGGCCCTCGAGGAAGTCCCCGAGGTCCGCGTCGAGACCCTGTGCGTCGGCGAGGACGTTGTTAAGGGCGCTATAGAGGCGCTTAAGGGGTAAGTCGTGCTGTTTTAGATTGTAACTAGGCTGTTTGGTAGTTGTTATAGGTGCATAGGGGGGAATTGTGGTATACATACTAGTCTAGAGCAGTGAATATTGGTATAGTGGAGAGGGAGAGGGAGGGTACACATGTCATATCCGAAGCAACTCCGCTGACCGAGAAATCTCCTACATAGCGCTCATCCCTATGAGGAACCTGCCTACCACGTCATTAAGTTGGAGGATTATTGAGCACGCATAGTGAACCTGCGATTGGATGAGAAATTGTGAGATGGGCGACCGTGCTGGGGACACCTACTCTCACCTTTGTCCTATAGGTAGGGAGGGGATCTCCTCTGATAATGTGAAAAGTTCAATCAAAACATTATGAAATATAACCCATACATATCAGCGTCGATGAAACACACAACACCAGCATCAAGTCACAAAAGGCCACTAACTAGTCTACAAGCCTACTATACGCAGTAGCACTAGTATATATTATTTGATCGTCATTCGCGACCTTTGCTCATATATTGTTTTTAACGCCGCTGCTGGCTCTAAGCGAGATTCGTAGTAATCATATCATCCGATTATATAAATACACAACCAAAGCTCTTCCTCCCGAGCCTCCGACTATCTGCCCGGCGTTGATGCCGGCATCTCGCCGTACCTCCCCCTGTGCCTTGTCGTATCGTAAGCGTTGATGACGCGGGTTTGACTTTCGTCCGCTTGCGAGAAAGCGTAGCCGCGCTGTTTTCTCATCCGCTGCACCTGCCGGACCTTCCTGATCGCCTTCTGGAATTGCTCCATCCTGTTTCATTTATTAGCCGATACAATACGCGATGATAGAAAGCATGAGGGGCAAGAGCGTACCTTGGACGGTAATCCTGGATATTGTACTTCTGAATCTCCTGTATGTGGTGGTACGTCTGTGGGTAATACATCCTCTTCGCGTATTTCCAGGCGAAATCTCGTAGAAGACAGAGGAGGGGCAGAGCGAGGGTTTGTAGCCAGAAGACAGGGTTCGCGAAGAGTTTTGGTACCAACCCGTCGTATTCCTTCGAGATTCCAAGCTTTGGACCTACAATTCCATAGACGACAATAAACCCATACCAAATCACCATACTGCCTGGGATGGCCATGATATGGTACTTGGTCCAGTTACTAGTCACCAACGCCGCTTTTCCGAGAACAGTGGCAAGGGTAGCCGCATACAAAGCCGTACCCCAAACCCAGTGACCCGCCATAGTACCATCACCCAGGATTAGATCGCTGTACCAAATAAGTTCGGAGAATATGTATAAGACGAGAGAGTGGTATACGGCATTTGCGATCCATGCGAAAAACGTGCTGACTTTAAAGAATTGGTTTTGTTGTCCTAGAGTATATAGTTGTGGGTAGCGGTCGAGTAGTCGGGCGGAAATGTACTGATCTAGAATACCCATGACAAGGGGGGGTAGAACAGTGTAGAAGACGTTGTAGAAGGATAATGTCCAGGATTCGTAGATGATAGCCCCAGAGAAGACGTTTTGGAATGTGTACTGTTAATGTATTAGCTTCAAGAATCACCGACACCTACGCCTGACATGGACGGGCGACGCGTTAAGGGGAAAAAATATAGAGGTGACCATGAAAGATGTCGTGAGCTTACCCAGAATTGTGTCATATATAAAGTAATGTTTTTGTAGAATGAGAATAGGATGGTTTTGCTGATACGTTGATAGCTCCAAGCGCCGTGAACGAGCGTTAGTTTGCGCAAGAACCGGAATTGGGCGATTGAAATATCGGCTGATCGTGCGGCTTGAAGACCTTCGACACCCGAAATACCAACTCCGATATGAGCGGCTTGGATCATAGACACGTCGTTGGCTCCGTCGCCAATAGCGAGGAGGATCTCCGGCGAGAACTTCTTAACCATTTTCACAACTAAAGCCTTTTGTAACGGCGAGACACGACAGCAGATAACTGCCTTGCACATCACAGCTAGGTCGTAGAACATCTTCTCCATGTCTGGCTCTAGAGCGAAAGTAAGGGACTTGCCATCGATAACAAGAGCCAAAGCATCCATTTCGACCGACCCATCCGTATTGTTCCGGATGGCATCTAGCTTCTTTTGAATGTTATCGCGAGTTGATACGGAATCCTCTTCGTTGACGATCAAGAGCATCATATCTTCGCTTAGCAGCTTAGAACTCATCCCAATATTGATAGCCGTCTCCTGCCGATCTCCAGTCAAAACCCAAACCTTGATGTTCGCTTGCTGCAGTGTATGAATCGTCTCTGGTACACCGTCCTGAAGACGATCTTCGATAGCGGTCGCGCCTAGTAAGTAGAAACTGTGCTCAAGTATCTCGGCCGCTTTGTCGAGCTCTTCAGATCGGTTACCACCGACGGTGGTTTGAGCCTTATCGAAGATCTTGTACCACTCCTGGAATTCTTGTTCGGGGACCTCACGCATTGCTAGGCAAAGAGTCCGAAGACCTTCGGAGGCATACTCCTCAAGATGGACCAGGGTTTGCTCAACATGGGGGTTGTCTTCGTTTAGACGCTCCAGGATGACCGTATCGGCACCTTTACAGTATACCCGGATTTTTCCATCGGGACACCGATATATAGTAGACATTCGTTTTCTTGTGGAGTTAAATTCACAGACAGCCAAAAGTTCGTACTCGTATTCTTTGCCTTCGACTTCGATAATTACCGATCGTGGTTTGCGAGCGACAAAGGTATAGCCTAGAGTCAAAGCACCTTGGACTAACGCACCCTCATCGGGCGATGCAGCTTGGTACTTGATCTTGCCACTTTTTGATTCGTCACGCTCCGGAATAACGGTATGGCAGGTTGAGAGAAGAGCCAAGAAATGATGAATCGCTTCGGCGCTCTGATGTGATTTTATATTCTCACGTACTTGCTTAAAATCGTGAATTCCAACTTCCATACCATCTTGTACTGTGGCCCTTCGATCCTCCGGTACCTCGTCTGCATATTGTATCCCGCTGATGGTGCATTGTTTAAACTCCATCATGTTACAGGTTAGAGTGCCCGTCTTGTCTGAAAAGACGAACCCGACCATACCAAGTTCCTCAACTAAGGAGGATGTTCGGCAGTTAGCAGGTGTGTCTGTCTTGTCGTAGTAAATATCAAGATCATCGTTAATCAGAATGCCATGCCAATACTTGACCATCTCGACAGTCACGAACAGCGAGATTGGGACCAACGAAGAAAACAACACCCAGTATGTGACGAGGTCCTTGAATATCGCCTGCACCACATCTTCAGACTTAACAAGGGCGTCCAGCTCTAGATAGGCAATCGAGTCTCTCCGAACGGACCGGAAAACCAACTCTCCCACGGTACATATAATACTAAGAACAAGAAGTATACCGATCAACGCAAGAACCAGCGTGTTAAGTTGTCGCTCAACTTTAGTCCTCTTGATCGGAGTCGCGGTGGCATTGCGCATAAGCTTCGTCTCGTGTCCCGTAAAGACCACTATCCCGTGAATCCAAGGAGTGTTTCTAAGAGTAGCACCTCGTAGTAAAAGCTGTTCCGGGTTGAGAGGCAATTCCTTTTCTCCGCCACCAGCTTGCATTGTCAAAGTAGCCTCGTACGTGTATAAACTACTATTGGGTTGCTCAGAACGAATTCTGCCTCCTACCCTACTTAACTCCGCCGGGCTGACTATAGTTGACGTCTCTGGAAGCGCCTGCTTGATCTTTAGATTAGTCTCGCCGTCCAGATTCGCAGTTTCGATGTAACACAAGCCCTCCGGCTCGGAACTTGCAAGCAAGACGATGTCGGCGGGGAAAGGCTCCTCTGATTCTACTCGCACTATGTCTCCCACAGAAACGTTGATCCATTTTGTCTCTTCAAAAGTCGATCCTCGCAGGATCCTAGCCTTCGAGTTGTTCAGCGCACTGTCGGCCTGCTTCCTCCTATAATCCTCAACCAACTCCTTGCCTGCGGATACCAGCAACACGACCACGAGAGGACCAATAGTAGTATAACGATTTGTCGGTGACAAATTCGGGATTTGCTGCAGGGCAGCTGTAAATAAGAAGAAGACGTTGGCGAATTTAGAGAACTGCTCGATCAAGAACTTGGGTAGGAACGTTGCGACGTTGTATTTGGCGGTGGAGACGTGGTTGTCAACATATTTGTTCACGGCGTTCGCCGGCGGGTTGTTTAGATGAATGATTCGAGGACCGAGAGTGGACGGATCTGGTTTACCTCCACCAAAGCCGAACCGAAAGTCAAATTTCTTCTTTTGTTTCGGCTGTTCATGACCCGAATCCGGTCGACCATGCCCTGGCTCCGTAAGAGGTAGATCCATTTCCGAATACCCTTTTTGACCCATTCCGAGCATGTTCCTAGCCTTGCCCAGGAATCCACCTCCTAACCCGAGTACACTATTGCGATTCCGCGCATTGTCACGACTAGACGAGTCGCCGGCTGCGTTCGCCGCTCCTCCGTGCTGGTAATACGATTGGCCGTCATCGGGATAGTCGTCGAAATCGTCTGCGTATCGTTGGTAGTTGTTTAGACCAGACGATTGGCTGTATTGCCTGTCGGCATCTGCTAGGTAGGGCGGTCGAGGACCCGAAGCGCCGGCGCCCGGAGGAGGGTTTTTTACAGCGGGATGCGTGGTTTGGCTACCACCGACAAAGTCGTCGTAGGATACGGATGGTCTAGCTGAATGGTCATCATGTACAGGTTGCCTCGGCCCATCGTAAGAGGATTGTTCGTCGAGGTCTAGTAAAAGATCATTCCTGGAGCTGGAGGTGCCTCTGGGAGGCGCCCTGCCAGCCATGTCGCGAAGGAATGGATCTTACAAAGGGAGCAGGATCGGAGGCATACGGGCGCAATGGAAAACCAATGTTTGCGAAATAGATTCGGTTCAGGTTTGCATTTAGTAACGGGCAATCTTAACTTTCGTATAAAGTTTCCATAGAGATAACCTCACAACTGATTCTTGAAGATATGATATTGGAAGTCGCCCCTGGTCCAACGTATCAAGCAAGGGGGTGGTAATAAAATACGAGATGGCTCAGCTCGTGGATGACGAGAATAGAAAAGGACAAGCTACCAGGCCTGATGAAATACAGGCAGCGGTGAGAGAGAGAGAGAGAGAGAGAGATAGAATAGAACAGTCGCAAATATGATGAATGATGTTAGTGTTCGGATGTCGTGGCTACGATGTAAAGCATTAGAGTCTGACAGTTCTAACTAGCCTATAAGTTGGTCGAAACGTAGAAATGTAAAAGGGTAGCATTCATTCATCCAGAGCAAACCCGGGCCTAAGCATCAGTGTAGATAATAAGTGGATCCCCCATTCCCGTGTTCGTGTACACCCATTTTCTTCTGCACAGCCTTCCGTTACTGGCCAGTAGTAATCGCCTGTGGGGCGTGGGTAACACAAGCTCTCTGGTTCTTGTAAGGAGGTGCCAATGAATTTTCTTTCAGTTTGGCAGCATCAACAGGGATCTCAGCCAGTACATCATATCAAGGAAATGCATGCGTGGCTGACAAGGCTATATTATGTACCTCTCTCTACATGTGCTAGGATGTACTACTAATTGATCTGAATAGGAGGTACATAATCTAACGCAAACTACGTAACAGGTACGTACCTAACCTTTACAGCCATTGAATATTTAGAGTTTCAAGTGCAACCTCAATCATACCTACATGAGATGTACCTATTGAAGTTGGAGAATAGGTACAATCTTGCGTGATAGGTAACCCCCCAAAAGGAGTTATTATTATGCCTCTTTTTCCATACCGCATGCAAACAATCTGAAAAGATCCGGGAAAAAACACACCTAGGTAAATAAAATAACTAACCATCACAAACCTTAGAATGGTAAAAGAAAAGAATAACAAGCACAAGGAAAAGTGCCTAGCCTAACTCATTTACTACGGAGTTTTGCCAAGAAGAAACCCGCGTACATATACGGTCGCAAAACTATCTTATTAGGAGGGCCTTCATCAATCTTATTTTAGGTCAAATTCAGGGGCTCATAGCTTCTCATCGTGGCGGCGTCGCTGACCGCAGTACAGACCTCCACGTCTTACCCGGGTCAACGTCTCCGTAACACATTATTAATGGTCAGCTAACAGATGGTAGCATTATTTACTCGGTTTTTCTTCATCACGACGAGAATAGTAATAGTATACGAGATAGAGCTAGGCTCGATGTGGCACCCCGCATAGTTAGTTATATATACTATACTATAGTTCGAGCTATATATCGTGGATTTTAAACTACCACATATCGCTAGTAGAGACCGTTATAGAGATTTTAGTTCAAAATACGTATCTAAGAGAGAGAGAGAGAGAGCTCTTAGTGGGGTTAGCATACTACGGGCTAAGCTAACGCTTTACAGCGAGGCCTTAAGTTCATCCCCCAGCACGCTCTTGATGAACTCCCCAATGTACTTATTAACTACCTCAGGGCATTGGGCTTGGACCCAGTGGCCCGAGCCGGGAACAAGTTCCTGCTTAAGTCCCGCCTCAAAGTGCTTCTCCTGGCCCTGCGCCATCTGCGGCGGGAGCGCAGCGTCTTTCTCGGCCATGACCAGCATTGCCGGTACCTTGATCTTGCCATCGATCTTATTCGCAAGCTCCTCATCGTCCTCGCCGCGGAGGCCGGTGGTACGGTACCAGTTACATGGGCCGTGAAGGCCGTGGCGCGAGTACTCCTGGACGTAGAAGTCGATGGTCTCCGGGCTGAGCAGCGGGGACGGCTGAATCCTTTCTAGGTTTTCCTCGATGACGCCTACAGAGACCTTGAAGGCAGGTTCGCCTTCCGGCGTCAGGCCGCCAAAAACGCCGTTGATAAATCCCCGGAGGTGCGCCGGCGACTTGTTGACGATATTTTCTGCGACAGGGCTGGCCAGTTGTAGCTGGTATGTGAAGTTCGGCAGCCTTTTGACGAAGTCTTCCAGCGAGTATTTGACCGGCGACGGCGGCGTGTAAGGTACGCATAAGCTAAAAACTCCGCGGATCAGCTCCGGATAGTAATTAACCAAGCGCCTATAATAGACAAGTGTCAGTTCATTAATCACATGATACGACTTTCAAATCCGGAAATAAGACATAGGTCCCCAGTTACACCCATCTAGAAAGATCATAAAGGACGAAAACTGACCAAGCGAAAGCCGCGCCCCAATCGTGACCACCAAGAATGATAGGCTCATCGGTGTGATCCTTAACGATAGCCGCAATTTGAGCGGTCATTTTCTTAAAGCTGTACTCCTCGGGAGCATCAGGGGCAGATGTTTGCCCATACCCCAGCATATCCGGGACAATAACCTGCAAGTTCAGAGATAGCAGGTAAGGAACTTGGTATCTCCATCCAAAACCTAGGTCTGGCCTATCGATATTCCGTAAGTAGTGTAGAAGCTCCTCAAGTTCAGGGACACCTACCAGCCATGAGTAAGGAGAACAGTAGCAACAGGCTTGCCCTGCGGCTTAGCCAGTATGTAGTAGTATTTGATATCTCCAAAGGACTTGAACTTATGTTCAACCCGAGGGTCATTGGGGACCAATGCATCGACAGCCATGTTGACTTAGTTTGGGGGTTTCTCGATATAGGATGTAGGCGAGTCTTTATAAGGCAAGCCTTCTTCTACAGAGATGGTGGGAACTGGGAGAGAGAGAACGGACGGGACCAATGGACCCTTTTATGTGCCTGCCGGAGAGTCGGTACCCACTTCGGTCAAGTATGTACATGACTTAACTACCCAATCCTTGGAGAACTTCTAAAAGAGGCAATTATAAAGCATGATAACTAATCGTTAATCGATGTACACTCATAAGACATGCATTGTTGAATGCACGTCGTGGTAATAACTACATACCAATTACGTGTAGTGTAACTACTCCGCTTCATGTAGATACTGTATTATTAATAGGGGTTGGCGAGAGCAAACATATCTAAACTTAAGAAACCCAGTTGATCGGGTTTGGAGACACTAGAATAGCAACAAGTCCGTATAGACTACCCACAAAGCTTAATATCCTATACTATCCCGAGGTTAGAAAAAAACCTGTATGGCCTTAAGGTGATATCTGGGCCAAGAGATCAAGGGTGTTAATCGGAGGAATTGTCTAACCGTCCGTTTACGAGTCTACGAATTTTAACATGCCATATACAAACATAGTATGTATACCTTCTTGCGTGATAGGTACCGCTAGTGGGCCAATTAGCGTCTCGTGTGCCTCGGCACGCATCAAGAGCGGAGACTCACGTAACGGCTTCCGTGGCGGTTCCGCAAAAAGGGGGTTCGTACACTGGACTGCCGAGCACGTTGAGGATACTTAATACCGTTCACCTGATACTATAGACGGCATATTATTGATGCAACAGAACTTCCTTCAAGTATATACATAGCCAACCGCATAATGTATACAGATACGTCTCGCCCTGGCGTGCTGTTGAGTCATACCCGGACAACCCGGATTCCGTGGGAGTTCGAAGTTACAATCCGGATTCATTGATTTTATGACTACACCGCTTATCGTGAACATTATCCCGTGCAATAGTATATATCTGGAAGCAGTGTTTGTACTTTATATGTGATGACCAGGCACCCCCCGACGTAATGGGAGGGATTATCGCTAGCGGGGGCACAGCTATACATGAGAAACAGTGCTGCCCCGGTGAAGATAGTCCATCCTTCTCAAGAATATGATAGAAGTTATGATTTCTAATCAAGTTCATCAAGAATCTTAAATTCATGCTCAATGCATATACATAACACACACGAACAATTCAGCCTGGGAATCGAAACTTACGGCGGGAATCCTTGGTTCGTAAACCCCCATCATACCAAAACGCCTGTGCCGCCGTCCATCACCAGAGCCTAAGAAGACGTAACGTGAAAAGAAAAGAAAAACCACACCGAGGAGTTGAGGTATCAGTAAATGACCGTATCCTCAACCTCTTCTATCACAACATCATCCGCCCTATCGGACTCCCTTTCATGACCGATCTTACCAGCGTGGGAAGGCGGGCGATTGGTAGGGTTAGATTGTGGAGGGTCAGCAGGGCGTTCATCATTGGGGTTATTACCCACTGTGTCCTTGAGTTCAGGCGTAGGAGATCTAACGGCGACGCCCAATACCTTCAACTTCTGTTCTTTGCGTTGCTTAAAATCGAAGACCTCCTTATCGATGATGTCCTCAACCTCTCGGGTCTGATCCTTAATCATGTCTTCTTGCTCTTCTGTGGGGTCCCACGGCAGATAATACTGGAATCGTGATTAGTAGATGCGTCGGCCACGTGATAGATCTATTCTCACTATCTTAGGTGTACTTTTAGTTTCTAAAAAACGTGCCGTCGCCAGCATATTGGAATGCCTGTTTTGCATCTGGCCGTCTTGTTAGCTCGATTAACCGCAAGAAGAAAAACGGAGGTTTGGCGTACAACTCGCTCGTCAAACTTGAACTGTTCCAACTGCCGTACGGTTCTTAGCTTTGCTAGCTTCTCTTCTCTATGCTTATCGTCTTCGGCTCTCTGCTGGTGAACTTTTGCCTGCTGTCGTCGCTCAATCTCTTGACGTCTCTTTTGCTGAGAGCTAGAAGTGGTTTGACTTAATGTGCTTAGCAAACCACCAAATAAGCGCTTTCCGCGTCTCCTTTCCTCCTGCAGCGCGCTTTCGCGGCGATCTGTAGAGGGCTCCTTTGGTATGGACTGCGGCTTGACAGTACTGTCTTCCCTCGAGCCATCACCAATTCTAGATCTTTTTGGCGACTGGCTAGATTTATCTTCGCTTGGTGAAGGCGATAAAGCTTTGCGCTTATTCGAACTACGCTGGTTCTTGTCTGCTTCAGTCGCAATCGTTTCGTGCTCTAGGCTACGACCATTGAGAGAGCTGCATTATCATTAGCCAATTGCGACCAATAAGATTAGAGTAAAGACAGTCTCTCTCACGTATCACTAGATGACATTGTGCCGATCCCCCCGGTGTTGAAAATATTTATGAGACTATGTATAAAATGCGCAATGTTAGAAAGATGATTGCCACAGCGGGCGATCTATTAAGTTAGACCATACTTCTAAGCAATGTTTGCTCAGATGAAAGATTGACCAGACTGTCGCGCGGACGAGGCTGAAGGGCCAAAGGGCCAAAGCGTTTCTGTGCGACGAGCGCGACATTCAAAGTTTACCTAAACGGTAAGAGGTGGGTACCAACAGGTACGGTACCCCACGCTAGTGTATTATGTACCTAACGTATGCACGTCGGTGCCACGCTATGCAATTGCGCATATAGGTACCTATGGTCCACTTTATAATAATTCCCTTATGCAGGCTAGCAGACAGGGAAGCTCCAACCTCATACAGATTGGCTCATACATGTACCAAAGAAATCGTCAGAAGCAGGTGGCAAGGCTGAGAAATTGTCTAGAAGGCTATTATTATTATTATTGCATTAGCGACCAATACTTTACGTTCCAACTATCTACAACACTTCCTTCCCAATAACTCAACCATCGTAAGGTTCGCCATCAATCAAAATGTCTCGACATCATCCGTAAGTAACTCTCTTGCTCTCAATTTGAGATGTTTACTCGTGATAAGCTGAAGCTAACCTCATCTTCCAGAGATCTCGTTATGTGCCGTAAACAATCCGGCATCGCCATCGGCCGTCTCTGTGACAAGTGCGACGGCAAATGCCCTGTATGCGATTCCTACGTGCGCCCGACTACTCTTGTGCGTATTTGTGACGAATGTAGTTTCGGTAACTACCAAAATAAGTGTGTCGTGTGCGGCGGCGAGGGCATATCAGACGCGTTCTACTGCTTCGAGTGTACGCGACTGGAGAAGGATAGAGACGGTTGCCCCAAGATTATAAATCTAGGCAGTTCACGTACAGATGTATGTTTCCATCTCTCTCACTTGAGTCTCCATCGAACCTCGAATTATGCTTACACGTTTTACAGCTATTTTACCAAAAGAAAACAAATCGGACGGGGTACTAGCCTCCATGATGCCCGGGTCTGGGCTGTGGTTGCTTGTGCCTCGGAAATTCAGAATTATTAGCGTATCTGACAGGTCAAAATCACTAATGTACCTACACATATCTACGTGGGAAAAGGAGTTATACTTCGGATCAGCATTCAGGGTGGCGTTTAGAGGTTACGACAGTCTTCACATAGATGAAATTGACATTTAACTACCCAATATATTACCAATATGAACCGATTATCGTTAAAAACTTTGGAACGTATGCGACATACTTCGTTCAGGATACTATCCGGTATTCCCGAGTGATTATTACCTGCTAAAAAGGGATGATATACAGAAAACCATATTATAAACCCGTCAACTAAATGTAGCTCACCTTAACACCCATACCAGCGGTTGATCTCACCTTATTCCAGCCCGTACCAAGAATCTGCCGAACCCGCTCGCGAACACCTTTCCTACCAAACATAACAATTACACCAATGACAAAGGCTAACAACCTCATAAGCAATACCGGGTTCGCTCTAAATGTAGCGCTCATCTGCTCGATGATGTTACGAAGATTCGATAGAATCATTATAGCTCGAGCACCAAGACCTGGGCGCGCTACAGCCTTTTTCTCCTTGGGGGTGGATGGCTTGGATGATTTGGACGACCTTGATAATGCAGAGCCATTAGAACCGCTCCGAGCCTTATTTCTCACCCCCGAAGAACTTGGAGTATCTTCGATACCGTAGTCGATCTCCGTACCTTCTCGTTTGGCCCTTTCTTCGTTTATTCGACGTCGTTCTCTTGCTTCATTCTCTGCTCTCAATCTCCTAGCCTCTTCGATATCCTTTTGCAGTTGTTCCTCCTGCTTTTGCTTCTCTTCGCGTTCTTTTCGTTCTGATTCATGCTGCTCTTCCTGTAAACTTTGGAGAGCCTGTAGAAAAGCATCCCTCCGCTCTTCGTCTAGTACTGCACTGGAGCTAATAAACTCTCTAGCATAGTCCCATTCATTATTACGTAGCAAGACGTGGAGAGTATACAGTTCGAGAATCTTAACTCTAGCGTTGAGATCCCGAGGAGTGTCAGCACCACTCTTAGAGTGTGACCTTCGACTTCGCGATGTTAATCGTGGAGACCTAGTAGCCTCGAGCTGTTTGGAAATATCAAGGTTTGGGGTACTTGACGAGGCTAGATAATTCTCTAGCCGCTTTTGGTTGATTGCCTGTGATTTCGCATGTGCAAGTAGAAGAGTCGCCCTAGACTCGTTAATACTCATTTTACATCAAATTCGAGCCGTCTAAGCGCAGCTTGAAATACATAGTAGAAGACCAAACTTACAGATTTATAACGACATCGGAATCTACCTCTCCTTCGACGCCATGATATCCAAATTGCACCACTTCTTCCCAGACATCACTATCCCGCACCTTCTTACATATAGTACGCCATTCCTGAGTGCCAAAGGCATCTTTTCCTTCGTCGGCATCCAGTTCCAATATCGCATTGAGAATCGTCAGATAAAGACTCCATACCTTTATCCTTGTGGATCTCGAGGCTCGAGCAACGGGTGCCGGCTCAGTCGATCCATTTACGTTGGAACTTTCAGTGGATGGGGTGATCAAGGGTAAGACTGTTGATAAAGCTTCGGGAAGTCGACGCGTTAAGAATAATTGCGAAGCCTGTCGGTAAGTCTTAGAAATATTATTCGATGATGGACGAGATGTTGTTGAGGATGATAAGGACGATATCGAATTCGATAGGACGTGGGATCCGAAGCTTTCGGACACTGACGGACTCAATGTTGCGGAATAAGAACCATCGAACGACATAGTTGCGAATACTCTTTTTTTTTTTTTTTATAACCTGAAGTAGGCAATTCAGATAAGAATCGGACCAAACGCTAACATACGCGACGATAGGATTCCAACAGCACAATTGACACTAACAAGAATAAGATAATGAAATCAATAGTGAAATCAATAGCTATGCCAACATGACATTACAGTAGTGGTAGAGCTTGCACATGCAGAAACAACACAAGCATGTGGGACCTTACATACGAGGTCGGAAATCCTCGCGGTGATTGTCTTGTATGCGGGAAGATTGCACTTGCTAAGGTCTGGTGTGATCATCATATTTTGATGGTACCTAGCCGACCTAGGTAGGTGCGCTGTGCCTCGGTATATCGGTCATCGGCCGACAAATGCGAATAAACGTTAGGCGAGCCCCACATGTTCTTCCAGTAAGACTACCACAACAGGGTTAGGCCGTAATTAATTGATGAGCTAATTCGGTCCACTCTAACTTAGATTAAGGTACTTAAGTACTTCTTTTCGGTAATTGAACCACCTTATAACCTCCTTTTAGTAGAGACTGTAGAGTTGATCGCTTACACTTATATCATCTCCGGACTATATAACACTTGGTTCCGTTTTATTAGTTAGCTCTCTTATTAATTCTCAGTACATAAGTTTTACGATTCTACAAACCAATGGCAACTCCAGCTTTTCTATTGCTAAACTACTATTCAGCCTAGATCAGGATGAATGATCGATCTAACTCTACGAGTTAAGACTACAAGTTTAGCTAGCACTTTGATATTGGCTACGATATACAAGCAAAGGGAAGCAATACATTTTTCAAGGATTTAGACATATGAAGCCATAAACTAAAACAGTAGTCTTGCAGTGACCTAACGATTGCCAAAAATTGTTAGTCATTATCAGGTATCCTTAATGTTGGTAATAATATCATGATAGACTAGAAAAATAAATAAAAATTAGACCCAGCTGTAACAGTATTACATTGTTTCTATAGGTAGGTAGGTAGGTAGGTACCTGTTATGAGTGTTGGTATAAAGACCCAATTACAATATCACTGGACTTGAAAAAAAAAAACCCTGAGTGGGAAGTGCATAAGGGTCATACAAAATAGAGGTCAACCCGTACGTGCCTTACAGTAAACTCTGATCAGACACAAACAGCCTCAAGTTAAGTGTTTACTTAAAGTATCCATACCTACCTAGGTACCTAGCTATTTCTCATGTTTTTTCCTAAGGGAACCAAAATCAAATACAAAACAATGAGCCCAGGGGAATTGAGTCGTAGCTTCCTGCTCAGTTCATTAACTGAGTAACCTATGAATCATTCCCAAAGTTACTATCGTTAGAATCAACCGTGCGTACCTAATTTTATGTACCTAGGTAGTTTTGCAGATATTTAGTGATTGCGTGTGACGATTAGCCATCCGTTACTCTAGTTCGAAGAAATGTTGCCAAGTACCAACTCACAAACCATCAGCACCTTCCCTAAGAATGTTTCTCTTGGTCATGAAACGTGTAAAACTCTTACGTAGAATACCTGACGTGGAAATCATCTATCTGAGGTTGCAACCCACTTGCAGTCATAGCTTCATAACTAAAAGTATCTAACATTTCGCATTCTATTATAAACACGAATTCTCTTCCACTTCTTTACTATTCCGTATCAATATATAACAATAGGTACCTGTTACCGCTACTTCACCTTCAACAATAGCCCAGCATATAACTATCGTCATCATGGAGGTCAACAGGAGCAACTTTTTCTGGATGCTACCACCTATTCTACACGAGGCACAGAATGCTCGATTTGTAGCGGTGGACGTTGAGATGAGCGGTATCGCACTTATTCATGGTCTTAACAGTATCCAAGATTCATACGCCAAGATCAAAGAGGCGGCAGAACAATTTCAAGTACTACAAGTCGGACTCACCTTCGTTCGCTATGATGAGGAATCAGGTCAGTTTAAAATAGCCGAAAATAAACCGTGCCATAGCTAACTCATGACCAGCTAAATATACAACGAGAACATTCAATTTTTCTGTTTCTCCATTGTTCCCTAAATCTACATTCTTTGACAATCTCTCCAGGCGTCTCGATAGAAAATTTAGCGTCTCAGTGAGAGCGTACGATTTTCTACAACAGTACGATTTCAACTTCAACAAGGCGTTGGATACTGGAGCTCATTACCTCAATAGAGAGGAACAGAGAGTCGCAAAACAGTTCTGTGTGTCGAAAGATCCCAACAATGAGCATCTTGATCCTTCAACGCTAGACTACGAGACTGAAGAATTTTACAAGAGGACTAAGAAGCAAATTGCAGACTTTGTTGCTGGAAGATTTCGGCCGGTATGACACTCCCCTCTAGACTGATACTCATTAAACTGATGACTTGTTAGGCCATAGAAACTACCATAAAAAATCCGTATGGAGATAGGCTAAATGGATTGCAAATCCGTTTGATACACCAAATCATCCGTGAAGAGCATCCTTCCTATGCGGTAAACAGAAACGCAGCATCGGGCACCGCTTCCATTGCTCTAATTGATGATGCTGCAAAAGCTAAGGTCTGTAATCCCCTAAGTAATCCTATACGTGGTGTTATTTTCGAGTATTCGACTAATAAGTCATATTGGAGTAGACCGAGGCACGAAAGAGATGGAACTTGGCAGAGGTTAATCGATTATCTGGTTAGTATTCACTCGGGACGAATAATTTATAAATTACTAATTGTATAGGACTTCAACTATTATTCGAGGCATTGTCAGGCGGATCCTTTGCCGACAGAATGAAACAGGAATACGTTTATCACCAAAGCGACGTTCCGGAACGCGCCAAAACGTGGAATGAACTCAACAAGACATTCGACTTTAAAGAATGCGAGGCCAGCCTGAAGAAAAACAGACCGATCCTGGTTGGCCATAACTTATTCATGGACCTTGCCTATATATATCGAACGTTCTTTGAGTCTCTACCCGCCAACGTTGACGACTTCCTTGTTGGGATAAACAAACTCTTCCCACGAATCGCGGACACAAGATTCATGTATGCACGAGGTAGACATATGATGGAGCCGGATCGAGCTTTGGAAAAGATTCATCATTTCTACGTACGAAACCCGATTCCTGCGATCGTCCCAGAATCCGGTAATAATTCATCAGGTCCTCACCATGCCGGATATGATAGTAAGCCCCCTTTCATCTTTTATATCGCTAGAATATTGTAACTTACTTCATCAGGTTGTATTACCGCCTGCCTATTCTTAAAACAGACTTACACTCTGTTCAGAGGCAAGAAACACTTGGTCCCATTTGAGAAAGAGTTCTACGCACCGAAGAAACAGGACAGCCAGGACGAAAAGAGAACGAAAAGCTCCAGTATGACTTCGTGGCCAGAGGCAAGCGCCATCAATCTCCTCGACCAGGGTGACGACCAAATGTTGAGAAATCTAGAAAGATGGAACATCCTCGACGAGGCGGCTTCAAGTTGGGTAGTATTGACCCCTAGGCATAGCAAGTCAATGCTATCGGCCGGGGAGGGGCCTACGCAGAGTGAGCCTATGCCAACATCGGGCGAAACGCACTCGGAGGAGGAAATACACATGGTACCCCTCTGGACACATGACTTCTGGAGAGCTTATGGCAATAAGTGCTCTATCCCTGGGGCAGGCTATATCTCTTTTGAGCCAGTCCCTTAAGGATACTACTGCTTATGCTAAGCCGAGGCGAGGACAGTCAACCGCGACTTACTTATACGAGCAATAGGCGATATTTTTGATCTAATTGCTGGATCAGTGATCTGATAGATTCGTGTACTAATACGTTGACTTAAGCCTTGGTTTGTGTTAAGAGGCGGACCCATAAAACGTGGGAGTAACTTCACTGTTATGCAGGGGATAGCAAACCCTAAGCTACGGAAACTAGGGATTATACGTACGGAAGGAGGTAATTATTCTTCTAGATGTCCGGATAACCCATCTATAATCCTGACCTTTCAATTGCGATTTCGGCATTATAAGTCAGGTAGATTCGAGATAGCCATAGGAAACTTGCTATAGAGAATATGCGAACAAAACTGAGTTTTCCGACGAGATAAGAGTTTTGCTACCGTTGATCAAGCGATCTAGCTGTGATTGGACGTAAGCAAGCATAATAGGCTGACCGAATACTTGGGCACGAGAAATGAGTTGCGTTGGAAGCCAGTATATATGTACTAGCAATGTACGGGGATGATTCATTTCCACGTAAGGTACAATATAGTACACTGTCTTTACATTGACGGTCGTAGACTACAGAGGCTTCGTATCGTGATATCTACCCGATCTACCGATCCGCCATCATATTCCTTACGGAGTGGAAGTACTCCTCTGGTAGCTTCTCTTTCAACTCCTCCTTTGTGAGCCAGTTGAAATCTTGTAGTCCCAGCTTGTTGCCCTTTAGGTCCGCCTGGCCGGCCATGATCCTTCCCTTTAGGAAGAATATCTTCTCGCCCCTCTGCTTGAGGGACGTGTCCTCGTTGAACTCGGGCTGCGTAACTAGATGGGCAACAGGCACGCGGCCTACTAACCAGGTGTTCATATTGACACCCGCCGCAGACGCCAAGACTCTTACCGCGGTCTGTGGGTATGGTTAGCATGAATAGATTCGCTATAGTATGCATAGCTGCTTATATGAGACGAACCTCGTGCAAATGCTCATCTGTCGGCACATCCTCAGACGGGAACTGCCATTTCCCATCGCTACTTTGAACAAGCAAGTAGAGACTCCGGTCCAGCTTGCGGTCTAGTCGCCTCACATCGTTCGTCTTATCAGCCTCCGTGACCCTGGCCATCGGTTGTTCGACAGGTAAGACCTCATCCGGGTCTGCTTCCTCGCCATCTTCCGTTACCCTGTTTTCGGCATCCTTGAGCAAGATTTCTCGTATCCTCTCCTCATTGCTCAATGTGCTTCCCACTAATAACTCGTCGTTCCACGCGTTGCGACCCTGGGCATAGTATCTGCCTAGCTCCTTCGCCGCTATCCGGCCCCGCTCTTCGAATTTGATTCGCCAATCGAGATCGGCGGCCGTGTCCTTCTTGAAGAAGAGAGTGTGCCGGAAAGGCAGCACCAATCGCTCGTTCAACCGTTTCTGGTAGAAGTAGAAAGCGTTCTCGAAAGGAGTGAGGGCGCGGGTTAGTAGAGGTGCCCGGGTTAGGATGATGCCAGATTTTATGCGATATTCTGCCCTGCGGGACGCTGTGAAGGGTGGATGTGGTTGTGATTCCGTCGGCTTAAGATGGTGTGCTTCAGCTGCAGCGGCGGCTTCGGCGTTGGCAGAGTACGATCGGAATTGAGCATTCCTGCAGCTGGCGCATATGCTGGATTGTGATTGTCCTTCTAGTAGTTTTTTAGTATTAAGTGACACAAAATGTACAATTTTTATGATCCCGTAGAAGCCAACTTACTTCGTAATAAAGCGGCGGCGGCATTGCCACCTCTACTTGAAGCTGCCATATTCAGGAGCAGCGATTACAGTACCTCTCCCAGCGTCAATGGCAGAGGTTCTGCAGTTGCTGGCGATTATTTTCGGGTCGCGCAACTACTTGGAGATATTCGACTTTTTTCATGGACCCCTGTCTGGTTTGACTTAGACTTGCGCCTCGTTGTATTTTAAGCCACACTCTGGGGAGCCCCTCGAGAAGTACGTATATATGTGGCTAAAACTACATAGACTGGGGGGAATCGGGATGCGCACGGATGCGTCGGAGATCCATTCCTTAGGCTAGTAGCCGCGTGGTGGCTGGGTGGAAGGTGGGGCTTGGGTTCAAGGGCAGTCGTCATCTTTCTGGGGGAATCCCAACATCTTATGACTTCGTTGTTCAAGTTTCAAACTCCAATTTATGAAAGTTTAATCATGTTATCTCTTTCTCAACCCTCGATCCTCGATCCTCGATCCGTGCCTACATCCACCTCGAATGCACTACTTACTCGTCGATGAGTATTAATCCATACTTTGTTCTATGAGCTAGAATGCTATCACAGAGCAATCATTCGTAATCATTGTCGTTAAGAGTATTTCCAATGGGACTCTTCAGCTGCTCAGACGATGCATGTATGGCCCCGAGCCTTGTCGCGCCCTCGGCGACGTCAATGACATTTTCATTGGCACCTTTCGTAATGACCTTTGTGGTCGTCTCTATTCTGGTCTCCCAAAAGATATTTCCCTATCTGGCTCGTGTACAAAATTCTCGCGACGGCGAAGACCATTTCCTCCCTTCCGATGCGCCCCCATCACTCCAGCAAGCGCATGCCGAGCATGGCTCTAAATCTCTACGAAGGCGAATAGCGGAGGCCGCTTTTTCTACGACGGTTGGGTTAGCGGTTGTTTTGGGCGAATTGATTTTATGCGAGATCTCTGAATTAATCAACCCTTATGCCCGAGCTCTGGCTCTGCGAGTCACTGTTCCCACTCTCTTGTTCCTCCTCGTCGTACTCATACCATTCCTCGAACTTCAGTCTCTTGTAGCTGGATCGGGATGGTCTTTTCAACGCACTTCTAAAGGTCAAATACCTCGGGCTGCTTGGATACTTCAATTTGTTATGTTTAGCGTCTGGCTATGCGCCTTCTGGTCGTTAGGAAATCTCGTACCGGTAGGAAGTGAGGCAGTGCGCCCGAGCGCTAAGATGGAGAAGGCCCGGGCCGAACCCGCGTTTTCAGGCAGTCTAGCACGTGCCTGTCTTGAGCGGATTGGAGTCATCGGCATTTCACTTATGGCTTTATTATCCGGATTCGCTTCGGTCTCTTCACCGTGGCACACATTTGGCAGCCGTGCGAGGCGCCCCGTGACAGACGCCGATGTCTCCCGTAAACAAGCGGGTCTTGATGCTACGAATGAGATGCTCATAACTAAACGATACCGCTTGCAGAGCCTACTGCGTAAGGCAGCAGAGAATCCATCGGCCGAGAAGCGTGGGTTCGTCACTAAGGTCATCGGTTCCATCCGCGGAGGCGGTGATGCAGCAGAGATCCGCACACTACGTCTCGAGATCACGGGTTTGGAAGCTATGGAGGCAAATCTATCGTCCTCTCTTTCTATGCTTCGCTCTCGACAGGCCAATTCGGCTCGTGCTGCAACTTTCTCGGGAAAATTACTTTCGATACCTACTTATGTGTTCAGCGTATACTGCGTTTATCGTATCATAGCGACTACCCTAACTACACTACGGCGGCTATATTATCCCACTGCCTCGTTTTCCTCGTCAGATCCCATTAATCGATTCCTGGGCCTTTTAGCGAAACATTGGGACCCGAAGCTTGATCAAATTGCTTGGGCTAGGCAGATATCGTTCTTACTATCCGGCGTCATCCTCGCTGCGAGCGCCAACAGTGCGCTCCAAACATTCCATCTCTTCGCCAAGTGGACTCCTGGGCTCTTATATCAGGCCCAAGCCAATCTAGCTCTGCTAATTGGGCAGATTAGCGCTATATACGTGATCTCTGCCGCTCTACTCTTACGAAGTAATCTTCCCAAAGAGGTAGGCAGCGCCGTCGGTGACGCGCTTGAAAGTGCCTTGGAGCCGGGCTTCGTGGATAGATGGTTTGAGGGCTGGTTCCTTCTAGCAAGCGTAGCAACAGCCGGAGGAATCTGGCTAGGTGGAAAGATTGGCGAATGGAGTGAGGAATGGGATGATATCGGTATGGAAGAGATGGGCCAGAAACAATCATAATGATATCACACACCTTTATTAATTCACATAATTTTTCAGCACCCACTTGTGGCCGAATATGCCACTGCGTCAGACAAGTGATAGTTGCTTTCAACAATATCCTCTCCGTGAATTCTATTCAACACGAGCGTACACTTTGCTGGGAAAGAGCAGCACAGTTCAACGGCAGAGATTTAAATAATATTTCTTCCTTGAACTATCTACACCGTCTAGTCCACTTCCCGCCTCACTATTCACCTATCTTAGCTTACACCAGGCTTATTCAGCCTATACAAAATTTTGCTGTCCGTCGTAGAAGGGAAACTGATTTTAAGTGCACGGCGGCCACTTCGGTACTAGGTTGTCGTACCTTCATCTGGACTATCTGACGAGACATCGATCACGTCGGGCCCATTTTCTGCTCCATACTGAATTAACAACTGTTCTATCCGCTTCCTGGTCTTGCTATTTAGCTCTTCTGATCCATCGTTGTCTGGTTCTGGCGGCGTTCTACGACAGATCTCAAGAGGATTTAAGTTGTACCAAGGAACTCTGTCCTTATGATCTCTGTCCTTAAGTCCATATGGATCCTTTCCCTTGGGGTTCCCGATTAAATTGGCATCACGGGCCTCAATAAGCAGACTCTGGACCCAGCTTTCTTCGAGGTGGTGTACTGCAAATTGAAGAGGGGTATATAAATAGCCGGGTGGGTTAGGATCCGCGCCTGCTTCGAGGAGCATCTTTAAGAGCTGGCTGGTAGTGGATCCATCACCGTCGATTCCATCGAGACCCCAGGGATTTTCAAGAGCCGTAAATATGATGTCGGGTTCATGAGTAAAATTCGCTCCAGCATCAATGAAAAGCTCTAAGAATTCCGGACGTTTCCACGACACACACAGTTGGAGAAGTGTGATCGGCTTCCCCTTTTCAAACGTGCGTGGGATGTCCATATTCTCCAGCGGGTTGATGGTGAATTTATTTGTCCAGACAGCATGCCTTGCCTCGGGTGATAAGACTTGGAAATTGGTGTCCTTGATGTATTTTTGCGCAAACTCCGGCCAGTTGAGCAAGATAAGGCTCGCCAAAATGCCTGTTTCTTGTCGGAACCGCCTATTAGAAGCTGCCTGAGACTGTTGTCCCGGTAACAGCTCGTCGAGTGCACTTAGCTTTGCCCACCGTGGAAAGTGTTTACGGAGATTTGCATTTGTAATGGCTTTGATGTGTGGTCTGCCAGGGATTAAGCACTGCACTACTGATTCCCATACACCTTGATTCTTGATGAGCAAGTTTTGCCGGGCTCCTCGCATAGCCCATTCGCTCATTTCTAGACAGTGTTCCTCATAGCGAGTGGGAAATCGCGGGTTGTTTTGAGGACGATTTCTCCCCCATTGTAGCAGGCCATTAAACACGACTTGTGTCTCTAGTACGCGGATACTATGATCAGACAGAGCGAATTCGCCGGCTGGTCTTGGTGCCCCATCTTTTTTTGATTTCGCGAAGAGGAACTCCCTGACGGTATAATGAGCGACGGCAACTTTCTGAAGGGGAGAATTATCATCTTCACGCCTGAGCTTGGTATGAGGCCTTTTCCTCAAATTGGTTACCTTGATTAGACAGCCGAGAATGTCTTTTAATGTCTCGACATCATACATGTGCATTGCGCCATGTCGAACCTCGTGGAGCGACGCCTGCACTAATACGTCGGCGCTCTTGACCTTGAAGGTGTTGCTACATATTAGCGCCAGAGCCGTGCGAGCGAATGCGTGCTGTTCTGACCGTATGCTTTGGAGTATTCTCTCGTATGTGTCAAACAGAGTTTCCGGCAAATCATCTAGTGCTTTCGACACCTTTTCTGTATCCATATAGATACGTTCGAGGATATCGATTTGGCATGCAACCCATCGGAACCTAGGAAAGGGTCAACCGGATCCTCTCGAAAATATGGCCTTCAGGTACTCACATCCCTCTAGCATTTCTCGCCAGCTTTTTCTCTATCTCTGCCCTAAAATCTGGTGCCCACATTCTAAACTTAGCGTTTCGTTCAAACTGTTTCTCGACGTACTTCTGGATCGCTCGCATAACATCGCTATTCGACATCGTGATAGACGTATAGGGCATAAAGGCACTGTTCAAGATATCTGAATCATGGACCGTGCCTGGAAGTGAACGCTGTGCGCTGCTCGCAGCCTGAGCCATCGCGTTTACAATGTCTTCCTCTTCACGGCTCGTAATCAGTATTGAGACGTTCTCATAAGTTATATCCGTGCCCATTGCGATCAGCACGTCGAGCAACCTCTTCCGCGGTTTTTTACTTTCGTCCACGGCATCGACCACTAGGTACACCCGGCGGCCTTCACTCTTAAACTTTCTAGAAATTGCTGCGAAGCAGTTCATAAGGCCTTCGATAGTGAAACCTTGAGATTGGCTGAGCTTCTCTAAATCCCTAGGGATAAAGCGATCAATCTGTCGGCTCAAATCTCCTACTATCCAACGTAGGAAGTGGATTGTCTCATCCTGGTTTCGTTCATTGTGACAATAATAGTATGAAAACCCCGTCGCTCGACAATGGACCGCAATACTTTCGATGAGAAACGAGGCTAAAACCGTCTTTCCAGCGCCGGGGATGCCGTAGATCCATATGAAACGACGGTAGCCGTTGGGCTCATATGAGCCTCCGTTAAGCCATTGCTTCCAGCCACGAGATGTGGTTATCCATTCGCATGTCTCGTCTTCCTGCTTGTCGTGTTGCTCACGATGGAAGTCATGCATGTCAATTCTAGGGCACAACCAAGCCAAGACTGCTCTCTTTTCGTTATCTATTCCCTTCCAATATTAGTCGACCCGCACCTTCTGGAATAACTCGAGGATTTATCTTACCGTCCAGATTAGCTTCGATATCCTTTATGGAATGGGCGATAGAGTTGAGGTTCATGCTGTCAGAAGAAGTCAGCCAACACGCTACAAATTTGGACAGCTTGACTCACGTATTGTCCGTCTGTAGCGCTAAATTTAGCTGAGTTTTCTGCCTCTCGAGCTGTTTTATTAACTCCTCTGCTTTACCCTTCTGAAACAATGGCCATTTGAACCGTGTCGAAAGATCGATTATCGGGCGCCTACGAGGTGACCATGCTGGTGCTCTAGGGACGTTTTGGTTCATGTTGAAGTTATGCGACCCGCGCTGTGCGAGATGGTACTCATGATTGATCTGAACCTGCATCAAAGACTGTAGATGGTCTACACTAGAGTTATCATTATGTTGGTGGTGAGATGGTGTGGGTGTTGCTCTTCCATGTCCAAATCTATGAAAAGGATTCTGCGTATTCCGTGGTGTCTTCTTGCTGGGGAGTTCTTCGTCATCAGATTCTGTTTCTACTTCCGGTGACACCAACAACTGAAGCTCGTTCAATACTCCCTTGCACTGGTTTAGGGACTCTGAAAGCCCTGCCTTCTGGGTAGACGCGTCATTATCACCAAGAGTCATGTAAAGAGTCTCTAGGATAGTCTTTAGAGCATTGACCTCTAAGTGGATATTCATAATTATCCTAGGGGCGTCCTTAACCTGTCTCCCGTATTCCACAAAGCTTTTAGCGACCTTAGCAGTCAGCCTGATAACATCAGGAATGGAGGCTATGGAATCAGCCATATTGCCGATTGATGTTCTATCAAGGGCTAAGACAACAGATGGCTATGATGATAATGACGAACGGATGAAAGTGATATAGCTGCTTAATTGGCCATGGGCCAGGAATATATGGCCCTGAGACGCGGTGCGGGTGTGCTGTAAAGCGCTATAGGGAAACAAATAGCTTGGAAACGAAAGGGACTAAACGCTACCATATTAGTCAATATCCAGCGGATTGCATATTTGAACACAATCGCGGAAGCACAGACAACTGTGCTATCAAATGCCTATAGAGAGGCGGTTTACCTATCTAACGGCAGCAAATCCTGAACTCATCAGGGCGAACCTCCATACAACATGAAGTTGTTACGGGATGACGATACTGCTTGCTTCTCGGACCAGACCACACTAACGCTTAGTATTCTAATCGTTACCCCGGTTCTTAGGCACACCTGATGAATACCCACGTGGCTGCTTTGATTTCTATGTCAATCAAGTATGGAGATTATTAGGCGGGCAAAGAGCATATGTGGCCCCTATGACCTCAAATAGTAATAGGGTCAAACCATTGACTCATCTACGCTATCCAACCCCCCCTAAAGCTTGCAGACTATATTAATACCATCAAACAATTAACTATCTACCTATCTAATGCCGAATATTAGTTTAATATAATATAATTATAATAATAATATATTTACATATATAGCGGTTCTATTATCTTTTGTGTGCTGAACATTGTTGTTCTTAAGTTTATATAATATAACTATTAGGTTATGTAGTTGGACTATAAATTCAATGAGATAGTAACCTAGTGACAGTATAATAAGCACTAGAATGTGCACAAACCCTCCCAGGAACCAGAAGGAAAGAAAAGAGCCATGAAATTCATATATGAGAGGTACCTAAGTAATACTTGAAGTTGACTAACATTTATCTACCCCTTGAATAAGAAGTCTGGTATAAACATCCCAGCTAAGCCTAACCTTGATAGAATTCGATAAAGGCTATTGATACCCCCGAGATCCTAGTTAGAACGACTGGAGTAGACCTCGAATTACTTCTCCCTATATCACACAATACCTCTTAAGCTTACCATCCCAAGACTATCTACCTAAGGGTACTCGAATAGCCTATCCTCATAGGAAAATTCCCCGAGTACTTGGAGTAAAATGCAGGTTTAGGTTTTATTTTCTTGTATTATATGTATTCGGATCTATATAACTAACTACGCTATAGCATCTTCATAGATCAATCGACATCGAGAGCAGACGAAAGGCCCATTAAATCCCAATACACGCTCAAGTCATTCATTCCCCTCGCTTTCTTTTCATCTCAACGTCTTTCTCATCATAACCCCCAGAGCCGTCTCCTCGCGCAACAGAAATAAAGAGAAACTAGCAACGGCTATATTGCCCTTCCATAACCTACACTGCCGCCTGAACTAATCTGGACAGCTCATGCCTCCATGTAAAACAATCAGCTTTTCTTTTGTACGAGTAAAAACGTATCTACTCAGCAGCAGTCCTCCTCCACAAATCCCTCATCTGTATGACCCCCGGCACACAAGCCAATGCGCCAACCGCCGTCTCACCTAGAAGTCCCGTCTCGGAGCTCCAGTGCAGCGTAAGCGGGGCCCAAGCGAGGTTGCGGAGGAGGGTCTTGCGCCAGGTAGCAGTCCACTCGGTCTCCTCGATCTGGACCTCCGACGCCGTCTTGCCATCAGCGAACTTCTCAGCGCGAGTTCGCTGTCCACGCTTGCGGTTCTCATACAGTAGCCGCCCGACCTCAGCACCCACGAACGCGGCCCAGAACCGCGCGCTCCACAGAGAAGCACGGCGCTGAGTAGCAGGCGCCCAACCTAGGACGCCCTTTGAGGAGAGATATGCGCCGTTCTCGAGGGCCTGGAAGATGATGCAGGTGGACAACTGGAACCAGGAGATGGCCGTCTCGAGCTTATCTGTCTTCTTCCCGGCGTCCTTCTCCGTCTCCGCCTCCGTCTTCTTCGCCACGAGGCGGCGGAGCCAGAAGTACATATTCAGCAATCCCCACAGCCTTAGGAAGGTCCGAGCGTCGGTCACCATGGCGCTGAGGGCGCGCAATCGCTTGGCAAAAACCAGGGCGAGGGCTGCCCCACGGCCGGGTAGGGCTTTGGCAGTGAATACCAATGTGGCGGAGGGGGGCAGGCTAGCTGCGAGGGCGAGGAGTTGCTGGGCGCTGCGCTGGATGGCGGGGCGGGTCAGATGTTCGAGGATAGAGGCGGAGAAGCGCGAGGAATAGCACAGGAACAGCAGCGTGGTGTCAATACCCGAGGGCGTCTGTAGACAGCGCTGGAGATGGGCTAGAAAAGCATCGATGTTCGAGGGTGCTGCTGTGATGACTTCTTTGATTGGGAAGGGCTTGGGCTTTGCTACGGGCAGCGGGATGGCGGATGGTACGGGATCGCCCGAGGGCAGGTCCGCGGTCGCGGATGTGGTGATTTCGGTGGCGCTCATGGTTGCTGTATTTAGGTGTACTTCTTGGTTGGATAGACCATGTAATACAATACGTTTAAATACGCAGCAATTTGGTCTCTCTGTTACCGATAAAAAGGTCACCACAAATAAATCAATGGTAACCTGGGTATATGTGTCGTTTACGTAGGACTTGACGTTGAGGTTCAACAACAATGGCTGGTGTAGATACCTCAGTTAAAAGACCGCAACGAAGTTAATAGTAAGTTAGTTTGGGTAAGCAAAAAAAACGCAGTAACGAACAAAGAGCAGAGCGATAATGTCAAAAAATAACAAAACAAAACTCGGCTACTGATACGATTGCGTCTATAGTACGACAGTAGGTGCTGTAAGTGGGTTACGAGACGCCGGCGCCGGTGGTAATTATTTAAAAAGCGTAGTTCGCACCTTCTCTCTCTCCTTACCTCGGCACTCCGGTTCGGGGTGGTTTTAAAGCTAACATGCGCCTAAGTAGGTACCTGTCAATGCTAATCAATGCTAACCAATGCTAACCAATCGAGGTTTAGCCAGATTGGCAGAATTCCACCGCTCTCATTTTACCGACATCATTGTGCAATCTAACTTGCCCTCTGCTTGTACGGCACTCGCATTAGGTAAAAACATCTTGTTCTGTTCTTATAACTAGCGTTTCTCATTTCTAGCCTTCTAACCCTAAATTTATAGTGTACAAAAGTTACCTCTAAGCTTAATCTTATAAGCCACTTAGTAGTGACATCTCCTATAACAAAACTTCAACGTCGAATTTATAAATATCCTCCATCCCAGTAGACTGCTGCTCCCAGTCACAAATTCCCCATGCCGCTTCTTTAACGCTTCACCCCGAAGTCATAATGGCTCATGGTACCGCTATCCCCAGCACCCCGTGATTGGTATCATATGTCCTATCGCTCCCATCCCTTTTAAACATTACAAATATTCTTACATGCTCGGATATACATTCTAAGGCTTTAAGTTAAACCGCTACCGTAACAATAACATAGCAGCACATATCGCAACTACCAAGGCTTCTTTGCCATATCCCGGTGAGAGAACTGTGCCCAAGCCTTGCTCTGCAGGTAATGGATCGAATGGTGTACCGCCGAGAAAGGGTGTTGGTGCACCATCGTCAGACGACGTCGATTGTGTCGACTCACTCGGCGTGGTAGGCTGTGCCGTGTTCTGTGCTGATGTAGTGTCGGTAGGCGAGTCGGTAGCCGTGGCCGTTGGTGATGATGTTTTTTGATCTGTTGTAGATTGAGTTGTTGTTGATTGGTCATTGGTGCTGGTACTCGTACTGGTACTCGTACTTGACGTCGTGGATGACGTCTTTTTGGTAGTGCGACTCGTCTCCTTTGGGAAACTTGTCGGTGCCGTAACAATTGTTGAGAATTCCCCTTTGGTTGACGATGGGTGTATAGTCGTAGTGACTGTCGTCGGATCCTGGCCAGGGCAGAGGGTATCGACTAAATCACCCGACAACACGATCCCGAGCAATGACTTGTGGCTAATATTAAGATCCCCGCAAGCTTCTTGTATAAGATCCTGCACCTGCTGGACTCCCTTCACACAACTCGCCGAACATTGTCTTCCACCTGTGAAATCACTAACCCTGCAGCCCCCTATTTCTGTCTGATAGGCGCGGATGCAGCTTTTCGGTATACTGTTGGATATAATGAGCTGGAACTGGGATAAGTTGACAGCCGATGAGGTCGAGACCATAGCCAGTAGTGCCGTGAGATCTAAGACCCGTCGCGACCGTTGCCGACGATGCGCCATCTTCGGAGAAGGGTTCTTTCGCGATACTCCGGTGTCTTCGCAGCAGAGCGCTATCAACCAAAGTGACAGAACCAAAGAAAATTGAGGAAATCGGTTATTCTCCGAGAGTATAGCTTAATAGCATATAAGATGGCCTGACGTCTTAGCCAAACAACGTGAGGTCGGCACAGTCGGATCTGGTTAGATCGAACAAGCAGACACGCCGAAACGCGAATTGTATCAGGAGGCTACAAATGACGGAAGACTTTTTCAGTACGGCGCGAGACGCAGATCTGTGAGAGGGTCAGGCAATAGGCCCCAAGGCGGATAGGCTTGCAGAACGATAGGAGTAGCCACTCGACGCCAATTATATGCAAAAGATAACAAACGGAACTTTGAAGGCGGTTCTAACGACAAAATATTAAGCCACTAATGCAGTCAATGCGAAACAAGCACTTCAAAATGGTATCCTGAAGAAAACGAAGCGCAGCTTCTCTATTTTTGGCACGTCGTGTTCGTGATAATATTAAGCCAAAATTATAATAACGGTAGCAATAGCTTCTTCCTTAAAGAAGGTAAATAAGGTTAGTGAAAAAGACGGCAGATGGGAAAAAAAAACCACTTTATGAGAAACAAAGTTCAATTTTACAAGTCCTGGGCTATTGCCTATTCCAGATTCAGCTTTCCATTTTGGACCATTTTAGGTCATTATGATATGTATGGGCCATTCGATCCCCGGCCACGCGAGATTTCCTTTAGTTCCCTCCCTCCCACGAGCTAACCCCCTGGGCTAATCGCAAGCGGCCGACCAATCTAACCTATCGATCGGAACAAACCCCTCGTAGCTATTTCCTTATTAAGGTGTTCATAGGGCGTTCTGTCTCTTGCAGGTTGTCGAGGTAAACCAATGGAAAAGGGGAAATGATGTCAAGGAGAGCAAACGAAACAAGTGGGTGTTTGAGATACCGACTAACTGATCCCTGTCTTATCTTTAATTGGTGGGAAGAGCAAAAGCTCTTGCTGAAAGGTTATACAGTGGTACCTGACCAATAGGTACCCAGAATTGGGGTAGATACCTTGGTACTTTGTTGTCAAATTATGTCTTTCGTCATAAGCTTATATGTAGCACCTTTAAATCTCTTCTATTTCTCAAAAAATAAAGTTAACTATTAATAATTAGAAACTAGTAATGGCAAGTGAGCCTTTAAATAGGCGAGTGTGATAGAGTTGAAGTTTATATTACTTATAATCGCATAGATCCCGCGAATCAAGACTACCTAGGTACATATTCGCAATCCTCGCTTTCCCTCACTGCATTAGACTCATTAGACTTGAGTCATTGGCCGAATCGACTTAGTCCAATCATAGCTTCAACTGCATCATAACTATCGATTTTCTTTGAGCAGATTAAGACTGATGAGATATGAATATGAAAGACTTAAATAGTTGCTTGTCTAAACTGCCTATACATATATATATATATATATATATATATATATATCAATCCAAACTTATCTCCCATCAAAGATATCCTATAGAATATGTTGCATAGTTGGTCTTAGTCATTTATTCAGCCCTTTTCACGATTTTTGGGTTTAACGACAATTGAAGCTATTATATTCTTATAATTGAATTGATTCAATTCACCCGCAAGGGAATTCCGTCGCTTTAATTAAACATGGCTCCGGCAAGCCGTGAGGAGATCACATCTAAAGTCTTCGAGAGTCTCAAAGGAACACCTTACGAAGCATCCTCGCTCGATGTACTATCAGGGGGGACTGCTAACTTTATATACCGTGCAACATTAATACAGTCACTTGAGGATAGCACGCAAGAAGTTGCCGTTAAGCATTCTGAGGATTATGTTGCGACCTCACCGGGCTTCAAGTTGACTCTATCTCGTTGCGTATGTTAGAACTACCAAATGAAACTTTGGCCTTATATATTTGCAATAGTCGGCACTGACTCTTGGTAGCGCATCGAAGAAGAATGTCTCAAAGCGCTATCAGTCTTTCCTATCGTTGACAAGGCAGATGAGAATGATTCTTACAATTTCATCGTCAGAACGCCCAAGCTCTACCATTTCGACGAGGCGAACAACACCCAAGTTCAGGAGTATCTACAGAACGGCATTGATTTAAAAATGCATACATTAACAGTTGAATCCGGGGCTGATCCAGAGATAACAAAACACCAAAGTCTCCAGCTTGGCAAGGCATTAGGAAGGTGGCTCAAAGGCTTCCACGGCTGGGCGGCGCGACAACCCAAGCTGCGACAGGTGGTGGCCGCAAATAAGGAGTTGCAGCAGTTGAAACACACAATTAACTTCTCGTGGCTTATGGACAGAGTAAATCAGTTCCCAAATGTCCTCGGAGGTGCTGAAGGTGTCTTCAAAGAGGTAGGGAAGATGGCTGCGGCAGAGCTAGAGGACGACAGCCAGCTCCAGGTTATCCACGGGGACTTCTGGACAGGAAAGTAAGTGATATAGGCCCATTCATTTCCTGTGACCTATTTGCTGATAGATACCTCACTAGCATTCTTCTTCCCAAGGCCCAGATCCAAGAGGGAGTAGACGTATCAATGTTCGTGATTGACTGGGAGATGTCACAGATAGGAAAGCCCAACCTCGATGTCGGCCAAATGCTTGCAGAATTGTATGAGTTGAAGCTATACAAGGATAAATCAGCAGGCATATTTATGGCTCAGGGATTTATGGAGGGCTACGGTCCGGTGAGCGAAGAGTTTGCTTTCCGCACGGCGATTCAAGTCGGCGCTCACCTGGTCTCCTTTGGGATGGTAGTCCCGGATTGGGGATCGGTGGAGCAGGTTGAAGGGTGTGGACGCCTTGGAAGGGATATGATAACTCGCGCGTGGAAGAAGGACCGCCGGTGGTTTGAAGAAAGCGATTTCGCCTTTCTATTTAGTGCGACTAGATGAGCGGTGATACCAAGTTAATTCTCTTAGAAAAGGAAGAAATATAGTTATATATTTGAATCTATATAGTAAAAGAAGAATAGATTCCTTAAACTACACGCTATTTAGTAAAGCATAGTTATGCGCTTGGTGTCTATGTAAACCGGATATCAGGGGCAAAGTATGCATAGCTTAAGAAATGGACCCACGTGACACCCGCGAAAGAATTCTTCAATGAGTCAAATTCAAAACTTCTAAACTTACCAACTTAATAAATAAAATTAATTACTACCAACGCTTAAAAGCCATTATAAGACTAAGTCATTCCTATGTGTGCCCTTAAGTAGTAAATCTTCTTTATCTTTAATAAATCCTGTCTCTACCCAACCCAGAAATCTTCATCGGAGGGGGTAGGAGTAACACATAGCAGACCTTGTCCCCAATGACGACAGCGGCATCAACCCCGGCCGAGACGGCGGGGCCCTCTCGGCCGTGCAACCGGTGCAAGGACCACGAAGGCACCATCGACTTGCGGGGTGCCGAGTCTGTGTGCGAGTAGGTGGAAATACTTTCTATTACACGCATTTATTATTTATTATATTTTATTGCATAAAACACTAAACATCACCAAGGACTTGCTTCGCATACTACGTCTCCAGCAAAGCTATCAAGCGCCTCGAGGCCCTGCAGCGGGAAACCGCCGCGCCTAGATCTACCAAAGGCCCTAGACGGCCGCAGAGGTACTTGGTTGGGTTGTCATGCGGGCCGTCGTCGACGGCGTTGTTGCACGTGTTGACGGAGAATGTGCGGCAGCAGCGCGCGAGGGGGCAGAAGACGTCTCGGTTTGAGTATGTTGCTGTGCATGTTGTCGACGATACTATTCCTTCTTCTGTAAAGAGGGGAGGAGGGGATGGGGATGATGATGGGGAGGGAAATAAGGACCCCTATATCGCTGCCTTCCGCACCCGCTTCCCAGACGCAAACTTGCAAACTGTCCCCCTGAGCTCCGCGCTCGATTTACCTTCTATCGACTGGACCTCCCTTCCCACTCCTCCCACCCCTCAAGATCCCAGCACCACTCCCTCCCACCGTCTCTCCCAAATCCTGCACTCCCTCCCCTCCACAACCTCCCGCGCCGACATTCACCGCCTCCTAATCCGCCACGTCCTCGTCGCCGCCTCTAGCACCCGGAGCTGCGACGCGCTCCTCCTCGGGCACAGCACCACCTCGCTCGCCGAGCTGACGCTCTCTGAGACAGCTAAAGGCCGCGGGTTCTCCTTACCATGGCTCGTCAACGACGGCGCGGTACCCGTCCCTTCTAGTCTGAACCACGGGTTCCCTAGCAATGGCAATGGCAATGACGATAACAATAATAACAATAACATCGCCACGACCAACGGGGTACCAACAGAGACTGCCGGACACCTCCCCATCTACAGCCCGCTGCGCGAGCTGTTCCGCAAGGAACTCGTGCTGTATCTATCACAGGCGTCGCCGCCGCTCATCAGCATTTTACCGCCGCGCGAAGCAGCCAAGATCAACAATAGCGCCGGCGCCGGCGCTGCCAACGGGAGCGGGGGTATAGCTGCGGTAGTTTCGCACCGGGACCTGAGTATCGACGACGTGCTGGGGCGGTACTTCAGCGAAGTCGAAGCCAGCTATCCATCCGTCGTCGCGAACGTCGTGCGCACGACGGGGAAGTTACTACGGCGGCCCGTAAATGACGACCATAGTCACGACTATGAGGGGAATATTACAAACAGTAATGCTAATAACGGGCGAACCAACTGCGGTCTCTGCGGCGCACTAGTCGACGAACTAGGCGACGAGCGGTGGCGGGGTGAGATCGGCGACGACGAGGACGGGAACGGGGACAGAGCGGAGACTAGACGGAAGCTATGCTACGGGTGCCAACGGTCTATACGCGGATAGTAGATAGCTACCTAGTTTACCCTACCTTCGCCTTGACGAGCAATAAGAAAAACCAATGGCTAAAGCAAGCCTGTGGATAACTTGAATATTTATTTCTTCTACGTACTCCGCCCGCCGTAGAAAAACACCAGTAATAAATCTAATAGACATACTTGTCCCGGCTACGGCGCCGTCCCATATCTAACTCACCTGACCTTAACCGGAGAGAAAAATGGCACTCGAATATAGGCCAGAAGTATACCTAACCCACCTACCCCCATCTCTCTATGATGAACGTGGTGGTATCTGAATACCGTGAATGTATACCATATACCGGATATCTCCCCTCTATTTAGACAATTCCTCCCTAACCGACACCATGTTCAAACTAGCCCTCCCGCTTGCTTGACTCCCTTCCCCCTTGCCGTCCCCGGTCACGCCATGTCGTTCAGCATCCACGGCTCTTATAGACCCATTCAAGCCTTCCCTAGCGTCGGAGCAGGCAATATTTTGATCTCGAGTTTGCGCATTAGCTTATTCGTCTGCTCGGCTAGTGACAATGTTAATATAGTATGAGGTAGGATGCGCGCCAAGTGTGGCAGGAAGCCCTTATATATAGCGAGGAACCCCTCAGTGCGGATTGTCTTGCCTAGACAGTCAAATACGCCCTTGTATAAGTTGCCGTTTTGGTTGTACAGCCGCGACATAATCGTGTCTTGGGTCGTCTTATATTAGCATGCGTCTGATCCACTCCATGGAGCATCTTAAAGTGGCATAGGATGAGATTGGGGACTCACCGGGCGGGTGCATAAAGCAGCACACGACAAATCCAGACACAGTACTGCTGGCCAAGTGCAGCGGTGCGCCCTCCTCCATACCTAAATGCCTGACGAGCCGCCTCTTAGCGAAGAAGTACGTAGGAAGCTGGACGGAGCTGCCGAAACCCGTGCGGATCATGGCAGCGCCGACACCGCGGTACAAGCCGCCGAAACCCTCGGCGCGGTATATCTGGCTGAGGCCGTCGATGGCGTTACGGTAGTTGTGCTGGGTACCGACGGGTAGGAAGGGAGAGTAGCTCTGGAGCCGCGTCTTGACGAGGAAAAAAGGGCTGCCGGCGGCCGCGCCGATGATGCCCGAGCTGGCGCCGCAGAACATATTGATCCCTAGGTTCTGCGCCGCGCCGTCGCGTAGCAGTAGTGAGGCCAATCGGTTCCGCATGGGGTCGTAGAACCCCAACCGACACCCGTTTAGTAGAACTTGGTAGACGTAAGCGCACCCAATGCCGCGGTATATGCCGCGTACGCCCTCATTCCGCACGATAACGCCGACGCCGTGGAAAGGCCCGCGGTAGTGGTGTGGCTGGTGGCCCTTGGTCTGGAGCTCGCCTTGGAGCTGCATTCTATTCCCTATTAGCTGCGTCATGCCATGATGTATGCATACAATGTTTCTTGCTGAGACAAGGGCTCATACTGCACATTGCAGACGAACCGCCTTCTCTAGAAACCCATTGTGTATGGACGAGGGGACAATGGCATGCGTACCGAATCTTAACAGTCTCGAAGGGATGTGTAGCCGTGACGGCACCACAGGCGGCGATACCGCCTGCTATGAAAGCCCTACAACTCTAATTAGTTTGTGAAGCTTCAAACAGAATTGCCTAGTATCGTACCCAGCAGTAGTCGCCATGGCGTGGTTCCAAGTGGTCCGCTCAACCACGGGGCAGTTATTCTTTGGGACTCTGTCGCCCCTCCAAGTAATGTCTGCTCTGGTCTGCCAAAAGAAACTATGGTCGACTGGCTCGGGTTACACCGCAAGGGCGGGCAACGGGCAAACAAAATTGAGCGCAACCAGAATATAAAGTTCTGATCTCCGACGTCAATTCGCTTTTCGGCGTTAGCGGGAAACACGAGGATGTGTCTTGCAGGGAGAGACTGAAGAGGGAAGAATATCACAAAAATGGGCAAAAAATGTAGATCATAAATCCATTTTTAGTCGGTGAGGCTTATTGTTCTTCTCTAAGACCGGGCTAACAATGAATCCATTGATGACAAAAATAGATACGTGATACAAAATCTAAGTATGTAAAGAAATGTGTAGAATTGGACCCTCCGAAATTCAACGCCTGTCTCCGAGCTCGCAAATCCTAAAGTTGCAGCTAATTCTTTAAGCTCTCATTAGCGGATAGCGGATAATGGATAATGGATAACGGATACGGCATGGATCGAAGCTGCCATATGTATGCAATGCTTGTATTGTACCCTTTCCCCACTCTGTACGGAATATAGGTACTTAGCTTGATTAATAAGCTTATAAGGCTGGAGGAAAGAGTACCTATGTAACTGTATAGCAATTATGCATAATAACTGTAAACCTATAAACCTATAACTTCAATGCTATAAGTATACCAAGAGCCCCATTATTCCAAATATAAGTATCATCTAAAAATATGCATCTGAAGCACAAGGCGGCGCAAAACCTCAATTCATTGTTTGTGACTTTGTGACCGACTCATAATATTATTATGCCGTCACAAGATATACCTGACTCCCATAACCATGGCTGATGCCCCCCAGGTTCAGCCTTGAATGCATTCTATACTTTACAACAACTCCAGTAGACAGATGCTTCATAGACCCCCATATCCCCCCAAAGAAAAGGATGACAAATGACAAATTAGGCCAAAGACGCCGGAACTGAAGCGCCTACGAATAGCCATATTTCTTAACTCCTAGCAAGTATACACTCATCCATCTTATCTTATGAGATAACTTCGAACCTACGCTCTCCCTTCGTACGAATTCCATAGATATCGGTACTAGACCTAGTCGAGTATGATATCCAGTTCTCAGGCCAAGGTTTGGTCTATCTTGAATAGGGAGTAAACATAAAATATAAATATATAGTTTCCCCTGATTCTAACGAGTCGATATCGTCCAAATCCCCCTCTTGTGTTACCCCTTCCCATACTCGGGATGACCTATGAGAATCCAATATAGGTCAAAACTGTATCATCGTAGCCATCTCAACACTGATATGGGCGTATGCTGTCGAAGACTGCGACGTATCCGTCGGGCTTCAATCTTCAACCATACATATGCTACTGCAGCATTGCTATACGAGGCCCTTCTCCTCATCTTCCACTCAAATCTTCGAGGGCAGACGTATCCACTTTAGGCAACAAATAAACCTAAACTCTACGAGAGGTAGCAGCTTTTCTATGATCTGTCCACTTCAACTTGTGCTGCGGCATCCAGGCTGCTCATACCAGGTCGCCGGGTACTTTCTTGGCTTGCTCGCGCTGGGTTGCCATCAAACACCCATGGACCTGCGTCATTGCGCGGAGTGATTGGGCCTTCGTGACCGGGCCCCGGGGGGTTACTGTTTGGTGATGGCGTCCGATTAGTTGTAGACCGATCGCCACTACTCACACGTGGTGTCGCATTGGGTATGGGGACCGGCTCTGTCACGGCATGTCTTAATAGGACTGACTGTGCTGCGGCAGCGTCGATCTGCATTGTCACGTCGCCCGCGTCACCTTCGCCAGACGACTGCCGTGAGTTAACTTCAACATTCGACTGGGAAATTGCAAGCGGTATAGCTTCGCCGTTCAGTTGAGAAGCTGGAGGAGTAGTCTTCTCTTCCTGAGCATCGTCTATGCCTGAGTCTAGCTGTTGCCATTCGTCAGATGGCTCGTCTACTTCGGCGTCTAGGTCGGCCGTGGCTCGACAATTCGGGCATATAAAGATTGGCCATGACGGCCCATTTAACATTTCCCGAATACACTTGAAATGCCATGTGTGAGAACAAGGCGCTACAAAGAGCGATTGACAGGGCTATTGGAGAGGTATATTAGTATCGAATAAACAAAGTATAGGGTTTGATGGCGTTCAGAATGGTAATACTTACTGCTATCGCATTTAGGCAGATAGAGCAGTCCTGCGCATGGGCTGATGAAGCTGACGTTGACGTCAAGTCTCTTAAGCGTTTGTGTGTTGCCATGCTATTAATTTGTTAGCCGCCGTCGCCGTATGGAGACGACAAAAGAACAAAGTGCGAATATAAGGAAGGAAAACTCTTGGGGAATTACGAAAATGATATGATGTACAACGTACTTGAAGGTGTTAGGTTTTGATTGCCAGCCTCTGTTTAACTCTATGCGCATTTTCACGCAACGGTAAATCATCTCCTCCCCACCCTTAAAGTCTATTCCTAGCTGAACTATGTCGCCATCATTAATGGGAAACGGCTTGGATTCAGTACCAGGGGCACTTAGACGAATGTGGTTGAGAAACGTCCCAGAAGAACTTTTAACATCTTTGATATACCATTTTCCCTTCTCGAACCAGAATTCACAATGACGACGGCTTACTACCTTGCTCTTAAAACCTACAGGCGCAGCTGATGGTGTGTTGATAGGAACGAGAGCGTGGTTCTCCCGCTCGGAGTATCTACCAACCTTAATTGTTTCCTTGCCTGTTGGTAATGTACGCGAAATCGGGGTGAACGAAAGGGATGGTCGATTTGATCGTGTATCGAAGAATGCTGAGAAGCGTATAGTTGGTAACACATCGTGAGCGACGTCGCTTGTGGTTGCTGACCGTGTCCGCGTCATGTTTGCGTTTAACGAATGCTCCTGGTTCTCAACTAGATGATTTGATTCGGATCTTGAGTTCAACAAAGCCTCGGAAGCAGCCTCGGAGAATCTACTAGCGCGACGGCGATGGGTCCTACTCGAATCGTCGTTTGGATCTGCTGGATTAAGCGGGTCGGAGTCGACCTCATGAGGAACAGCGGATGTGGTAGTGGGGGAAGCAGGCTGGATTGAAGGTGCAGATATGGATGTATCTTGGGGAACGGTCCTATTGTGGTGGACGAGGCTAGACGTGTCGCGCGACAAGAGATGTAGATGTATTAAGCCTCGTAACCTGCTGCCTCTACCTGGAGACGAGGGAGATGCCGGTGGAGCGGTTGTGGAAGGTGTGAGAGGCGGGAAAAGACCCGGCGATGGCGGCGTAGGCTGTGTGAACATTTATTACGGTTGTACGTGGGTGTCGAGTGAAAGGTAATCTTGGGGGTGTGTGGATGGAAAGAAGCGTCCACACGTCTTGTATGATTGACGAATAATAAGCCGTCTTTTTAACGAATATAATATCGAATAATAATGGAAATAAGAGCACCGACTTCGAGTGGAGAGGAAAAATAGGGTCGGACCTTTATTTTTTTCTTTTCTTTTTTTTTCTTTTTAGTACAAGAAAAAGGAGCACGGCACAGCGGAGTGGCTATTGATATCTAAAGGGTCCTTTGCAGTGGGGGGGCGAGCTTTGGGGGTTTGTTTTGCAGTTTGCAGTCCCCTTCAACGTCTTATGTTCGTAAAAACGCGATGCGGAGTCGGCTGATCAGGTTGGTTGACCTTTAAACCATGCAAATAAAATCTAGGCAGGTCGGACATGGGACCCAAGGTAGGCCAAGTTTAGTTGCTTGCATTAGGTAGGGTTTAATCATCTATTGGAGTAAAGCAGTAAGGCAGTTGTTCTTTGTAAAAAAAAAAAAAAATTTGTCATTCGTTTCCGTTGCCCTTGCCGTGTCGAAAGATCGAAAGATGTAGAATAGACAGAGAGAAGGAATTGATAACAAAAAACAAATAAAATATGGGGGAGGGAGGGGAAGGAACAAAATGTATGTATTATACAGCAAATAAGGTACGAAGAAACAATGGGAAACCGCTCGGCTTCGACGTCAATTCAATATGAACGGAAACATGGCAAGTCTTTCTTACACTGATAGACTGACGACATATTATCTATATTTATTAAGGTTAACTAGGTACAGTACTACATAAAGTACGCATACGCAGTGTGCAGTTCGTAAGATAGTGTAGGCCGTATGTAGGCTGGCTGTATGTATGTACATAGGCGCAGACGCAGATGCAGAAAGCTGACGGGTAAAAATTAGAAACAGGCCATGCCGAAAAAGGGATATTACAACTTCATGCCCGGGCTTTCCCTGAAAGCCATGGAGATACCCGGTGTACTTAAGGCCTTCCGAGTTAAGGTAAGGTTTATGCTCCTTAAAAATCACGCTTATGTAAATATTTACGTACATATCTGCGTACTGCGTATCATGTATCATGTTTATGTACCGGTACGAAAGGATCGACTCTACTTTCGTACGTCATAGGAGCTTCGCCTAGCATTCCGCGGTCGAATAGGACATATTTGATAAATATAACTACATACCTACGTAGGTAGGTGTGTAATATACCGATTAAAACATAAACACTCATATGTCCTCTTGCAACCTTCTTGTTATATGAGAATGACATGAAAATTTCAAAACTACCATAGCGGAGGAAGGGGGTTTGAGGGAATCATTCCGTAAACCTAAAACTATTGCACTTAGTAAAATCATTCCACCTGACGATAACAGGGGAATCAGATTAATGATTCCAACGTTGTGGAATGATTCTATTACTAGAATGATTCCGTAAAATAGAACGATTTGCCTTTTCACGTGACTTTCACGTGATATTCACGTGAAAAAGTGGGGTCAAAAAGGGAAAAAGTCAAAAAATTAGAAGGACTGGTCCTCGAACCCACCACTCTTGCGTTCGTGTAACCATAAACCCCACCTTTTATTCATTAAGGTTAAAGTTTAAAGTGTAAACGTTTGAGCTAATGGGACAAGGTGGCCAATCTCATCGAATTATTTCATTGTGGAATTTCCCCTGTTTTTAGGCCTTATAACCTTTACATCAGAAAAAGTAAAATTTTGACTTAGAAAAAAAAAACTTTCGAAAAAATTTTTATTTTTTATTTTTATTTTTTTCATTTTATTTTTTATTTTTATTTTTTTCATTTTATTTTTTTATTTTATTTAATATTTTATTTTTTTAATATTTTTATTATTATTATTATTTTTTTATTTTTTTATTATTAAAATTTTGTATTATTAGTAAAATTGTTCCAAAAGTTGGAACGATTTTACGGGATGGAATGGTTTTACGGTTATAAAACGCTTTCTTTAAAATAAGATATTAAAAGTGGGTACTGGGACCCACTAACCCCGGATTCTGACCAATTAGAGCCCTTAAAACCCAAAAACGTTCCACCGCACGGAATCATTCCAGTTTTAGAATGATTCCCCCAAACCCCCCTCCTCCGCTATGGTAGGTATCTACCTATCCAAAGAAAAAGGCGATCCGTAGACGGTTAATAGTGGTGGGGTTTCACATGTATGTAAACGGCATCAACTAGAAAACCACTGGAAAGTTAACCATATCTCAAACCGACTCTGCTTGGCAATGGAGATCTTATATGAACTAGTTAGGGGTGTCGAAGCCTCGAAAGACTATGTAGGAGATGGACACGGCTTAGAGTCTTGTTTAACTTCCGAAATCTGAGTACTCACTCTCTAAACATAACATATGAAACGAGAGTCTCGTCGTTAACGTTTTCCTCTTACACTCACCAACCCGAATGCAGGCCTGAATGGGATTGCTAACCCTCGAGTGCCGTGTACTTAAATTCATCATGTATGAATTAATCTATGAAGACGCCTAAAAGGCCTATCGTATGGTATCATTATGATTGGCTGTATAGGTCCAATGAAGCACTACCTCTTTGATGTGCTTATCCCTATACGCTATGCTCAATACAAGACTATCGAGTCAGCCACATGCTTCGTACGAAATCCGTAAGCTGTACAAGGAAAAAAAAAAATGCAACGATTGTACTTGAGCAAAGCTATCAAAGCCTCCGTAACGCCGTTGCCGCCAGGTCCTACCCTTGAACCACTCAACGATGAAAACTTAAAGTCTACGCCGGGTCAATTAGACACGAGGAAGAGGTTCGACCTTATTTTCCGGTCTTCTGTTTTTTGGCCTTGGGCTTCTTTTCCTCTTCCTCGTCTACCATTTCTTCATCCTCATCCCCATCCCCATCCCGGTCCTCCCCACCATCAACGTCGCTCTCTGCACTTCCCGACCCAGACGATTCGTGAGCCGAATCGTATTCCTCGGCGACATCGCTCTCGCTTTCGGCTTGGAAGTCATCATCTACACTCTCCTCGTCTTCATCAGCGGAACCGCGGTCCGCTCGAGGACCGACCACTTCCTCTTCGGATTCATCCATGACTTCTTGGCGGAGGGCAGCAGCAAGTAGATTAGCATCCTCATCGATCTCATTCTTAACGCGCAGACCTTTGAGTTTGAAGAATCCTTCAAGCGCCTTTAGATCTTCTCTATTAATATTGCTGAACTGATGAGGCGCTCCACCGCTCTTCATATGAACCGCAATATCGAAAGTTGATAATGCGGAGACCGCGCCACTAACACGGGAGAAAACAATGGAAGACGTTTGGTCATATGACACATAAGTTGCGGGCTTCGGCACAAACATGAAGGCTTTCTCGAGGCAGTACAAAAACCCTTCTGCCGCTTTGATTGAGCACTTGATGCCGAACTGGTTTCTGTGTGTCATGAAATCCTTAGCCGGAGAGGTGATCTTCTTGTTGGCAAGGCCTTTGAAAATATAGGTAATGACCTGGTGCAGCGGTTGTTCGTAGTGAGGCTGTAGTCGATCCTTGTACTGCTCATTCAGCTGCTCTTCGGTGAGGTTGAGATCGATAGTCACTTCCTCATCTTTCTTGGCCTGCATGACTAGGAACGGGTACCTCGTCTGTCCCTGGCGGAGAGGTGGATCTAGCCCGATACACAGCATAAAATGCAGATCGTCTGGCTTCGGAAGGACCATAAACTTCTTGATAGCCTCATACTGTATCTTGTAGTCGTACGTCTTGCCGCGGAGGCGAAATGACGCTTCATACATGTCGATATCGAACCGTCCGCTATATAGTAATGATTAGAGATATTCTTAAATGAAAAGGGGCCGAGTAGACGAACCGTGGCGTAAGGTGCAGAACTTCCAAGAAAGTAGCGATCGCATCACCTGCGGTCTCGCCGATCTCGGCCTTGTCCATAAGTGTCTCGTAGAATAGAGTTGCAGCATTCTTCTCCTCTTCGGCACCGCTTCCTGCTTCCTCTCCTTCTGTCTCTTTACGGGTGGTGGTTCCGGGAATATAGAATCGCATCTCTACGAGCTGGTCCTTACCCGCACCGGACTTCTTGCCGCGACCTCGTGCGCCACCTAGGTGTCCGTTCGTGCCAGTATCATCCTCATTTGATGCGGCGAATTCGACGGATACTTCGTTACGGCCAGCAAGATTGGTGTTTGAAATCTCGGAGTAGGGAATTTCGAAGGAAGGCTTGTTCTGGACATTGAAGACAAGCTCAGCTTTGCTGAACTCAGTCTTGCCCCAGTTCCAGCCTCGCAATGCATGTTCCTTAGGATCCAGATTTATGCTGTACCAGTTTTTGAATATCTTGCTCAGGCGCTCTAGATCCTGCAGTATTGTCAGCAACTGTAAGGCCTATATTAAGAAAATAGTTAATATGGTTTACCTCTTGTTGGAAACCGTCGAGATGGACAAGCTCGGAGGATCTCTTGAGAATCTTAACTTCGTAGCCTTTTGCGGCACGGCTCCATTGCGCGTTGGCAATGTCACTACGGTCGAGGGTGAAAGTGTTGCCGCCTGCAGAGGGTTTCCAACCGAGACCGTTTTCTGCGAATCGGCACTTCCCAGACTCTTTAGATAAGTCTAGGAAGATATTATCAAAGTTCTCACTATTAAGTTCATCAATTAATAAAAGAAGCTACAGTGGCTTGACGAGCCATACTTACAACGCTGCCATGTTGAGGATTGAGATGTAGACTTGAATTGGCGGGCTATTGATGAGGCTAGGAAGGTGTATAGGAGATACGACAGCTATGTGGACCGCCTCTTGGGGAGAAAAAGTTCAAAGAGGCGCGTCAACGCGCTAAGTTGCCTGAGTTAAGTAAGTAAAGTACCTACATAACCTAAAGAGCCTTAAAAGCTAAGGGGATATTTTAGCGTAAATTCAACGAAAATGAACACGTGATTTCAGCTGGTTTGCATTGTACAACCTCTTTTACATATTCCGGGGGTATGATGCAAACCCCACCTATCCACTTACCTTATCCACTTGTTCTCATTCGAGTTCAGGAGGCTCGCCGCTGATTTAATTGCTAGCAGCAACTGATTCAACAGGGGGTACCCAGGTACATTAGGTACATAGCTTCAGATTCCTCTCCTTGAATCAATTCGACGTATTCGTACCCTTACCTAATATCTTTACTGCCTTCTTTACTTGCTTCGTTCTCCCCTATCTAACTTTCCTCTACTTACCCTCTTAATGCTACAATCTCGCTGATTGATACCTCATATTTTATTTATCCTATTACTTTTATCACATTCCTACTTCCTACTGCCTACAGCCAATCATGTCTGGGCGCTTTGTTCGAGCGTCCAAGTACCGTACGCCCCCAACGCGCTCCCTTGCGATTTTCCATGACCCGACTAACCTTGACTAAGGACATGTCTTCGGCAAATCTACACGGAAGGAATTCTGTTATGATAACATACGTATAAGCCGAAATGCTTGGGATACCAACTTGGTTAAGGTCCGGCCTTCCTCCTCCTTTTTTGCTGTCTGCATGGTAGGCCTAGGAACTGACGGGTCTGGTTGCAACAGGCCAATCCAGAATATCTTTCCGTCAATTGGGAGGCTAGTGGTGGAGGTGCCTTTGCTGTCATCCCCGTGGGTGAGAAGGGCAAGCTCCCCGATGTCATTCCTCTATTCCGTGGCCACACTGCTGCCGTTCTCGATACCGACTGGTGCGCACGCGACCCTTGGGATGGTTGATCCCCCCCCATTCGAAGACCTTAACCTAATGTTATTGCTCAAGGAACCCCTTTAACGATCGTATAATCGCATCAGCTTCCGAAGATGGCAAAATCATGATTTGGGAAGTGCCTCAGGGCTTTACCTTGTTAACAGATGCCGAGGAACCACCCGACGTAGCTCCTGTCTCCAAACTGACCGGTCACTCGAGGAAGGTTGGTCAGGTCTTGTTCAATCCTGCTGCTGAGAATATACTTGCTTCTGCCTCCGGGGATTTCACAATTAAGATATGGGATGTTGGCACTGGTTCTGCTGCCCATACACTTAAACACCCTGATATTGTTCAAAGTCTGTCGTGGAATGCCGATGGTACAATGCTCGTTACAACCTCAAGAGACAAGAAGCTTCGCGTATGGGATGTACGACAAGAGCGCCCTGCACATGAAGGACAGGGCCATGAGGGTGCCAAAAACAGCCGAACAGTTTGGTTAGGAGAACATAATAGATTTGCTACGACCGGCTTCTCTCGTATGAGTGATCGTCAACTTGCGCTCTGGGAGCCCGGCAACAATACGCCTATTGTACTGAATACTCTTGATAGTATCTCCGGCGTTTGCATGCCTTTCTGGGGTAAGACTATCTTTAGTTTATATACATCACACAGCTAACCTTAGCATAGATGACGCCTGCAACTGTTTATATCTCGCCGGAAAGGGGTAAGTCCTACGGATTTTAATATTGCTCAAAAACAGGCATCTAATCTGGATTTTATTAGAGATGGCAATATCCGATACTTTGAGTATGAGAATGACAAGTTCGAATATCTTTCCGAGTATAAGTCGATTGAGCCTCAGAGAGGTATTGCTTTCGTTCCAAAGCGCGGAGTGAATGTAAGTAACAATATTCCATCTATTTTAATTTCGAATATCACAACTCACAATAGAAAGGTTCATGAAAATGAAGTCATGAGGGCGTACAAGACGGTTAACGACTCGTACATCGAGCCTATCTCTTTCACTGTCCCTCGGCGGGCTGAGACATTCCAATCGGACATTTACCCACCAGCTTCTGGCGTCAAACCCGGTATTGGTGCTAATGATTGGCTATCTGGCAAAACTGGCCTGCCACCGAAGATTGACTTTGAAAGCATTTATGAGGGCAGTGCGCCTGTTGAAGTCCCTGCTGATTATCAGCCACCTGCTTCAGTACCAGCTCCGACCCCTGCACCTAAATCTGTACCTCAAAAGGAACCTGAGCCAGCAGCGCGATCTCCGCCTCCCACAGTGAAGGAGCAGAATCGTTCCATGGCTGCGATAGCCTCCAAGTATGAAGATAAAGATGAGGGCGATGACGATGAGACCTCAAGTTTCGAAGAGATCTCAAAGCCAACTCAGCGCAGTGCAATCCCTGCACGCTCTGAGCCGACGCCTCCCTCTCCGACCAAGACAACCTCCGCGCCCCCACCGAAAGTGGCACCCGCAATTAAATCGCCTACTTACCCATCGGCCTCGGCTACAGCAGCCCCTGTTTCAGCATCGTCAAACAGCCCAACAGCTGGCCCAGGCGTTGAAACAACTTTGGAGCAGATTAAGCAACTGCTAGAGACTCAGACCAACATGATTAGCGTGCAAGGTCAAAAGATCAATCATCTGACGGATGAGGTAGACAGTCTGAAGAAGCGAGTAGGGTCTGGAACGCAGGACCAGAGCGAACGTATCCGACAGCTGGAGCTGGAGTTGGAGGAGTTGAGGTCGTAAAGTAACACGGACATTGTAGGAATACATATCGAGACAACTAAAAGAGGTGGAGTAGGGTCGAGCAGTTGATGGATAACGATATTGACGAAGCTTATACCTGCAGTCATTCGAAAATACCGTACCCGTAGCTACGCTGGCGTTCCTGAATCTTTTAATGGGCTGCATTTGTAGTTATACTTTGTCAACCGGATTTCTTGTCGCGAAGGGTAGGTGAGACTGATATTCATGGTTTATCTATCGTCGCAAAGTAGGCTTTTCCCTCATGTATGCAAGGTCTGTTAAGAGATTCTTCTATTCTCTAGCTAGTGTTTTGTCTTTTATTGTGGCGGTTATTTTCCTTGCTTGGCATTCCACGCAACACAGTCATCAAATTTTACTCCTATGCCGCCGAAACAGTCCAAGGCACTGCCAATTGTAAGGTCTACTTTTCCATGGCTCAGCTTCTTGACAAGTTCAAGGTCGTCAAGATTTCTCCCACCACCGGCATATGTCACCGGTATGCTACACCATCCTGCAAGCTTCTCAACAAGTTTCTCATCAATGCCCTTCTGGAGACCCTCGTTGTCAGCGGCGTGAATGAGGAATTCAGAGCAGTATGGCTCTAAAGTTTTAATGGTCTCTGCGTATCATTTAGTCAGATGTTTGTTAACTTAAGGGTAGGTTTTCAAGCCGAGGGAGGATAGACGATTAAATACCTTGGTTTACCTCCATATCGGTGATAGTCTGCCATTTATTCATAGCTACAAACCATTTCTCGTCACCCTGTCGTCTACAGCTAAGGTCGATAACGAGGTTATCCTTTCGGCCACCGAGGGTAGCCAACACACCATCTAAACGTTCCTGGCTAAACTTGCCTCCGGGGAAGAGGAAAGATGTGATGATGACCTACTAGAACCCGCAATCAATAATACTGCATAATATATGACACTCATACACATATCACTTACCTTACTAGCGCCCTGTTCTATCCACGTCGCAGCGTTCTGGTCGTTGATACCACCCCCGACCTGAAGATGGCCCGGCCACGCCGCCAGGGCCTCGCTCGCAGCGTCATTATTTCCAGGGCCCAGCATAATTACATGTGCCCCTTCGAGATTGTGATCTCGGTATAGACGAGCGAAATGCCCGGCGGAATGCTGGGAGACAAAGTTCGTCTTAAGCTCAGCGGTAGAGCTATCGAGGGTTCCGCCTACGATCTGCTTCACCTGACCGGCGTGTAGGTCTATACATGGCCTAAACCGTGTCATGGTATTTTAAATAATATTGGAGTGTTTTAAACAGGTATTGGGGTTGATGTTCATAAAACAGCTTAAGTACTATAGTTAATACATTTTATAATAATATGTTTAAACTTACTTTAATGATAGTGGGCTTTTAACTTCAGATCTCTAGTATATCCGTTATGAGGCCATAGCGGGGTGTTTTTTTTTAGCGTTAGAAACTACTATGTAATAAAGCCAATTAGGTTCATTGATTGGTTGATATATAAGTTTACTTAGGATATACCCAGGATAACGCTTTAAACACATTAAATCATCTGAATCCACTAAAATTTTATCTTTCTTCAACTTCAATATTCAGAAAGATGGCTGCCGTACTCGGCAAACGCAAGTCGCGCGCGCAGAAAACCGAACCCTCGTTATCCCAAGAAGAAGCTCAAGCTATCTTCCGCCAGCATTTTGAAGCCCAGTTTGCGCCGCTAGATCCGTCACTTACCCCCTCAAAGCCGACACATATTGATGAACCCGAAGATCTGCGCTCCGACTCAGACGATGCCTCTGAGGACTCTTGGGACGGTGTATCCGACTCCGAGTCGGAGTTAGAATTAGATTCAGATTCCACACCACATAGCTCATCGACAGTCGAGGTCGTTGAAGTAGTCACCCACACGAGCAAGCTCCCAGCGCTCTCCACCGATCCGCTCTCTAAGCGCGAGAGCAAAGCATACCTATCCTCGCGTGTTCCTTCCTCGTCTCTAGACCCAAACGCATCCTCTTCCACTCCGGCGACAAAGCACAAAAACGCCGCGGACGAAGATGCTCCTTCGCTTATAAAGAACGACCTGGCGCTACAACGTCTGTTATCCGAATCGCACCTCCTCTCCGGGTCGGGCCAGAACAACGGCAGCATAGAGCATGCGGGTCGCAACCGCCATCTAGCCACAGACATGCGGCTAGCCGCGCTTGGATCCAAGTCGAGCATCTTCAAACAGGCCAAGATGCCCATGTCGCATCGGAAAGGTATCGTAGCTGCCGTGACGACGCGCGAGACCAAGAGGCGCAAGGAGGCTCGCGAGAACGGCATCATCCTTGAGCGGCCTTCGAGTACGGCCGCAAAAGGGAAGCCCAGAGTTAGAAAGTTTGAGAAGGCCGTCGATGCTCCCGCGGTGGGGAAGCTGAGGAACGGCATGCTGAAACTGAGCCAGAAGGATATTGCTGAGATCCAAGGAGTTGACAGGAGATCTGGGGGTAGAAGTGGTGGGAAGAGGAGACGAAGGTGAAAGAAGGAGTGTTAGAGATGAGCGACTCGCCTGGATTCATCCTGCGATATGTTGTGAGATGGGACATAAATGTCTTACGACGCATCTCATTGTATAAGCGCATTCACAAGAAACTACACCGATCTTCTTACTCTTATTCCCCTCTGCATCAGCTCATATATATATCCCCGGCACGACATGTCTACGTTCTCGTATTTACCAAACCTACACTACTTCGACGCCGTGTGTAATTCTTCCATTCACAACCATAACCAGTTGCAACAGCAATAGCACCAACAACTAGCAAGATGCCTGTTAATATACCCGATCGTAATCGGATTATCGAAGCCACCTTGCAATTCATAGATGATCAAGTTAAAGACTCAATCCAGAGCACAGATGACGATATTATTAAGATAAGGGCTGATGTTGAGAACATGCGCTTCATGATTGCCAATATGCGTAATGACATTATTGAAGTTGTACTACGCCACGAGAGACCTATACAGAGCAAACCTAGACATTTACTCCCCGATCCGACTTACCTTAAAGACGCCAAACACGAGAATTTTGGGCTATGGAAAATCGAGGTTCTGACGAAATTACGCGTCGACGGCAGGGCAATCGGCTCGGAGAAGGATCAGTTTGAATACGTCTTAAGCCGGCTGGCGCCAAAATACAACAACCACGTCAAATCTATACTTCAACCCCGGGAAATTGACGAGAATTGGGATGTTAACCTGATTTTCGATGTGTTGGGGGATATGATAGTTGACAATGAGATTGCAGAAAACCCACTCTGGGAATTATAATGTCCCGGTAATGATGTGGAGGATGGATGTAGATATGATTAAGATTGCTACTAGTTATAGATGATGTGCAATTTCAGTTTACCTACATTCGATGTATTTAAATACACGGCATCGTTACCCACCCCATTCGCCTTACTTAGACGTTCCGTTAGTAGTAACCTTAGAACTTTGTATCTGCAATTATACCCGTTTACACGGGTTCTATACACGGGGGTTAACCGGGGATACCATGAGAAACTATACATGAACGAAAGAGAACGACGTAAAACATACACATAAATTATACCAAATAACGTATTCTGCGTTGATGTACAACTAAAAAGTTCTTAATTATTCTTCTCACAGCCTCGTCACAATGCTTATAAGCCTTACTTCCGATAAGTATAATGTATACGAAGGTCCGGGCCAAGAGTCTTGTATACCTCATATGTGGAGGACCCTAGCACCGTGTTTGAACGTCATCCTTTTCTGTTAACACTGTGCCAACTACTAGGTAGCCCGTGTGCTAAATTTAGGTGGCTTGCTATTATATTTAGAGCGATACTAGCCATTATAGCTGAAGTAATACCGTGCGGTCTTGTTTTTACTTATACGACTTCGGCCCGGACCTTCATAGATCCCTCTAGCTTCCACAGCATAGTAATGCTCATAGGATGACGTATATAAATAATTATATCACTACCAAAACAAGTTTAGAACCAAGTAACTACGAAGTATTTAGATGTTAACATTTATTGAAGCTCAAAGTTTATACTAAGCCCTCTCTCCTCATCTTCCCCTTCGGTTCATATTCCCCGAAAAAAAAAATAATAAGCTGACAACTACGGTGCCCTAGAAAAAAGAAAAGAAATTTGGTATCATCTCCCGTAGCTCCCTACAGCCGGCCACGAAGCCCAAGTAACAAAAGAAGAAAGCAAATATATATACAAATGCATGAGTGGTAGTGGTCTGTCGACTTCCTGCGCCTTCCTGCCGTTTTCGAGGGAGCAACTTTGCTCCTCTGCGATCCTGTGAATCAATTGTTCCCTTGCCTTCAAGTCTTCCGGCCGTCCGTCTATCAAATGCTTCTTCTGAGCTCTTTTTTTCCACCATGGTATCCCCCATGCATAAAGTGAGCAAAAACAAATCGCTCCCCGATAAGAACAATGCCGAACACGAATCGTCCAGCCCGCGCTTGTAAATGAAATCCCACACGTCTAAATGAAATATATCATGCAAGTCAAACCACTAAACCCCCAGATTAAGACTGCCATATAATATAGACAGTTGCATCATATTATAATGGACCCATAAACTTCAAGTCGCCACCTCAGTTACATCGCTCCTGTTGGCGTGCTCATTGTCATGGGCATACTTAGCGTTTGCAAAGGGTTGAAGGTCGACTGGGACATCCCACTTCCGGAAAGCCCATTAGATGTAGGCATCGATGTAGCAATAGAGCTCAACGAGGTCGGGATATACCCTGGCTCCGAGTTGGGCGAAGCTTCCTCGAGCGAGGTGAGTTGATCCTCACCAGAGAAATCTTCTTCCTCTTCACCCGAGAGAGTCAGCCCACCTTCAGCACCCTCGCCGCGGTCGTGTGTGCGCTTATGTCTATAATAACAATAATAATTAGTCTTTGCCACATCGATGAAACTTGCCGCTCCTCATGATGAGTTGATGTATGCTTCTTGTGTTGTCACTTAATTCGAATGATTGCTGGGTTTCGTTCTGAAGGCATATCGCACAAACATCGTTGCTCATCACAGGATCTTCAAGTTGACAAACGAAACAAACTAGAAAATTGGAGTCATACTGTGCTAGGTTGTCGGATCTAGAGAACGCCTTGCTACAATAGGGGCAGATGTAGGGTCTTTCTTGGGTATGTGTTCTTACGTGTCTAGATATTTGGTCAGATACACAACGGTGCACCAAGCAAGCAACAAAAAGAAATATCTGATCTTACCGCTTCAGGTGCTCGAGGCGCTTGAAGAGACGACCGCACGTGGGAATTGGGCACGAATGAGACTTCTGAGGATAAGGCCCTAGCTCCATAACAGTAGCTGAGCGAGCCCTGCGAACCACGTTCGCTCCAGGCTGCATCACCCGCTGCTCATGAATCGAGCCGTCTCCATTGAGATCCTCACTAGTGAACTGGGTGAAGTCTTGTCGCTGTAGAGACATTGGGTTTAGAGCAGGGCTACCTTCCACGGTCGATAGTGGTGTGCCATGCCTTGACATTTCCATATGTTGTTGGTTGGTGAGAGACATCGACGAATTACTATATGATAGGCCGGGAGGGGAGTTGCTTTGAGACTCGTCACCCTCCGCCACAGGGCCAACCGACGCCGAAACTGACCTCCTCAAATCCGAGGGCCGGTGAGCAGCTATCTGCGCTTGAGCAGCCGCAGCTGCTATCGCCGATACTGAAGGAGGGATGGATGAACGCCGTCTTCTCTGCTTGTATGTCGGTGATCCTTCGATCACAGAGTAGACATTGTTGGCGCCATATGCACGCGAAAACTGTGGTCCGGCCAAGTTAGAGGGCGGTAACTGCATCATCCCGTTCAGCCCACTGAGATGATCGGGAATTGCCGTGTACAGCCCAGTCTCCTCGTTTGCAATATAGGCCGGCTCAGCTCCCATTGCTAAGGCCTGTTGAGGAGGTGTAATTGGCTCGAATGAAATGCCTCGGTTACTGTAATCCTCATAATGTGACGAAACAAACGAGGGTGCAGGCGAGTATTCAAGACCATAAGCTGGCATCGAGGCATGACGCGCGTGGCTATGGGCCATCGGCACACCATTCTGGTTGTATTGCATACGGCTGAAGTCAGGCTCCCTCTTGACTACTTGCTGCATGTGTTGAGGCATGGCTGGGGCCATCGCTGCCATCGTGTTGTACTGTACCATGGCGTCCATCCCATCCGCTAAAGGGGCCATCGACTGAGGCATCATTTGCGGGGGAGGCATGGGGTCCATTGCCCTCATCACTGGAGATGGAGCTTGAGACTGAGGAAAAGAAACTTGTTGGGCGCTGAAAGATGAAGAATTGGCTTGCTGGGCCTTCGTCAATTGTTCGTAGAGGGATTGCGAAGAGTCGTATTGGAACGACAGGGCCGGTTCACTAACAGCCATAGTCGTAGCCTCCTGACTCATCTTCTCCCTCTTCAGGTCTCTTTCCAGTGCATCAAGGAAAAGTCGATCGTGGGGCACACTATACCAGTAAAAGACTTTTTGCTTCTTCTGTGTTCGAATGCAATTGTTTTTGTATAGGAAGTCTAAAAAGGGACTCTTTGGTTCCTCTAAGGAAGCATCTGTTCCTGATTTGAGATTTCGCAAGTCCGAAAATATGCCCTCTTCGAACTTCTTGGAGTTCTTCACTGGACGGCCGAAGGCCTGGAATCGAAAAGAAAGGCATCGCACAATGTCTGTACCTGAGATATGGAATAGGTTATTCCATAATACACAGGAGACATATTCACCTGTCGGTAATAGGAAACGTCGAATGTATTGATCATGCTGCCAGTCAACAGGCGCTGAGATAAGGAAATATTTTACTACACTCATTTGTAAGCAATTGAACGCGAATGGGTATTAATTTAAGTACAGTGGAATTAAACTCACAATTGTCAACTTGTTGTAAGGCCACCTGTGCGTCATGGGGTAATGCTTGTTGCGCTTCTGTGCTAAGCATAAAAGTCTCTGGTTTTTGAGGCGCCGTAGCGCCCATTGCCGCTTGTTGTGAGTACATAATGTACTAGAGGTCGTTCAAATCCGTAACAACCAATAACTCGGGGGAAAAAAGAGATTATTAGTATTTTTATAAGCAATACAAAATCGTTCGTGGTGTCGTTTCCGCTCAACTCGTTTGGATATTGATAGGTGGGAACCTAGGCACTGCCTGTCCCCCCGCGCTAATCTTCCTCGGATAGCTCTAAGGTGTATACCGTGTATACCGTATGGTGTTTAAAGCCGAGTCCAGCCCGAGCAATATTTGGATTTCTAATTTTTAACAGCCGTTGATTTACCTCTGGTAAATGGCTAAGCGCAAGTGGTCGTACGTAAGCCTAACCTTGAAGGCGATCGTTGAGCCGGCAAAAGATAGTTGGCAAGTGCCTAGAATTCAATTTCCTGGCCTCTAATATGCACAGACCGACAGACCGTGTCCTGGATGACAAGTGTGGCAATACGCTATGAGTTCGTAACGACTATATCTCGGCTTACGTCCTGCAACTTTGCTCCCGTCGTTTCGTTGTTGCTGATAAGTTCACCAAGACCCAATTAGGAAAGTGCAACAATCCGAATTAGATTATATCTTGCTTATCGAAACAAGTATAAGGGGACGTAAATGCTCCGATGTCAAGGGACGAAACAGATAAAATAATCAACAAGATGCTTCCGAGGATCAAACAAGGTAGACCGGACGTTGAATGGTAGATCTAACGGTGCGACGAACTAAGCTTAGGGACGGGGTTGCGGTTGCGGTTGTGCCGGACAGTCGGGATAAACGCTCGTAATCAATAAAAACGTCTCGCGGTTGCGGAGTAAGAGAAAATGAAGTCGTCTTCGGATGCGGGCTCTCCAAGGAGGAATAGGAGTTTACGTGTTAATGGCCTGCAACACGAAAGACTGTGAGGCGAGAAAGGGAGAAGAAGAAAAAAAAAGAGAGGGAGGGGTTCTGAATAGAACAACTGATCTTGCGAAGAGGACTCAAGTAAGTAGGGTCAAGAGAAAAACAGGCGAGGAGTTCGGGGGGTTTAATGAATTCGGCTGGCTGGGGTCGACTCAGGCCCTTGCCAGGTCTACCAGGTCTGGCCGGTGCAGTCGGGTAGGAGAGAAGAGATTTAGAGTGGAGTAGGCGGAGAAGAAAAATATGGATAAGTGTGCTCAAAATGGCATAATGCAAATGCACCAACCAGGTTAGGCTAGCCGGGATGGGAAAGGTACTCGCCTAAGAAGTATACGCTTGCCCGGATATGGAAATATCTCTTCCTGTCCCTTCCTGCAAGGAATCCGCGAGCGAGATTGGGCACGACATTCCGCGCCCACTTTCAACTTATTTTAACGCCAGTCGTAAACTTGTAGTATTGTACTTTTCCGCTCGCGATTTCCTCTGCATTAAGTACATAAGTATATACAAGTTAGGTAGTAAGGCGCATACTTTACCATATTCCATATCCCATATTGCATATTTCTTTATGTATTCCGTACGAAGTACACCCTCATCACAGAAACGTGGCTGCATGGAGAAGCCTGTAGGAGCCACAACCCGTACCTACCTACTCTACACCTCTACGGGAGGTCAGATAAGACATACTACTTCATCTCCATCGTGAACTAGTTGAAAAAAAGGGTCCGTCCCGAAGGAGGCCCCCGATTCTAATAGATTCTAATATGAAGACCCTAGCAACGCAGAGGAGAGGGTTGCACAACTGATTAGGATCTAAATCGCGGGTGAACCACAACTGTCAGGCCAGCTACTACATATGTAGGAGGTATGCATGTATGTGTGATGTAGATCTACTACATAGATGAAGGTAGATATATCTAAGGAGGTCTTAGGACTTACATATGTACACTACGTGCCTAGGTGGGCAAATCCACCATGTACGTCGTATGTATGTAATACTTGCTTATTTTCGGGTCCGTCTTGATTAATTCCAGCGCCGCGTATTAATCTACTATAATAATCAGTATCTACTATGGACGGCGTAATTCGAATTCGATAGTTATTATTCGTAATACGTCGGGTTCTAACCCTTTGCCCCTTTACGGCCACGGCGTGGAGAGGAAGCAATCTTAAGTGCAGTAGCCCGACCCAGCCCTACTATGTATGTATCTTCTCGTAAAGGACCTCCCCCTTTTTCGGCATATTATCCTATGAGTCTTAACAGAATCTATCAATATACTTAAGAACCCTTCTTTTTCTATTCGTGTACCTATCGATACTGACGTCGTATCGTATGTATCTTCCGGTGGACAAAGCGTCTTGTTTGCCCCATCAATTACATCTATTACAGAATGAGGGCACGTCGATCCCGTGCGACCTCTCTCGCCTCGCTCAAAGTCTTCATTCGGGGAATATCTTCTGTTATCCACAGAGAACAAGGGTGCTTAGGTGTAGATAGATGGGCGAGTACTACCTTGAAATCAAGTTACAAGGATATTTGACGTGGACTCAGCTCACGGTCCTTCTTTTACCCACTATCCATGCTCGGTGTTCCTAAACTATTATAGTAATGGATCATGTATGCATATATTCGCTAGTCCACCAGGTTCTCATTGACTTAAACTACCTAGCACGTTTCTTACTTCTATCCCATATTTGTATAGGGGTTTGTTTTGACAGCTTGATAACCATTTAAATACATGTCATCATCGTCGTCATCAACTATTTTCACTGGTGTACCCAAAATGGATGAGCTCATCCATGATATTCTATAAGTGTTTTGAGCAATGTTAAATAATACAACAAAAATAACTAAATAGACAGCAAAGTAACACCAACTCAAGTATCAAATGCGCTCATCTCTAAAAACAGGCCCTTCCAGTTATGCTATCAACTTATACGGTCTAAGCGAATAGGGGTTCGACAAAGTTAAGGCGGCGAGTATTACAAGTCTACTCCAGTGATAGCAGAGTGACATGACATCCTACCATACCTTATCGAATTATAAGCAGAATGCGGCACATTCACGATTTCGTACGCTGTTTAATATATTAACGTTCCCTTCTTCTATGTGGATTGAAGTTCCTTCGCATAGGATAGTTTGGTAGGATGTCATTTGCATACCATAAGAAGCAGGTATGCCACAAGACGACAAAGAATGCTATAAGACAGTCCCGATCCTACTTAACTGTTGTTGTCTTTGAATTTGTTAGCTTGTCATCTTTGCTGCTTTGCTGTGCTGCCCTAACTATTCGTCCACGGTCTAAAGTCTTAGACAGCTCACAGTTATTACATATAATCATAGAATCCAATTGGGGCTATGTATGGGTCAGCATGTAATCTCCGTATGCTAGTACATCGCGGATGACAGGAACAAGGTTAGACGACAGGGGAAGAGGAGTGAGAAAAGGATTTATCATCGCTTATTAGGATATCAGTTGAGCATTGTTCAATTACATAGTAGATATTCTAAGAAGTACTAAAGTACCGGAGCTCTCTTAGCTCCCCGATGGTAAATTTCTCAAATAGGTATGTGCTTCTTGGTAATTAGGAATCGTTGACAAACCGTAAAATAATAATAGTTAGTTGAACGATGTCTTAATGGTGTTCTTAGCGAATTGGCCATTTAAATTGCTGCTTTAAGCCAAGTAAATGTAGCGTGATTTTTATTTTTTTTATGTACATCTTTTCACTCACTTGCTCAGTTTGCTCTATTAACTAATAAGTACGTATAATTGCATTAGGGAAGCTACCTCACCTTACTGAGGTCATCGTTTCTATTAGAGGTGTATTGAGAAATAATTAGGGGCATGTTTACTGCAGGTACGCTAGTATGGGGTATTAGGCACGCACCTGCACAGTCCATCATCTATTCAAGCTTCCCCTGCCAATAGATGCCAAGAGGGAAAGACGCTGGATGGTACCATACTACGAAAGGGTACCTGTCATTGGCACGCTGATCCCTCAATCCCTGCGAACTTCTCTCCATTCCCCTGTGATTTCCCTGTAAGTCTGAAACACGCCTGGCGCATTGCTTCAGAAAATACTTGATACCAGATATCGGCGCTAATCTTTCCTTGTATCTTATTCATCCATTATCCCACCTTCTCATGTGCAGTTGCATCGATCCGGTCCAATCAGAATTTGCCTCTTCTACCCTACTCTATTTGACGACGACCAACCAACCTCTGGTCTATCGTTGAACGACTAGTTGGGAGGTGAAGATGGGAAATACGAAGCTTCCAAGACGACTACAGGGAACTAATTCCCCCACATTCATTCATGCACAACATCTCATACAAAAGATCATAGGCATATTTAACCAGAAGGCTGCTACAATCCTGTCTTCGCTCCTCTGTCGTATTGCAGGCCTATCAAGATATATTCTCTTTGCAATGATAGGTACCAGGAGGACATCACCGACCATGAAAGGCAGGCCTGTAAACCCATTCCATCGGTAAATGACCCGTCAGCCTACTTACATTCTCTAGATTTCCGAACAGGTCATGCCCGCCCGGCTTCAATGGTCCGTGGAGGGGCCCCCCTGGTTTTACGCTACCATACAGAACCTTGAATCAAGAACGGCAAAAATCCAGCGATATGGTTATCATCACTAGGATGTTTTTCTGAGACTTTGATTAGTATGTTCAGATGGGAGTATCCTCGTATGTAGTCTAAGTCATTTCCTCTTCGTATGTAGTACTATGAGCGTTGAATCCAAACTCTATATCTAAGGGATACCGTGTAGTCACACTTCAATCCCCTTTCCCGCTTGGATCCTTTAGTATTAACGAAAGAATAAGGGGTAACGCATGCCTAGACGGTGAATCTTTCTCTACCTAGGTAGGTACTAACTTAACTTATCAGATCAGATACACGTATGTACGGATCATGTGAGGCGACTTACATAGAACTAATGGATAGGCTTGGTTTGATAGTCGTGGCCAGCATAATCCAAAACATAAAACGACCACACTTATGAATATTTAACCCATCCTAAACTTACTATTAGCTACATGACGACATCCGATGCCGCATCTCCTAGTCGTTTGATCGACCCG